ATGACCCGCTGGAAAACCTGCAGTCTGGCACGCCGTCGCTGGGTCCCGTCCTGCACAGACATGCGCTGCAACGTATGGCCTGTCAGCCGCGCTTCTCTGGCACGGAGTACAGCTCAGGCGATCCAACCGGCATGGAAATGATACTAGATAACAATGACATTGGTGAGTTTTTCTGTGAATCTTTGGACAAAGAGGAAGATCCAAAGACCGGTGATGATTCCAACTCTGACGCGCAACGCGTTGAGGAGGGGAATATCTCATCGGAGCGTGTGTCGCCTGACTCTAATCCTGAAGCAAGGGATCCGAGGACCTTACCCATTCCACCATCTCAACCAGGCAAAGTTGAGGAGGGGAAGAAAGGCCGAGGAAGACCTAAAGGGAGCAAGGATAAGAATCCAGGACAACGCAAAAGAAGAACAAAAGCCGAGCTAGAAGCATTAAGAAAAGACATGCATAAATTTGCCATGCTAGCAGGCGGGCATGAGCTGGAAGAAGGGGAGACCTTTCTCGAAGCACATGTCATGCTGTCAGTTTCCCAAGCCTTGAAAAGCCCTGACGCCGAGAAATGGCGTGCAGCTATCACCAAGGAGGAAGCTAGACTACTTGCCTTTGAGACTTGGGCGCCAGCTACTGACGAGGAGCTGCGAACCTCTTCTCAGGTAATGCCTATAGCAATCGTTCTCACGGTAAAACGTGATGGAACTTTCAAAGCTCGTGCTTGTGTGCTCGGGAATCTTGATCGTTCGGGGAATATCGACACCTACGCCCCTGTAGTGTCACATGCTGCGAATAGACTTTTACTCGTTTCAGCAGCGACGGACTCTGACTTCGTCATCCCATTCGACCTTGATTCTGCGTTCCTTAATGCTGAACTCGATCGTGACGTCTTCTGCCGTCTTCCACCAGTGTGGGCGGAGAAGCATGGAGCGGATATCGTCAAGCTTAAGAAAGCTCTCTATGGGCTCAAGGACGCTCCACGAGCCTGGTTCAAGAAGTATTGCGTGCTATTGTCCGAACTCGGATGGGAGCCGTGTCCTTCTGCTCCAGGATTGTGGCGGAAAAAGAGCAAAACGCACCCAGGAAAGTATATGAAGGCGTCAGTCTATGTTGATGATAACTTAGCTACTGGACCTGACTATCACGAGTTACGGTCTGAGCTCGACCGGATCTTTAGTCGCGCCCCTGGCCGACCTATTGAGATGGCAAAGCGAGTCGATTCTCGCACGAGTTTCGAATGGCTAGAGTTCGACTTTCTTGGTGCGATTGTGCACTATTGTCGGGAGGCACGTTCAGTGAGAATCCTGGTGAGTGTGTACATAGAGAAGACCTTACAGAAGTATAAAATAACATTAGGTAAGCCGGTGTGGTCTCCAAATTTCGACGAGTCTGCTTTGCTTGAGGAGGGGCTTAAGCTAGCAGCCGGGTTTCCATTGCGTGAGATTGTTGGCGCACTGCTTTGGATATCGACAACCGCAAGGCCAGATATTTGCGTCCCTGTGGCGACATTGGCTCGGTATGTCAGTAAGCCCGTTACAGAAAGAACTGCAAAAGCCTGTAGAAAAGTATTAAAGTATCTAGCTACGACAAAAGGCCAAGGACTCTATTACTCTCCAGAAAGTGAGGAAGAATTCAACGAAATTTACAAGAAGCTCTTACCAGACGGAAGAGAGCTACCGTATACTAACTGGCTCTCAGATGCAGGATTCGCAAACTGCATAAAGAGCATGCGCTCGACCAGTGGTTCGATTATGTACTATCGGGGTTTTCCAATCTGTTGGAAACGCAATACACAAACCGTGCGTGCGTATTCAGCTGCAGAGTCAGAGTATATAGCCGCGTCGGACACTATTGTCATGAGCGAGCTGCATGATTTTACAGATTTCTTCAATCCCTTACCCACTCAACTAGTGGAAACGCGGTCTGGTATATCGCCATCCCTCGATGATGCCATATTGTGGATAGACAACCAGTCCGCAATCTCGACAGCAAAGAGTGAAGACGCGAAGCCTAAAAGTAGACGCTATGCGTTACGTTATTTAAGGGTTAGGGATGCAGCTGAGAAAGTCGCTTTCTGTCCTACTCACCTTATGAAAGCTGATGGACTAACGAAACTTTCATGCTCATCTACTCAACGCAGATTATTATTACATCACATAGAGAATCCAGTAATTAGCCGTAACCATATTAAAGATGATAGTGACTCGGAAGAAGAAGATGATGAGTCTGGTTCAAGTTCTGCTTCTTTGGCGGTGCTTACCTATTCTATCTTCTTACTTAGGTCGTTGGTCAGAGGTGACGTCAGTGGCTATACAACGAATCGTGATGGTTCTGGGTCAGGGCAGGTAACGCCAGACCGTTTGTGACTTTCGTCATTTCCTCACCTAGCGATTGAGGAGGGGTGTTGGTCAATGGTCATTACTGGCTCAAGATCCAATGAATGAACCTGATTTCAATGCCAAATGACTGCTCTCACTCGTCACCTTGATCATGATCAATGCCGTTCCTTGTCTTGAACTCTTGTTAGTTCCTCGTATGATCATCATTTGAACTCAATGAATTCCAACATGAATTAGCAGCAAGATCTCCCAGATCTTTAACTGCACTATGACCCTTCATGATATCCCAATGACATTGAACCCATTTTGATACCATTTCAGGGCCTTAAACAGTCAGTGATCATTCGGCGCGTCCGTTCTGGTCGTCTTTCTGTTACATTGCAACGATAGTCATTCCATTTACTCTCAAGAGCCTCATAGTGCGCTTGGACGTGTTCGGGTGTTCCAACAAGGGCTAATATGTAGTTCTAATTTTAGGGGTCTAATATGTCGTTCTAATTTCGGGGTTAGGGAGGGGGGGGGAGGGCTTAAAAATTTTTCTAATATTGGGTTCTAATTTATTTTGCGGGGCTTTTTGAGGGGTGTTTTTTGGTGTCTAAAATTGTTCTAATCGATATTCTAATTTGAATTCTAATTCTTCGAGGGTGCAAAAAAAGAAACAACTTGGCCCCCCCCTGTGCGGGGGGGTCAAGTTGTTTCTTTTTTTGCGCCCCCGAAGAATTAGAATTCAAATTAGAATATCGATTAGAACAATTTTCCGAAGGCTCTGGAAAATATTAGAACCCGGATTAGCCTATGAAATTAGAATAATTTTTTGAGCGATTTGGAGTGTGCACAGGTCCCGTCCGGGCCTGGTGTACTTGCCGGACTCGGTGAGTAGCTCGTGAGGTTGGGGCTTGGGGTCGGCTCGCGGAACAGGGCCACTCCAGGGCCGTTGGGTTGCCGCGATCGGCCTCCCCGGAGGGCGTGGCGCTGGCAGTGGTGTGAGTCTTTCGGGCAGCCGCCTTGGGTTGGGGGTAGGTTATTCCCAGCCCCCTCGGGGGGTCTTTTGGCGGGGTTTGCGTCGGAGGTCTTGCTGCGGTTGGTGTGGTCGCGGCGGTTGGTCCCACCGCGGCCCCCGCGCCCGGTTTTCGTGGTGGGTGTTAGGATTTGCGGAAATTCTCGGCCGTCGGGTTAGGTCTCCTGTTCTGGTGGTGCTTGCAGGGTGGTCTGGTGTTGCCCGTGGGGTGTCGGCTCTCTGGATCATTGTAGGAAGGTACGTGGAAGCTGGTGGGCCTTGTGGTGGATGTGGTGCGCGAGTCTTCACGAATTTCCAGCCGCCTGGCCTCGGGTTGTCTTTCTGTTGGTGTCGTGTTCGCGTGTGTGTCGTCGGTCTTCAGCTTGTGCCGCGCAATCGGGGGCGGCTGTCGTTCGTTCGTGTGGTCGGTGTCTGGTGTGGTGGCTGCTTGCGGGGTTTCTGCCGCATTGGTTTCGCCGTCGCGTCGCTTGTCTTGTTTTATATAAGAAGAAGCCTGGGCCTTTTCGCTTCGGTGGCCTTGAAAATTAGAAAAATTTTAGCAGGCTTTTAGCGACTTAGGTTGGCCCCCCGCCTCCCCCCCAAATTTTTGCAAGGGCAGCGTGGCGCAGGTAGATTATCGTCTTGAGATTTGCGACCAGCGTGCCGCTTGCGTGTCTCTGCTGTCTTTGCTTGCTTCTTCGCTTCTTTCTCGCGTTCAGTTTTGTCCGCGCTCGCCCTTTTGTTCTTGGTTCCTCCGCCCTCCCATCCCTCGGGCCCTTTCGCTTCTGGCGCCCCTCTCTTCTTGTTCTCATCTCCCCTGCCTCTCCTGTCTTTCATCCCCTCCCCTGCTCTTCCGGCACTTCCCCGTCCCACTCGTTTTCCTTCGTCCACCGTTCTTGCTCGCCTTGATTGTCTGCCACCCGTTCCCTATTCTGGTTCTGATCTCGGCTTTCCACTCTGGCCCGCTTTCTACTCTGGGTCTGGACCGCTATCCCACCCTGGACCACTCCATATTTATATATTATATATTGGCGCCGATGGCCTTGCCTGACTTCTAGGCGTCTGTCTAGGCATTGTTAGGTGACGAAGACGAGCCTGCTTTAATCATTATGGCAGACTCAGTCCCCCCATCAAAGATCATCCCCGAGAATACATTCTATTTGACAGGAGCGCGCTACCGAAAGACCTGCAAGACCGGGGACCACTGTAGCATTCGCAGCTTGGCAATATGTACTAGCTGTTGCTACCAAAATACTTCTTGTTGGATTGGGCATTTCACTCTTTTCCACGAAGAAGACCTGCAACTATGGTGAAGGCAGTGCCGACACCCACCAAAAATCGCTGTAATTATATTGTGTAGTAATAAGTAGAGCTAGAGAGCGAGAATCGAAACAACATGGCAGTTGTAGTCGACTGATGGCCCAGATGAGGAAACAGGACTTCAACAGTCCTCAATGACTGTTCATTGTGCTGCAGACAAACTCAAGTACGATTAAGCTTTGTTTTCCCCTTCGTGTCTCTGATCCTTTTTTGGTCCCCAATCAGCGTCGGTTGCGCCGCGCATAAAGTTTCTCTGTGCCCATGGTCAGCAAGTCAAATTCTCGTCACATTTACTGGGAACTAACGTGGTCTGCTTTCGGCCGAATTTTTGTTAGTAGCATACCCATTGAAGCGTGAATACTCACTACCTAGTGAGTATAATGTTAAAGAACTGTACGAGTGAAGAAGGCGGTAACGCTAGTGTCACGAAGGTTTTTTATAGTACTTACTATTACGGAAAGGTGGGATACATTAAACCTACAACATGATGGAGCCAATGCATCTACTTACCATGTCGAAGGTGTCATCCACCCGAACGACGCTTAGCTATCTAGGAGAAAGGTTGTGCAAGGAATTATATGTAGAACGCACTTTCGAGGAATTAGATCAGTATGACACGACCAAAATGCAAACAAATTTCGATAATACGGCGTTGATCGCAGGCAACGCTCCTGTGCAACCCCCTTATCCGAATCATTTCAATCAGGCTGTAGCAGAACCTACTACCTTGATTCGACCGGGATATGGGGGAAGGCAAAGTGGGATCCTCGGCGGTGTGTCACAAGCTTTTTCGCGACCAGTAAAAATATTCTCGTAAAATGACAGCATTCCGATTCCAAGGTTGTAGTAGGCGTTCGTATGATATCTCCCAGTAAAAGTAATAAAGCAACAACTCACTTTTTCTACATCAACAAAAAAGGCAACTTTACATTTGATCAGGGATCGGTGAACGAACTCGACAGAACAGTGCTAGGCACGAGTAATTATCGGGTACCGGTGAACCAGCTTGGACCATTAGGCAATTTTTTCTCGACGCAAGTCGGAGGCGCATCAGCATCTCAGGACTTGGATAGGACTACGCTTTTCCCTCCAATTGCAGCTACTTCTAGTCAGCCGATCGAACAACGCTCAGGTCGCAAAGTCCATTTTTTCCCCTGTTTCTGTGCCTGCCTCGAACCATCAGAGATTGATGGGAGGACCGAGTTCCGCGTCTATGAATGAGGGTCCGCTAATCGCTTGCTTTGCGACCCTATTTGTAAAGTACTGGTGAACGCAGCGCAAGTGCAGAGTAGATATTTGAAGGGCACACGGTTCCCATTGAAACGTGTAATTTTGGCAGCGTGATGAGCCTTTAGACCGGTTCCGAGGTTACATACGAGGCGGACCATGATGCCGTATGCATTTTTTGATAGTTTTGTCTTTTTTCGACTGTAGGGAGTGGAATAGTGTTCACTCTGGAATTGCAGCTCCAAACGGGACTGAAAGTCGCAGCCTCATATCAGCTGGGAAGCGTCATTTCGTGTTCGTTCAGTCATGATGACCAGACTCGGACGAACGCTTCTGCGAAGATACTGCCTGATAGGAAAGTACGAAATTTGTCTCGGAGTTTCACGTCTGTCGACAATGACGGTTCTGGTTGCGGGTCCTTTAGAATTCTTGTTCCATGCTTTTCTTATTCCCTACAGTATCATTGGAAGTGAGGAAGCTGGGCAGTTGCTCATGTCTTTGGGGAGGCCTAATGCCGAGCATTCGACTAAAGAGGCTGAGAGACTCTTGTGCGTGAAGCATAAGCTCGAGGGTGTTTGTTGAGTATTTCGACATGTTGCGGACACTGAGCATCTGTCTTTAGGAGTCCACAGTGCACAAACCTGATTACGCACTTGCGTTCTGTTGCAACAGCACGTCGAGGTCCGTTTGTGGTAGGCATGAGGGGTATTTCTGCGTGTCTTGGCGGTGGCCCTATGATGGTGCACAGCTACTAGGTACTTCGGCTGCTTGTCCCAGGACGCGCAGGTCTATGTTCGCTTTGCTTGCTTGCTTTTGTACTTGCTAGTGTAGGAGTGCGTCGGGGGCAAAGCAGCCGCTTGAACGCCAAATGCGAAAAGTCGGCCGCCACGTTTTTTCCGCCCGATGGATGGCACACAGTGTTGGGATCTGGATTCTTCGGGCGTTTGGCGCAGGTAGTGTTCTCGAGGATGGCAGAACTGGCACAGGAGTAGTCTTGCTGCATATACTCGCGGATGCTTCATCAGATGGAAAACTCAAGAAGCGGGTGTCGAGCATGGGCCGACCCGTAGCCCGTGGCAGCGAACGCTTTCCCGCTTTCGGTACCTGCAGTGCGCGATATGATTCGGATTTAACAGCGTCTCGGACACCTGATTTTTTCGAATGCCGTGGGTCGTCGTCGTGGGAGACGTTCGTGGCGCTCGTTCGCGAGGCGGCAAAAGACAAATTTCTTACGAATGATTCCGCCCCAGATTCACAGGAAAGATATCATCGTGTTTCATTGTCATCGTTATAATCAACAGCCTTCTAGCAATACCGAAAAGGCAAAGAGCTTCATCTCGATTAAAAAGGTGTTCAGCATGAACATCAACATCAACATCGTGATCCTTTTCATTTCTAAATATCGTACAATCCCAAGTGAGCTGTACCAGATGGCGACGCAAGTGATCGAGATCTGGGATCAGAAGCCATATCCACCACAAGACTTTCACAATCTTCTATGCGACCCGCGGAAAAGCTGGAATCCTTTGCAGGAAGAGGCGTTTCAACCCTTCTGCTTGTACGGCTTCATCTACGCACTTCTCATACGAGCACGGGTCTTCATGGGAGAGAGCAACCCGGAACTACGAAATCTTGCCAAAGAAGACCTGAACTATGCGGTACTCATTTGAACGTGCTGAACTTGATACAATGAAGGTACATACTAAATGAACTGATTATACTAGGGACGAGGATACGACGGCTAAGTAGTTATTACATTCTGCCTACTGGTTGCAACATTATCCTGCCACATTTTTGCGCTAATATAAGAATAGAGAAATGGAGACTCGTTCTAGGTCTCTTGCATCGCGCTGATTTGAGGAGTTTAGTTCAATTTGCAGTGGAGACACTTTGAGTAGAAAAAGAACATCAGTACTCAAGAACTACTGCTTCTTTTTTGTTAACCAGAGACGTCATCTCTTTTGTCAGGTCACGTGTCTTGGGAAGGAAGGCTCTGTAGATTTCCTGGACAGTTCAAACGTTGGCGTGAGTATCCTGGATTTCTACATTTAAGGCAGACCTTGGCTCATTCTTGGAATCCACAGGGACATTTTGGAAAGGACTTTTGCTTTTCAATATGTGGAGATGTGAAATGCTTGCCCCATTAGGATGTTCTACAATAGAGAACTACGAACAGATGTACCCGAGTAGTTACCGCCACGTATGTTAAATAATTAGTGCTCCAATTGTGGGAGTAGCGCGCAGGATGCATTGGTCTAATATACCAACATCGGGGAGACGGATTTCACGACCTACAACGATTACATCCGAACAAATCCTGTCCCGGAGCCGCCTGCCGACGAGTTTGGGATGCTGGTTTATAATCCGCTTCCGCTCGTTTCTGATGCGAAGGTGCACGCTTTGCTTGCGGCACCGAATCGCCGGCGTACGCTGCACGCTGCAGTATTCGGAACGCATGCAACGCTGAGCCACGAAACCGTGCACATGGTACAAGAATTTGTCCTGCGGGACAAAGTGGAGCTAAAACCAGTTTTCTACGGGCTGGAACCGCGCTGGTGCGGAATTCTTGGGATGTGCAATCGCGGAGATCCAGCTTTCGCAAAATTCTTCAACTATGGCACACCGGTTCAGCTGTTGATGTCAAAAGGCTCGTGAATTTTTAAATCTTCTTAAATGCATTGATGCTTGGATATGGGGTTTCGTATTCATAAACATGATTAAGAATGTTTTTCCAGGAGGGCGACCAGATCGGTTTTGGTCTCTTGATCCCTCAGCACCGTGATACGCGTCTCGGCAATGGCATGCATGCTTTAGATTTACTTTTACATGTTTTTTCTACCTTTCACATATCCACGCTACATCTTCTACTTCTAACTTGAGGATATGGAGCAGGATCCTTATGGTGACGATTTCACTTGGGATAAGATGCTCTTTCAGATCGAAGCGGTTTACGAGCGTGACGCGGAGCTGCGAAAGAGTGAAATCCTGCTATGCACCGAGCCCCTTGTCGGCTGTCTCCTACTACAAAAGCTGTGGCGGGAACGCGGTATAATTCGTTCTTATTTATTCATAGGGGACAAGTACAAATGGAAATGCGTGGAGAGCTAGATGAAATTACCGATGGATAAGATTCTTCCCTTCACTTTATGACATGCACGCATCGACGCGCCTTCGCCCGTCATAATTATTCCATCTAATTCCCGGTTCTAGCATTCGCCTGGAGTTGAAAATTGTAAGATAATGATTTTTTACTCTCTACTTACGTACTTCCAGTATTTATGAACATGAACAAGCAGCACAAGTTGTTCGTTTATCCAGACGTTGTTCCAAAAAAAGGTGATCGGTTGCCTGTGCTTGGGTATCTCGGTGTTGCACTGCTGAACAGTGTGCCGCCGCTTCAGTTGGATCAATTCTGGGATTTGTTGGATGCCCGACAGCCAGACGTGGATACGGTGCTGTATGTGAATAATCGTATCTTGCGCGAACAGATCTATTATCAGACAGGCATTGTGGCTCCGTACGTGCGTGCGCATGGGCTCTATACGAAGGCAGTCTATGCGCCGCAAACGGACAGAGTGTTGTTTTGGCGAGCCCCGCTGTTCGTGTACCCTACTCTGCGATGTGCGATTTGGCAGTTCCTGAAGGCAATGCGAGGAGAGGATGACGGTGCGACCGGCGCTTCTGTCGGCCAGGAAATTGCCGTCCCTTCTCCGCTAGGCGGCGCTAGCGGCGACTCGGCATCCGCAGATGATCATGGAGACGGAGAAACAGCTACAACTTCAGCAGTCTTTCCGTATGTCATGCGTTTTCTAGATGAAAAAGAGTCCATGGCCTACAATGTCGTAGCGCAGCACCGCTCTGTGGTGCTCTTACCCTGGGACCACGCTTTGATGACATTTTACGAACTGTACTCGATGAATATGCCACTATTCTTGCCGAAAATTGAGTGGATCTACCGATTTGTTTACCAGCGAGGGCAGCTGTCGGTCGGCGAACCGCTCTACCAGTCGGTGCACCCGCGACATCGGCGGCCCCGAGCAGAGTTTGCCGCATATGATGAGGTGCAGCCGGGAAACACTATGGAAAGCAATGTCAATCTCTGTGGGTGGTTGGTTTACCATCTTCAAGGGGTGACAATCACAGTTGGATCCTGTAGTTATCATCTTCACAACTTAGCTCGCTACGCACCAGACGTTTTTTGACTTCGCTGTAATCAAAGAGATGAGATTAGTGAGTCAGGCTTCCTTTTGCTAAGTCGCATACGGATGGAAGCAAGGAGACCGTTGGGCCGATGTCTCCTGCAACAGGTTTGAGTTCGGCCAAGGCCGCGCGGGGGGTGACCGAAGATATGCTGCGACGTGGCTTAGACGACGATTTGGGTCTTGCTGAGACCAAGGCTTACATGATCGCTGCACTGGACTTAATCATGGATATGAAGTATTTTCTCACCGCTGCCGAAAACAAAACCAGCGAAGAGGACTCCTACACTAGTGCTGGAAAGGTGAAGCGCTACACGCGTGCCAATCGCGACCAGTATGAAACCAGCGAGGAGGTGCTCTACTCCGACGAGCCTTGGCATCCATATTTACGGTTTCGGATCGTACTAGAATGAGAAAAATGCCAGCACTAAACTTTCTGTATGGTCATACTAGTGTTGGAGGGTAAAAGTTTATCTTTATGTTTTAGCGTTCATAGTCGACACCGTTCCAGATATCTCCGCGGGACTCGAACGAATGGAACCGCATGCGGAAAGGAGGTTGGTGGCTGCGTCGTGGAGTGCGCGTGGATGCAATGCGATTAAGGCGTCGGGCTTCAATTTGAATTTTGAACAAACAACAGCTGCTTTCTAGTAACGTACTGGTGCGCATTATCACACTGGCATATATATTTTAGATTTGGTTTCGCTACATGTAAAAGATTCTTGAGTCTGTAGATATACAGTGCCCAAGCTTGTTATTAGGAAGCAAGTATTTATTTTATTGGATTGTGAAAATGACGAACATCTGGCCCTTAATAGTTCAGTGGATTGCTTAGAGAGATGAGGTTCTAATTCAGTATTGGTTTCAATACTCCGACTTCTACCGTTTTCCCGGCTTGCAGTACTTCGACAATATCGGAGATATGTTCTGCCGACTCGAGACTGCTGATTTGGTTTGGATTACAAACGCGATGCACAAATATAACGACGAAAGCCTGATCGAGTCTACACAATTTTGGTCTGACGCGGTCCTGCGGCTTCTGTAGCCTATGCTGATAGTACAGTAGATAATTGAAGATCCAATACTCTTAATGTAGAGAAATGCCTCTAAATTTAATGACACCAATGAAGCGTATTTACTCTCAAACTTATTTTTCAACATGGCATGGCATGACATGCAGTCGTCGCATCAGACAACGGTTAAGACAACGGGTACTACGTCCCTAAAGATTGCAGCACTCAAATTCGTTGATATTTTTGGTTAAACACGCGGATCATGCAGTTCTTGGTTATATATATATTTATAAAGATACAAAAGTAAGGCGACCTGGTTATTTATATATAAAGATACAAAAGTAAGGCGACCTAGAAGTGTCAAGACGCAAAACAGATGGGCTACTCCTTGTACTAGAAGTGCCCACGCTGCTGGCAGTGGCCAGAATCCACGCGACACGAAACAATACGAAGTTCCGAGCGATCGCTGCTTTATGCTTTGAGAACGAAAAGGTTCCTAGTAGCGCTCGTTACGTGCTCCTTACAAGTACAACGTCAACACTTTCAAAGCAGACATCAAAGAAATAGACTCTCGAGAGCTGGTGGGCAGACGAGAAACTTCTAAAACGATCATGCAGATCGGGCCTATCGTGGCAAGGATCACTGTTTGTATTAATTTTCGTGCACCCAATGAATGTGGACCCAGAAAAAGACATCCACCCGTTTTCGGTCAAGTTCCAAAAGCAAATGGCATTTACATGATATCGGATCTTTATTCGACGATAAATCTTTCAATCCACGTCAATTTTTGATGGCCTACGTTTACAATGATGTTGATGGATCATTAACAAAGTAAAAAGAGTATTCTTATCTATTGCTGTCGCATATGCTTTTCTTCAAAATTGGTCAACCCTGTAAATCAAGATACCAATCATACCTGGACGACGATAAAATACAGAGGTGTCGCTGCGTACCTTGGGATTTTCTTTGACAGACTGTAATGTAGATAGCATTTTGAAAGTGGTGACTGTTATTCGTTGTGCTTGTACGTGGAATGTCGTGCATCGGAATTTTGCTATGAGGTTCAGGCATTAAGCAAGAAGATGGTAGCAGAACACCGAGAGGACTTTTCTGTGGGTTCGATAGTCGACGATATCGAGGTAGCGGCCACCCGTTTCGCGCTCAGCCCTGCCCTTAGGTTGGTGGCACCTCCCGAATTAGCGGAAGAATCAAGTGTCCGATGGTCCAAAACGATCGCGAGCTTCTGTTCTAATGCTACTGGATCCACTGCGTCTACCTCGCCCCTAGGAGCCACTTCCAAGTCTGACTTAAATGATGGCTCAAATCAACGTGTCGTCGACGGACGACGGATTCTCGAGGTATCGTATCGTGACTTCTGGCGGTCCTGCGAGGCTGTTGCATCAAAGTTGAGAGCGTCATTGGCCGCTTCATCATCTGCTGATAACGAACGCGTGCAACCAGTGGCACTGGTGTGCGTAACTTGGTGTGGGCCTCTGCTGTCGGTCGCGCAACTCGCAGTGCTCCGTGCAGAGTGCGTTCTGGTGCATGCTGATCCAGGTGACCCGAGGTTTGTAGATATTTTGCACGATTGCAAGCCTGATTTCCTGATTGTCGAGACCTCATCCGCACCGCCACAGAAGATCTTGCAGGAACTCGGACGAACAAAACGCCCGTTTACCTTGTTTGGGATTGCAGACGTGCTAGAAGACCCGTCAACTTTGTTCAATGCCGCGGATGCAAAGCCATCGTCTCCAAATGTAGCTAGAACGTCGCAGGAGATCTTAAAAGATCGTAGTTGCTGCTGTGGCGATGTTCTTGGCAACACTACGCCGTCCACAGTTGGTTCATCGCCAGCAGCGTTGCTGTCATCCGAATCGAAAGATCCAACGAAAGTTACCAGTGGGCTTGTAGGAGCCGCGGCGTCGAGCAAGGACGAAAACGGTGCACCGACAACCAATGGTGCGATGCTACACACAAGAGGAAAGAGAAGTACCGCGGAGGACGATAACAGCAATCTTCGGAGAAAGAGCCGGCTTTTCTCGCATATATACTATACAAGTGGCAGTACCGGCAAACCGAAAGGTTGCTTGTTACGGAGTGGTGCGGTCCGCAACTACTGTCTCGGAAAAAACGAAGTTCATGCAGTCGACGAATCGAGTTCGTTTTTGTTATTATCAAGTTGCACTTTTGATCCGCACCTGGGTGATTCCCTTGCCACTTGGGCAGCCGGAGGGTGTCTCGTCGTGGCGGCGGAGAACCTCGCTACGAGTTTCCTGTCGTCGATGGCTACATCCACCTCGAGGCCAGCAGACGAACCAGGCGTGAGACGCGACGAGTCGCTTTTTGAGACGTTGGTTTTGCGGGGTTGTCGTGTGACTCATTGCCAGACAACACCCAGCTTGTGGCAGTCGTTGATAGGCTCGAAAGATTCCGCTCTCCTTGACGATAGTCCCTCGATGAATGATTCAAGAGAGAATCAGACGAGGTACAAAATGCAGACATTGGCGCTTGGGGGAGAGTCGATGGCACGGTTTTGGCCGATTCGAGGCCCACAATGCGGGAGGCTCCTGAATACTTACGGCGTCACGGAGTGTTTCTGCTATCAGACCTATCAGCGCATTAGTTGCTTGGAGGAAACCCAGTTTATTGGCATTCCCTTCCCAGGGAATACGGTGGAGTTGTGGCCTATCCCGGAGGACACGTCTGGCGCCACGTCTTCGTCCTTTGTTGGGAAACGAGGCTCTGACAATCCTCTGGCTACGCAGACAGCGACATCACAAGGGAAGATCTTGGACTGCGATTTGGTTTCTACTCCTGTCGCGGAAGCAAACGAAGCCTCGTCCTCGTACGAGATTGTCATCGGTGGTGCACAAGTCGGAGAGTACTATGACTCTGAAAAAAGTTTGTCACGGGAGAGCAGCGGCTTTGATCGAGCAATGGAGGTTGAAGTTAACTCTGCTGAAGCGAATCCGAGGTTCTATCGAACCGGGGATGTGGGAGAGATGATGCCAAATGCTGGAATTAGAATAAAAGGCAGGCGGGATTGGCAAGTGAAGCTTGGAGGTGTTCGCGTGGAACTCGAGGAAATAGAAGCGCGACTTCTGCAGCCCTGCTGTCATTTAGAGAAATTATTGGAGCAAGCGACTTGCGTTGTTGTCCGGAGCAGAGCTTCCTCTCATTCGCAGGAGACGGAGGCTGGAAACACAGCCTGCTCAAGCAAGCTTGTCCTTTGTGTAACACTGCGTGACTTTTCTGTGGGAACAATGAACGCAGAAGTAGGTAGCGCTGGCACCCAAAACGATGTTAGCGGCGCGGGCGGTTGGATCGGGGAGCGAAGACTCCAGCGTTTGGTTTCCGCCGTCGTTCGGCAAGAAGCCGCAAAGGTACTTCCTCGACAATGGATGCCCCGCGAGGTGTGTGTTTTCGCGGAGATGCCACTTACAAGCAACGGAAAAGTCGACCGGAAGGCTCTCAGGGCATCCCTCGAACTGACACCGCTCCAACAGGGGAGAGATCAGAAACAGAAGCGGCTAAACAAAAGTGAAAAGATTGATAGTGTTTCCACTTCTCAAGACGGAGATGATCGTTGTGATGGTAGCAGTTTTGAATCGTGCTCATCGCGTTTGACGGCGTGGGAGATGGCAATCGCAGAGATTTGGGCGGCAGAGCTGGGCTTGTCTAGCGGAGCCGAGATAGAGCCTGAAGATAACTTTTTTCAACTCGGCTCTGATAGTCTTGGTGCGCTCCGCGTCTGCCGGCGACTCATCGCACTACTTTATAACAAACCAAATGGCAGCACAAGCGCAAAGACGACACCAACTTCAGCTGTCGGAGATTCAGCAGACAACACTGTCTCAACAATCTCAAAGAGCAGTGGGCCACCACCAGCGGTTGAGTTACAAATCGTTGACGACTTTGGTACCATCTATCGGGACGAGTTGACAGTGCGATTTCTGCTGCTGCACCCAGTGTTACGGGACTATGCCGGCGGCGTGTTGGATGCGGTCAGCAAGGATCCCGTATGTATCAGCGCACTCGCCCGTATTCTTCAGAAAGAAGACAGAGATCGCGTTCCCATTTTTACCACGGAAGTTTCTACTGGGCGCTTGATGGCTGACGACTACCTGTTGCGAACTGCGGTGTATTTCAATCTACCTCATTTCGTAGAAGTTTTGCTCAAAACCTCCAGCAAGGTGGGAGGCGAAACGATTACAACAAGCAGTGACGACGTTGATGATTATAGTAAGCAGACGGAGGCGGGAGAGGAGCGTCCAGGGAAGAGACGGAAGCTTCCCCCTGCAACGACCGCCCTTCATATTGCCAGCCAAAAGGGATACACAGGCGTGGTGAAACTCTTGTGCCAGCACTTGGATTATGTGGAAATACAGCGCCCAGATGCAAACGGCGTGCTTGCTCTCCACCTGAGTGCGAACCTGGAAATCCTAGAGTTGATCTGCGCGCGCCTGCCTTCAAGCTACCTCACGGCACGAGATCGCAACCGTCAGACCATTCTGCACTTCCTGGCGCGGCGCGGCGACGCCAGTACATTGAAGGTGCTACTTCGCGAAGAAGAAAACAAGGTCACGACTGCTGCGGATGAAGAATCTTCTGTGGTGCCTCGTGCTGAGCAAGTAGATTCTCAAAAAGCGAGTTCAACAACAGCATTACTTCTAAGTAACCGTGATCAACAAAGTGCTCCACAATGGCCTGTCGGGACGCTGCACTATTTCGATTCGCGCGTGGATTGGCGAGACAAGTGGCACCGCACGCCGCTCAGTTGGGCCATTCTGAATGGACACGAGGATTGTGTTCGGGTGTTACTTCAGGCCAAAGCGAATCCGAATAGCAAGGTGAAAGACGGCAAGCACAAGAAGGAGTCGCATCTTGTGAATGAGAGTGCCCTGGAGCTTGCGCAACGGGTCGGTTTTGCGGAGCGGCTCTCTCAAACCCGTGCGGATTTAGAAGCGCAGATGGACACTAAATGATTATCCCTCTCAGTAACACATTATCGAGTCTCACTACATCACGCACGATAGCGTATTTGTTGTCGCGCCCCTCGGACATAACTATAATTTATCACATAAAATATTATGCCACCACGAGACTTGTTCTCACCACTCTCGGCGTCGAAGCTTTTCCTCAGCCTTCAGTTAAGGCGGCCAAGCACGTTTCGGGTCGTGGCTTTGAGCAAAATACGTAGGCAAAAGCTTGCGCAGTCCTGCGTATTTTCCGTGTTCTCATGTTGGGCTGATACATCCGGAAAAACACTAACAATCTCAATCAGTCATTCTCGGTCATTATTTATTATTAATGTCTGTCTTGTGTATGTGTTGGACTTGGATTCTTGGCAAACTCGCAGAGAGATGAAGATTACTGACGTATGATCACGTTACAATTTGACAGAGGCGGATAGAGAAGAGATTGATAGAGGGAGTTTCTGTGCATGACCGGAAAACCGTGGATATACCTGTGGTTACGTTCTACTCGAAGGAGTGCACAGTGAAGTCTATAAAGTTCTGGTGCGATATTCTATCCGAAAAGCGAGAACCTGTTGGCTTGTAGATCTAGATAAAGTAGTTATGGGTACATTGCATAGAAAAATAGCGTTCGGTGACGATAAGCATTTGTTGGAGCGCAGAACTTCAGTTGCAGTACGAAGTTCTGCGACAGCTTTGATCTTGGTTTGTATTGTAGAGCGTTGAAGGAGGAGACTAACTGAGCTTTGCTGTCCTCCTTCTCAGCGGCTCCCAAAGCAGCCTCGAAGCTCGAATCTCCTAAGCCCTCACCTTCCTGCGCCTTCTTCTCGTCTTTCTTCTCATCGTTTTTCCGGTTAAAGGGCCTGGCCTCTGACACGGTTTCCTTGGAAGAAGAAGAAGTGCAGGAGGATTTTGGTAGCGGGGGAACGGGAACCGGAGACGAAGGACCTTTGTCAATTCCGGCTGATCGCTTAAGCTCATCGTAGTTTGCGATGAGAGTTTCGCTCTCGTCGTCGTCCATCTTTTGGGTGGGCGGGGTGGGAGAAGATTCACAATCGCAATCACGTCACTAACAATCACGTCCGCACACCCTTACCCAACATGCTAGATCAAGCTGAGTATTTGGATTCTCGTCAATCCTCCAATCCTAGCCAGCCTGCGACTAAAGTAAATCCGAATCTTCATCATCTCCCTCGAACACACAGCGCAGCAACGTCCACACTTTCTTATCCCTTTCACTTACAATCTGAAGCACCTAGTTCCTTTGGCACAAAACGTTTTCGAGCTATCCCCAAGAGGAATTTCTTAGGCTAGAGGCAGGGGCCAGGGATGCCTCTCCCTAGGCACTGGCAAATAAGAGGGAGTCCTTAGTTTTTCATCTTTATCGATCTCTATTTTTATTATTTGAGCAGAGAAAGAGCCCGCAATTACTTCCGCTGGCTTCCAACAGGGAAGCGAAGCCCTGCAGCGGGGACTGAGCGCGCCAAGTAGTGACCTGCTCTAGCTGGGGGTGGTGCGCATGCTAACGCGCTCTATGTGAAATCGCGCATCACTATCACGAGAAGCCTCACAATCACAATCACGCAACTAACAATCGCGTCCGCATACCCTTACCTAACATGCTAGATCAGGCTGAGCATTATATTTGAACTCTCCTACTATTTTTGCATATTTGGCCCGAGCGCTTTTTGGTTTTGACTACTTCGCCGTCTAGCGCAATTCGTATCCATTATCGTAAAGTAAAAAAAAGAATGCCGACGACATCGCGCGACTAGTTGAGGACGCCGAGAGCCTACGAGGAGCTACGCAAAGGCTGGCAGACACATCGCCGGGCTACGGCTTGAAACACAGGAAACCCCGCAAAGACGAAACGGGTCGAGTTCAAGGGCCAGGAGGGCGCAGAACCAACTGTAGAAGGGCTCGCGCTCGCTCTCGCGCAGGGCCAGACAGAGCAGGCGCGAGATTTCGCCTACTTGGGCAGCGTGCTGGCGCAGGGCGGAGAGAATGAGCATGACGCCCTAAGCAGAATAGAGCGGGTCCAGAAGAAGAGCGGAGAGGCGTCGAGAGCCTTCGCGCGCGCTGGCATCCGCAGGGAGCTGAAGACACGCGCCAGCCGTGTTTTTTGTGTTGCTGGTAGTGCTCCCTCAGGGGGTCGGAGCCGTGGACCTTAGCAGCCAAGACGGGCCAGAGCTGCGCTCGATATGTGGCGGAGTAAGGAGCTGCGGCCCTGCATAGGAGCCCGAGCCAGAAAGGAAGACCACACACGGACGCGGGGACCTGCTGGCGAGGACAGGGCAGGAGCTTCGAGCAGAGGCGCCTCAAGTATGTCGGGCATCTGGTGCGATACCCCCGAGCCAGGTGGTTGCGGATAGCCTTAGCGTTAGCAAAGGGGGGCGAACTAGGTCACAACAGAAGAAGAGGAGCACCGCGCGCAACCTTCAGAAGACAGCTAACCTCAGACCTCAGAGCGAGAGGAGCACGGCGAGCAGATGCACCAGATAAAAGCCTCTGGCCACAGATAGCAAAGCAAAAGCCTGGCCGTCGTCGTTCTACATCAGCAGGAACGCCAGGAGCAGTCGGGAAACCACTAACAATCCAACAACGAGCTAGGCTAGCGGGTAGAATTTTCCAGGAAAGCCTTAGCTTAGGCAGTGGCAGACTGCCGATCAGATTCGCACCATCAAAAAGCAGGGAAGTAATTGGTCATGCCCGACGCGTGTAGCCGACGCGTGTTGACTCTCCTCGTAGAAGAGGGATGGACGCAGGGGCGCATCAATGGCTGACAATGCTGTTTGCTCACTCTCTGAATCTTAAACTTCACGAAAATTCAACGAGCGACAAGGACAAGACTACCCCCCGTGACTGTGGTTCACTTAGAATTTAAAGACTCATCACTTGCGCCAGTGACTTTGAATACAAATAAAGACCCTACAAGACTGAGATACTGCGCGCAGGCCTTGGAAGCCTCTTTGCAGACTGGGGTGAATCATCTGCGTGTTGGTGTTTCTGCAGCGAAGAGAAGACCAGCGACTTTTGATCATGTTACAATTTCGCTGGAGCGGATAGAGAAGGGACAGAGGCTGATCTGGAAATATCTTTGAATGACGCTTTGTGCTTTATGTTTATTCCCATGTGAGAAATTCTAACAGTATGAAAGAAAAAAGTGCACTCACACTCAAAAAAATTAGCTATTTTCCTACTTAAATCCTACCCAATTTCTTGAGTGTGAGTGCACTTTTTCGTTTCATAAACGGAGCACTTTATAGCACGCATGGTGCATGGAGTAGCATGGAGTGCATGGAGCGCAGAGAGTTAAGGGGCGCAAGAAGCTCCCCCTTTAGCTCCACGCTACTCCATGTGATCCATGCACTCCATGCCATGCGAGCTTTGAAACCGTATAAATTGCTCGGTTCTAAGTACTTGAAGAGCAAGGGAGTTCTTCCGTGGACTGTTGAGTCGCAATAAGGTTGGGGGTTCTCTGCATAGAACAATAAGGTCTGTTGAGGACGCACGTGCAGCTCCTGAGGTCAGGACCACGAGAGAAGCAACTAAGACCAAAACCAAAAGTAGGTTAGGATCTAAGGTACAAAATTGAAAAGATGCCGCAACTCGTGTGTTGTCTCGTGCACAGCAGCATGTGTAGCAACGCTGGTATCTCTCTTGCTCGTTGCTTCTTTCGATTTGCCGTTTGCTTGCTCCCGTTATCGCAGTTTTTAGGACTGCAGTCGGGAATCTTTGTGGATAGTCGCCTGCGTTTGCGTGCGCGCGGCCCGGATGATGCCGACGATTCGACGTCGTTCCTCCACAGTCATCGTCAAGCACCCTTTGTTTCTGGCTCACTTGGCGCGGGGACCCTACGCTTATCGGAGGCAGCGACGAGCAGCGCCGAGGGCGGACCCAGTCAATTGTATCTAGCAGCCTCTCAGCCAACCCAAAGCATTGTAAGTCCGACTGGAAGAGCACCGGATGCGAGCGTCGGATCTCTCCCTAAGGCATCGAGTAAATATTTGCCAAACTGGTCGTTGTAAATATTCGCTTCGAGGATCTTGTCTTCAATCAACAATCCAAATATCCTTCGGCACTTACGTGGAAGTTCCTATAGCGCATGTTCTTCTAATCTACAGTCTTCCAACATTCGAGTAAGAGCGCTGCGACAGAATCCCCGTGCTTCCAGCCCCGTAAGACCTGCCACACGCGCAGTTATGCCTGTCCATGCAGCTTCTGGAGAAGGACCAGGGATATCTACACGTGCTGGAAACTGGCACATCGCTTCGACTCGTAATGCAGGTCACGAGGTTTATTCAAGTGCCGAAGCTCTGGCAGCTGGAGCAGGAGATTTATTGACAACATCACAAAATCGTGATCCTATTTCAAAGCTCGCTTGTTGGGATCTTTCATTTGACTTGTCCCGATATTGGGTCATGCATACATAGCAGAAGAAGAAAGCTGTTGTGTACACGTATGCGTGAAAGTAGCTTTTTCTTGTTTTGATGCTCCTTGTTCGGTCATTCATATTCCCCTCGATTCAATTCTTTCCCTTATTCTTATCCGTAGAGTATCTTTCTCTCCTTCATTCCTTGGTACGCTCGTGTATGTTCCAGATGAGAGGAGAGTAGAAGTGGGCCAATCTTCCTCATCGAGTGGTGATGAAGCACCGACACGAAGTTGCAGTGTTTAAGGCTCACTTACTTTGGCAAACTGCAGCTTTGTATTACCCAGGGTGAAGATACTTGTTCTAGCACATCCACTCAGAAATTCATTCTGGAGTGGGCATCCTGATCCTTCTTGCACATTCTTTTATGGGCAAGGCTAGGACGATTGTCTATATAGGAAGATACTGCAATGGGCAGCGCTAAATCGTGCGGGCCTCAATCTGTGGAACGCGTCTGACTGGAGCGAAAGCAGGAATGTGCGCACTATCAGCGGTCGCTCTGTGGATCGCGACGCTGTCCGGGGCCTTCATGGTGGGAACTCAATTCGACTTGTCCCAGAGGGGTGAAACTGAAGTAGAAAAACGTGGCCGTGAGGATCGAGCGTTAAGGCTTCTACTCCTCAGACCCGGCAAGTGCATGTTTTAGACTCCTTGATGAACAACGAACATCGAGTTTGAAGCTCTGCTTATCATTTTTTTCCGTTCTTCTCGAAAACACAAAGCAGCATTCTGAACTTGGACTCACCCACTAAATTCTGAAAAGGCAAATTATTAGGCACCATGGATGATGAAAACTCTAATACAGCGAGTGAAAGATATCGGTTGGGTACTTCCCGCGATGGGGCCGCGGCCGGAGAAGGAAATTGGTGGAGCGAAAAAGCCAAGCGAGTTTCTGGGTACGCAAAGTATGGAGTGATGTGAGTCAGTTTAGCTAACTTTGAAAATTATTATAAATATATACGAAGGTGCAATTCATAGTCACGCATTGAATCATGTAACAGAGTATCATAAGACTCAGGATTGAAAATCACTGAACGCCTATTCTTGTCCAGGTGTCCCGAGCCGCTATCAGCTTGCTCTCGACTGCTCAGGCTCGAGAGAAAAATTTCTGGAGTGTTTTCATGAATTCACTGGAGACGATCCGACTCACGGGTTCGTTGATTTCTTATGGATAATCTTTTCGACTCGATTGTGAAAGGAATGGGACGATTTGTTGATTTGAATCGATCGGCATCATCATTGATTTGAATCAATTGTTAAGATTTGGAGTAGTATGTGCTAGTAGCTTCTTCATTTACTGCGGAAGGCTGGAATCGTCGAGAGTCGTTGATCAAAACGATCCCACCGCGTCCAGGGCGTCAGGCTAATCGCATCCAGATAGAATTTGCCACGGGACCACCGACTCCAAAAGGGCGACCTGCTATTCGGTGTCCATACCTTATTATAGAGTAGTTTATAGACGCTGGGCGGCCCTTATTATAGAGTAGTTTATAGACGCTGGGCACGCTGGGCTACGCTGGGTGGCTGGGCGGCCTCGCTGGGCACGCTGGGCGGCAACGCGGGGCACGCTGGGCGGCAACGCTGGGCGGGCGCTTGGATAGCGCTGAGCGGACTTGAGGGCCACACGTTGGGCATGCCGAGCCTGCGCGGCCGATGGATTTACTTGCGCCGCGGGGACGCGGTGCAGCGCGTCCCGCGAGGACAAACAAAGGCGGCGCGCCGCCCTCAAGATTCAGGGCAGCGCTGGCGCAGTGCTGCGCCAGTTTGCGCAGCAGCGGGCTGCGCGGCGCCTGCTCGGTTCAGGCTTGCACTCCGTCGCGCTGCACTGCGCTGCTCGATGCGTGCAATACTGCGCCGCTCTTGTGCACAACGGTAAACTCGCCAGCGTCGTTGGCCTTGGCCTACGCTAGACTAGCACTGCTGGTGGGGTTCTCAAGCGGGCGCCCGAAGGGCGCCCCCCAATTGGAGACGCCCAGCGTGACGCTGGGCGCAGAATTCGGGAGATCTGGCACATTTGGGTCGCCCAGCGACCCAGTGTGCCCAGCGTGCCCAGCCCAGCCATGTTGGGAACCCTTATAAACTGTTCTATTATTAATTTGTTTAGAGGAGTTTGAAAATAGTTGCCAGTAAAATTATCGTTGCAAGAAATACACACTACGAATACCAACGCCACGTCGGAGCTTATGAAAAAGTGCTACTCGTTGGGTTTAGAGTAAGAAAATGTATTCCAAGAACACCTGGATGCTTAAGGATGAAGCCTTCCAGATATTACTCCACTGGCAGGCTTGTCCCTGTTGTTGTGGTGGTGGTATTACCGAGTAACATCCACAACCTGGACGCTGTTCGTATCCTTATGGTGGTCCTGTACTGAATGACGGCCCACAATCATCATCGTGCGTCACCATCTTAAGGGGATCCCTATGAGCATAAGGACCCCGGTCGCTATGATCATCGTCAGAAGATTCAGGGCCTTGGGCCTGATAGGATTCACATCATTCAGCGAGAGCATTCAGAAGGGGAAAGACGAACACAAGCGGAGAACCAACAGACCAAGAAGGAAGAGCCAAACGCCTCAACTCAGGGAATGCGGAGCACGGGGCGACTTGGTTGGGCCTTGATCTTCATGCGCGGCAATGCGTCAGCCCTAACTGCTTAGGATATGGCTATTGAATATGTACTAGAAGAAAGCTATGTATTATGTTGAGTCCTTTTATCTTTGAATCATCATTATCATCAAATCATCATCATCATCATCATCATCATCATCGATGTTTCAGACTCGCAACGAAGCAAGAATTCGGATTCGGCAGTCTCTTTGTTGTGGACGTCGAGCGCATGCCTGTTGGTGACGGAACGTGGCCTGCTTACTGGACTACCATTAAAGGAGGGGTCGACGGATGCGGGTGGCCCAGTGGTGGCGAGATCGATATGATGGAACACATTCAGGCACAGTCTTCCTTCATTTACTTCATGTTGCTGTGTTCTCCACGAAGTTTTCACTAAAGCTCAAGTAGCTTCTTCGACGTCGCAAATGAAGATTGCTATGAACATGATATTACAATGAATTATGTGCTTCGCTATATCATGTTAAATGACTCGATGAATATATTAAATTATCCATGTCCATCTTTTTGTTTTACAAACAGGGTTTTGGTATGGAAAACATGGTGTCTACTTTGCATACGGACCCTGGCTGCTGGATGCACGTTCCAGGAATCACGAATGGCGGGAACTGTCAGGGCAACAATGGATGTGGTTTGACCGCGAAGGAGGTCCCGAGCGGGCATCAGTTCAACAAAGAAAATTAAGGCAGAGAAGGCACCTGAAGTAGCTTTCGCTACCTATTTTGCTTTTGATATTTTCGAAGGGCATCAGCATTGTGTTTGCGTGGGGTGCTGGTTTTGGGCATGAAATCAGTCGCCTGATGAATGTAGCCCTCTGCTACACACCCTTCTTTTTTAGAGATAATGAATGCGTCTAAGATTTCGGCGGCATCCATCTCATGAGTATGGATACGAATTCTATTCGCATGTGGTTCTTCAATCGCGCAACAGCTGACCACTTTGACGAAGAAGATATGGGCCTTGGTGCCTTCTGGGAGAAAAAGATGCAGGAATTGCAACCCTACGCGGTACTTCTAGTTTCTGCAATACAAAGTTTGTTATTTTCACAACAGACTACTTTGTCTTTGAGGTTGACTTTGACTCGTTGGAACTGATTTGTTACAATACGAAAACTCTCTTCTGAGTCGGTTTTTACTTAATATCTAGAAGACGTGGTGGTGGGTGAGGCACAAAGTTCAGCCTAATTCATTGCTCACCTGTCACCGCACATTCATCATGACAATGACCATAAACCGATGAAGCGCATAGTCAGAGCAACTAGAGTAAGAGAAGATGTTCTTCGCATTTCTACATCTGTAGTCGCTGCTCTTTCAACCACAAGAAGCTCTTCGTCGTTCGTACATCTTCTTTTCGACATTCCACCCAAAAAATATTCTTCTAGACGTTTCCGTTGGAGAGTAAGTGCCAGGGCGGAACATTTTTCAAGCCGCAGACATTTATCATCGACACGACTTTCTGTGGAGACTGGGCAGGGCAAGCCTTTGCACCTCCAGGTGGCCCCTACGGATTGCCGGGATGCATTCATGTCGTAAAGGAAAGCAACTACTTATGATAATTTGTGATGAAAAGGAAGCAGTGAGAAAGAACTATTACCGCGTTGCTCTTGCTCTTCATAATTTGCGACTGCGAATTAGCATTCATGGACATCTCTTTACTCCGGGAAGCAAACCTGGGATAGAGGGCAGTCGAAGATCAGTGATACCGATAAATTGCTTTAGGCTTCGAGAGATTACACTCGTCTAATGCTAGGAGCGAACTGGGATACCCAAGAACATCCGGAGAGCTCTCGCAAGTTTATCTTTGGAAGTGTGCGCGTTTTCAACCCGGAGGGAAAGGGTGCGGATTGGCAAGTCTGATTTTATTCGAGTCGCAGGTCAAGGTGATACTCATGCAATGTATGTGTAGAAATCACATTTACTGTTGATGTTCAGATTGTTTCATGTCTCAGTCCAACACGACTTACCACGATGCATACTAAGCCATTCGTGCCCCATGAATCATGATGATGATTTGTCATGTCATATTTTTTCAATTTATAACAGTAACAGTTTTGCAGCACCGCATGCTCTACTTTACCAGAGAGAAAGTGAAATACTTTTATGTGCGGCGGCAAATTATGGATTTTTACAATTCTGCGAAATATGAACACAGTCGTGACAACAGACACGATTTCTTGATGAAGTAGTTGCAATCACACAGAAACACAATCTAGCGACTGACTGCTGCTAGTTGCGCAGTAAGATCTAATGATGCCGCTTTTCAGTCTAGATTATCCTTCGACGCACACTTAAAACCCTTTTCAGAGCTAGATTTAGAGCTAAAAGACAGAAGAAAATCATAGACGGCATCTCGCGGAGATAGACATAATCATGTTGTAAGTCGATTTCTAGATAACTACACGACATTGATGTAATTACATATGAATATGTGATCTTCGACCAAGGTCTCATTTTCCGTGTCAGAGTCTTTTTATAGATGTCAAATTGACTTTCGTAACTTGAGAATATAGATGATTGATCAAGAACAGCAATACCGGATCCGGAACGTCTGACAGTGCCACTGAGGACGCCAGCAAGGCTTCACTATCCTGCTTCTTGGTGGTTCGTATTACCACTTGAAGGTGATAGATTATCTTCGCCGAGTGCGGAATCTGCTAGGTGCTTGGGGTTCAGTGAAAGGGCCAAAGACATACACGACGAAGGATGCGCTTACTTTGCACATGATCAATAGGAAATCGTACATGCTTACTAGCATGACTCGTCTGCGTGCTCGGTGGAAATCGGGGTCCAATATAGAAGTGTGGCTGAAGTTGATCTCTACCAATGCCAAGAAGATTGACACGAGTGTGCTCATCGGCTACGACCTCTATGATAGAGTCTCAGGATAGGCGCGAGGTTTACAGTCGCGGATTAATCTCACTGTGCTTACATTCTAGAGTAAACTGTTCTTGACAGGTTGATATTTTTACTTTTTCTATTTTTGTTCTGTTTATGTTGTGATATCAACAAATATCGATTACAATTCTTTTTTGATGCTGTTTCTTCGTCATACCTAAATCGCGTATGGTGTGCCTGTTCCATACAGATCAATACTCACGCATCTAAACCTGAACTATTTGAGAATTTCTTTTTTTGACAAGATGAAGACCACTGCACTATGCATCATTTCGGTAGCTGCTCTGGCAGATGCTGCCGGAATCTCGGAGCCCTCCGGGTCGACCTCTAGCCTTCAGCAGAGGTTTCAGGGTCTCGGCCTTGACCAAGTTGGTGAAAGCCAAACCAATGCAGGCACAATCCTTCATTTGCCCCCTCCTGGAGCTGGAGGCGGAGTCGGAGAGGCATCGCCAACAAGTGAAAGGCGAAAGAGGACTATGCGGCGGACCACCATTGGGGATCTTGAAATGGGTGTCTCATCGGATAGTCTTCGTGGTGCGGTGAGTGCGATCCCCGGTGCGATTGCCGAGGCTAAGGCAACTCTCAGAAAGGATGAAGTAGACGCTTTTGTGCTTGAAGAGGCGGCTACTTTGCTGGACAAGAAGGGCAAGTTTGTCGCGCTGGAATTTTTGCAGTCGTTGATGCGGCGCGCCTTGACTATTGGCATTGCAACGACGCCTAAATTTTTCAGCGTTGCGGACCAATACTTCAGCACCACCACCGCAGATGATCGAGCGCAGCAGCAGTTTACTTCCTGGAGACCCTGGAACGACATTTCCCGGAGCTTCACCGCGCAGAAGCCTATTTGCGAGGAGGAAGAGGACCGCTACCTCGCAGGAAAACTATATGCCAATGCAAAGAGCATTGCGCAAGCTGTGCGTCCGAAAGAACTTCAGAACGATGAGCTAAGCCACAAAATGTGGCAAGCTAGCAGTCTGGCCGCTGCCTCCTGGATCGCAGGCATCTGGGATGCGCAACAGCTCTACAATATTTGGAGTGTTGACAACGAAGGTGATGCACTTACGAGTGAAAAGAGAGAAATTGAAAGTCAAATTCCTTTCCATATATTCTAGACATTGACTAAAAGTATAGAATGTGTCACTTTTTCGTTCTGCATCAGTTGTTTTTACTGGAGAGAGATTTACCGGAAAACTATGTTGACCACAAGGATCAGGGTCAGTGCAACGTACAAATTCTTGAAATAGTCTCAGACTCAGACGAATAATTTTTTACAGCTTTAAGCCGAAGAAAATTGCTGCGGAAAGTGTGGATCAGCAAGAAGCAGATGATGAAGAAGACGTGCTTGGAGAACAGCAGCCTAGTTTTTTTGGTTCACGGACCGCGGCTTCACCGATGGATCTCGAGAGCGAAGAGCAGCTGGAGGGCGACAAAAAGGTGCCGCCACCGGCTGATGTTGTAGCGGTGAAGCTATTCTCTGCTCAGTCGAGCAAGAAAGCACGTAACGAGCGGTTGCGTGAGGACGAGATCACAACTATTTCGGCGGGCGTATCTTGCGACGCACAAATGATCACGCGAAACGGGCCGATTCAGAACGCATTCGTCGAAACCGTCAATCCGCGAACTCCAATAGCATACTTCCGAAAGGGACTACTGGCACTTCCACAAAGTCAGGAACGGCAGGTTCTTTCATCAACGTCAGCAGCACATCCTCATCGTGATCCTCAGCAGGGAAGCGAAATTATCTCCCAGATGGCGCCAGAAGAAGGTGAATTTGCGCAATCCCTTCGGGAAAGCGAGGGATCGATACGTGTTGATCAACAAGGTCACCAGACCTGGAACCTGCAGAAAACAATGCCGTATTTTGATTATCTGGTGAAGACCTTGACCGACGCAGCAGCAAAAAAATATCAGACTACTACAAGTGGAAGTGGTAGCTCTTGCGTCTCCTGCCACGCGGCAGCCGTCAGCTTTATGCAGCGTCCGAAACGAAAGGCCAACCTATTGACCGAGGGCTTGCCTGTGCTCTCTCCCGCCTTTCCGCCAGCGGCGCTGAATATGCCCGGCTTTCACCAGGCTCTATCCTTGTCGTCGGACCACCTTCCCACGCTGGCGCACCGGGGGACAACGGTCGATCTCCCCGACGCTTTGGGTGGCGAAGAAGCGCCGTTGCACGTTTTTTCGTGGAACGTCTTCGGCGGGGGAATTTCCATGCTTGCTGGGCCCTCGATCGAGTATAAGAAAACCGATGAGGCAGAGCCGGCGATCAAGTATAATGTGCAGCCACTGCTTGCCGAAGGAACCTGGCAAGTCGTGCTGAGGGAAAAGGAAAAGTGGCTGGAGGACAACCCCATGGGTATCAGCGTTGTTTTGATCCAGGAAGACGTGTACACTGGAAAGCGCACCGAGGTTTACTCACGTCCTGTGTCCGGACAGGACGCGGACGCCGGACTCAAGTGCCACACGGACGTGAAACCTCTAGAGGCATACTGGACACGGCTCTTAACGGATCCGAAGCACGGGTTCGAATACAAGCTCGCCTCCGATCCGGAGAAAAGTTTCCATCTAGGCATGCCAGGAAGCGTCCACGGCGACTCCATGGATGTGACGGACGGCTTGCGCGACCACAAGATCGACCCGGCTGTGAAGGGTTACCGCGGTCAAACGGTTTTCAGCGATGTTGTGTCTCCTGGTGGCGTCGACATGTCTTCGAAACTAGAGGCTGACCGCCACGTGATCTTGGGCAACACCGTGTACGTCAAATTTGGAAAGGGGCTGATCGATCTCTGCGGTCCGAATGGCCTGGAAGTCGCTGAAGACGGATGGAATGCCAACCTGGCGCAGTATAACAATGCGAAGAGGATTCCGCGTCGCAGTGCCGGATTCGGAACCGTAAAGTGCAAGGGGCATCCCATCATCACGCTGGGCAGCGGCCACCTGTCAGGAGGAAGGTTCGACGATCCTGAGGTTCTTGAGCAGGTGCTCAGCGGTGACTACGAGCGCTCGGAGATGTGGAAGGAGGGCAAAACTCCGCGCTCGGCGACCGCCCGTTGTGGTTCGCGAACTCCGGAGGGCGCTGGCGATGATTTGGCCATGGGGATGAGGGCCACTGGCTCTGCGTCGTCTACGACAGGAACGAAACAAGGCAGGTACCTGGAGCCGACACGACCGACCGGCTTTGCTGGCATGGGAGGCACTACCCCGGCCTCTTGTTCTGAGAGTCTACTGTGTGCGATGGGTAGCTGCAAGTCGCCTGCGCGACCCGGGCGTCAGCTTTCGTGGCGTGGCGCAGGCACACTTGTGCGCGCACAGGTCCGTGCGTTTTTGGAGGCGATGTTTCGAAACGGCAAGACCAAAGCGATGATTCTGGGTCTGGATCTCAACAGCAAGCCAGATATGCCAGTGCTTCATAAGGTCCATCTCTAGGCCTCGCAGTACGTGGTTTTACTTACTTCTTACTCGTTCTAGCCAGTCATTCTCTTTTGGTATTCATCTTCGTTTTGTGTACAGCTTGGAGAACCAAAATCAAACTGCAAGTTGGAGAATCTATCACTTACTTACAGTCTGCTGGTTCCAGAAAGGTAAGAAAAGAAGCACTGATAGAAGAACCTTGCTCGCGTAACGATAATGAGTCCTTACTTTTTCTTTTTCCACCAAGAGGACGCACTCATCCATCACTGTTGATGATGATGATTCTACATCGCATTACAACAATCTCTCAAGGTGCTCACAAAATACGTGATTGCGGAGCAAATGAAACCACTTTGGGCTCGAATGCTTGAGGAAGATGACGATTTTGGTACGCATGTGGATCATGATTTTGCCATTAAGCAGCAGTTGCAAATTGATATGCCAGGATGTGGTTCTCATGTTGACGAGTTTGCCGTCATGCAGAGCTTTCAGGTGCCTCCACCAAGTGCGGCAACAGAAAAAGACATTGCTACTCCTTCCAATGCGACAACAGAAGACAGAAATGCTCTTGAAAATGCGCCCGCCGTTGTTAAGATGTAGGAGGTGACGCTGTGATATTGATGACACTCTTAGAGTCGGGGGTCAGGAATGAGAATGCCACCTTGTTTACGAAGCGTAGTGTTTAGGTTCTCCGCTCGGCGTCGAGCGTGTGCGTTTCCGGCTTTTCATGAATCATCAAAGACGAAACCGGGCTGAAAGAACGGAGTTGCCAACAAGCGGCTTCATTACCGAGCACACTGAGTATGCGGTCACAATGAGATCACTAGATATTTTCTTTTGCAAATGCAATATAATGCGTCGAATGAGATTTGATGTAGACGATATTATATATAAACAACACAACAAACTTTGCTGTTAGCCGGAATAGCAAGCTCTTTGGACTTCCCCGCCGAGACGGGGCAGGCGATCGGCCGCCGGCAGTGCCGCACGGAGGCAGCGAGGGCGCTCCGCGTAGCCAAGTCGCGCCAGATAAGCGGAGCAGCGCGCACAGGGAGCAAGACGGCCAAGACCGTGGCAGACGCAGGCAGCTGCGGCAGGGACCTCTCGCGAGGCGTAGCATGCTCGCCCCGCGGGAAGACGAGCGGCGACGCTACGCTTTCAGGCTTGGGACGCTTGGCGAGCGGAGTCACCGGGGAGGGCGTTGGCTGCGTGCCCGTTTTGCCCTGGCCTTGCGGCAAGCACGCAAAGCCTACTAGAGTGCCCCGGGCTCCAGGCACTAGTAGAGACCCACGGGGCTCCGGCGAATGTTGGGGCGGCTGCGTCGAACCTGAGGCAGCTCATCCCATACCTGCGCGACTTGGCGACCAACTTCGTTGGTGCGTTCTTGCGAGCGCAGCCGCCACGCCTCTAGTGAAGACAAGGGGAAAAGTGTAGCGGCCGCTGTGGTAAACCCATCGCTGCCCGCTACGATAGGACGGGGGCTGAGGTAGGTGGTGGCGAGCGAAGAACGAGCAAGGAGGAAACAAGAAAGTTAGCACGCGAAGACAAAGAGAACGAAGGCAAAACGAGAACGCGAAGAACAGAGCACGCAGGTCGTAAAAACGTCAACCAAACCCGGCCGCGCCTCACCGCCAGGCCTTGCCTACGCACAGTCGCCGCCGCCTGTACACCTCGCCTGACATGCCATAAATGCTGGCGGAGACTGTGACGACTAGCCATACCATAGTCGATCGCAAAGACGGCCTTAGCATAACACACACAGAGCACAAAGAAATCCGGCGGGATCGTACGCGTCGCCCGGAGCGCATCCAGACAAACAAACAGACCAACTTTGCTGCTGCCAGATGAAGCCGAAGAAGACTCTTTGTCCTCAGAACGGGTTGCGTTCATTGTAGCTAGTCGGTCCCTGACCCTGACGATGAATTTCTTCTAAAAATATTTATAATTTTTTAACCAGATGATATGAGGAAGATGGTTGCAAATGATACGTGGTTGCAAATGCTACGTCATGTTTTTGAAAAGTGATATTAGTACTTATAGGCCTACCAATTAGTCTGAATTTCTTAAGAGCGTCCCCTAAGGAGCCGCCTGAAGGAGGCTCCCTTGAGGTAACGAAAATCTTTAAGGATTTTCTATTCTAAAAAGCTATAATAGCTTTTCTTTAAAGGACAAAAAAAACTCTTAAAGAGCTCCATTAAAGCGGCTGCGTTTGTTATAAGCTTGGGCGAATAGTAAGACCTTCCTTACAGGCCCTCCCTTAAGGGCCCTTCCCTCCCTTAAGGGCCCTCCCTTCCCTTGAGGGCCCTTCCCTCCCTTAAGGGCCCCGCGCCCTAGCTAACTTGCTGGCTTACCGCTTGCACGTACGTAGCTAGCTGCCTAGGTTCGCCGTAGCTAGCCTGCTAGGTGCTTAGCCATGGCTAGCCTGCTAAGTGCTTAGCCAAAGCTAGCCTGCTAAGAAGTGCGCAGCCAAAGCTAGCCTGCTAACTGCTACTTGGCGATAGCGAGCTAGTCTGCTAGCAAGCTTACCCCTTGCCCGTAGGAAGCCGGCTAGAAGCTTCGTCATACATAGCGAGTCCGCTAGCTGCTTGCGTCCATAGTTAGGTAGCGGATTGGCCATAGCTAGCTTGCTAGCTGCTCAGCAGGCAGCCTAATCTGCTAGCTGCTCAGCAGGCATAGCTAGCTTGCTGGCTGCTTTTTAGGCATACCTAGCCTGTTAGCTCCTGCGCCGTCGCTGCCGAGCTCACCACCCCGCTAGCTGCTCGCCCTTATCTAGCTGGCTGGCTAGGCAAGCTATTTCCTTGCCCATAGCAAGCTTGCTAGCTGCTTGGCGAAATCTAGCTCAACAGCTGCTTCGCCATCGCCAGTCTTCTAACTTTGCCGCGTCCCGCGAGCCTGCTAGCTAGCTTGGCCATGGCCGCCGTGCTCTTATCTGTCTAGTTGCTGCCGTCCTGCTATGCCCCGCGCAGCGTGCCTTTGATGGGCCCGCTTTCTGGGCATGTATTCATACGCGAGCCACGTGACTGACATAGAGCGTAGTATTCACGATGTAGTCACGATGTAGTCACTCCGACTTGATGATTTATAGAGCAGGTCAAATTTTTCATATGGAGTAACACTATGCCAAAAGCGAACATAGAAAAGTGAAAAAAGCGCATTTTTGTACATTATTCTTCTCAGAATGAAAATCTTCCATTTTGAGACGAATACTGCCCAAGTGATCCCGGGACTCTATGTACGTTTTTTGGCTAAAAAACCCCTTTTCTATGTTCGCTTTTGGCATAGTGTTACTCCATAACTTTTCAGAAGATGTTTAAGAAAAAGAAGTGTGGAACTAGTTTGTTTTCTTCCCTCGTCCATGTACCCTTCCTGTAGGTACGATAAGCCTGAGGACGCGTTGCAACAGCCGGAAGCATGTCCTCTTTTTTAGAAGCAATAAATCGATTGATATGAGTGATACAACAACAGCAAAAGGGCTTAAATGAATGACATTAGATAGATGAACCTGTTGTCGAGAATATTGTATGGATTGTTTTTTGACTTTCTTGAAACTAATCTTCATTACCGTATTCTGCCTCGACATAAACTCTATAAACCCTCTTTTCTTTGCATATATCGAAGCCATCACTGCTTCCTTGTCACTTTTTTTTCACATTATTTAGCTGAAGATAGATTCTTCTTAATTCACTGTTGCTCTCGTCGGGCAAGAAGTGAGTCGATGCAACTACAAGTCGAAGCGCATGGGCTAGTCTTTGATGAGTCCAATGCCTAGCCATGTGCGTTCAGCGACATTTTAACTCCACTTTTGTGGACAACTCCATGTACCAGTACTACTTAGTTGTTGGCAATCCGAACCCATTCGAGATAGAAGCTCGCCTCTGCTAGTAGTTTGGTTTGAAAATGGAATCAATTTATTTGAATCCTCCACATCGACATTCGCTCATCAAGGTGTATCCTTGAATCTGTGTACATATCTCTATATATGTACCAGGGAGGGAGGCCCCCTCCCCCCCCCCTGTGGATGGATCTTTGGTGGACCACGCCAGAGGGGTCCAGCCTTGCCACCTTATTGGCCAGGCCTGTCGAGGGGCTGCCGGGCAGGAAGGCCTCAAAGCGCCCACTTCTGACCCCTTCCCGCTTCTTGCCTGTACCCTACAGACCTGGCAAAGGCAGGGCCCCGCTGGCTTGTTGCATGTACCCGACAGACCTGGCAAAGGCCGGGCCCCGCTGCCTTGTTGCATGTATCCACCGACCCGGCAAAGGGGGCAAAGGCAGGGCCCCGCTGCCTTGTTGCGTGTACCCTACAGACCTGGCAAAGGGGGCAAAGGCAGGGCCCCGCTGCCTTGTTGCGTGTACCCTACAGACCTGGCAAAGGTGGCAAAGTCCGGGCCCCGCCCCCTTGGCGTAGGGTTGGGCACACGCAACACGACAAGAGGGCCCAGCCTTTGCCACCTTTGCCAGGTCTGTAGCGTACATGCAAGAAGCGGGAAGGGGTCAGAAGTGGGCGCTTTGAGGCCTTCCCCCCCGGCAGCCCCTCGAAAAGAGGGGCCGGGGCGGGGAGGCCCCCCCCCTTCAAAAAGTTAGATCGGGGGGGGGGCCTCCCGCCCGGAGCCCTGGAACATATATAAATATTGGCGAAAAGTCAGCCAAGCACTGCACAAAAACGGCCAATATTGCTCCCCATACCGTCGCGGGAGTGCTCTGCTTCGCGTTGTCTCCCCCTTGTCTCTTTTCTGGTCCGCCTCTCCCTTGTTTTCATTTTCTGTGTTTCCCCGCTCCCCTCCAGAATCCACCACACCAGGCGGCGAGTGTGTGCCGGTGGATTCTGGAGGGGCGCGGGGATTCTCATCATTCCGGAGGTTTTTGCTGGCAACTGCGGGAAGGTTTTCGCTGAGGGAGCAGAATAGGCGGCGAGTGTTCCTGGGATTCTTATCATGCCCGGCGAGATAGAACCTCGTCCGGGTTTTTGCAGTGCTTGGCTGACTTGTTCCCATTGTATTCACGACGACGACAGACACGCGCATGCCTATGCGTCCACTTTGTTGGATGAAGAAGATCGGCTTGGAGTCGACTGCTACTGAATGTACCCGGTGATGAAAAGTAGGCACCTAGTTTTAGGTAGATGATGGAGCTTATATATGAAATTAAGATCGCAGCAGTAATGAAACTTGTTTTCTGGTGCCTTCACAGTTGTGTGTCCTGTTGTAGTCAGAAGACTGTGGGGGCAAGCTGTGACTTCTGAAGATCCGTGCATCTTGGTGATCCAAGTGAGGTAGTCGGTCATTCAATGTCAACGAGGACCACGGACAACGACGAAGGCCTGCATACTGCGACTCACAGTGGTAGCCAGTGAAATATCAATTTTTCTATTTCCCATCTTTAACAGATGAGAATAAACAAGGAATCTCCGCCGGGATGTATCTTCTTGAGTCCTGGGGACTAGTGCAAAGGCTTATGTATCACGAATACCATTACTCTCCATGGATGAGCATGATGTTGGTTGCTTACCGTGTTTGTGTCCAGAAAGCAGCAGACATCGTTGTAAAAGGTGAGATTGAGAAAGTTCTTCGGTCCTATTGATTCGATTGCTTTTCGGTTGGAAGCATGATTGGCTAGTCAGAGCAAGAAAGCCTAACAGCATGACTCTGTGCATCAAGGGACATCTTACAACTTCCGGAACTGTAGTGTTGTACAGCAAGTCGGAGGACGCCAGAGTGAAAAAGAAGAAACAAATGTGTTATGTTTTTTATGTATCGGCTTCGGGTACGCTCGTACAATTATCTTTATCAAGAACGCTGCGAACGGAAGTTCTGAAAGAAAATGAAAACCTGAAGCGGAAGACATGAGTGTGTGGCGCGTCATAGGCCATGAATGTGGTCGAATAGCGACTCCTTTTTCTCCACTTGATATACAAACTCCGCATTAGCAGCAAGCTTTTGGAAGCTTTCATTTTTTCTTCGTCTCGCTATGGTAATGCTAATGCCAAGCAAGAATCATGTCTTTTGTATCTGTAGGTGGAGGTAGTCTCTCCTTTTTTGATGGCTCTTCCAGCCCGTGGTTCATCGTCTTCGCCGTATTTCTTTACTTCGTGTATGCGCCATTGTCTTCTCAAAGGGTATCAACTATCAAAGGATGAACTTTGTTGTCGCGGACGCTGTCTGAAGTGGGATCATGTGTGCGTTTCCCCTCTCTCCCGCGCTCAAAGTCCTCGTGGACGTGGCTTCACTACGACCCCCGCAAATGATTATGTTGTTGGGAAAAAAAAGTCCAATTTGAGAATCAAAGACCTCGCAGCTGCTAGTGGTGCACAAGAAACGACGAAGCTTGACGGAGCATTGTTCTCTCCTGCGAATCCGACTTGAGCGGCGGAGACAGTCTTCGGAGGGTACACAACAAGTCACGGAACAAGCAACAGTGCCAGAGATGGCCGAAGTTTTTCTGTCGCGGCATCCTCTGCCTGGACGCAATGGCTTCGTGGCATTCGACTTTCCCGACCAGGAAAGTGGACAGCCTGGGTTGGCGCGAAAGAAGAGTATCCTCTCACTGTGCGGCCAGGCGAGATGCGCATGCCCGCAGGCGATAGAAACACACAGATTCTCTACGGAAAGCGCGGTAGAGAATGGTCGAATTTGCCTACAGCCGCTGCAATCAACTACCAGCGGCGACCTAGCTCCTCTGAACTTCGACATGCGGTGGACCTAGATGATGCGGCGCCGGTACCGGCGGTGAACTACCATAAGCTTTATTTTGGTAAAAAGCTACGGATTCGAAACGAAAGAACTACGTCGTCATCAGGCGCTAGAGTACAATACAACACTTCGTCTTCTCATGATAGACAAGAACACGCTCAGGACATAGACATCAAGCAGACCACAGCTGAGCGTCAGAACCCAAATGAAGAGGGCCTCAGAAACGCGGTGGATTTTGGCAACTTCCGTATTGACGCAGGTTCCATAGAGTTCGACACGCAGGCTGATGCGGTGGCCTTCGCGCAAAGGAGGCTTTGTCATTGGGTCCACGCGAAGAAGACTGGAAGCATAGACATCTGCACAGCTCAAGAGTGGGATGTCGTCACGAGTTTCATCAAAGAACAAGGGCATTGGCGAGATTGCACTGAGCTATCCCGAATGTGGCAAACGAAAATATCGCCTGCTGCAGGTGAGAAACAGAAAGCGCACAGTGCTTCTTCATTAGCGCACAAGAAGTGTGCGACGCCTGGTGGTGTAGAACCGAGAAAGCGACTTGAAATGCAAGCAACAGTGAGTAGAGGACCCATGGAAGAAGATGAAGAGCACGAAAATGGAGGTGCGAGTCGTCGTCCACACGACGAGATGAGGAAGGCGAATATGTACATGGACGTCGGTGGGAATCTTGGCGCGTGCGTCTTCGACATGCTGACCGAAATTCGGGCACTAGATGGGGTCCTAGCTTTTGAGTTTCACTCGGTAAATCTGTTCCGCATGACATCGACTCTGCCTCTGTTGCGTATGCCTTACGAATTACGACGAAAAGTTATGGTCTTTGCAGTCGGGATGGGTCGGACTGGCGGCGTCCGTCTAAGACTGCACTCGGAACCAGGTAACCTGGGAAATTCCGTGGTGCAAGGATCCGCGAACCATGTGCCTGTGGAACAGGAGATTGCCGCTCACGAGAGTTTTTTCATCAAATCGCTTGACAGTTTTTGATGAGGACATCGCAACTACATAGGATGCCCCTGGGCAAGTTTTTCGTGGGGCTTCTTCCGGTACACAAATTACGCCTCCTGGGAAGAAGAGTCCTCTTTCTGCTTCGTCAGAAGCGATCGGCTCTAAGAGTATCGCGGCCAAGCGCGAGGTGCAGCTAATGAAGGTCGACATTCAAGGATCGGAGTGCAACATGCTGGAGGGTTACTCAACTTCGAAGAAAATGAAGGGTCTACTGAGATGGCTGCAGACTTACTGATGGCACAAGGCTGTACGGTGGAACGATATTCGCGCCTATTGAGTGGCGCGGGTTCTGTGGGATAGACAAGCCTTGGAGGCCTTTGTCAGACCTTCTGCTGCTCCAGGGGGAATGCACGGCTGATGCTCGCTTCGGGAAGGGGAAGCTGTTGCAAACAGCACTAAACACGCAGTTTCCTTGTTTGTGCGCTGCGGCGACATCATCGACGACTTGAACTGACCCTAACGAAGTCGTTGGTGCATGAAACTCCTGCCACGAAGAGCACCCGTGTGGCGGAAAGTCTCATCGACAGTTCGCTGTCTACGTTGTGCGTGTCCAGAATGCAAAAAAACGCCGTGGTAGGTAAAGGGTGAGAGCGACAATTTTATTCTGTTGCATTTGACTGCGACTGCCTTTCGGTTTGAAGCGCGAGTGGCTAGTGATCGCGGGAAGATCTAATATATGACAGGAATCAGTATGTCGAATCACAAGTAAAACATCCGAGACTAGAGCTTTGCACAGAACACAAGGACAGCCTAGGAAGAGACCAGAGTGAAAGAGATGAAGATCTTTAAGCCATCGGTTACGCGGGCTTACTATTCACAGGGGCCTCTGAAAGAAAACCTGAACCTGGAGCGGAAGCAATAAGTGTTTGTCGTTTGAATACAAATGAGGATGCATTTTCACTGCAGCAACTTCTTTTCATTGTACCCCTGCTCGAACGAATTAGCAGCTAGAAGGCTGCCGCTGCGTCTACTTCCTCTGCGCGTAGATATACTTTTGCTGGATAAGAACATGCACATTGCATAGTCAAGGCAACTAAGAAGCATGTCTTATTTTGTATCTTCAGATAGAGCCTTCTCTTCTACCTGCGAAACAGAAACCTCTCCATCTCCGCGCCGGCGCCGGCAGCTCACGACCAGGGGTCCCGCCACTTCAGCTCTCGGGGGGTGCAATTCCTCGCTCTGCCTCTGCCTCGATCTCTCGCAGTCCCTGGGTCGTCCTTCTCGCTGTTTCTCTACATTGTATGCGTGCCATGGACGTGTCTAAAGGTACCAAAGGATGCGTTTTTCTGTGCCGGCCGTTGTCTGAAATGGAATTTTGTGTGTGCTTTCCCTGTGCTTCGCGCTAATAATCGTCGGGGTAGCACCACGACCACCGAATAAACTGATCATGATTATAAAGCATTATTGTTTTCTCCTGCGACCTCGAAAACGACCCGACCAGCGGAGGGCGATGTAACAAGTCGTGGACGAATAACGAGCAGTGCCACACATGATGGAAATTTCTCGCCCGACGCGGGATCGCTCTCTGCTGCTTGGACGCAATGGCTCCGTGGTGTGACTTCATCGGTCGGGGAACTGGACGGCGTGGTTTGGTGCGACAGAAAAGTTTCCTATCTGTATCATTCTACGTCCATCACGGAAGGTCCGCATGCCCGCAGGCGATAAAAACACAAAGCATCTACACGGACAGCACGGTAGAGACTGGTCGAAGCAGCTGCCTATAGCCGTAGCGATCAACTACCAGCGGCGACCTAGCTCATCAGAACTTCGATGGGCGGCGGATCTCGAAGATTCGGCGCCGGTGCCAATGGTGAATCACCAGGTGCTTTACCTCGGTAAAAAGCTAAAGATTCGAAACCAGAGAACTGCGTCGAGGATAGCTGCAGACACCGACACGAGAAGCACAGTTTCACATCATGCGAGTAGAACAAATGAGAAGTATGTTAATTCGCCGTCAACGAGAACGTCATCTTCTGCTGCATCAGAAGGGTCAAGAATTGTAGAAGTCCCATCAATTTGTCATCTTCCAGTAGACAAGATGAAGAACATGCTATCGAGGACATCAAAGACAAAGCTGATGCTGCGCGTTAAAACCCCATTGAAAATGGCCTCGGAAACATCGCTGCTTTTGGCAACTTTCGTCTTCACAAACATTCCATAGAGTTCGAGACGCGGGCTGACGCGGTAGCATTTGCCCAGACGCGGCTGTGTCATTGGGTCCACGCGAAGAGGACTGGAAAGTCGACATGTGCACATCGCCAGAATGGGGTGTGGTCTCGGCTTTCATCAAAGAACACGGCTATTGGAGTGACTGTCCTGAATTATCCGAAGCGTGGAAGACAAGAATATTCTCTGCTGATAATAAAGCAAGAGTGGGCCGTCGTCGTCGTCGTCGTCATACGGAAGACGAGATGCAGCCGCGGACGGCGAAAGTGTACATGGGCGTCGGTGGTAATCTTGGCGAGTGCGTTGCCCACATGCTCACCGCAATTGCGGAATTAGAGGGGGTGCTCGAATTTGAACCTCATCCGGTAAACCTGTTCCGCATGACGTCGACAGTGCTACGCATGCCTTACGAATTTCGACGAAAAGTTGTGGTCTTTCCAGTCGGAATGGGTCGGACCGCTAATGTCCGTTCTCGCATCGACTAACGAGGGAAATGGCGCGGTGGTAAATTACGACGACGAGGATGACGACGAGAGGCTAGAGAAACAGTGCAGTGAAACTGATGACGTGTGTATCTTCATCGAATCGTTGGACAGTATTTTTGCGGACAATGCAACATCGGATGAGGGGGCTCGGGCGCTTGTCCGTGGGACTTCTACTCATGGTACAGTATTTCTATGAAGTTCCTCGGAAATGAAATTGGGAGTGCCCTGTCCTCGTCAAATGTACCAGAATATAAGAAAGTCTCTGCACAGAATACGTAGGTTTTTTTACGCTCCTTCAAACACGCTACTCTTACGATGCTACGCGCTGCTGTTCTTTCAGGTGCGATGATCGATCCGAGGAGGATCACTGGCCCGCGTGAGGTCCACCTCATGAAGGTCGACATCCAAGGTTCCGAGTGCAATATGCTAGCGGGTTTTTCAACTTCCACCAGATTGAAGGGCCTGAGTGTGCAGTGGCTCAAGATTAAGGTGAAGGAAGACATGCTGGAGAACCAAAACCGCATGGTTGGTCATTTTCCGCGGCTTATGAGTGAGGAGAAGCCGCGAGAGGACTCGTCAAACCTTCTTCTATTCCAGGGGACTTGTACTGCTCATACCCGCTTCACGAAGGGCGAATTGCCGCAACCAGGATCGAACTACACGGAACTGCCTTCCCCTTGCGTGTGCGCAGCGGCGACACCTTCGACGACTTGAGCCGCCTTTGCGGTTGTCCTTTACCAGGAGAGCGCGCGCTGCCTAATTTTTCGAAGAAATTGTCGTCATCTTAGCTTTTTACAAAATTTTGATTGCTATGACTTGAAAAAGTGCCACTTCTATCTTTCTCATTTTGTTTTCGAAGTATACGCAGTTTTATGAATACTTTTTAAAAAAGATCATGAACGTTGATGAAAATTTTTTTCCGCGTTTGCGAAGAGTGATGTCATATGAAGTGAAAAGCCGTATATAAATGAAATGTTTGCGATCAAAAGAATACAAGTCAGAAGATCAAAACACGTAGGTGTCCCCTATCACACAGAGACCACAATGATTACCAAGATCAGTTCAGAAGATCTCACGGACCACGGGAAATATCGAAATTGCCGAGGATCTCGAGATCATGTCAGATCCTACCTGCAACCAAACTCGAAGATCGCCAATTACTCGCATTTTGTGATGAAAGTGACACTAATATCTAGATGTTACTGTATCTTCTCCAAATGATTTCTTATTTGTGCCTAAACATCAACTCCGTCCTCTAGCAAACGTTTTACTCAAACCCAACTCCACCAACTACAGAGAAAAGCTTAAATAAAAGTTTTCATCTTGTTACTTATTTGAAACGCTCGGAGATCGGAACGTACTCTTTTCTTCTTGTCGTGTATGGACATCAACTGTTATCAACCATCAGGATACACTCGTGATATTCTTCTTCCAAATCGAATTTACTAAATTGTGGTTTTCTTCTTGAAGCTTAGTATCTATAGGTTTGATTCGTCTACTAATCCACTCTGTCTTCATCCTTGTACCTATTGACCTAGGCGTAAAATATGTCGTCCGGACAGGGTGCTTCTTCTGGTAAAACGGCGGTGGGTATTGATTTGGGGACCACCTACTCCTGTGTGGGAGTGTGGAAAGATGACGGCGTGGAGATAATTGCGAACGACCAAGGCAACCGCACGACTCCTTCCTACGTTGCTTTCACGGATAACGAGCGGTTGATTGGCGACGCGGCTAAGAATCAAGCAGCGCGCAATCCAGAAAACACGATCTTTGATTCGAAGCGCTTGATCGGACGCAACTTCTCGGATGCGGTTGTGCAGGCTGACGCGAAGCTGTGGCCGTTCAAGGTGCTCCCTGGGCCTGCCGACAAGCCTCTGATTGAGGTGCAGCTTGGCAACGGCGAAACTAAGAAATTTCATCCAGAAGAGATCTCTTCCATGATCCTGGCGAAGATGAAGGAAACAGCGGAGGCGTTCTTGGGCATGCCAGTTACCGACGCGGTAGTTACGGTGCCAGCATACTTCAACGATTCGCAGCGCCAGGCCACCAAGGATGCTGGAAGCATCTGCGGCTTGAACATCCTGCGCATCATTAACGAGCCGACGGCGGCGGCCATTGCATACGGCTTGGACAAGAAAAGCAGTGGAGAGAAGAACGTTCTGATCTACGATATGGGCGGGGGTACCTTCGACGTGTCGCTGCTCAGCATTGACGAAGGCATTTTTGAAGTGAAAGCGACTGCTGGGGACACGCATCTCGGCGGCGAGGACTTTGACAACCGCGTTCTCGATTTCTGTGTTCAGGATTTTAAGCGCAAGAACCGTGGAAAAGACATTACAGGGAACCAGCGCGCGCTGCGGCGCCTGCGCACGCAATGCGAGCGCGCGAAACGCACTCTTTCCTCGTCTACGCAAGCTGTGATTGAGATTGACTCCCTCTTTGAGGGCATCGACTTTTCGTTGACGCTGTCGCGTGCCCGCTTTGAAGAGCTGTGTATGGACTACTTTCGGAATTCTATGGGCCCAGTGGAGAAATGCCTCCGCGACTCCGGCATCGACAAGCAGAACGTACACGAAGTCGTGCTCGTGGGAGGCTCCACGCGCATTCCTAAGGTCCAGGCCATGATCCGCGAGTTTTTCAACGGGAAAGAGGCTTGCAAGGGAATCAACCCCGACGAGGCGGTGGCGTTTGGCGCAGCTGTCCAGGCCGCAATCCTGCAGGGCAATACGAACTCCAAGACGCAGGACATGGTCCTTCTCGACGTGGCTCCGTTGAGCATGGGGCTCGAAACTGCTGGAGGCGTCATGACGAAGTTAATCGAGCGCAACACAACCATCCCGACTAAGAAAACGCAGACCTTCACCACGTACGCGGACAACCAGCCGGGCGTGCTCATCCAGGTGTTCGAGGGAGAGCGCACGATGACGAAAGACAATCACTTGCTCGGAAAATTCCACTTAGATGGCATTCCACCAGCGCCTCGGGGTGTCCCGCAAATCGAGGTTACCTTTGACGTGGACGCGAACAGCATCCTGCATGTGACTGCAGCTGACAAATCCAGCGGAAAATCTAGTAAAATCACAATCACGAACGAAAAGGGCCGCCTTTCGAAGAACGAGATCGACCAAATGGTTGCCGACGCCGCTAAGTACGCCGAGGCTGACGTGGAGAACAAGGCAAGAGTTGAGGCCAAAAATGGACTCGAGAACTACTGCTATTCCCTCAAGAACAGCCTAGGGGGAGACTCGAAATTACAGGAGAAAATCGGCCCCATGATCAAAGACAAGCTTGACAAGGCGATCGCGGAAACCCTGTCTTGGGTAGATGCGAACCAGCTGGCGGAGAAAGACGCATTCGAGGCTAAGCAGAAAAGTTTGGAAGAAATCGCAAACCCGATCATGAGAAACGTCTACCAACAGCAACAGCGCGATGCAGGATCCGCTGCAGCAGCGAATGCTGGACAGGGAGGGCAAGGCCCAAGTGTTGAGGAAGTGGACTGATTCGAGCGGGAACATTTTGAAGAGGATGAAGAGAAACAACTACAATGAAAATGAATAAGATACAGAACAATCACGATGAGTATTGAGGTATTATGGTGATGCTGTGGCGAATTCGCATTGTCACCATGCTAATCAGAGAAGATATTGATAATGATCGTTCGAATTACATTTAATAGATACAGGTGCGATGGTGTGTATAGAACTAGAAGAATTGTTGAAGCATTTTATTTTCAAGAAATAAGAAAAGGACAGATGATCAGTCGATACAACATAAGTACTAAAGACGAAGCGAAGGCGTAACCATTTACTTCAGGGAGTTAATGAAGAGTGAGTAAGTTAAAAAGGTTTGGACTCTTAAATACAGTTTTTGAAAAGTATATTGTCGGTGGGAATCTCGTTTTCGAAAAAGCTAGCGTTTAAGCTGGCTTGGTTCATTTCGTTGCAAGCATGGCAGTGAACGTATAAAGCAGACGAGCGACTGTTTGTGGTCTCACTGACCACTGTATGTTGCTCCAAAAACCACAAAAACCTATGTATTCTTAAAGAAGGCTCTAACCCGCAACCGTGTGAGGGGGGGGCTTCTAAAAACCATTTTTATTGAAAAAGGAGTAAGCAAATTGGTGATGAATGATTATGAAGGTAGATAGGAAGATTGTGAAAGGTCTCTGCCTTTGACATCCATACAACGCGGAGGGGGCGTTCGTTCCCTTTCTTTGGCACTGACTCAATGAGCGAACGAGAAAGCGTCGGTGCTGAGTGAATAATCGGAAAAACATGGCTACTCGAAATCACAGATGCACGACGAAGATGCGCGTTCAAAAGTGTGGTTGTATTCTGACAGTGTGATGGAAGCCCTCAGCAAGGAACGACGAGTAGGATAAGAGGAGAGAAAAGCATCCGCTCGAAATGAATCGAAATCCAGTCACAGAAGTGACCCCTTGGCCTTCTTGTTCTTGCCGATAAAATTTATTGGTGCCATAATCTCGACGTTGTTTTTATTCCTGGTCGTGTGAATACTGACATTCATGGAGGAGAAAATGATACAAACATAGAGACGACGAGACTGAAACTCCGTGGAAAGAATGAAGTCGATGCTCTCTGAATCACATCTGGATCTTCCATGTTCTCGTTCATGCGTTTTTATGTCGAGGTCTTTTCACAGACCTGGGCTTTCCTGAAGAAAGAGAGACTTGGTGATCGCAGACCAATTCATTGGACTGACCCTCATGTGCCTCTGACATGTTGATATCGCCCCCCCGCGCTATCCCGGTTATTTTCACCTTTGGTTTTCATTGCGATAAGGGGCATAGGCATTGCGCGCCTTTCTGGCATGTGGCATGCTATAGAATTTCATGGTAAATAAAAGCCAGCTAGCACATTTGTTTCGCAACAATTTGAAATGGTTAGAGAGACGTACTTCTTCAGTGATACAACTTGTGGTTTTAGTTTTAGATGGCATGGCATCACGATGAGGAGTAACTACGTGATAAACAGAAGTCGAAAAATATATCATTTTTTTATCGATGTACTTGGTTTCATCGACAACCCTATGTATGGGGTATGTGGGGACAAACAAGTACTTGTTGTGGGTATCAATCAGAATTAGTCATGCGTTGTGTGAGATTTTTACGAAAATAGAGATAGCGTAGGAATATCATGTCCGGAACTCACCCTGCGGCGGCTAGAGGGCCTGCTTCCTCCATGGAAGACTTCGCACTCGAGGTCTGCCGTACGCCAGCAGACTTTCTCCGCAAGACGCTTGACAAGTATCCGGAAGGTGGGCAGATACTGCAGGAAAAGTTGCAAAACGCGGTCGATGCGGGCGCCACTAGAGCAGGATTCTTTCTGGTTTCTGCAGGCTCTCACGACAAGGAGACGTCACCCAATCGAGTCGATAAGGATAGTGGTGCGCGTGAGAAGAGGTTTGCAGGTAAAAGGAGCCTAGAATGCAGCCAGCAAAGCCAGGGTAAAGAACAACACGGTGATGATTTCACCGGTAATGCCAGCGACGAGGAAAACTACAAAGAGGACGAAGATTTGTCTCGTGACATCGAAAAGCTGTCGCTGCTTGAATTTTGCGGGGACGCGCTGTACATGACGAATGACAGTGTTTTCACACCCGAGGATTGGAAGAGCTGGAAACGCATGTACGAGTCGCAGAAAGCGCACAAGCCAGGTAAAATTGGGCAATACGGACTCGGAAGCAGGAGCTTCTTCCACTTGACAGATCTCGTTACGGTGCTCAGTGATACAACGCTGGCCATCGTAGATCCGAGTAACTTAGTCTTCCCCTCAGGAGGCATCAAATTCGACATAACAACTGACTGCCAGAAACTTCTGATTGACCTCAACCTGGCGGACAAGGGCTCGCAGAAGCAGGAAAGCCAGGAGGACACGAAGAAGGAAGGCTTATCGAGGCAGGTGGACGTGGAGATAAATGCCTGGACCAAGTACTTAGATCAAAGTTTGAAAGTAGTATTTCTATTTTCTGCTGCAACTGCGACGGGCAATAAACGTAGAGCTAGACGAAGTGTCATTTTTGTCAGATCTCTCATATTGAAAAGCCACGTGGTGTAAAAAAACATTTATAGATATAATATATAAGCACGCATGGTGCATGGAGTAGCATGGAGTGCATGGAGCGCAGAGCTTTATGGGGCGCAAGAAGCTCCCCTTTTAGCTCCATGCTACTCCATGTGATCCATGCACTCCATGCCATGCGAGCTGTGAAACCTTATAAATTGCTCTGGTGTATATTGATGATCCAGGGCGCAGGGCGACGGTGCCCCCCCTACGGGCCCCTTTTTAAGGCGTCTGCCGGGGGTGGAAGGCCTCAAAAGAGCCAAGTTACCTCCCCCGCTCCCTTCCAGCTGCCTGGCTGTTCCTTACGGGCCTCCGATCTAGGTGGGAGGCTTCAAAAGGGGCCCAAGGGACCGCCTGCGCCCCTTTCCAGGTGTCTGCCTGTGCCCTAAGTGCCTCCGATATGCTTCGCCGCCACAGCAGTGCCCCGGTTGTGAGAGGCCTCCGAAGGCGGCAAAAGGCGAGGGGCTGGGCCCCCTGAGCCGTGCGGCTTGTGCCCTCCGGGCCCTTGGTCATCGGCTTGCTGGCTCTTGCGACCTTGGCCGCCTTCGGCGGCCTTTTACCCCGGAGACCTCCCGCCTGCGAGGGTCAGCAGAGGCCAGGAGTTCCTTGAGGAACACGCAGAGAGGCGCAAGGGACCGCCTGCGCTAAGTTTTGGCGCGCGCCTTCCACCACTAGAACCTGCGAAAATCAGCGCGGAAAAGCGCGCGCGCGCCACTACAGACCAGACCACAGGGGGGGGGGTGCCGTGCAGCCCTAAAACATATATACTGAATGCCACAGCTTTCTTGGACTAAAACTGAGGAGGCCATCTGTCCTTCCTTGCCAAATAATGACACCAGGTTTCTTGCTGGCTTCGAAAATTTTGGATTGAAAAGAAAATCTGACGGGAGCAATAATTTCGAACCTTTTGCCGGCACTGTATTTCGATTGCCACTGCGTACTGCACGACAGGCGAAGCTGTCCCAGGTGAGTAAGCGCGTGCAAACACCGGAAGAAATTTTGGGGCTCATGCGTAAGCGCTTCGAGGATGCCGCTTCCCTCCTGCGCTTCACGCACTCGGTGCGTCAGCTCGATTGCGGCGTTTACGATGGCGAAGGCAACTACCACGAAGCCGTCAGCGTGAAGCTTGTAGAATTACCGCCTGACTGTGCGATCGCGGGTATGCCTGCTGATGGTAAATTGTCAGGAGAGAAAAATGAAGCGACACTTGCTGGACCTAGCAAGAGCAATAACGGTAATAAAAATCGTCCTCTCCATCTTCCGCATGCAATTAGCGGCGATGAAGGCCAACTAGCGAAATATTTCGCGTCTTCGGGAGAGCATACAGCGAGACAGGCAGTGCCAGATTTCCTGCGAGAGCACCGTCGATACCAGGATTTGCAACGCGTTTTGGTCGAGAACCACAAGAATTTTTTCTCAAGCAAAGCAACAGCGTTGTCTTCTTCTTCGTCTGTGAAGAATACTGCGCCTGCAGATGGCTTGGCGATTGTGAAGCATGTAGCCTACCAAATTCTGATCCAAACAAGAACCAACTTCGCAGTATTTCGAAAGCTGCAACGATGGGATAATAAGAATAAACAAGAACAAAATATATGCGCCGACAAGGATACTTCCGATCCGGATGAGCATGAAGGGAGAAGTAAAACCTCATGGATTCGCGAGTTGGTGCATTTTGCTGTTGTGGCCGATAGAGAGCTGTGCCGCGGTGCCACAGAGTTGCACACGTCGCCGGTGGTAGCTGTAGCACTTCCACTTCCTCTCCCGCTGCCGCGAGGCACCTCTTGTAAACGAGAAGAGGAACAGCAAGAGCAACAAGCACACCAAGCGTATACATATCTTCCAATTCCTGGCGCGACTGGGCTGCCCTTTCCGGTTCACGGCGATTTTCAGCTCCATGACGACCGACGCAGTATCTGGGCTAGTGAGACCGATTCGGACGTGCGCGGCGCTGCTCGACTGAAGCATGAGTGGAACACGAAATTAGCAGTACATACGCTATCGCGACTCTTGGCCGAGCATGCGTATCCGGACGTGGCTGCGCTTCTCGTCCGCAGTGCTTATGAAGGAGTTGGTCCTCTCACTGATCCGGCTGGTCATGCAGAACAAGATGGAAATGCTGATGTCTCCAGGACATCCAAAGAAGTTGCACCACACACTGTTTCGAGAAGAGACCACCTGCTCGTCGGAGAACGTCATCTTCGTGAGTCCTATTATCGCCTCTGGCCGAAGGTTGTTCCTCATGAGTCAGCAAAAGGCTATTGGCATAAGCTAACGGCACAGTTGCCGAAGGCTGTCAGCTCTATTCCTGTATTTCCTGGCGAAATGCTTCTCAGCGTATCAGCTGCCCCGCTTTCTCGTCCATGCGATCTCACTATTCTCGCATCTGAGTTCCGCATCTCTACGAACACCTACAGCACTGCTGTAGAATCGGGGAACCAGAGCGCTGTTGTTGGGGCGTTTCCCTTACGAAGCGCCGCGATGCGGTTTCTAGCACGATGCTTCGGATCAACAGAAAAGTTCCTCCCGACTGATTGCCCGCCACATGTGGAAGAGCTTCTGGAACCCGAGTGCCGTCGGCAGCTCGACTTCGCATCGTTCTACACCGAATATTTCTTCCCAGCGGTGGCAGAACAGCTTGTTGACCAGAACACGGGAGAATTTATCCCGCAACTACCTAGTAGGACCCTCATGCACGAGCACGACAAAGAAGGTGACATCACAAGTAGAAAAATAGACACCCTAGCATCATCTTCGAGAGCGACCCCACGAACAGCGGACGCTGCTAGCACATTAGCAATATTCACAGCAGAGGACCTGGATTTCTTGCTGCAGAACTATCTCGAGCGTGTTGCACAAGTTGATGATGCCGCACTGCAGGCGTGGTTGCCGCAGCATGAGTTTTTCACGTCAACCAGGATTCTTCGCACAAGCTCCGGAAAGTACATGCGAATCCCCGATGTGCATGACCCGGATGAGAAGAGGCTAAGGCAACTCAAACTCTTGGATTCGGAACCGGACGCTTTTCCAGCCTCGTGCTTCAAAACGCCAACAATTCTAGCTGCGCTTAATACGCGCTGCGGAGGTCTCAGGAAGGAGCTGACTTGGGAAACGATTGAGGGTCTTGCTGAGAAAATTGCCGCTGACGGAGTTGCGGCAGATAAAGTCGCGCTGTCTTTGGCGAAGGACTACGAGAGCGCGAGCGAACTTCCAGCGACCATTGACCTCGGCGAGTACGAGCCGGAACACTCCAGGAAAAAAGGCACACTGACTGCCAGCGAGCGCTCCTTGATCAGAATCAAGAGGGAACAACAGCAAGACGGGGGCCCGCCCACAGCTGATTCACAACAGGATGCACAGCAGACCATGATGCGTCCAAAATACCGTTGGAACCAGGCACAGACGCTTACTGCAACAGCATCCACATCCACCGGTCGAAGCAGCTCGTCGGAAGCAGAGGGCCCAATCAATCTCATATCGGATTCTGACGACTCCGACGCAGAGCAAAAGCCGGCGTACGGAAATGCATCGTTGCTCCAGAAGGCGAAGCGACTACAAGAGTACGTCTCGCGGAAATTGCAGAAGGAGAAGAAAGCGATGGAAGGGAAGAAGGCAGGCGAAGCAGATGGCAATGTTGTGGGTCAGCAAACTCCGCTATTGGAAGCGGGCGTTACCGTCAGGAAGAACAAGAATAAGAGAAAGCAAGTACTACAACATCAAGCAGAAAATCAGAAAACTGAGTTGGATGAAACGAAGGAAAAGGAAGTGTCCGGACATTCTCGTCCCTGGCGCCGCCTTTTTGAGGAGATTCACTGGGTACCTCAGTTGACGCAAGATCACACTCATTTTCGCATCTGGGCTGCACAAAGGACTTTGAGGCCACCAACGCATCTCGTTGCGCGGAAGGACGTGAATGGCGTGTTTGCAGCACATCCGGTTTGCGAATGGAATTTACAAACAGATGATGCATTTTCTGTCGTCGCTGAATGGTCAAGCCCTCCTTCAAATGGAAAATGGGCTGACCTGCTTCTTCCCGGTAGTTGGAAAACGACTACCGGTGTAGACTGGAAGCGGCAGTTGCGCAGTCTGCGCAGTGCTCTCCAGCAAAACTTGTTGAACGTAGAGGCCTACACCGAGGCGTTTTGGTTTCTGCTCGAGCTGATGCAGAAAAGCAATGTTGCAGATATGCTGTCACAAAAAGACGAGCTTGATTTTTCTTCCAGTTTGACGCCGGCAGCCGAGCCCGTCGCTTCCGACTCGGATAGCACACTGCGGCATTTGGAAATCATACCTATCGGAAATCGATTGTTCAAGCCGTCCCAGTGCATCGTTAGTAATCGCAAGCTTAACCCGCTACTGTATCCAATAGGAAACACTCTATTGCCGTTTCAGAGAGAGCTGTCGGTCTTCGGCGCAGTGCTGGAGTTGGATATAGACCGAATTAGTGAGGTTTTGCAGCAGGTCTTTGACGCGCATGCAATGGAAGCAGCCACATCATCGCATCAAGCTGGCGCCATCGAAGACAAGGAAACAAAAAATGATGAAGCGTCCGCCACTAGTTTTTCTGCGATCCTGCCTATGAAGACTGATGAAAACCGGGAAGAGGCCATGACCCAACGCTCGCTCGGTACAAAGCATAGTGAAGCCGTGGCGAACCTCCTCAAGGAGTGGGCAGAGATCAACGAGCATAGCACGAAGCAGCTGCGTGAAAAGAATTTACCGAAAAAGCGAAACAGCAATTTTGCTGCGGAAGCGCCCACTATCGCGCAATATCCAAAGTACGTTCTAACGCTTGCGGAGAGCTTGCAACTGCGGGAAAACGTCTGTTTCAATGATGGCAGACAAGGACCCGGTGTTGACGAGCATCGTGTGCTGGCGGACGTTTTTTCTCCGGCTGATGCACTTGCGCTGGGTGTGCCGCGGCTGGCGGACATTTACGCGCGTCCGTTCGAGCGAGAAGACGACGAGGAGGGGGCAGCAAGTCAAGGTCAGGATCTGGAGATCCGTGGGCAACAAAGGCACCTGGGGGACAAAAGCCTTCCAAGTGCACAATTTAATCTGGCAGAAGACGCTTCGTCGTTCGATATCTCCACATCCTACTCTGATCGCGTTCGTGCAATTTTGGAGGACTATCAAGACCCTGGCAGTGGCCTGTCCACTATCTGCAACGAGAATATTCAGAACTTCGACGACGGCGGCGCCGAGGAAGTGTGGTTCGTCATCGACGAGCGAAAGCACCCAGCTGAGACTCTGCTGTCCAAAACGGACAAGATGCGGTCCCTACAGGGTCCAGCGTTCGTAATCGCTGGCGATTCTGTTTTCTCTCAGCAAGACCTGAAGTCTATTCAGCGTTTGGATCGCTCCTCGAAGCGGCTGCAATTCGATAAGGACGGCCAATTTGGAGTAGGCATGAATGCAGCTTATCACGCAACTGATTCGATGATGCTGCGCACGCATGGGGATGTTGTCTTCTTCGACCCTCTGGGGGAGTACTGTTGCAAAGATCTGCAGGATGGCAAGCCCGGGCGTCGATTCCCGGAGCAGACTCTACGAGATCATTGGCCCGACCAAATAGCTCCATTCGCGAGTCTAGACGACACCGAGTTCCCAGATGGCTTTCGCTTGCCGTCGGGCACGCAATTTCGATTGCCTTTCCGTCTTAAGTCGAGTAATTTGAAGCGAAAAGTGTTCGAGCTCAAAGACTACCGTGCTGAATTGCGTAGTTGGGCCAAGCAGGAAATGTGGAAGTGTCAAATATTTGCGAGATCTCTGCGTCGCATAGCGGCTGCACACATAGCTGCAAATGGCGAAGTCACAATACTCGGACAGCATTCATTGCAGATAAAGCCGATGTCGCCACTGTTTCTGCCCGAAAAAACAAGAGAGGGACAGCAGCAGGGCGGTCGCGATCCCCCTCGAGAGGGCACCTCCGTTCCTGCTTCCTCTTCGTCTTCTTCTGCGCCTTCGGTATTAGGAAGTGACCTTCTCGAACGCTCGGGCGAGCATTTGGCCACACTTCCTGGCCCAGTTTCCGATCTCGTCGTTCCTTTTTTGAAGGCAGAAGATTCTGAGGAAGGATCGGGCTCTCGTGGAGAACTTTACGGTCTTGGGAATCCCCGGTCGGCAGGACGCGGTCTGGGAAAGATGCTGCCCGAATTCGTGTCGGCAATACGTGACGATAATCCTCGTGAATTCTACAAGCAGTTGCCGCGGACCGCGGAAGAAATCGAAGCTCACTTGGACAACTCGAGGCCGATTCAGAGCCGTTACTGCTACTCCCATGTCGTCGTCCGACGTGGCACCAGCAAAAAGACTGAAATTGAATTTGTGCTCGTGCTCTTCTTCAATGCGACCTGCTTGGACTGGTCGCTTCGGCTTCTGCAGGAGCAAGAAACAGCGCTACTGCCAGTTACCGGCATTGCACTGCCACTACGATTCCGCACAATGCAGCAGGAATCGCACGGACACGTCGATCACTACCCAGGCACACCGGAGTTTCAGAAGCGAGTTCAGGAATTCAACCGCGAGAACGAATACCTGTTCCGGTTTCGCCCGTTGCGCCGTGGTGTGCGGCAACAGAGCTCTAGCGTCACGGAGTTTTACATGCACGGTTACTGGCGGTTGCATTCCTCGCGCCTGCTGATCCAGTTCGACCAGGAGGAAAAAAACTGTTGGAACACGATGTTGATGCAGAAAGTACTGCTCCCAACCTACGTGTTGGCATTTTGTGGAGCGCTCGGAACCTTAAAGCGTGTCCAAGACGTTGAGCTTGAACGAGCTAGAGTCAGGGAAGCGGAGAAACGAGCGAAGCGTGCGAACAGGGCAAACTTGTTCTCGGTAGCCAATAGCGAGAGTGAGGGAACCAATACCGCCTCGAGCAACGCGGATCTGGCGCGGAGCTGTTTGCTATCACTTCCTGCTGTCACTGCGTACCCGCATTTGCTTCCAACCTGCGGGACCGGTCAAAACAACGGCTCGAGCCAGACGTTGGAGTTTCCACCTGTAAATCGATCTCAGCGAGAGGGTAAAGAGAGCAATCTGCACACTGTAGCTGGAGGAAGGAAAAGTTCTGCCACTACTGTTGAAGTTAAAAGGGAGTCTGGCGCTGATGGAGCCGCTGCATCGTCGTGTTCATCCAGCAGCAACAGTCACGCAAATGCTAGCTCGCAGCCACAGCGCTTCATGCGTGACCAGTGGGGCGGGCCCTTGTTGGCGCTTGATCAGGTCTTCAGCGTCGATGACGAGGAAGCAGGGACGGACCAACATCAAGGTGGCACCCGTGTAGATCCTTGGCAACGCTTTGCAGATGGCTGCCTTGCCTCTCTCTATGAGCGAGAGATCCCATGCGTCCCTGTGTGTCACGACAAGGACGAGGAGGAAACAACGGCAGGACAGCAGCAGCGAGGCCAGACGAGAAAAAACGCGATGTCAACATCGTGGCTGCTGGACCCGGTAGCTCTGGCACGTCATGCGATAGAGGAAATCCTAATCTGCGAGATTTCCATGGATTTTGCTCCTGATCCAGTATTCTGCAAAGTCTCTCCTATGCAGATGTTTGACCGGGCTTCTCTGCATCAGGCCCTCGCTGCGAGCGGGAACGTGCATCCGTCAACACGACAGCAGGTGGGTAACAACGGCGTTTGCAGCAATGTTGCAATGCGGGAGCTCGCCGAAGCGCTTGTACCCGACGAGAACACAAGAAAAAGAATCACTGAGGGTCGCATTGGTGGAGAAGACGTGGATATCGACATCGCAACGGCTATAAACTGGCTCCGTCAATTGCAAAAGTACCAGTCTACTCTCCCGGAGCCCACGTTGACCAGCAAGGGGCGGACGGTTCCGAAGGGAACATCGCAATTGCATGAGGGTGAGAAGATACTTGGTCGAAATAAGCCACTATCCGAGGTGCTAGAGTTTGTCTCGCGGTTCGAGAAGCTAAAGGACGCAGATGTGGAGCTTGTTGCTTTGGAAAACTCACGACAAGAAGCCTATGGCCACGTCGTCGAGTGGGTTCCGCTTTCTCGCGCGGTATTTGACGGCCGCGCGGCACTGGCGTTTTGCACGACAAGTCCTGGAGAGGAAGGTGAGTCGACTGCCTCAGCAGCCATGCCCATGGCATCATCTTCATCCTCCAGTGCTCGCAGAGGTGGGCACGGCATTGGGCGCTACCAGTATTTCTTGGAATTACGCCCTATGATTCGACACGTGATGTCCGTCTCTCTGCTCTCCTTGCGTGCCCAGGCGAGGCTTTCGAAAGCGCTAGCGGGGATTGTGGCAACCAACGATCGCAACAACAGTTTCGACAGAAAAACAAGTGGGAATATCGAAGAGAAGATTTCCTTTGCCGCGGTTCTAAATGAGCTTACGCCGTCGAGAGTGTGCGCGGCATTGAGGGAATACGCGGACAAAACACACAAAATTTTCGACCTCTACTGCCCCGGCGATTTTTACGACCCACATACTAAGGAATGGTCTCCGGCAGACGACGTAGTCAATCAGGTTCGCAATCCAGAGGGGCACGTCTCGTCCACATCCGCATCTTTTTCTTCTACCTCCGTACCGTCTTCATCAGTCGCTGCGCCACTATTAGCCATCCCCTTTAATTGCCCTGCTCCGCAGAGTGTAGACTTCGTGGAGATTTCGAGACTCCCGAAAGGGTTGCGGATCCGCAAGGAATCTTGGGTACGAAATTTCCTGAACTTTTTGTTGTCTCGTTTCTGGAAGCAGCTCGCACCGCACGAGGATACCCTGAACGAGCTCGAGGGGACGCCGCTGCTCCTGCTTCACCAAGGCCTTCTGGGCCGAATGCCGAATCTCCAAAATTTCTCCGCCGACGACCGCGGGGTAGTAGAATTATACTCACGTCCCTTTAGGACTGCAGCCAGTGCCACTGTTCACCGGCAGCTTTCTGGCTGTCAGTGGGCTCGCGTACCTCAACTTTTTCTGCGAACGCCGCAGCACTCAGATGTGTTGTGGAGAAACTTGGTCAACAGTAAGGACAGTGACGGTCTCCAATTCGCACCAAGACTGTCTGCAAAAGCGTTCCTGCAGCACCCAGAGCGTGAGCTTCCTCCCTCCTACTTCTACGATGGGGAGTTGCCATCGCAAGAGTTGAGTGGAACGAGGAACGCGCTCGGGCACGGGACGACAGCGAGAAGCCCTTTACCATTTGCCTCTTTGTCATTGACAAAAACGCAGTGGCAAAGTCTTGAGATGACCGTCAGCGCGATCGCGCAACTCGGACATGCCAGAAACACCAGTTTCCTAGCACCCGGAGCGAACTTCCCCGCCATCGTCGACACCACGGCCCCGCATGAGGAAATATGGCGGGCCAGCGTGAGCCGCTGGCCGCTGCTGCCGACAGACTGCGGGCGCGTGCTCCCTTTGTCGCGTCTCGACCGAATCATTGGACCGGTCGAGAACCTCCCCAGTTTTTTGAGAAAATCGTTGCAAGAAAACGGTTACTATTTTCGGGGGAATTTTGCGGAACGAGAGCGATCCGAGGTGCTTGAAGGCCTCCTGAAAGCATGGGTGCCGTCTTCACTGCAGAACTTCGTAAGATTGCTCACACAGGGTGAAAGCTCCTCTGACTTCCGTGCGACTCTCTCTGCGCTGTCGGATACCCAAAAGCGTGATTGTGCTTTGTATTTTTCGGGAGCTTTGGCTAGTGTTGCGACGGGAAACGGAGGACAACCGCTTAGCGCTGCAATGAACGCCGAATTAGTGTTTTTGCGGGAACAGCTTCGCATGTTTCCGATCTTTCCTGTCTTGGGCAGGACAGGCTACGGACCACTCGTTTTACGTGCTAGTAAAAAGCACGAAGATACGATTGCTGACGCTGCTTTACAGCAGGCTTTGATTGACTCTGGCTATGCAGCTCCAGCGGTCTCCTCGTCTTCATCGCGGCCACCTCCCACCTCGTCCTCATCTCACACAGGTGCAGCTCGTCAACGAAACCCTGCCGTGACTCTAAGCACACCTCTGGCAACGAACCTCCGGTACATTACCGGGATCGATATCCTCGACCAAACATTCGTTGCTGGTCGTGCAGCGGACTTCAAGCAGAACGCTGCAGTGTTTCGCGACTGTCCGATGTTGCTATTTGCGGATCGAAATGACCTGACAGCCTACGTTAAACTGTGGCAATTCGTGGGTGCGGAACCGATATCCTGGAAAAACTTTGTCGGGACCTTTGTTGTACGCCTATGCAAGCGGGCGGCAGAGCTGGGACGGTGGACAGAGGTAGAAGAGCTGATGGACAAAATCAAAGCAACGCTTGAAGACGTTCCGGAAGATGAGTTTTCACGGCAGTATCGTTCTGGAATTCGCGACATTCCCTTCCTCCCCATGCCTGCGAAACGCCGCGCGGCGCTTTCTGGTGCTGGGACTGAGAATAACAAGAAAAGAGCAACAAGTTGTACAAAATCTTCGAAGCACAACAAAGGACTGGATTCCAAACGGGAAGATGCAAAGGCGAACGATGAAGTGACAAGAAGCGCAAGCGGCTTGAAGAAGCGCCGACTTGCGCTAGGAGGATTTTCATCCAGCAGTGCAGGCAACGATCAGGAGGACGACTTACTTGCGAATGAAGAGGGTTCGCAGCAGGAACCTAGTGCAACCAAGAATAACATTGCAAAGGGCGCTGTAATTAATGTGCAAACGTCCTCCGCTTCTTCGAGGTCCCCACCAGGAGACGGCGCTGCCCATATTGATGACGCCGCACTGCTTGTCGATATACCTGAAAGTGCAGCCGTCGTTGATCCTGACGCGCGCACCACTGTGGTCGAATTGTTCGATCCAGAGGTTCCGTTACTCAAAACCTTCCTCGATGATGACGACTTTCCGCAAGGAAAGTATGCAAATGCTGGCTGGCTCAAATTTTTGCGCCGTTTAGGTTTGCGGTCGCGGTTTCATGCCGAAGATTTCATCGCGCACGCCGAACACGTTGCACAGCAGGCTGCAGAATTGACGAGAAGCGCTGCTGTAGAAGGGGATAGTACCGAAGCAGCACGTGCAGGAGGTGCACCTTCTTCGAGCAGCAGTATCTGTGATGTCGAAAAGGGGAAAGAAGTTGTACTAGAAGCAAAGGCGAAGATGACAACGACTACATCGTGTGGAGGTACTGCAGCAATGGCTTCGAATCTTGACGTGGAGCAAGATCAAGCGCCTGATCCGGTCACTGCTCGGTCAGCAAGGACGATGCCGGAGTTCTCTCAACGCCAAGAACGATTACGCCTTCGCGCATTGTTGTTGTTCCGTTTTCTGTTGAGCCAAATATCAGAGCCGGATGACACCACAACCGATTTGTCGCGACTGCAAAACGTAATAGGAGGAAGCAGTTTGGCCGACCTAGCAAGGCAAGGGCAGTTTCAGGATAAGGAATTTCTATCCCGCGTACGACGGATTACTTTCATACCAGCGTGGCACCGAGACGTGGGCGTCAAAGACCGACGTCTGGTGTGGCGCACTTGCGGAGAAGTTCTTTTCCAAAAAAACAAGTGGGATCAGAGTTGGACCTTATACGACCTTCAGGCTTTCAATATTTCTGCGCTAGACATGCCTTCACACGAGGACGCAGTTAAGGAAAGGCGATGGATTTTACAAACCGCAGAGAGTCCGCAAGTGTGGCGCTGCCTGACCCGGCCCCGGGCGAAAGGTGCCAAACAGCCCGTCGACAACCGCGATACGCCGCTGCATGATGTCTCTGACCTCGTCAACCATCTAGCCAACCTTTTGCACTACCTGGACGCCAGAACGCTTGACAATGACGATGTTGCATATGCATTGGAGACACGCAAGCAAGCACTAGACCGGCTTACGCCGGACTTCTGGTCCGTGTTTCGCGGATTGTCCATGTTTTGCAGCGGGGGAAAGCGCTCCTGTCACACGGATTGCGGCGACGAGCAGCGTCGTGTTCGTAAGCTGCCAGGTGGCTCCACCAGTACGACTGTGCAGGAGGACAAACATGCACAGCTTGAACATTCGCTGCACGGCGCGGGCATTCTTGGACGTGCCTGGATTCCTGTAGTGGACCTGACCCAGCCAGCTTCGCAGCTCATTGTCGGCGCCGCCGAAAAAGACGAAAGTATTTGGGATCTACTCCCGGCTTCCGAATTGTTCGCTAACGTCGAAATACACGACTCTTGGGGGCATAGGCAATGCTGTTCCCACTTTGAGGATAAGAGGCTAAGCATCGCGATTCACCCCATCTTTCGAGCCCTCTTGTTCTTCCCGTACTCCACAGCAGATGCTGATGTTGGGGACTCGAGTGGTGCATTGAGCATGAAGAAGTTCCGGAAGTCCTTTGCAGAGCTAAAGTTGAGCGACTTTCTAAAGCAGATGCAACGGCGCTTTCCGCTGGGTTCTCGGCTCACCCACGAAAACGCGGAGACACCTTTGGTGGATGCCGGAAGATGTATGCCGAAAAACGAGTCACATAGTGTTAACGTTAAGATGGACAGGGAGGATACTGCAGTTGCAGGTGGTAACGCACAAGAAAGTCTGGCTCTAGTTGACACGACGGGTACACAGGAAAGACTGCTGGGAACAAATGAAAACGACGATGGCCGACTTCACATGCTGACTACGAACGAGGATCGTCTCCTGCAGGACCATGAAGATGTAGCAGGGGATATGGAGAGAGGGATAGTGGCCTACATGGCTCATATCAAGTTACTAAGTAGGTTGTGGCACGCGGCGGAAAAGGACGATAAAGCACTGGAGGGCGTCGACCCTCGTATGATGCGTCGCTATCAAGCATATGGAGTAGACGCGCGCACTGCTGTGCCTGCAGCATCAGTTTCTCAGCGTTTACGCGGCCCTCCTGTGACACAACCGCGACGCGAAAATCCAGCGACGGTGCAACGTGCTTCCGATCCTTCGGAAGTGGATGAGGGCCGGGATAATGCTAGCTGGCCCCCGCAGCACCCGTGGGACAGGTCGCAGGACCCCCCTCGTCGGCTGATAACGCGGACTGTGAAGAGGGAGACACGTCAAGAATCGCGACCTACGGACCACGCCACGAAACAGAAGAAGGAACAAACTGTGGAAGAAGCGCAAGCAGAGCAAGAAAAACTGTTAGAGCCTTTGCTACAACAACAAGATGAAAAAGAAGCAAATAGGAATAAAACTACAGCAGTGCATCTTGATGACGGTGCCGTTTCGGACGAGTGTTTGCAACTCGTCGAGGCAACGATGCGGCAAGAGTTGCCTCTTCCTGACGCCGACGGGGTGTTTTGCACCGCGAATGAGTTGGTGCTCCCAGCAGTCGCAAGCGGTTTAGCCGTCGCTGATGCAAAAGCACTTGGCGTCGACGCATGGGGCCACGAGGACCGGAATAAGAGAGAAAAGCAAAAGCGTGAAGCGTTCAAACGCTTACGATACGTGCATCCGGATTTGCTTCCAACCGGCAGTTTTGATCCTGCATCTTCAACATCGCGTGTTGGCAACTTCGTCTCCAACTGTCTCCAGATTCCGCCTCCCGAAAAGGTATGTAAGTTGAAACTTTCAAAGGTTGTGCAGTGCCAGCCAGGTAGTCTTGACGGGACTGAGCAAAGAGCATGTGACCTCGCAGAGTTCCTGTCGTCGAAGGTGAAATTTCTCGATCCACTCGCGAAGGGCTTGACTGACCTCATGATGACTGAAGATGCATCACTGGTGCAGCCTGTTCTCGGGGGGATCCGTTGGGTCGCGTGTTCGCAGCTGAAGACCGCGTATAGTTTTCCCGCGAGACGATCGCAGAAGGGCGTATCCCTGCCGTTGAAAGCGGCAGCAGGATTGACACGCGCGACGTCCTCCTCAAGTAGCACCTCGAGTAGCGCAATGGTTGCCCCGACATGTGACGTTCGTGCGAATGATTTCGAATTCGGAAGTGATGAGGACGAGACTTTTTACCAGGACGGCGGAGATCGCGTTCTTGAGGAACTGGATCCCGATGTGGCCGGGAGAAGGATTCTATTCGCATCTTCGCTGGCGAGGAAGCTCTGTGATCATTCATCAGATGACGCACTGCTCCCGCGCCATCGTGCCCAAGAAGCTCTGCAGTCTGTTATTCACAAAGAACTTGGCATAAGTTGTGACACATATTGTTCGGCAAATTCGCACGGCGCTGGCGCTGCTGCTAGCGCTGGAGCTTCGGGCGACGCAGCGAAAAAAGAGCAAACAAGCGGCGCGCCAGACGAGATGAGACGGAGAACGCATGTGCGTCGCGTGCTGCTGGACAGTATACTCAAACGCGTTATAGAGGAGAACTTCGTTATTGTGAACGGAGGACGACCTCGGAAGGCACGCGTTGCTGGCAGCCCGAAGCAAGACAGGGCACAAGTAGACGAATTGGGACTGGTAGAAAATATGGAAGAGGATAGCGACCCATACATCAAAGCAGATGACGTGAACATCGGATCTTTGAGTGAAGAGGACGTTGAGCCTGGAGGACCCGGAGCAGAACAACAATTACAGCCACGAGATGGCGGAACAAACAGAAAGCGGCAGAGGGACAGCACTTCAGCAGCAGAAGAGGAAGAGGAAGTAAATGAAGAAGGAAAGCAGGCGAAAAAGAGGAAAATTATGGTTACTAATCAAAGAAGATCCAGCGCTGGAAGATCCCAGGCAGCAAAGGATGCTGAAAAGCAAGCGCGTGAACGTGGGGAACGATGGTGCGCATCACAAGCCGGAAAAGATGCCATATCGGCCTTTCAAGGCTTCCTCCAGTCACATTTTACGTTTCCGGAAAGCGGAGGGCAGGGGCCCCACCATCCAGGATCTTCAGCGTCTTCAAGTTCCACTGCAGCTTGTACTGGAGCCCTTCCGCAGCCCGCCACCTCGTCGCCATCCTCATCTCGTAATGCGCAGCTAGCGGGCAGTGGATCCACATCGCCGCCAAACGCAATCGCGTCGTCGCTAGAATCGGAACTGAAAAAGCTAATCGTGACAGCAGTGGTTGAAAGTGAAACGAAAACACACGCGAAACAGGCACCGCTGGTACCCGCTAGAGCAGGAGCACTGCCAGCGGCAGAAAACGAAGAGAAGGAGAACGCGAAAAACGAGGAAACTCTGGCCAAGAAAGAGAACGTCATCAAAGGTGCAACCTCCTCTGTCGAAGAGAAAGAGGCAAAAGGTCCGCGCACTTCCACCACTGCCAAAGTGGAGGAGAAAACAACATCTCAAAAAGATGAGGATCGATCGAATACGAAAAAGTAAATAAACCAACTGGACCTAATGTGAACTTTACATCAAAAACCAGTGCATTGTTACTTAGGTAAAAACTTGGACCCAAACTGTTAGCAGCCGCGACACTGGGCGAAGGAAGTTTTTAGAAGGATTTATTTTTCTGCGTCAAAGTCTTCAACATCAAACACGAAGATATTTAGACGTACTATAATCCATGCTTTATCTCACGTAACTGTGATTTTTCAAAACCATACCTCCCACCGTCTAGCATCTAATTATATGTAGATCTTTTGGTACAACAAAAGACAGTGACGAACGAAAAATGTTGCGGTTTTTCTTCAGGGCTGCTACCACGTCCTGGTATAGACAGCTTCAGTTGATCGGTCCTCAGGGAGTATTCCGAAAAACACTATCTCATGGTAAACATCTTACTGCTTGTTACATTGACAAGAAAATCATAGGTGGATCTTCATCTCCTGGAACGTACTAAGTTGCAAGTGAACTAAGTATTCCCAATACTCGCAGTGACAGCGGCACCCTCCCGAATTAGTTTCACTGAATGCACAATCAATAAAGGGATGTTGCAAGACCGGCTATAAACTGTAAGACAAGAACGGTTTCAGTAAAAAGATGTGTTGGTCATTGTGAAGCGAGTGCGAAAAGGTCAATGTTGTAATCTCTGCTGGTGCTGTCCGAGGCATGAAGAAGATCGTTCGATATTTGCGAGGGATGGATTCTGATGCAGGTTGATAAACAACAGTCACTCTACTTTCCGGTATGAGCACGATGGCAGAAAAATTGATATGAAAAGTGTAGCATGCATGCAGAGTGATGCTTCCGAACACTGACGGTGGGCCGTTGTCGTGTGCGGCATCACGGCTCGCTGCTTTCACCCTGCACGAGATTCCCGTGCTCCTATCACTCAATAGCCCCATTTACTTGCGGGGTTGTTGAACTGGAATCTTCAACGGGAGCAATGTTGTTCGGGTGCTCCCCGTCGTACAGACCCGTTTGAGATCTTCTATTCTCAGGGCTAAGATTGTGCTCGGTTTTTGGTATGCTTGAGGACACACTTTTTGACTTTTGCTCATCTATTTTCACATCTATCTCGCCACTCGTCTCATGCGGTGCACTTGATCTCGACTTCTTTCGTTCTTTGCCTGTTGATTCCTGGCGGCGGTGAATACCTGGCCGATTCTCCGGCACGAAGTATTGCTCACTGTACCGCGATGTATTAAAGGCCCGCCATCGAAACTCTCGTGATGGCAGCTCGTTAACGTCGATATACTGCTTTTGCAGTGTCGTGCCAGGCGGAAGTGTCACGTCCAGTTCTGGATGGTATTTTGGATTGCCGTACCCGTCGAAGCTCACGGCACGCCCAAGCTCATCGATGTAAATGCGGGGACCGGGAGGTCCGCGAAGGAGGAGGAGCACGATGAAGGCGGCTGGCCATAGTAGGAACATGCGGTCCACCGTGCGAGGGTCCGCAGGAACCTCGTTTTGGTTCGCTCCTGCGTTGTAGAAACCACCGCTGCTTCCACTTGCTCCGCCACTGCTGCCTTGAGTTCCCTGAGGGCCGTCCCGACCGTAAAAATACCTCTGTGAAAACGGCCCGCGGGCCGCCATCTGCCGCCGCCATATCTCCTCGTCCATCCTTCGCTTTTGCTCTGCTGCTATGCGCGCTCGCCAGTCGGCACCGCCACCACCATAACCATACTGCTGCCGCCAGTCGGGCCCCCCGCCACCACCATATTGCTGTCGCCAGTCGCCCTCGCCTGGACGGTGCGGCCCTCCGGGACTTGACGAGTAGGAATCCCCGGCCCGTCCGTCACGAATGGCTTCGTACGCTTCCTGGATCTCCTTGAATTGCTTCACGGCGTTTGGGTCGTTCTTGTTGCGGTCAGGGTGATACTTCTTGGCCGCCTCAAGATACCTCTTTTTCAGTTCTTCTGCGCCCACTCCTCGCGATACACCAAGTACACGATACGGGTCTGGCGCGAAACGAACGCGGGACCGCGCAAGAAGCCCATGAAATTTTTGGTATCCACCCTGCATTCAAGTCTACACAAACACAAACCATTGAAGACTAAGTACTCAAGATCACATCAATAAACACCATCGAACAATAAAAAATGAAAGAACAATGCGTATCTTCGAATTTTCCAAAATCAACAAAAGCTTTCTTCATTGGCTCACGTTCCAAGTTGCCAGCCTCGTGTTTTTCTCGATCAAACCGTCCCTCTTACAAGAGGAATACTCAACTCGATCCTTCACAAGAGGAATACTCAACACAGCTTCTGTTTATTTTCACGAAAATCAAAATTTTTTACCGACTTCCAGTTTCATTTTGTCTATTGAAAAATACAAAACTGGAACAGGGGGATGCAACTCAAACACAGTGCTGGAGTTTATCTGCTGCCAGCGAGCAACCGAGAACAAGAGTTCATTTTGTCGTGTGCCAACAATGCTCCGGGGTTGTGATTATCTGCCATCAGCAAACAGAATAAAAGAATGGTTGTGATCTGATCACTTTGGAAGATTCATCGCTTTGTTAAACGCCTGAGGAGCGTTAGAGGAACAAAGCCCACTATCACCAACATCTTTCATCTTGGGCTGAAGTATCGCGAAGCACCACCTGTAAGCGGAAACCACTTTGGACACCTGACACGGACGGGTGCACAAGGACGCCCAATGCAGGTGCGGGAGTGAGACACGAAATCAACATGAGTGACAGTTAGTCAGTTTTTGTGCAAGAATTAACTGGAGTTTTTTTTTTTGAGGAGTGGATAGCCTCCCCATATTTGTGTATGTATGAGTCATGACATTGGGTGCTCCTCTTGTAAAAAAAATTCAATTCAATCATTGTTGCATTAGTACTTGCACGTAGTTAGCAGATCGAGAAACAACTTCGAAGATGAATCAGAACGAAAGGTTAAAAAAATCTTACTAGCATATCAAAAGGGGATGGAGAAGATGACTTTTCACAAACACAAATGTGAAAACTAGCATAGAAGAGATGTAGAGAAAAGCTTGGAAAAAGGAAATGGGGTGGATCACGTCGTCCAGGGGCACAAAGAGTTGCTACGCCGATCAGAACAACCACATTTACCATCGACGATATTGGCGCCTCGCGCTCGCCCAGTGTGTCTTCGTCTTGTCTTCCGGATGAGGCGGGCGGGACACGCGGACAGAGAAGACATAAGAAAATATTACTACTACTTGATGCCTACTAGAGATCAAAGAAGCGTATGTTACACATTTGAAAAATGAATGTACTCGTTCTGCCACAGTTGCGATCGCGAGTTTTGCGGAGGGAGCGGGAGGGGTCTCTGACTTTTATTGCGTCTTTGAGGGTATCAGGTATCGGAAGATACAGTTACAAACGAACTCGACGGACGAGTAACGAACATCGAGTAGGAAGCAAGTAGCCGAGGAATATCAAGCTCCAGAATAATCAATTTGAGCCCAACTAAGTGTAGAATTGATTATAGTGTTTTTTCGTGAACAAGCGTGTATTTCTTTTTCATTGCATCATCGAGCGGTAGTGTGGTTTACATCTTATATATAAATATATAAAAACTTATATTGAAGGCATCCCTTTGACTCTCGGACTCGGTGTGAATCTTTCATTTGTTTTAAGTATTTACTCCTGTTTCTTTTCGGTCTCTGCCGTCGCGGTCGCATCGACACTGGGGCTTGCAGGGGAAGATCCACCGCTGGGTGGCAACGATGGTGAACGTGCAGAACTGTTGTGGCGGATGCCCCAACCAATTTGGTCTACTGCATGGCAAGTGCGTGCCACGCAGTCCTCTCGTTTCTCGCACAATTCCCGCACGAGCTTTGGTTTTCTCAGCAGAAGTATAAGTGGGTGCATGCTGCGCACGATTCGAATCACGTTCTCGCCAATGCTCACAGCGAAGAGGTACAGAAAGGGCATGAAGAAGAAAAAGGACAAGGCCCAGGGTTCACCACTGAGTTGGTACACGACAAAGGTGTAGAAGCAATGCAGCGCTGGTACGAGAAACATCGCTGTTAGCACCTTCCACGTGCCGATCACGTCCCGAGCGGCGATCTTTACTGTACTGCGCGTGAGCGCTTCTTTCGCCTTGCTCCGCGCGACCATGTGCGCGAGTACCATGACGGGCGAACCCAGTACCGCAAGCGGTAGTGCGATCAGGCTGAAAAGCAGCAAGAGGCACGCACGGTGCGCCAGCGTCCCCCACTTAGACCAGGATTTTTCTCGTTGTATCACCTTTTTTTTCATCAATGCCGCTAGTGGCAAGGCCTGGCGCACTCCCTTACACCCTGGGCGCCGCTTGCCAGTCGGCTTTCGGGGCCGTCGACATCCGCAGAGAAGCAGCTGCCAAGGCTATTCGGCCCGGCGCGCATGATGGCAACATCCGGCCCAAAGGTCGGAGCCAACCAAGGAGCGCCCCAGACGGGTACTTTTTTGGAAAAAAACGTCGACAAAAATGGGGCGCATTTTGCACCCCTTTTTTGAAAATAAAACGGCGACACGTTTTGCGAGGACCGAAACGGCCCCAACTAGTGGGGCCTAGGGGGTGCCAAAGTGGGCCCTTTTTGTCCCACTTTTTGAGTCCCCTCCCAAGCGCCTCCGACCCGAGCCTCTTAAAGGGAGGCGGCCCCTCTGGGGACGCCTATAGAGTCCATATTTCGCCATCCCAGGGAAGGGGGTCCCGCTCAGCGGGTCCAAAGCAAAACGAGCGGTATGGCGACGCCTGTCCATAGGAGGTCGGAGCGTCCTTAGGCTAGCCAAAAAGAAAAAAAAGTTAGATTGTGCAACGAGAAAAATCCTGGGTTAACCCACAACGAGCGAGCTAATACACGCTGAGCCTCTCGCTCATCCTCGTCACGCTGCTGCTGGGAACACGGAAGCTCCCCATTCGGTGGGTAGGTGTTGACGGAAGGTTCAACCTGATGGTGTTTTGAAAACAGCCTCGCCACCATATAGTCGTGAATACCGTAGTCCTGCAGCAACCCGGTGTACACTTTGACGCGTGCAGTCAGTGTTTGAATAGCCGCGTTGTCCTTCACGCGCGGCCAGCCCTCCGCGAACGCTCTTGTCATACTTTGCTTCTGTTCGTAGTTCAGCCGCGTGGTCGGTTGTATGTACAAGCGTCGTAACGCCCAATACAATTTCAACGTTTCAAAGTCCCGCATTAGAAGAGAGCTCTTCAAACCGATTTTCAATTCTACGTAGCACTACCGCTATTAGCGTGCCATACGGCGACTAGAAAACATGATTGTAGAAATGAAAGAATCAGCAAGTAGATGAATAGTCCTCGTCTTAACTCAGTGTCAGTCGTGACATTTCGCAGACTTTTCGAAATCTGCTTCAAAAACGTTCCCACTGCCTGCCGGCGCGTCGTAGGATCCACATACTCCTGCAATAGGCCCTCCGATGGGTAAATCGGATCCTCGATGTCCACAAAAACGCGACTGCGGAACTGCGTGTGTAAAAAAGAGATTCACAATCTTCTACATGATTAAAACATATTCTTCGTTCCTCTTGAAGTTTTTAGGTACCGATAGCGATATGAAACCGAGAAACAGAAACAGAATCACCAGTACAAGTAGAGTTGTGACGCAACGCGTTTATATGAGTTTTCGAGATCATCAAGAACGTCCCGACGTGAAAAGCGAAACTCCACACGGTAGAAAACGAAACCGCATCGCCATCTGCTCCAAATGCTGGCTTTCAATTTAGGGCAAAATCTTAGTTTTAAGTACTCTGTGCCCCTTGAAGTAGTTGAGTCCAACTGGTACAACTGGAATCGGTTTTTTGAGTTCCAGGGAAGCTTGCAGCGCGAGCAAGCTCACACCCGGCTTCAGTTCCAACAACGAGGTGCGATCGTGGGAGCCTCCCTCTGGAAAGATACCCACTACACGATGGGAATCCAACCTGTCTATGCAAGCATCAAGGAATGCCCGTGAGTCACCAGCCTTCGCGATCTTGCATGACGATACTTCTCTAACTTCGTATCGAGTGTATGTTGAGGGTGTTTCAACTTGCTTTTCGTCTCCTGATTCAATTCCGTCCTCTGCTGCATCGTTAGCTTTTTCGCTCGTTTTATCCTTCACTGCGTCAGATACAGTCACTGTGACCGCATGCTTGAATCTCAACTGAGTATCGCTTACAACTTCAGAAACTACGCCATTCTGAATTCCGCTTCCGAAGATGAACACGCAACCATCTGGCAAGTCATGGAAACTCTCGATTATTGGCGTACTGTCAGCAGCCGCACCTGCTTCTTCTTCACCTGGTAGAAGCGTACACCTGTCGCCCTGTAGACGCATTTTGGCTTTGTATTTGACTGCAACATCCTGCGGCCGCTCGACGGGAATCGAGCCAAAGCCGCGAGTGAGCGCACCTATCAGAGGTCGTCGAGCAGAGTGCGCCGCTGCCACGTAGCCTACTGGATACGAGATGTAGGGGCGGAAGGCGCGGCCCACCACGACGGGATCCAAAAACTGGTTGTTGTGAGGCGCAATACAGAGGATGCATGCGCCTTGCGGAATCTTGTGCGCTCCGCGGCTTTGAAAGTCGCGGAAAAAGATACCGATAATAAACTGGCACAATTCCACCACAATCTGAGTGATGTCAACGTTGCGAAAAATCCAAAGAGCCACACAAGCAGAACCTGCACCTTGGGATAGAAAAACTCCGGCGCCGAACGACTGCAACGTTGAAGAAAGGCCCATGCCCAACCACAGCAGCCAGAAACCGGTGTGACTAGCTTCAGAGGGGAAAAGCCCTCCTGTCGGCGACGGCGCAGGAGCAACCACAGTTGCAGCAACTGGTGCCACAGGCGGCGCAGCAGCCGCCTTACTACCCGATCGGCCACGACTCATGCTTCTTCCTCGTGGGGGCACGGTAGAGCCTGTAGACTGTTTGGCAGAATCTTGTGCCGTCTTTGAAGATGCGACGCTACGAGATGTGGATTGGCCTGGAGTGGGAGCATTACTCGAAGACTGCGCGGACGTCGAAGATTGCACGGGACTAGGCGCGGGTCTGGAAGAGGGACTCGCAGAAGGATGCCTAGTAGGGCTAGCTCGAGGTGCGGCCGGAGCATTAAAGAGATTTCGATACAGTTGATCCAACCAGAAAAAATTGTTTTTGCGCAGTTTAGAACCTGTCAATGGAGAGTCGTCATTGGAAGTCGCGCTGCTGTTGGATACTCGTGACAAAGCTGCGGATACTCTTGAGTCCCGGTCATTGCCATCTTCTAGTTCACTGCATGTCGAAAGTTTAGAAAGTCCTCGGTCGTTCACAGCATTGCAGGCCTTTTGGAGCAGCTCTGGATTTATCAGGCCGGATCCGCTACGAGCAACGCTTGGTATGGCACCCTGTTTGTTTTGCGCGGACCCTATTCTTGGCCGACTTGCTGGCGAACCTTGCGGCCTATCGCCAGACGGTGTTGTCGCCGCTTCGAAACTGTTGCTAGGACAGTGGAGTTTGCACGCAGTCGGGTCATTTCCGTCTACCATATCAGGAGATGATGCTGAGCTCGATGGTTCGCCTGTTGTAACCTGTTCGCCAGTATCGAACTTTGTGTCTGCCGTGGCGTTATTGCTGTTTTTTTGTCTCGCTTTCCTGAGAGCAGTGATTTCTTCGCTGGCGCTCGGCCCAGTGCTGCCATCGTCGCTCTCTTCCGATATCGTTGCTACGCTACTGATCACACTATGTCTTCTCGCACCCATTTGGTCGTCATCCGAATGGTGTCTACCGCTGCCTGGCTCCCGATTTGACGACGACGAGGACGCGACCTCGAAACGGCTGCCTGGAAGGTCCTTCGAGACGCTCCGCCGATGCCTGAGAGTAAACGGTCCATCGATCAAGAACGACCCGTCATCTTGTTGATCTGGCGGGTGCTGCTCGCCGCGTCGGAGGGATTTCACATCCCCACTGTGGGAACGCGGTAGGGAGCTCACAATTTCATCCACTTCTGGAAGATCACTTGGAAATGGAGAGAGATTCTCCGACACCCCGCGTCCGAGAGGACGAACGGGTGACGATGACGATGCCATGTTGAATCGAGTTTGAAGATGTGGGTGCGGCTGTGTAGTTGCTGTCCGTGATTCAAGAAAACATAAGTACACCTTAACCTGCTGAGAAACGAACTGAAAAACCTAAGATGAGTCTGATGATGCAGAGTCCATGCAGTTGATACATTGTAAGTACTAGTACAAGGAGTGCTCGCGTAGATTTTCAACTCAGGAGAAGTGTAGACAATACAAGCTCGACCTAATTCGATACATCGACGGCACGGGGGGCAATAATTTCTATGTACGATAAAGACTGAGAGTGAGACACGATTTCAAGAATAACGAATTGCCTAAATGTGTGTGCGCATCATATCGAACTCAGGTTTGCTCCGGATTTATCCATGCATGAAACTACTCGCGTACTCGTAGTCATATTTTACACTACTTACACATCCTCCCTTACAAATTGAGATGCTCAATATGCTTGTTCAACCTGCATTTTGATAATTTAGTTAGTGTGGAGATCCATCTAAAAAGCTAGAGCTAATCATGTATTACTCATGGAACCCATGATCCTAAGCACTCTCTATCGATATGAATCGTAGAATTAGAAGGTATGGTGCAGGAATAGATAGTGGGCAAAGTGATTTCTTTGATTGCGATTGGTACCACAGCGGTCACGAATTTCAATTGGTTTCCACAAGCGAACAAAATACGGACAAAACTATGCTTCTCTCTGAATACAACTTGTACATAGATACGTTGGTGTAAAAATGTCAACAAACTACTAAGTACATTCTTTATAAGTAAAAGTCAGAAATCTGAAGCTAGGAACGAAACAAAGATCATGATCATGTACTAGTCTGATGAATTCCATATCTCTCCCTTCTCAATCTCAGCGAACACACGTACTTTTTACGCGGAGCATCAATGTGATCAATCTCATTCTTATGCCCATCTCATTGAAAGAAGATCTTAATCCAATTGCCCAGATCGAAACGGTCCCCCTCTTGACTCTATAAATCGCGATGCGTGTATCTGCATGAGCAGTTCTATAGACTAATAATCAGTAGAGGATGCTTAGACCGATCGAAGCTTAAGGAGTGGATCAACAAGAACTTGCTCTAATAACAAGAAGACATAAAAATTTCGAGACCTCGTGCAGAGCCATTGGCCGGGCCTTGGCATTTGACCAACCGCTTCCGCTCTCGTTCTCAACCTACCAAATAGAAGGTCCAAACATGATCAAAAAGATTTTGATATGTTCTCGTTGAGCTTGAGGCCTCTGATGTGTAGTATTCACATGCCCACTTCTTGTTCTATTTTCTCTTCTGCCCAGAGTTTGCTCGTCCCTGGCAAAAGCAGTCATTGTCGCGCATCACTGCCCACTGCGAATCATTCAACCAATCTCTTCTCTTCCCAATGCGCGGCGTCGGTTCCATCGGCCGCCTGCGTCGTGGTAAGTGACCACAGGCTTTCTCCAAGGCGATTTGGGTCTGTGCGAAACTCGCGCTAGGAGAGGCGACACTTTGCGTAGAGGACAAATTCCCTCGAAATTCCTGCAATGCCAACAACGCCTCTTGTGCACAGTCTAGGCTCTCGCTTCCAAAAGCATTAGAAGTAGGCCTCAGCTCAAAAGCAGATGTAGATGGCTTTTTATTGCCTGCCCATGGAGATTCCTCATTTCCAATTACTGCGCGACAAAATGCACAAGGAAACTCGTCAGCCACGTAATCGACAATATCAAAGGCCTTTCTCCATCGATGATACTCGAGATAGGCTGTCGTATTGGCGTTTAGATAATCTAGGTAGTCTGCAAGATACTCCACAGATTCGAAATCGTCAACATGGATAAAAGATCCTCGTGGTGCGACCAAAAGCACATCCTCCTTTGGTGGACCGATTAAAATCGGCACCAAACCGTGGAAGTACCCCTTCACGATTTTTTCATCAAGATAGTGTCTGCAACATGTGTTATGCGCAGCAAGGAAAAACTTGTAGCCCCAAATCGTCGTGCTGTTGTATCTTCCCATCATGTGCTCTCCTGACACCGGCTCTCCCGTGTCGAACCGTTGTTGAGCTTGGGTCCCTCTACCCGTGAAGACTGATTCCAAGACTGATCTACTGACGTCTACGGGCCTTTCGTACCGCGGATCCCGATACCGCTCTAACCAATTCAGCTTTACAGAATTACGTCGGTGCAACACAGGATGCATTTGATCTCTCGCATCTTGCAAAAAACATTCGCCACGCGCGTGCAACAGCCCAGCCTTTAGAAGGCCGCGTGCCCAATAGTCGCGATTCGATTGCATGTTGTACTTGCGCGAAATGTAAAGAACGGGAGTAGGGCTACTAGGCTGCCCCACCGAAGATACAGCAGCTTTTGTTTCCCTTTCTAACGTGAGCTTCTTCGACTTCGCCATCCTAGTAGCAATCTCCTTGAATGTGGGAGAATTGAGATACGTAAGAAAACTGGGAATCGGCATGAAATCTTTCTGTTTTGCAGCGCCTTGACCGTCCGCTTCCTTCCTCTCGAGTGAACCCTCCGCGATACCATCACCTGATCCTGATTTCTTTCTACCTCCCTTACCTGGTGCATTCCTCCACCGCCGCACTAGCTCTTGTATTTTCTGCTTTGCGGGATTTTCTGGTCTTGGAAGAAAAAACAAATCGCTCCACATCGCTGTGGCACGTGGGTCTGAGTATACTGTGCGAACCTGCGGATATGCTGATGGGGGATCGAAGTACTTTTCGAGAAGATTACTGGGGTGTCGGGGGTTTTCTCGGTGAGAGACAGCCCAGATCTGCTTTTCGCCGATGGCATGGTCAACACTCTTCGGCCTTTGCTCTTGCACGAAGTTGTTTGTGTCGCCAGCGCTGGCCCACTCCTTCTTGCGCAAAAAATGATTATACTCTGCAATGTCTAGTCCCTCCGCTTTACCACCGCCAGAAAAAATCAGCACTGCCAGTCTCGCCAACGCCGCATGATATTCCTCTTCTGAGCCGAAGTCATTGCGTTTCAGCGCCTTCTTGAACTCGCACGTCAGTGTCGACGTGCACTGGTGCACTCCGGCGCTCTCAAATATTGGAGGCACCCAACGATCCTTGGCAGCAACGGCAAGCGTAACATGACGACTCGCTCGTGCGTACGAGCAGAGCGCAAGGACGATTAGCACACTTGTGTTGGCTAGTCGAAGTGTGCGCCTCCAGTGCTCTACGATAGATCTCCACAACGCCATGATTTTTTCAGGCGGATCCACTTAGGCACAAGCACAGTGAATTGCGCCAGCGGACTTCCGCAACAGGTCGTGGTATGACTATGAGCACGCCTTTGACTGCTTAAGCTCAGCCTCTCTAGTAACGTCGTCGTCCCTCCGCGGCTCCCTTCTCGCTTCAATGCAGGACACGATAATACGCAGAGCGGCGCAACAAAGAGTGAAGCAATAACTTGTCATACTCATAGTTTACTACATCGACAAAACGACAGCGACAGCACCAAATCTAATATTAAATGGGATGGTCTGTGCCATTTTTGTACTTAGATCATTCGCTGTTCTTCTTACTACAGAGTAATTGGCAAGGTTTGCCAGCTCGCATGGCACGGAGTGCATGGATCGCATTGAGCTGCATGGAGCTAAAGGGGGCGCTTCTTGCGTCCCTTACAAATCTGCGCCCCATGGTCTCCATGCTACTCCGCGCACTCCATGCGCCATGCGTGCTATAAGCTGCTCTGTTACTATGTATATTAAGCGGATCTACGGATGGTGCTGGTCCAGCCGAGTTGGTTTGCAACAGAACTACAGCAACCTACTCGTCTTTCTCTCTCTCCCTCTCTCTAATGGGTCAACGTCAAATACGCGCGGTTTTTCGTTTTGTCCGAATCACCTACTTCGACTGAGTCTACAAAAAATGTCGTCCAGTCATGTCACTTTCGCCACGCCGCTGTACTATCGCCAGACCACGATCAGGGAGACGTGGCTCCAGATGTCTTCGATGTAGAAGCCTTTTGCCCAAAAATCAAAGTAGCACTATCGATTGCGCTCGCGGCTTTTGCGACATTTGATGTCATACTGAGTAAAATATTGGACCGACCAAAATCACAACATATTAGTTATCTCATGTAGGAATTTGGCAACTGTAGTATTTGCTGTTCGGAAACGAGTTAGTAGTAAGTCTTCTCAATTTCCGCCAATGCTGGATCGAAATTTTCCGCGCAGACCACGCATCCCATTCTTTGCTGTATGCGTTGGAGAAATCGTTCCTTGAGATCCGGCAAGATCTTGTCCTGTTTTTTGAACCAGTTGTGTTCTATAACCTTTGCTCGCGGTCCAGTGAAGAACTCCGGAGGTCCAAAAACTAGTTGATGTCGAAACATCTCCTCATCCCGAATGGCCGTATCAAAACACCTATTGAGACCCTGTGAGTGCCGGTTTCGATAGACCCCTAATTCTTGCGGAAAAGTCTCTGGACTTTCATACCACGACTGCAAGATCTCAAGACCCGCGGGGTCATTGCGGACGATGAAAAAGCCACCATTGCCACGCTTCCGACGCCCAAAACGATCTAAAGTACTGTCATACGGGAGTGTCGTGTACTCTTGCTTCGCTATCGCTAACGTATTCGCTCCATCAACCGTACTCTTCCCTGCCTTGCCTGACACTTCGTCGCTAGATGCGGGACCTTTTTGATCGCCGCTTCGTGGTGGTTGCTCCTGTTTCATTCGCTCATCTACCCCAACTTCCTCTGTGCTACTAGGCCCACGCTGCCCATGCTTCGTGTCTGCTAACTCAGCTTTTAGAATCTGATCATACGACAATACTTGTCTTGCTGCTGGATTCTTCTTATCAACATCCCAAACAATCTGGTCGGGCCCAGGCGCGTGTGAATCCACTTCCTGCGATATAAGAAACTTTTTTTCTCCGCTAGCAGTAGTGCTGTGATGATTTTTTCATAAAACTAAGGCTAGTAAGTGGCAACTTCAAGAGGATCTGAAATCACAGCAAAAACACACGGAAATCGACGAGAAATGAGCGCCTGAGAACTTTGAATTGATCTACGAACTTTGATCGCATCAATAGGATTACAAGGAGTGTTGTTTGAATGCCCTTTGGTCGGCCCAGACACAGATGAAGCCCAGGCTGATGGTTTCGGCTTCTGAATCTTACTATTGCACGTGTGGAATGCTGAATACTCCATGGTGAAAGGAGAATCAACTTGGATTTGTGCATACAGAGACTAAGGAAATGCATTGAAATGAAAGATCTGTAGTTGCGTAGGGAGAACTGATCAAGGTCAGTAGTACTGCAACGGCAGCCATCGCTGCGTGGCTCGATGGGTGTTCTTCACAAACGCGATGTTCCCATGGGCTGGCATGAGGAAGAGATTTTGAGATCGTTCTTCAGGTTCTGCTCCTGTGATGGTTATTTTAGGATTGTCTGGATACTCACCTTGCGAAGATCCTTCGTGTGTAGCCTCCTCACCATTTTTCCTCGTCTCCTCATCAGCTTGCAATGGCCGATATCGCATGAAGAAATCAATGATGTTTTCGAGCTTTTCGGACGTCTTGAACCACGCGTCAGAATCAATCGACACACCATGAGTGCACTTTTCTTGCCCAAGCTCGTTCAGGCGTTTCCACATGTACCACATCTTTGCCCACCCTACTTTTCTGCTCGGATCTTGTGACCACAAGTTCAGAGAGTCACCCTCACCGCCTTCGTCCGATCCTACGGGAGGCTGATACAGCTTTTCCGAGCGCCGTTCGATGTGATAACCATGTGACCGCGCGTATAGGAAGTTGATGGCGTAGCTTAACGACCACCACTCATCCGTAGTCGTCACTGCACTCACAGATCGCAAATCAATCTGAATCGGTCGCGTGTCTGTGACAAAAATGCAAACTCTCACCTCATACTCATGATTGTCGCGTTCCGGAGGAGATGTTGGCATCAGCTTTCTCCTTCGATGTATAGGCGGAAACCATTGCTCGCAAGCGCATGAATCACGATTCGGCGTTCTGTGATCGGGACAAAGAGTCAGAGTGCAACGCTCCTTCCTCGTGATCAGTGGCCCTCGTTCAGTAAGCGCCGATCCCTGGTCCTGCATGCTGCGCGCTTTGCCGGACAAACCACCGCTTTCTCCAGGAGTACTTGCACCACTTTTCATGTCATTTCTGACCTTTTCCCGATGCCAATCCAAAGCCACTTCCACTAGGTACATTGGTATTGCCCAGTGATAGCCAACAACATCCCATAGCGGTTTTCCCAACTGCATACCCGGCAGATCATCCAAAATGGAAGTTTTGAATTCGTAGGTCATGCGTCGCCCCTCAAAAGCCGCTAACAGTTTTTGTACCGCGTTTAGGCGCTGGAGGCGATCAGCATTTCCCTTACTGAATTGAAAGGCCATTTGCAATGAGAAAAACGCAAATGCTAAAGGATCCCACCGCAAATTGAAAATGTCCATCGCAACTCGTCGGTAAATCTCACCACGGACACGGTTCATCAGGAGTACACGTGCTTCAGGAATCAACAGGCTCCCAGGCTCAAGGACATGGTAGCTTGCGTCAGTCACTCGACCGTGTTCCAAATTCCTGGAAGCCTGCTCATCGTCATCGGCTGACGTATCGCCTTCGTCTGAACTCAGTGCGGCTTGCCCCCTCTGTCTCCTTCTTCGTTTTGCTCTGCTGTAGATGCCGTTGACCAACTCTGGTGTAAGCGAGTCGTACGGCTGCAACTGCGCCACCGTACTGCATGGATCTTCAGCTTCATAGTTCTGACTTGTTAGCATCCCTGTATCGTCGATATGGTAGCCGTTTGCACTGAGACAGAGCACCCGCTGCAAGTAGTGCATTACGAAGGTGTCAGACGTCAAACAGTCACCAATCTCAATCACTGCGCCGGCCATCTCCACAAGATGCTCAATCACCTCAATTTTCGTGTCCGGCAACACGTGGCCTTGATGCGACAAGCGCGTGCGCGCACCCGCAAGAAAGCGGTTATGATTCTCGCTCTGCAAAACCTCCACCCAACTCGGGAAGAGTGAGCCTGTGGCAAGGACTTGTTCCGCTTTCAAGTCGAACATTCGCAAAAAGTTGTGCACGCCATCAGCAACAGGAGGCTCCTCTTCGCCCGCAAAACCTTCTTTAGATTCCTCTGCGACGGCCGCCGATTCAGACTTTTTCTGAGAAGATGCAAGATTATCCGCAGCAGCGTTGGTTTCGATTAGGGTCAAGCGCTTCTGCCCATGCGAGGTTTCTGCGAGGAGTCTCAGATACGCCGGATGTTCGAAGAAAGGGCGTGGTGTTGACGGAATCTTCTTGCGGAATCGCGCGTAATAGCTGAAGGAGGCTGATGCTGAGGGGTCGTTGCTGGCTTCTGTCACCTGCTCATCTACCTGAGTATGATTGCTTCCACTGTCTTCATCGCTCTCTGCCGTTGGTGGAAAGGCGATGAATTTCCCCTGGGCACTGAGTCGATGCACCCATTGTTTTGGCATCGCGTGCTCGGGTAACCTCATATCTCCCGCGGCCATCGACATCTTCGCTTGGCAGACTCTTGGATTGACTTTCACACCACACGGAAAGCCTTCGGCGGGCTCACCGTCACGTACGGGGTCGCTCTCCAAAACGAATGCAAAGTCTTCCAGCGGCACTCCACCTTGCCCTTGCAGCTTTGTGACCGTCTCAGATAATGGACCGACTTCTACCCGACTATCCTCCTCACTCACGCTATCGTCAAATGGCACTCCGTTGGCCTCCATAGAAATTCGTTTTAGATTGTCGCGCGGAAACAGGCCTTCCTGCAACTCGTAAATCTGATAGAACAGAAGCAGGCCCCAGCCGCTTTTGATCAACGCGTCCCAACTCAACGACTCGCGAAGCATGGCCGAGTTCAGCGCCAAAAAGAACTCTGGTAGATACGCATTCTGAGTAAGCTCGTACCAGCGATACGCCGGTGGCTTGAGAGACGTACTCCACAGGCGAATAACGAGAAAACCCAGTGCGCAGTCATCGAATCCACCCTGCAGTGTCGCGATATTGTGCCATGCGTGTTGCACTTTCGCTATCTGTCTTGCATATGCGTTTGTAGTCCAGTCTTGTTTCGCGCCCGCTCCCCCGAAGGCGAAATCTAACAGCCCCAAGAGCACGTCCTTCACGTGTAACCAATCGAGCTGTAAGTCCTCCGAGGACTCACAGCTTAGCGACCGATCCATTTCAGCCTGTGAGGGCTTCCGCATATAGCGCAGTGCCGGACTCAGCTGAATCTTCGTCTCATCGGGGATTAGAAGCGCACCGAATTTATCCGTATCGACGGGTGACGTGTAGAATGAGCTGTCGTCTGGAACGAAACCGACATCAGACGCCAAGCGCGGGGTCGCGCCAGCAAAACCACAAAGGGTGAGTACACAGACAACACCCAGCTGTGATACCCACGCACGAGACTTTGGTCGAAGAGGCGAGCAAGGCAAAAGCCACAGGCTCCCATGGTCGAATCTCCCCACGAGTGAGGACATGTCTCTTAGCGAGCCCGAACAAGTGGGTCGCCACTGGCGAGCTATCAAGTTGACATATTTTTCCATCTCCTGAATCCGGAGAGTCGCTCAAACTACAACATCCCTACACGAGAATCTGTTTCTGAGATTTGGAAAAAGGGGGTATCAGAATTTAGAACAAGCATGGAATTTTCTCGGCTTTGTGGTTCGCCATGAGACCTCACGTTCCTCTCGGCTCTCCTCTCAATGACTCTCGGAGAATGAGACACTCTGACTCGTCATGGACCATACTTGTGTTACCGCTGTTTCCTGCATCCGTAAAACACTATTTTTTCAGAAAATACGCCTGCGAGGAGGACAACATAGGCACGCGATCGCCTTTTTTTTGTAGAACATTGACTTTTGGCTCCGCACGGCTTCGGTCTGATCAGTCTCGTCATATTGTGTTGTTTCACAGAAGACGTAATTGACGACGACACTTCTGTGTTGACTAAGAATTCTTCGCAGAGCATTTTCCGTCGCCAACATCACCACAAGCATAGAACAGTTAATCTGCTCGTCTTCTAATCAATCGTCACGTCTCGATCTGCCACCATCGAACCCGCAGGCTTCGTCTTCCACCGAAATCGCTCCCAGACTCGTTATTCTTCGTTCGAACGCAGCATACTATGTCTTCTACAAAAACCCTTGATGAGAAGTAAAAAAAGATGCTTACTGAGCGTAGGTAGTCGGGCGCGTGGCGCGGAAGATCTTGCGCTGCGTCTTCGGGATGAGTGGCATGCGGCGAACGTTCGGGTACTTGAGGTTCTGCGGCAACATCTGAAGCACATGCGAGCGGCGGATCTGCTCCTTGGAGACGATAGCGGTCTTCAAGATCTGGATGGAGCTAGCCTGAGCACGGTGGCGGCCGGCCATCTCGCAGATCATCTGACCGATGGCACCGTTGATCTGTAGTTTTTGAGATGGTGGGGGTTAAGGGTGGGCGTCATCAACTCGAAGGTTTCGGCTCAGTAATCAAATGCTGTAAAATATGTCATCGTGGGGATAAAAGGTAGCTCCTCATCTTGGGAAATGCCAGAGACAATAGATACAGATCGTGCTTGCTCCTGGACAGTCTTATCAGGCAATTATTAATCTTCAAGTTTTGTGTGGTCCCCATCCTGTCGTCGGATTCTGACCTACGGTTTGTCATCATTATGATGCTGCCCATGATTCAAGCGCAAGGTTTAGAAGCAATAGCATATAATTTTCGAGTTTCAATTTTAAGCTAAACAGCGATGAATACCGTGGTGTCCCGGTACTCCTTGTACATGTTGTGCGTATCAGTACGGGACTGATAGCGCAACCACACGCCGTAGTTGGTAACGGTAGTCGGGGACTGATCGAAGAGTTCAGTCTGACGCAGGATCTGGCCACCAGAGCGTTTGGCCTTGTTGATCTTCTTCATAAAGTACCTGAATAAAAATTTAGAAGAGTAGGTAGATGGAGTTGCACAACGAGATATTAATAGTCTCATTGTCAGCTTCTAGGGTGGAATCTAAATCAACCTCTTTCTGCATATCGCGTAGCCTTCAACAAAAAATTTGGGTCAGACGACACTCAACTACAAGGCGTTGTGTTCCTTAGGTAATAGACCCGAATAGATGGTTTGGAGAAACGAAAATTAGAGATTAAAATTTTCAACATCAATTCTAAAGATATGAGAGTACCAGAACTTGGAGCGGGCCAAGACCTGGTTCTTGGCGAAGAGTTTCATCTTGAAGATCTTCGGGACCGGGTTCTTCTGAGTCGGGGCAGCGCGGCCAACGATCTCATACTGGTGGATCTTTGAGCGGAGCGAGTTCTGCTCGATCTTTCCGAAGGTTTTCTTCACCATTTTGTCCGAAAGTCTAGCCTACACGGCAGAAAGATCGATCCAATCGATTTTTCCTTTAGGTGTCCCTGCGTCACAATGAGGAAGAGAAAGATGAAAATCAGTCAGATGATGGACCATAATCAGTGGCTGAAAGGTACCTAAGTACGCTTTGTATCTGATGGATGAATATAGATTTAGAAACCAGTGATCTTGATTTTCGAATTTATCAAAGTAAGACTTGCAGATCCGAGTAAAGATGTATTTTAGTGGAACGCGCACGGATGAACCCTCATATTGTAGATCATCAAGGATCTTGAATATTTTGTCCCTCATGGATCTAAATTTGATCTTTAGGCGGAGGATCACTCCCGATGAGATTTCTAGCTACAGTCTGGATCTACTTTCCTCTGCTTCGAGATCACAATGCGCGGCGCCACACGCACACGCTCACAAGATTTCTTTAGCTAGATCGCAAGATCATACACAGCAGAAGAGGCAGGAGGTTCTGTGGTTTTTCTCCATTTTAGATATTCCAAATGTCACTCAATCATTCAGTCAGCGACGTCGGCTAGCCTATATGCCACCGCCCTTGCAAACAATGAAATAACTCGCGCAACTAATGCCATACCAGATACATAATGGGAGCGCATAAGGCCGCACATTCGGCCACAAATCTACACCTATCGGAGAAGCCGTACACTCGACCCCTGAGATTAAGAGATGTCTGTGGCACTTGGTCAGGCATTGCACCATCAAGACCCTTCAGGTGGCATCATCTTATTCAGGGAGATCCTGAACATCAACAAACACCCGGAAGTGTTTATTACGGATTCCGGATTTCGGAACTGTAGCGCATCTAAACAAAAGAGCTCTAAATTTCATAACCTGCTTCACGTTCACAAGACGAATTTTGTATAAATCACATTTCTGAGCTCTTCTCATCGAGGGAATTGTTGCTACTGGCCTATCTTAAAGTATTCACTCTCATTCCGCTGGATGATCAAACGGACACATATGTTGCACTACAAAGACTAAGTCGCCCGGCTCCTTCCACCTTATCGCGATTCCGCCTTCGCTCTTCTATCCCTGTTTTAAAGTCGGCTCACATTTAGATTTAGATCTTAGGTCTTGAAGCAGATCGCAGAGAAAGGACAAGCCAAGCGGACAAGGAGAACTCGCGTATCTTCTAACTTCTTCAGCCTAACAATTCCGAAACTTTTCGAGCCCTAAAAATGAGTTGGAGATGCAACTGTAGACAAATCATACCTGCAAGTCTCTCTCGCTCTCAGACGGCTGCCGGAGGCTATGTATTTATATTATATTGATGATCGTCCTCTGACTCAACTCATCTATTTCTTCTAGCAACGACTTCAAATTCATTGCGACTGAACTCAAGCGCTAACCTACGTTGCCGAACGTATAAAAAAATGAAGATCGCAGACCCATGCAGCAAAACGGAGAAAGCTCTTCGCCCGTAGACTAGTCCTGGCAGGCATCTGCACGATCCAATTCTTTTCATTCATTCAGGGGGCGAAGCGCGGTAGCCCGGGGCTTGCGGGCGTGACCGTGTCACAATACGCCGTGCCTCGTGGAGTATGCCCGCGAGCGCGAGGTCAGTCGTCCGACGAGGGTACGGCACTCACTTAGCGGTTCGCCAGGACATATTTTTGTCTAGTTTCAAACCCCATCAGGATCTCCACTATTGCTTGATTTTGTGATAGGCGGAATCCGAACAAGGCTCGCAACAGCACGGCCTTTGTGCAAAAAGGTGGTCTTCATAGACCGCTGAATGTGTATTGGAAAAAAATGTCGCCGTTGCGTGGGAGGTGATAGCTTCTATCCTGTATCCGTAGTTCGTCGCACAAAGTACATCAAGGTGTGGTTGTCGCGTTTCCATTTTGGGTGTTTCCATCGGACAGAGTGACATTTCTATTCTTGTCGGAGAGAAGTGAGAGGCTCGTTATCTAGGAAGCTTGTTTATTCTGTAAAGTCATTTGTGGTCCCCGTTCGAAATACAAGTTACAAGAAAATAAACAAGCAAGCCTGACACTAAATATGTACGTATTTCTTTCTGAGTGTAAATGTGTTCACCACGATCCCCTCACCTTAAGCAGCTTCTTGCAAGACAAGAGCGGGAGGACAAAGTATAAAAGTACATCCTCCGCCTTGGCAATTAAGTACAATGACCACGAAAATGAAGATAAATATCATGCTTCGTAATGTGTTCGCATGACGACAACGAAGCCACCCACATGGACGTGGAAATAGTGATACTAGAAACGAAGACCGAATGAATCAGAGCTGCAAGATGGTTCTTTATTAGAACCAAAGAAAGTACTCACGGAGTGATATTTATTGCGAGTAGGTCAGAGAAATGGTTGTATTATCCTTCCCCCCATCAACCGTGGGGGCAGTTGTGAAAGAAAACACAACACCATCAATTAGCGAGTTTGGACCGCCATCATTTCACTTCCAATACGTAGAATACAGTTTCGGGGATTGATGAGAAATATTAATCCTGGTTAGGGCGGGGAACGGGCGGCGATCGATACGTCTATTCGGGGTCGGTCAAAACACGGCGGAACATCAACTAGCAGAGATCAACATCTCGATTCTTAGAAAACGAAGTATTCAGAAGTACTAGATAATAGATAAGTTGTAAGAGCCCGCAACATCTCATGAAACTGAACGTTTGCCAGCCACGATATGGCCAACACGGCACCTTGTCAAGCATGTACATTGATTGGCAGCCCTTCGTCAGGTTCAGCACCCCTTCCAAAAGCCTAAGAAAAGACCCACAAATAAAATCGTTGATAGATACCCCCTCACAATGAGATCAAGAATCACATTTATACATTACCGGCGTCATGTCCCATGTAGTAATTTTACAACGTGAGTCAAACAACAAAAGCAATTCTCTATTATATATAATTATCTTCAACAAATACTGTACGCGTCACAGCTAGAAGGTGCCTTGTGGCCGCGTTTGATTGTGCGCGCGGAAAAAACAATTATTGTATTCGTATTCAACATTTTTGTCTGGGGCACCGGCACCAGATCGAGTTGCAGGTCTTCATCTCTTCCAGTATTTGCTCAACGACAGAGGGATACAACAATGAAAATGAGCAAGTAGTCGTCGTTTTTTACAAAGCGAATTACAATTAGCACGGACTTTCTGATGAGACATTTGTCATCATTATGTCGCTAAGCGCGCAATCTTTATGTTGAGAGTAGCAAGTGGTCATAATTTCTGCGAGGGACAACGAGAGTACAACATCAATATCGAGTTAATTTTGTATATGACCACTTTCCACTTTCTAGTCGCAGTCGTGCAGATACAACCAGGAATACAGCTAGACGTTCTTTCAGCAGCGATATATTACATATAAATACTTACAGATGGTGGAGGTGCGAGTGGGGCGAGCAGTTGTTGAAAACATATGGGATTTTGTCGGGAAGCACATTAAAACACGGGCGCCTCGGAGTTGGGGATAAAGTAGCTTATCATGTTGCACCAATTTACTCGCTCCTGACCTGCTGTGAAGATCCGTGGAATCCAGCTGTCTCTATCCCGAATGTTCTCGAGCAGGTGGTGTCTCAGTTCGAGCATATACCTTGCGTCGTGTGCAGAGTAGACCAGAATATTTGTGTCGAGTGGTCGCTTCTGGAAAATGCTGTAGTCGCCACCGCATGCCGGCTCAAACAGATTCTTTCCGAGCTGCCCAATGTTTTCTGAAAATTTCTTCTGTGTTGCATCTAAAGCGCTGCACTGCAATAGCACCTTATTCAACCCCTGCACATATGATACCTGTAATGGGACGAGAGGGATGCAGATATGTTGGATTTTTTAACAGAAGTTGAATCTGAATAGAAGGTTGCGGCTTGGTCATCGACAGAACCAAATGCAAAATTCAAATTAGTTTGAATAAGTACATTGAGGCCTTGGGAGCGTCGGACAGCAACCTCTGCGAGCTGAAGATCGAAAACGTTTTTTGGGTAGACGCCAAACTGATGGAATAATGCGTCAGCATCGTTTCGTGGGTCAAACCTGCGTTTCATAGAATTTGTTTAACACGGAAATGCTTTTTCGGGTCCGATGATCATAGTGATGACTAAATGAGGTCCAAGCTTCTTTAAGTATGCGCGATGATAAACGCGCATTTTTAGCAATGTAAAGAAACTGAACAGAGCGTAATTGGCACGCCCACATGCAACATTAGAAAATAGGAGTTGTCGTAGTTGTACCAGACTTTTTCTATCTCTTCGCTTTCGAGGATGCTTTGGAGTGTGGTGTTTCTCGAAGTTTTCACTTGGGAAATTGCTGCTCCGGCAAGAATAAAAACATCGATGACATAGACGACACTGTGGTCTCGAGAAAGCGTCATCTGTATGAGGCACAACGGGCCGTCGCGATTCAGCTTCACACCTGTTCGAAATTGATGAATGAAGACTTGCCTTTATGGATTGATATGGAGAGGCAACGGGTTTTGTTAGTTCTTCATTTCCTATCCTACATGAATATCATTCTCAAGAATACATCCAGCGTAACAAGACATCTGAATGCTCTGTCGGAATATCCATGATAAGTACCTTCGAAGTCCACCGCTATGAGGCGCTCATCTGTCGCGTCTATCTTTTTTAGAAGCTCCAGCAACGCTGAGTATGAATCTATCAGTTGCACACTGAACACCTGAGAGATGTCGAAAATAGAAGATGCTTATAAACGATCTTGTACATAGATGACGTTTGAAGTAGGCTAATGACCGCGTAATGATTCACAGATGATACGACTCTTAACTACAGCTGGTCTCGTATGCAATTGTTCCGGTTGCCATCGTTCATGAAGATGACCGTAGAGACGTGGTCTGACAGTATTTCTATGATACTGGCAGCGCTCGACAACCCTTTAGGTAAGCAAAAGTGCAGGGAGCTACTTGTACTAGAGCATGAACAAGGATAAGTTTTAACATTCTATGTCATAATTATTGTGGTCGCGTATAATATAGAAAATGATCGTTGAAGGGGAGCATCGGGGTTAGCAATGGTTAGTACGCTATTTCGGTATTCTGGATCGTCTTGTGAGGTGTGCGACGACAGTAGGCTCGTGGACATCTCCGATTGTTTTGTATCTATCGTATAGTACTGAAAAAACGACTGCATCTTCGGTCTTGATGTCTCGATTGACATGTACCTTTTTACACATTGTAGTTGATGGAGGGAATTGTGGGCTTTCAGGCAAAAAATCCCAATAGAGAAACATGTTGATGAATGTGTGGGTCACTAATAGATAGCACATATTAAGGCGATCACTATTCTTATTTTTTTTCACGTAGTCATAGAAAGACCGCAAAGTAGAAGCATAAAAATGCTATCACGATTGAGTACTGTGTTCTGTGATAGAGCTCCATTGAGAGTCGTATGAGTTGCGCCGTAAGATCGTTTAGTCGGCAGCTCATCAAGGCTAACACTTCTTGAGGACTTGACAAAGATTGCTGTACCTGATAGGGAGGTTGGAATTCCGATTTGTTGTGAGCCACATCTGAAGGAATGACACCCGGTATTAAAAATCTTTTCGTCGCGACGTTTCGATCGTCGACCAGTTCCTGCTAGTGTGATTATAGTTGATTCTAGACGAGCGAAACTATCGATGTGAAAAATATTGTATGTGCGAAAAGGAAATCAGCTCATACCAAAATCTGCAATCTTCTTTGCGCCGCTTCTGGTTGCGTTGACTCTTCTTCTGTCGGGTCTGGAAAGCCCTGTACTATTCCGCCGACTAATATACTGCCTATTGTGTGCATTTCGCCTCCGACCGGCTGTCCAGTCTGTGGCGTTTGAACGTCCAACCAAAAGCTAAACAGGAACTGTGAGATCACCTCTTTTGCTGCATCGGGCAGCGTTCCTTCCGCGGTTGCGGCGGCGCTTGTAGAGGAAGACGTTGCGTTGGACACAGCCGAGGCACCACCTGTCGACGGTGAATCTGGTTGTAGATCTATTGCGATGACTGAATCATAAGTAAACGTGTACTTGACTGAAATATTTAAAGTATTTTACTTTTCCAAGGAATCTTCTACATCTTCAAATTTTTCTTGCAATAATTGAGACCCTCGATGTCCATCTGTGAGTCAAGTTTAAAATTTGATATCATGAATACCGCCCACGCCCGCTCCTCTTTCGCCGGTTGATGATGCACTACCAGTCGCTTCGTTTGCCGCCTGCAGCTGTTGTTGTCTTAGTGTTAGCGCTTCGGTAAGTCGTCGGTGGTAGCTGTTCATGAGATACTGTGCTTTCATCTGTATTGCCTCCTGGCACACTGTTGGGATGAAATCGTCCAGTGTTTTCATTTTCATCTTCAAAAAGACGCCAAGTGCTTCTAGTATCTTTCCCTTGATCGTGTTACTCCTGTCTGGCAGCATCTCGCCAGCTATCTCCGTCCAGTTCATATGCAGCAGCATACCTTTGTTGGACAATGCAAATTTTTATATTCGACGGCGACGGTTTGCAAGAAAGTGAGAGGACAAATTGCAGAAGGCAACAACTCATGTTCCTTTGCAATTCATTGGCAACATGAAAATTTGCATGAAAATGAAAATAGCATAAATACCTGTGACGCTGTGCGCCAGATTGTGTATGTCTGTTGTGCAGACATTGTCGGTGGGAGAGAAGGGTCCACCAGATTGCGATATCACCTGAAAAAGCTCCTTCGCGTACTCTAGAACCTCCTGGTAGATATCCTGGTATGCCTCCTTCCCCGGCTGTTGGTGTGCCGCCATCTTAATGCGGCTGTTGGTGTCACCGATGCCGCGGAAACTGCCCCAAGAAGTCTGAATTCAATATAATCAAGTACTTGATGAAAACAAGTGCCACTGCTACTTATGCCTACTGGACGGAGGCTCTCTTTTGGGATAGTCGTCGTAGTTGTGCTCAGTGGCGTCGTAAGTCTTCCACTTTGAAGGTCTACTGCGACAGAAAGTGCGAAAGCGTTTCAAATCAACGCTGAGCTGTCGGAGTAGATTCGGTATTGTCGTTGTATCAAACTAACTGTGACAGTTTTTTAGGTCTCCTGTTTGATGAATGCGAAGCGACTGGTCTCGCTTATTCTCCCCGTTGACAAGAAAAATGTCGTTTGATGGAGATGGCCACGCTTATTGTGCAACTGCTAGAGAAAGAGAAAGAACCTTGCTGTCTCTTGTGTTGCGAGAAATGGTTATGGTGATGTCGTTAACCTTGCTAGGCGTTTGTTATCGTGTAATCTTCTGTATTCTGATGTGCATGTCGTTTGCCGTGTTGAAGGCGCCACGTGCCAAGTTTTTATTTTCGATTGTGTTCGCCAGTAGTTGATGATTGATGTAAATCGAGGTCGAGGAAAGCAACGACGAATTATCTTGCAACCAGCTCCGCTAAAGGAAGAAACTTCCAACACAGGTCAGCGAGAACAAAGACGGACCGGTCGTCAGGTATGTAAAAATAGATCGTCGAGAGAGTGCAAAACCTCAGCGGCAGACAGCAGGTTGATGATGCGAAACTAGTAGTTCAACTTCTAGTTCTAGCACAACAAAGTGATATAATTCAGGGAAGCACTGATCTTGTTTCAAGGATACTTTTTGGAATCCAGCGTAAGGCTCCTTGAGAGGGAAAGGCAGTAGTGTACGATTCTTTATCCGAGATAGAAGTCGCTGGAACGACAAGCTGGAGATTCCTGTGTTGTAGAATTGATGGACAACGAAATGGTCGGAACGAACGCTATACTGCTGGCGTTATTCGTCAAGCCTATGCGCCCAGAAAATCGTTGGTTGCTTCTTTCCCCTTTGACGCACCGAATCAAAAATCCTTGGCCCCGTTACTCCGCTACAATATTTCTTCCTCGCTCGGCTACTAGTCTGACTACTCTTCGTTTGCTGCTTTATAGTGAAAGTGCAATGTCCTTTGTTATTGATGTATGACCAGTCTTGTACTAGGAACTGCAGCGTTTTTCTAGGCGCCGAAATTCTTGATGTTCCTGGTCAGGCTTCTGCTAGGCGACGACGAAGAAACTACAACAGGCATCCCTGTTCGAGCTAAAGGCATCGTCATCTTTCTCCTTCAAAGTATCTCTCACTTATGATTCATGCAAATAGCCCGTGAGCTTGCGTACTGTAACAATATCAAGAGTCCTCACTGTGAAACAAACGAGGCCAAAAACAATTTCAGACTGCAGACTTACTTCTTCCACCTAGCGCCTTTGCCTGGCTCTGCCCCTACTCGGACAAACAATGTAATTTGTCATTTCGACGTAAACGTGATCACCGCCAACGTCGTTCTTCTATTCTAGATCTATACATAGATACTACATCAAACAAGCGAACTACTCGTTGTTTCAAATATCCGCAAGAGATGCAGCTAGTCGAGGTACTCAGATGAAAAGACTGAAAAATATAGCCAAAAAGACTTCTATGATTAATATCTCTGATACTTACAAATACTAAGAATTGCAAAAGGGTGCAAATACAAGACGATTGAGAAAACGAAATACTGTAAGTATGACGATAATATAAATATGAACCTACTTTTTTTACAACATCAATCATGGAGAAAACGACCACAGAAATGAAAATATCGCTTATTCACGAACTTTGATAATTTTTTTACCTAGGACGTTCTGCTTTCTTCGTTAATCTCTCAAATAAAAAAACTAAGATAGAGTGAGAAGATGTATGAGGTTCCGTGAAGGCAATGGAAACCTTGAAATAGGCGTGATTCACCAGTATTTTTCAAATCGACCAGCCTAGTCTAGAAGTCAACGAGTCTATCCTAGACATCGTGGTAGCTAGTATATAGTCGTCTGGCGGTGAAGCTGTATGAAACGCGCGTGTTCGAAAAAACCTCGAATGAATAAGCAAGCTTCTGAAAGAGACCAAAAAATGAATATTCATAAGGAAACGCCACGACACCAACGATCTGTAAAATGCCTGCGTTTCAATGTAAAAATTTTGGCATTAATTGATGCTCTCAAAAGCGGGGATGTCAGAATTCTGGTTTTGCTTCATTCAACAGAGAAAATCAAAATCATCTTCAAATGAAGTAGATCCTATGCCAATAAACTGGTTGGATACTTGCAGAGTGAATTAGTACGTTCGGATTGTGGCAGATTAAATTACATTCGGGTTTTTTTTTGACAAAACATGATTCAGAAATTAAAATTCTGGAGACGGTCGTTGGAAGATTTTAATTTTTTCGTTGTTGAATGATTGTAAATTTCATTTTTCACAAAACCAGGAGTGGGATCGGACAAAAATTTCTGACAAACACGAGAGTGATTCGTGAGGAGTAGCACTCCTGGGAGGACTGCAACGCATAGGCTTAGGCATCATACTAAAATCCGTATGAATGCAGAACAGCGGAGAAATTTGCTAGGAATCATTTTTCCAGCTCGCACGACCGCAGAGCATCATGTTAGCGTAGGTCCTGGCTTCCTGATTTTTCTGTTGTGCTTATCCATAGCCGAGACATATGTGACAGTGGTTCTTGCTCGTGATTTAATAAAATGACATTAGATGGCAGAACATCAATTATGATCTTAGTACCCGTACCTTAAATGACATAGATTTGCGCGGACAGAGAGCTTGGTTGTGGTAAGTGTAGATGTTGTGTTGGGAAGCGTTCATCAAGAACAGCATGCTGACAGAGACAGATTCGTTTTTTCAATTTATGTATTTAATATAATTGCTAGTTGAACTTGAACATTGCCACTCATATTCGCCATTTATCGTCGAATGAAAGAGATTTTCCGCACTCGTGGATCCTTCGGTAGCACGACGGTGAGAAGATGGCGTAGGACTTCGACATTACGGTGTACGAGAAGGGCGACACGCTCGAGATGAAGTGTGCCATCACAATAGCGGATGAATTCTTCGAGGTCGACAATTTCGTTTGCGGTGTCGTAGAACTTGTCTTTGCGAGCTTCTGCGACTTCAGAAGGAGAGCGGAGACGCACCAAAGGATACTCCCGTATTCGCCTCAGAAAATTGTGTACCAAGCCGTAGAGTATGAAATGTCTCAGGGAAAGTCGATGCAGCAGGTCAGGGGAAGAAGCTTGGAGATCCTGAGTATCGCAAGACGGGGACCCGGAGCCGGCGCTGCGTTTTGTGCCCGAAGAAAACGAACTACCGGCACTGCTTTGCAGGGTGCCAGCACTGTTTCTTGCACGATTTTTCGCTGGCGCAGTCTTGGAGTGTAGGTCGTTTCTACCTGCTCTAGCTCTGTTTTCTTCTGGACTTACTGAATGGTGGCCGAGCGCGTCACTCGGTGGTGTACAATTAATCCAAGACCTTGGCTGTGCATGAGCGTCGCGTTCTGGCGAAAAGTCCTTTCCTCCCGACGCTGTCAAATTTTTTGCAGACGACGCGCCATTCTGATTTGCAGGTCGCGTACTGCTACTTGTCGATGTGTTTTTCGTGACTAGAATACCAGCACGACTTCTCTGTTCGGCTCCCTTGAGGATGCGTTGCGGCTGAAGCCCGCCGTCGAGTTTTGTCGGGCCTCCTATAGAGACTGCGGGAGACGAGCCCAAACTCTCAGGACGTGGTGAGGAAAAGCCGTTGTAGAGTCTCACGGAGTCAAAGTTTTTTCGGCTGTCTTGCGGGGCTGAGCTTTGCTGACGCAGATTCGAGGACTTGTTTGATCCTGGACCACCAGCAGTTTTGGTCGTGACATCGCGGGCAAGACTGGCCTTCTCACGGCATCTTCTGGCTTTTTCTTTCTGCGCTCGCTGTGCGTCCACTTCGTCGTAGCACCGAAGCTTTGCTCTTCGTGCCTTCCAAGCTGCTATACACTTCAAATAATCTCGCTTACAATCCTATGACAGGAAAAACGGCATTCGCTTTCAATTAATAAAAAAATCTCATTTCACCATTGAAATAGCTAGTTTACTAGGATATTTCACTAGCTAGTTAAAATAGTGCAAGAGGATCCCGGCGGCGGCCAACGCATCCGCAAGAGGCCTCATATCCCGTTCCGCCAGTTATCGATCTCTCGGCCCCAGGTGGGGCCGGACTCGTCCATGACCATTGTCCCGCAGATTCATAAGATCCCCCTTTCGTGTGCGATCATAGCAGCCGGAATCTTCTTGCCTAGCTAATTTTAATCCATTTTAACCTTCACTAGCTAGTTAAAACCTACTTAAAAAGAATAAAGCATTTTTTGAAAGCGAATGCAGTTTTTTTCTTCATAAATCCGCTGTTGCCGCCTCTTTGCGACTATTTTCGGCGAGGCGGTGTTCTAGCATGACGCGCATCGCTAGTCGATGAGTGTCTTGAAAGAGTGATTGTTTTTCTGCGTCTCCAAAGGGTCTGCCTGCACGATCGTGGAATAGACCAGGCCTTAATCCATAAGAGGAGTTTTCGGACACTATCGACGCAGCTGGTTTCCTCCTAGTGCGGGACCACTTCGATTGATCTGGTGTACGAGTAGAGGAAGAGCTTGATGCCGACGAACTGGTTCTGTTCAGGACACCAGAGGACGTTCTCGCGCCTAACAAGCCAGCGCTTCTATCGTCTTTTGGTTTATGCGATGCTGATGGTGAAAAAAAATTGCTTCCACCATTGGCCTTCGAGTCACTGGCACGAGCAGCACTGCATTGATGCCTTGCGCTACTACTTGTACCTCCTTCATCTGTGCGTCCAGGTGAAAGAGTACTGTCACCGGATGAAGCCTTCGCGAATGCAGCAGGGAAAGCTCCTCCGGGTGGGGTTCCCAACAAATTTGATGCCCCAGGAAGCGGATCGTAAGCAAACCACTTGCGGCTGTAGTCTCCCAAAGACTCGTGAGGTGAAATCTGACAGTAGTAATACTGAAGACGCGCGCACAGCATCACTTCTTCCTGTTCTCCGGTCTTAGCCAAATGCTTTAACGTTTCCAAGGGACACGACGGGGCGTGATTGGTGAAGAATTTTCGCATGTGATGCTCGTCCATGTTAAGATTGCCTATAGAGCTGAGGTCGTACGACGCATTGGCCGAGGATGCCGCGTTCAAGCGACCTTCGCCGTCAAAGTGACTAAGTTGCATCAACAAATCTGTGCTGGCGTTGAAAATGTTTTCACTGCTTGTCCACGATCCGACTTTTTTCAGCTGTTGCCGGTGCATGGCGGCACCGCCAAGACGGCGACCTCGCAAAAAGGCAGGCTTTTTCGTAGCATAACCACCTGAATCGGAAAGCATTGCGCGGCTAATATTGGCGCTTGCACCACCCTCGTAGAATGATGCGGCAGACGAGCGCCCGTAATCCGCGTGACTTTGGTTCACGCACACAGTGCCAGAGCCGTCGAAGTGGTCCGTTGCGGCGTTCAGGTTACCACCGCTGCCGAAACCGGACGTCGTATCAGACGAAGAACCGATTAGACGGTCCCGATTGATCCTGTCTAACAAACCAGGAAGAGCCATGCTAGAAACTCGCAGACCCTGCTTGGTGAGTAGCGGAGAGGTTAGAGAATCCGTTTCGCTCAACGAACTCGTTAATCCTAAGGCGTCGTGGTCCGCCGCGTGCTCGTGGTTGCCGTATGGCATTCCCGGAGCCATCCCATTAATGTGGTGCTGATTGCCGGCCCGGCCTACGTCGTGTGTATGCGATGAGCGCCCACGGTGGAATATATTGAACTCGTTTGCCCGGGGCGGTGGCTGGAAGACATAGTCGATTAGCTCGCGCCGCCTATACCGCCGCCACAATGTGCTCGCAAAGTGCTCAGGTCGTAGTCTCATGCTCATGGAGTCCTGCGCCGAAGCAGTAGCATTGCCCTTCGTGGAAACTCTACGCGTATCCTTGGTTACCCTACTATTGCGTCGCTCTGCCTTTTTACCTGCGTCTCTGTGCTTTGTGTCATCCTGAGTTGGTGATGCTGGTTTGTTTTCAACAGACGAGTGCTCCAGATTCTCCCGCGATGGTGCGCCCGTACTGCTGCCCTCTTTTGAGAATGCGCCAAAAACTCGAGGAAAATTTTCTTCGTCTCCTTGTTCCGCTTGTAGCAAATGCCGGCTTAGGAGGTGGTCACTTTTTGACCCTGGAGACAGCGCTTTCGGGCGTCCTGGATCCGTTTCAAACGAGGACGAGACATGGTCAATGTGATGCGAGCCATCGAAAGGGGTTGTTCTCTCATTTTCGGATGCTGATGAAGGACGACTCTGCTGGCCATGTGCTTCTGGACTGCTGTGCCCTCCTCCGGGTGTAGTCATGAGGTAATTCTTGTGAAAAATGTCGGCGAAATTTCCATTCAAGCGATACAGAGAATATTCGTGGATCGGGTCGATCATGATGATGCAGCCATTGAAAACGAGTTGCCTCAAGACGAGGTCGATGTTGTCCAGTTCGCAAAAAGACAGGGCAGCAATTTCCGCAACATTATTGACTCCGTCGATGTGAGGTAACACTTCACGCAGTGTCAAGTCCATCTGCGCTATACTTCCAAACATTACCTGAAAATTGAGACGACCAGGCATTTTGAAGTCCAAGTGCAGCACCTTTCCTTTTAGTGTAGTAGAAAATAGCCAGAAGTTGATAGATAATAGTTGAATTTAGAAGCTGCTGCCGTATCGTGCGCGTAACGTAGAGTCACATTGGTCATTACGAAGGAGCGAACCCAGTTGTAAGAATTCAACTATCTATTTACCTGCGGTAACGGCTCTGCTATGAAGACAGGCACTTTGCTCTCGTCGACGTGAGGGAAGCTGAGGTGGTGCGCTACGTATCTATGACGACCTCTACTTCCGAATGCTTCGTAATGTGGTCTCCAGGTGTGAACGATGCAGCATTTCGGAACCCTGAGTGACATATGCTTCAGCATCTGTAGCTCGTAACCCTGCGTCAGGCCATAGCAACCAGGACCGTGTCTATTCAGCAGGACACGGGCATCGACTTTTTTCGCTGACTCGTCGAGGAGCGCAGGTTTGCGAATTAGCAACTCACGCTGAGCACTCGTTGTACTCGCAGTGCGATGCATTCGGCCTCCTGCGTAGATTTGGTTACTTTTCTGGGATGTGTAGTCGACATTTGGGTCCTGGCTTTGGTCTCGGAAAGTGGCAGCTGTGTCGTGTTTCGTCAACAACGTATCATCACCACGTTTTCTTGTCTTCTCCTCCTGTCGTCTGGCATCACGCGCAATTCGACGGAGACGTCGCGCCTCGTCTTTCTCATGGTGTTCTTTGAAAAGCGTAAACGCTCTGTGCACGGGCCACCACACCGGAACGCACGCGTCCTGTTCCGTGCGCAGCTGCTGCATAAGTTCTTCAAGCATGAACGAGATCTCTCGGGCACTAGACTGCGACACGAAGTTCAGGTCCAGTTCCAACTGCCCAAAGGCCTTTGCCAATTGTATTGCTAACAAGGTAAACCGGCGCTCGAAGTGGTCAAGGAACTCGAGTTTCTCGTGCTCGGAACACACCGTAGCTTCTTCGTACATCGCTTTGGGCAGCCGGGCACATGCAACAATGCAGAAACGGAAGCAACTGCGATCATACTGCTCGTTCTCGAGGTACAGAGGCACACCGCACCACTCCAAACCTTTTTGGTCGTCCACTACGTGGATACTCTGACCGCATATTTCCTGGTCGGGACAGAAATAGGAAGGCTCAGGACCAGGGTCGCCAAGAGGATAGAGAAACCCGCCGCCAGAAGGCCCGGCTTCCCTCTCTGCTTCGAGCGCACTCAAATCAGTGCTCATTCCAGGTGGAGTCAGCTGTCGCAGGATAACACCCGGAGATGAAGCAGGTGGCGTTCCTGTGGTTCTGTGTGCTCCAAACTGTCCTGGTCCAGCACTATATCCGTCGAGGCAAAAGAACAAGCCATCGCTTTCCTTGCTCTCTTGACGCATGGGATCGAAAGTGAAAGTCTCACGGAGAATAGGGGTTTTAGGCTCTGGAACTGTATTACTAGCTTTTCCACCCAGTTTCATCTGCTCTGGACGACCATTCTTCTTGTCACTGGACGTCAATGGAAAAGGGACGGTACTAGAACTAGTGTTGTCGTCTTGGCATGTTGCTGCTGCTGAAGACAGCCAGCTTTCTCCACTAGGGAGAACGTCCATTTTTGTCAACTGTTCTCTAAAAACGCTCTGCGGGGTTTCTCCAGTGTCTGTGACGCTGCCGAAAATAGGCGATTGCTGACCGCTCGATCTAGCGTGAGACAATCTGTTCCTGCGATCTTCATGGTTTGCGGGACTTGGTGTTTGAAGATTCGTAGTGGTTCTCAACGCGGAGCGTGGACGCGCGCCAACGTGTTCCTGACCACTCGCGGATGCGAGCAGGGATGCACTAGCACCGTTGTCCTGGGGTGGGTGAACCAGCACAGTGGGGATGTGAGGAATCATGGGTGTAGCGGTATGCGGCGACCTGCTCCGATTGCGTGTCGGCCAATTACTGTCCCGATTGGAATCTGCTCTGGGGCGTTGCTGCGCAAAGGCATACTGTGTCACTGCCAAGGGCTTAGTGTCAAAGAGGTGGTTGCTCCTGCCCTTCTCTACCGGCCCCTTCGCATTGTCAAAGACAATGCAGTAAAGCCCGGACAACGACATCTTTGACGAAAAAAAGATTCCCCAGCTGCAAATATTCTAGAAGCCCTTTATTTCACAGAGAGTGTGAGTGCGGGACGATATTCCGTCCTTACTTTCTGCACTGTAGACTAGTAGAGCTCCGTGTCGATCGTGGCAGAAAACCAACTAGGAGGGGCCTATCCAAAAAGGACCATCGCCGACATTCTTGACGAGGACCTAGCCTAGCCATTTTCCATGCTCGTGGTAAATATAGGGTCACAAAGTCCCAGGCGATGGGAGCCTGCGACCCAGCATGTGTGAGATTCCTCGAGGCAACCCGCCGCCATTTTTTTTCTGAGTCTTTTCCCTAGCTACGAATTAACCGCAGGGAGAATCATGACATCAAAATGTCCATTACCTCGTTGCTGTTAGCCACACTTATATAGGCTAAAGAGACCTGTTTTCATACCTTGTCAAGCGGGAAAATAAATATTAAGTCAAATGCCTTCTTCATTGTTGTAAAAGAAACTACACCGTGCTAGGGAGAGGATGAAAAATGGTTAATTCATTTTCCATGGATACCTCAACTTTCTGAAAGAAGAGTGGAGATAGTAGGTAACCCTCCTGTTTCATCCGGGCAAACACCGAAACACGAAAGTTATGCACATATCTTAGACAATTCTTAACAGAATCAGTCGTCAGGGTCAGCATGGGTCAGGACCAACATGTGAAATCGCACTCAGCAAGACCAAGATGATCGAGTGCTCTGCACTGCGCGGACGCGCATTTCATTTTTTTATCTTTCCACGGATGATTGACCTGGACCTTCAACGTCAGCAAGGTAGAACCAGAAATAATAGGCAAAAAGGAACAAGCGTTTGCGATTACCGGGGAGACGAAATTCTGGAAATTCGCAAGAAAAATGATGTTGAAGCTGACAGGGAAAAAACAACTGTTTTAGTTAAGATTTAGTGCATTTGGTGAACGTTCGGTGCTATCCGCTTCTTTCGGGAGAGAAAGCATCTTTATCAATACTGTCCATATATTATAAATATATAGTTAAAGTGGTGCATGAGCATGAGCAAATTTACAATTTCCAGACAACGGTTTTTCCCGCATCCTTGAAAGCATATTGTTTCACTGGTGCCCCGCTGCCGCTGGCGCCAACTTGTTGTAGAATCCTAGTGCAAATCCCGCGAAAAGCAATAGAACGCTGCCAACGAGATAGATTACAATAGGTCTTGTGATTGCGGGTGGTGTGGGTACCTCGTCCTCGGCCGTGTCGCCGCCCATTAGGCCGGTCCATGGATTGGTGTCGCTCGAGGAATACTTCGCCAAATCTGCATGACTCGAATGCAGATCAGCCTGGAGAAGGACAAGGAGTTACTTTTTGTTTTTTATGGAGATAGAGATTGTTCGACTTCGATTGAACAAGTTTCCTCTCCTTCTAGTTTTTCTTTGTCATGTGATCGAGATGATTAGCTATTAAATCTAAAAAATACTTTCTTATGCACAAAAGTTTGCCTCCAACAGTTGTTACTGAAGAACTGCAAAGTGCAGGAAATTAAATATTGTAGATGCAAACAATCACAGTAGAGTGCAATGATAGTCGAATATAATCTATTTCTAATTTACGTTCATTTTCTCTGCGACGGCTCTCGATTCAGCCGCGTTTTCGCGAGCCTCATAGAGGACACGGGAAGCGTGTTCGTGCTCCGTTTTTGCCGCTTCAAGCTCCCGCTCCGCTGCCTCATACTGGGACGCCAATTCTTTACGTCTCTCTGCTGCTGCATCTGCGTCGGCCTCTGCTTTTTGATATTCGGTGCTGGACTTCAGCATCTTCTCGACTGCGGCGAAGTTCTCTTCTGCCTGAGAAATTTATGTGAGGCACAACATAGAGTCGCTATTTTATGAAAACTCTACCTTTAATCTCTTATACTTATGCTTGGCTTTGACTTTGCGCTTCAGCTTGTGGGGATGAAAATGGAATCAATAATGCTAGCGGGGGCTGCTGTAGCTGGTACCTTTTTCACTTCTTCATCGCCATCTTGGACCCTTTTTTCCCATTTCTTCTTGGCCTCCTCTAACCTCTGCAGCTCGGCCTGCTGATCTTCGCGCATTTTATCGAGTAGTCTTCGTTTTTCCGCGAGGTCTCGTTTCTCGTCACGCGTACGGCTCTTAACTTTAGACAATCGCTCGATTTTCTGGACCTCCTCCTCGCGGGCGTCATCCAACAGGCGCCTCTGCACAAGATGAAAGCAACATCACAAGTATAGTTATAATAAACGATTGATGTCCATGATGTTTTTATCTAACACGAGAATACATTTACATTCAGAATTTCGATTCTTATGTTTATCTCACTCCAGATCTAGTAACTAAGGCTTGAGAGGCACATCTCAAGTAATTCTGTTAGCAGCAATGGCATACACTTTCATCTCCTATTGTGACATACTCTCTATCGCGCTTGCGCTTGGACTGCAGTGTTTTACGCGTTGCCTCCTCGACTCGCACGTTCGGGGGAATGGCGGAATGCGCCGCCTGCATCTGCGTGCGCGCTTCGCCGATAGCGTGTCTGAGCTGATTGTACTTTGAAAAGGCGGCCCAAGAACCGTCATCCTGGTTCGTGTCCTCTACGAAGTCAGCATCGTCTCTGTCTGCGACTGCTGGCCAGGGGTGATCGTATTTCCTGAACCTCTCGTCGTGATCGTGGAGATAGGTTGAAGACGACGCGTCATTTGTCTCCGGCTCTACCGAAGTGCCCGACCCCGATTCCTGAGCATCCGTTCCCGTAACTATTTCACTTGACCGCGTTTGACTTGCAGCCGCTGTCGAGTCCTCGGCTGCAGTAGCCAAGCTCTTTGCCGCATTGACACGAAGTTCGATAGTTTTGCCATGATCCATTCCTAACGCAGTGCTTGGCCCATCACTGAGACCGCTGGTTGCGGCCGTCGCTTCGGAACTATCATGCGAGGCCGGTACCCGATCGTCTCCCTCAACACCCGACTCTGCATCTCGGTCTATTTCGGCATTGATGTCGCCGTCCAATTCGCCAGTCGTACTCGTGTCGTCGATGTCGGACGGTTGCTCGGCATCGTCGCGTTCTCGCAACAGTCTCCACCGTTGTTCGGCAACGCTGTCGTCCTTGTTAAACGTGACGACGAGACCATCTGCTGACGGCACAAGAAGCAGAGGAGTCAATAGAAGAAGCAATAACAGGCCGTCTGCGACAGCTTTCATGTTTGAAAAATTGACGTCCCGCTAAGGCAGCGCTCAAATATGCATTATTTGATATGCATGTCGTTGCCACCTTCTCGGCTTCGACGTATGATGGATCGTTTGGTTGAGTTGATTTTGGTGCCTTTATTCGTGTTGTTCACGACCAAGTTAAAGTACACAACAGGCTCGGAAAGAAAACGATCTATCTTTCTCGTCTCGCTTATTCCTGCGGCGGCCTCTTCAATCAGTAGCTCCTGTTCCCCGGAGGACAATGGTGAAAATTTAAAGAAGCAACTTGTGGAAGCACCCGCGTACCGACATGTTTTTAGTCGCTCACAGTAAAAAACACATCGGTCTATTACAATTACAATTACAAGTTTTTCGATTTTTTTTTTTTTTTTTTATGGCGGGCGGTATACTGAAAAACGCACCAGCAGTGGTGGATTCTTGTTTACAGTTTCTTAAATCCATCGTTTATGCCTGAATCTATCCCTTTCGTTACCATTGAATCGTGTAAATTGGAACCTTCACGTTTGTCGTGATTGCGTTTTACATGAAACAACTTCCTGAATCTATGAGAAAATCTTAATATATATATGGTGCATACAACATATAAGTACATATCAACAGAGTATGGATAAAAAAAACACCACCGTTCCGAGGAAATCTTCTTGACTGGTCTTCCGTTATCGATTTTAATGAGTTTCTCGAGGCGATCCAAATCCGTAATTTTGAGTCAATTATAACAAGAATCATTTTAGGCGTTTACTGGCATGAGAACTACCAATTATTATGCTGATGTCTAAATCTATTACTTCTAATGTTCAATATGCACGAATGGAAGAGGTAAATAACTGATACAATAACTGGTAAGCAGGAGATAAGAGCCAAGAATTACAGGCAGTAATACTAATAGGTTATCATTTACTTAAAGTATGATCACTATATATATAATAAAACTGATACAATAAATATTCATAACATGCTTGCACCAGGCAACACCAGCACATCAATAGCTCGATCGAGCGAGAAGATGACTGAATTATCCACCCTTTAATTCTAAAGAACCTGTGATGATGACTAGCTTTTCTTTGATTATCTTTTGATAGTTGGATTTTTTCTCTCGGAAGCTTCTAGTCTGAAGTACTTCTGATATCTTGCTACCACATGGCTGAGAACTTCGCCTATATTCATATCTTTTTCAATTGTCGATGACCAAAATATGATATCTTGCAACAATGAAGATTCTTCATTTTTAAGAAGAATCTGAAAATCTAGTGACTTTGTTGTCGTGAAGATAAGGTCGACGGCCTAGGTATTCTTTCGTTCTTGGAGTTTGAATTGTAAGGAACGAAGATAGAAATAGCCTTCTCGGAAAAATGAAAGACCGACGGCTCATCTAGGAACTAACATTAATACTGGTACTGAAATTAAACACGTTTACACCTGCGAGAATTCCACTCTTCTTAGGAATTATCTTGATAACAGTAAAATCTAAGCCACTCCAAGCAGAAAATATTATCGACAACATACGTTTGTATTGAATACGACTACAAATTACAACACTAGGACGTGCGGGGAGTATATTTTATTAGACTGTATATTGGATCTGGTTATGGATGAAAATGAATGAGGTTATCTCGCCCGTCATCTTTATGACATACTAGATGATCATTTTCATTTGCTGCACAAAAATGATTACGCCAGCTTCCTCGCGACAAAAAGCTGCAACAAATGCAGACCAGTTCTACTGACACCTTTCATCAAAGAATTCAGTGCTCTCCTCCCCATGCCTAACTTCTCTAGAAGAAGAACTAAAAAAACTCCATTCAAATCTTTCATACATAGTCATAAATCGATTAGCGTTGCGACCTAGATAAGACTTTCAGCCAGGTCATCTTCGGCCACCGTGCGAAACTTCGGTGCTACACCCGCGTAGAGGCAAAATGCGCATAACAGCGCCACAAACGCCGAACAAGCGAGCCACCATGCAGCGCCCGACGGTGCTGTGCTCGCGGTTTCGCCATCCGTACCGAAGGTCTCTCGCTCCATGATGTTGAGCCTGAAGAGAGAGGAATCCCTATCAGCGGCTGAGACCAGTGGCATGCGTGGGAGACCCGGGACCACCGGTGCATCGTCCTGCAAGTCTAGCTTGACCTTCAGCGGTTCACCCGGTGCCGCATCACCGAACAGCATGAAATCGGTGAAGCAAGCTTGATTGAAGGCTGCCTGCGTGGCATCAATTTTGCCCTCCTGCGCTCCAGAACCAGATCCTTGCTCAACACAGCCGTACCACATCCACATTAACGGCGCGCCCTGGCCACCGCCCCAAATGATGCTGCCATGGCGATGCGCCATGTCACCGCCCATCGTTGTCGGCGTAAAATAGTCCACCATCGAATCTTTGCCTTCGAGTGTCATCAGCAGATCCTTCGTGCCAGGATTAGGGAACGCATTCATGGCACCATCGACATACGTTTGTGGTACAAAGCCTTCCCATCCTTTACCCACAATCGGATCAAACAGGTCCCATTTTTTCGCATACACGGCGATTTCTGCTGGCACTTCTTGAAAAGATGCAGAAGACCCGCCTTTTGAGAGGACAATTTAAGAGGATTCTTTGCGCGGAAATGATAGATACTGATCCTCGGAAATTCTACTTCTGTTTTTTAAGGTATATCTTCCAGACCAACTCGGTCAAATCGAATGCTTGTAACGAATTTATCTCCAGCTTCTATGACGGAATAGCCTTACAATCGCGGAGGCTGATATGAGAATTTTAAACAATTATTAAGTACCTTGCTCGTAAAATCTCATGGGAGCGGAAATGTCGTAGATGATCTGCCAGCCGTACCACTCGTTCTTCTTGCCGGTGTATTTCGAGACCCAGTACTGATGGAAGCACATCTTCGCGTCTTTACCCTACGGATCTTCGGGATTTTGCATGCAATACGGCCACGACATAAACCATAGTTTGGTTGGGTCGGCATATTCCGGGGCGACGAAAGGTCCGACGCGACCAAAGTTTTCTTTGTACGGAGCCGAGCTAGCAATGGCGGACGCAGGGTACTGAGCATTCGAAGCAACAATCGCATCGATACCGCAATCCACCTCCAATTCAGCACCATCTCCGCCACTGTAAGCGCACGCGTCGGGCGCATACCTGTAAGTATATCGAGATGGAGGGGGTGCAGATTGTAGAACAACAAGACATATCATCATATTGTAGTTACGTTAAAAAGTAGAAACGGTAGGGATTCTCTGAAGATTCCAATTTCACACTTTTTGTTTCACATCAGAACCTAACGTGTTGTGAGTCCTCCTGGAAGCTTCTAGTACCAGGCCTCCACGAGCTCTCTTCCTTGCTTGGATTGCCATCCGTGCTTCGCGACGAGATTTTGCATGTGCTTCATGTTATGGTACGGATTGTTCTTGGGAGCTCTGACAGCCTCGATGACCTTCGCTTTAGCAATATCGGAAGCAGGCGAGTTGGTCTGGAACTCGTACTTCACTTGCAGACGGTCCGTCTTAGGGTTTTCCTCCATGACTTGGACATCGACAAAACAGGGCTCCAACCAACCGCCTGGCGTCTCTGCGTAGAACAGCTGACCTTTTTGCGGTCCCTCAAGATGCTCCATACAAGCGTACCACATCGCAACCGTGGACGACTTGCCATTCTTCGCACCCATCGGAGCGCCGTTCGAATAGAGGACAGTTCCGCGACGAAAGAAGCTCGTAACGCCCGAGAACGACCCGTAGAAGGACTGCATTTCTCCCTTAGCATTATCGAGGACTTGCAGCGTTTGTCCCTGAACCATGGTGCCCGTAGGGAAAATGTTATACGATTCCGGAAGATACAGTTTCTCGATGAAACCCTTGTAGTCCTTGCCGTCGAAGTTGTCGCCCACTCTGTAGACGTCATGGAACAGCTTCGGTGGGAGTGCGACAGTTGCGGTAGAGGACCCAAGCGGCGACTCAAAGCCGCTACCGGTGAGGCTGCCGTGTTTAACCGCAATGTCATAGTGGATCAGCCAAGAGTTGCGTTTCTCGCAGAACTCGTACACAAACATTTGGTGGTAGCATCCGGTGGCGCCTGGATACGCAGTGCTTTCGAGGCACCAACTCCACTGACCAAAAGCAGGCTTGGTCGAATCCATCATATCCTCCTGCCCCTCCAGCATAGGTCCGAATTTGAAGTTGCTTCCTTCCTGTAGTTTCATCGACTCCCACTGAGATTTCGGGTAGCTGCCGAGCATCTGCGCCATGTTGTCCACGCCGCACACTTCCGCAATGCTGGGCGGCCCAGTCGGGTTCGGCTGATACGCGCACGCGTTCGGGGCGTAGTATTCAGAAAGGTACGCCTTGCCTTCCGCGGTATCCATTCCGATAGTGCCATAGCGCGCCCATCCATCAAAGTACTCCTTTCCTGGAGGTGGTGGGACCGCCAAGCCTGTCACCGACGACACCGCCGTCGCTATCATCGACGTCGCCGCTGCGAAGCGGCCACGAGAGCGGTTTTTTCCACCCATTTTCGGACTTTTTGGTTTTACAACAGTATGCACTTGCACACGAGACTAGGACTTACACTTTTGTGGTGTAAATAAAGAGTAAGACTTTTTGTGGTCGACAAATTGGAAAACTTAGAGCTATGAGGAGAAGATGAAGAGCAAGAGTATTGTTATACTTCAAGCGTCCACGGGCACGGGCTCGGTGTAATGCGAATGTTAATACCTGTTGTTGATAAACTTGGTTTAGTAGGTGCACCGGCCTTGGCTATTAGTATAACAAGTACTAGACGAAAGTTGATCTATTCTGGAACTTATTCATTCACGTGCTGCACCCTGACTTGTTTTTTGTTACCTGTGTCTACAATTTCCCACACTACGAACATTGAATTACCCGGCAGGAAGCCTGAAACACAACGGCCAGGCACTACAACTGCGCAACTACAGAAAAAAAATGAAATTGACTTGGACGTCAGAAGACTGTCTATTCGTCGCTTGAAAATTGGATCACTCCTAAACCTATTTAGATGAGTGTTGAAATAGCATTAGCACAATGACCAATATTTCTGTAAATATGCCAATCGATTACGCATCCCACTGCTTTACAGATGCAGATAAGCGGGCGATTGTTTGTTGACAACCTCGCCGAAAATTCATTTACGGGTCAGCGCCATCACTGCAAAAATGTGGAAGATTTGACGTGCATATGCATGGCTGGGTTTAAGGCTGGTTCGGTTCTATAAGGGCGCGTTTGCCGACATCATGGGTTATACTTTATGCGTTTCGCTCGTTTTTTGCTGCGGTGTTCTCTCGTTGTTGTCTCTCTTAAATCAGTAAAAACCCTCCGATCAACATAATAATCTCAATGCATCGTCGACAAATTGTGGATATTCCGTCATGAACACCACAACTTCGTGCCGTGACAAGACTGACATTGAATTCATTGCTCAGATTGTTGCGCTTCTGTTCAAGGAAGGAAGGGTTCGAGAACGAAGATTCTGGTCAGCGTGATAGACATAGAATTCGAAGAAATAATGTAACAAACAGGAATGTCGAACCCAGGTCGATGCTGTTATCAATGAGCTTTCTTTCTTGGAAATTAGTCTCTTGTGGACGTTTTCATTTGTAATCTTGTGTCACAATTTTTTCAAGAATTTTTCCAAGTTTCTCTATCCTGATTTCCTTGACTCGGTGAAGTTGCACAACTATAGCTCAAGTTTTTGACTGGTAAGTTATCTTTGTGTTTCAAACATCACATCTTCCTAAAGAAATTGTTATTGTGAATAAGCTCCCAAACGCGGCCCTTGGTTAACCAACGAGGCGTTCCTCGATGTTAATCGAAAAACCATCACGAAAACGAAAAAGAATTAACATCCTTTCGCAATCGCAGGACATACTACTGATAGATAAGTGCAAATCACTACTTGTTTTTTGTCGACTACAAATCGGGACGACTTTGTCCCCAGATTTCGTCGGTGCGTGAGGATAAGAACAAAAAGAAAAACAGGAGATGAAGACAATATTAACATCGTTTTTTTAAATAAGTACATAAATCGGAGGAAAAAAAAACCAAGATATAAACTCAATACAATTGCAATGATGAATGAACTAGATGAAGAACCGTAAAGCAATGGCGTACGTTTGTTCTTATTTGTTTAAAGTTCTGCGATGATAGGTACTACTGCTTCCTCTTCCGTCTCGGTGAGCAGAAAATTACGCACGTTCTCGTCCATGTTGGCAGCGTCAGCTAGACGAGCGGCGGCTAATGGGCTACTGTCACCTGCAACAGCCGTCTCCGCGTCGGTCGCTGCGGTACTCGCTTGTTCTGGTGCTGAGGAGAAAAACGCGCCGCCGACGCCGCCACCGGCATCTTCGGCAGACGTAACAGCACTGCTAGTGACAGCTGCTGGAGTGGCACTAGCGTCGCCTGCGACATCAGCAGCCGCTGACGTTGTCACTGCCGAAGATGCGCCTGCTGACGCGTCCACCGCAGAAGTTGGCGTTGCCGTAGTTTCGATTGCGGTTGTGGATGATGCAGCACCAGCTGCGGCGTCCTGTTCTGCATCGCCCGCCACTGTCGTAGCTGCATCATTCCCGAAGAAGTCACTGCTAGCGGCCGATGCCGCAGTTGCATTTCCGCCCAGTTCCACTACACCTGCTGTTGCTGCTCCCGGTGCGGCGGCCAAGAGAGATTCGTCATTCACGACGGTAGAAGACGCGAGAGCAGTATCTGACACCGTGGCCGAGCCAAGCGCAGTCGCGGATCCCAACGCCGTAGCGGATCCGAGGGCTGCGAGTGGAGCCTGATCCCCAAGACCCATAGGGAAAGCCGGGTGGTTTTCGTCCGTCATCACTGGTCTTTGCAGGAGTTTCACGGCTTCCTCTGCGTTCTCCTGTGTCAACCCGAAGTTAGGATCCGTATTCACGAAATGGTCCACCAAGTGGCCGCCGTCCTGTTGCTCATACAGGTTCCAGTCATCGATGGCAATCCAGTTCTCATTCGTTTTGTAATCGAAGAAACTGCGATGATGGCTGTTGCCATGGAGTAGTCCTGTAGCTGACTTGTTTGTTCCGGAAGGTGCCGTAACTTGGCCTCCATCACCAACCGTTGCTGTTGCAGCGGTTCCGGTTTCCTTCAGCTGGCCGTCATCAACGCGGTGACTACCGTCTGCAGGAGCTGTATCGTGGTGCTGCGTGAGCCACGCCCAGATTTCCTTCGCCCTGCATTCTACACCGCGACACAGTGAGGGCGTTGCACCCACGACACGCTCGTCTAGGTGATTTTTCGTGTGCGACAGCTTGTCGAATAGGATATCCACTAGTCGAGGCGTCTTTCGCCAGTGTGATGATAAGACGATCTGTGCATCGGTCTGCCCGACCACGTCATCTAATCGCGCGACAAGCTTATCAGAAAGCATCGAGGCGTCCCACTGAGATGATGATTGGTGATGGAGCAGATTATGGTTATCCTCGCGGTGAGTGTCTTTCATGTTTTGATCGCCTAAATTGTTAATTCATCTACCGAGTAGGAGGACTTGGTTGTAGTTGCAATACAAGAGTCTCCTAGTCTTCATTTTCCTAGAAAATCGAGTACTTCGTTGTTGAGCACGCCGTCTATATCTTGGAAAATGAGGGGTTTTGTCGGATCCAATTTCGCCGTGCGAAAATGAAGGGGGTCCCAGTTCTCCAAATCGAGAAACGAAGATATCCCTGCTCTGTGGCTGCCATTGAGGACTGTAGACTTCCGCTGGCTGTGCAAAGGCAGATTCGAAGGGCAGTCCTGAGTGAGACCTTGGCTCAAAAGGCCGGTCTCTATCGGCGTCCGCAAATATTTCGTCCTCAAAAAAGCAGTTTCACCAATGGCAGGCGCGTCTGTCGTTGCGGAATGAAAACTGCTTTTGCAAGGGACATGTTTCAATGATGCGTAGTGCCCGGAGACGGACTGCGCATCGGCATGCGCGTGCGCGTCACCCGATCCGCCGTCCTCAATTGCCAGGAGGCTCCGCAGTAGCGTTTCTCCATATCCCAGAGGCATTTTGCGGTTTACTGCCGTAAAAGGCGAAGCTAGCAACGAATTACTACATCCCCAGTCTGCAACAGGTTTTTCAAGAAAGCAAAAGACCTGAACCTCTGGTATGTTTTACTTTCTAGGAGAAAAACGATATCGATTTTAGTTGTAGTCCATCTTATACCAGTGGACGATTCTACGGCGAGTCCTCTTTCAAATCGATTTTCTACCCTAGCAACGAGTTCAACGTTTTCAATTCGGAAACGACTTTTGTATTTCTATTTGCTCTCTCGGTATACACTAGTGAAAGTCACCAACTTCAGCAAACGCAGTCTTGTGACACGACGCACCATTTTTCTTGCATACTTTTTGTGTAAGATTTTCGAATGGAAACAACGAGCGAACTACCCGATTGCGGAGCTATGTGCTTGTGCTTCGCTTCCCATTGAATCTAAACTCAATTATCTGTAGTGATTCTTCGTGTGTCGTGACACATATATTTTAGCACGTGTTGTACGTCGATAGCCATCAATTCATTTTGATTTACACTTTGGCGACGAGTTTTCAAACATTTGCCAGAGTTCGCGTTCCCACGCGTGTTCCCACTTGACTTCGCCTTGTACGAAGTGGTCATGGATGTGAAGACGCATTTTGCCGTACGCCGCATGTTGCTCATCCGCGTAATGATTGACTACTTCTACGACTCGATTCGCCAATTCCTCTTTAGAGGAAAAGACATAGCCGTTCTTTTCGTTTTCTACAAGCTCTGGGAGCGCCGGGAAATTGCGGGCGATAACTGGGAGCTCTGCCATTCCAAACATATCGACCACCTTCATCGGGAGGTCGAGGCCTGAGGAGCTCTGGTGCATGCACACTCCAAAATCACAAGCCTGTAAAATGCGGGGATAATCCGCCCAAGGCAAAAACAGAAAAACGACTCGTATTCGGTCTTTCAGCAAAAGTTTCCGCTTGATTGGTTTAGCTGAATTGTCCTTGTCCACCACCTCAGTCATCAAACCTTCGATGGGAGTATTCTTTAGTTCATCATCCCAGTATTTCTGCCAATGCTGCCTCAGGGCTCCCTTTCCCGTTATGAAAAGTACTAATCGTTTGCCTTGTTGCATTCCTACGGCAATAGTTGTCAGGCTGTGAAAAAGATCGGAGAAATCTTCATCCGGTGTCCAGCTCGTCGAGCTTATGATTTTCACGACGTCCCCATTCTGCTCCGAAACCTGAGTACTTTTTGCGAAATCAGAACTGGAAGACGAACAGGATACCCATCTCGAACCAGAGTCGCGGCAATCCTCTGACAACCCAGCTGCATTTTTACTTGCTGCCATGCGTCGTTGCTTGGTATAAGGCTCTCCCTCTTTACTGTCATGTGCTGTCGTGTGGTTTTCGTCACGTCGAAGACTGGGATTTTGGAATGCACAAAAGAGTGCGGCTTGTCCGTTAGCAGCACCATTTAGACGTGGTTCGTCGTTCCACTCTTTCAGCTCGTCTAGATGTCCACTGGCGTATAGGCGATCCCACAAACCGGAGACATCGACGAGCGGATCCGCTGGAGGCTTTGCGCTGTCGTAGAGTACTCGAATATCCACGCCGAGTCTCCATTTGCCACGACAATCATGAAGAGTGAGCTGGATGTTCAACCATCACCGCGACGGGAAAAGAGAACATGAGCGAGGGAATCTCTTATAAATATGTAGAGGTAATTACAATAGAGAAAAAAGTAACTGGGTCCCCATTGCGTTACTATGAGAGTGAGCGCGAGTGTGTAGCATTGCCTGGCGGCCAGCGTTTCAGACTAGCCCACTAGCCCCAAGCAATCGTGCAAATTGTACTGACTATGCAGCACGAGACACGAGAAAGGCCTGGGAGAAACGAATGCAGGCGGCTGCATGGGCGAGCGTGAAACGAGGACACGAACATGAAGCACGAGTAAATAAGCGAAAGGAAGTGAACAGGGAGAACAGGAATGAAGGTGAAGAGAATCGAAACCGCCAAGATGCCGTGGCTTAACCTGACACGGAAACCAAGGTGAGAGGGCGGGAGAAAATTGAACGGAAGGAATGGAATCGCATGCGAATGAATAGAAGATGAACGTGAATGCGAGCGCCCGCGTGTAGGATGCGCGGCCCCCGAGTGAGTGAGCGAGTGAGTGAGTGAGTGAGCGAGTGGCGAAATGGTGAACATAGTGCCCGTGTGTAGGATGCGCTGCCCCCGAGTGATGAGTTTACTCGTGACCCATTTGGCTACAAAAGTGACCAAACCAGCTTAAACGAACACTGTCGCTGTCCTCCAAAACTGAGACTCTAGTATAATTTAGGAACAACAGAGTAAGTATGTACGTGACTGCAAGAGTATATGAACCAAATTGAATCATGCCCAGCTTTCCGCTCTCGTCTTCATAAATGTCGTGCAGGGTATCTCGCATTGCTTTGGTTACGGAAAAGCCTGAGTCGACGCAGATGCGAGCAAGATTCGTCTCAGCGAACTCCAAAGCCTTCACGATCGGGGAACATTTTCGCAATTTCATACCTAGGATTGTGTACCTGGAAGCAGCGGTAAGGAGTCGTCAATATTACGAAAGGCAGAAAACTATGCTTGGATTTTCGTTGCACGAGGCTGTAGCGATCTAAAACGACCTACGCTCCGCCAACAAAGATGCAAATGCAAATAACCCACCGCCTCAGTCAAGTACCCGAAATTGTGAAAATCGACGACGATTTTCGGTCTGCTCCCGATGGCTGCAGCAAGCATCTGACAGGCTTTCAGGAGAAGAATCTGCGGCACCATTGGCGGATTCTGAATTAGGATCGAGTCTATTGGAGGCTTGCTCAAGTTTGCCATCGCTGCGATGAAGAGAGAGTGACGCTATCAAAAAATCTGTAACAAAAACAGCGTTTTAAATAATAGCTTCTTAATTGCTAAAGCTAAACTCGAAATACCTAAGTATCACATGCTCTTTTACCTGCATCTTGCGGGTGCCGCAAAGCAACAAAAATAGTGTGAGCGCTGGTAAAGTAGTACTGCTAAATCATCTGTTGTTTCTGCGTGAGCGTGGCGCGATAGTCACTGTAGTACAACTAAACCAATCGAGCATATTAGAAGATGATCTTCTATTTTATCGTTTCCTCCCATAAATATCCACGCCATTTTTGCGAAATGGAAAAGGTCGTACAGTATTCTCCACAACAGGTAGAACGGATACGGCAACCAGGGAAAAGGACAGATAAATTGGGGCAACGGGACCAGGTGAATGCGACTGCTATCTGCAATCTCACGCGGGAGCGTCTGTCGTCGTTTCACGTCGTCGCCCTGCTCGTAATGGCCCACCAAAAGAACCTCAACGCCTCGCTTCGCAAACTCGGATGCGTGATTCATCATGCGTGGCGACCTAGCGACGTCACCTATAACAATTACCATCACACGACGAGCCAAGTGGGAGTTCCTCAGGGCACGATGTCGAGCCAGGTACACGAGAAATCCCACGGAGACCCCTGCACCGAAGAGCATCAGCGATGCGGCAGAGGACGAAAACAAGGAGACGAGTATACTCAACATCTTCTTCTACTACTCAATGTCGGTGTATCGAAAAAACGAAGTCTATGAGAGTTTTGGTACTTTAGAAACGATCGATCGGAACGGGAAGTAGCGAAACCTCGTCTTTCACCATGAAGCATGAGCAATAGACCACTAGGACTAGGAGTGATTGTTTTTTCATTTTCATTGATACTAACTTATAAATAAATGTCCATTGCCATGTTGTAGATATACCTTGGAAGCAACCAAGGGCCGTCCCACTGACATGGTACGGGGGCAGCTGGTGTGCCTTTTTGCCTTTAGCAGTCTCAGACAGGATCTTCACATACGAGGCGATCTTAATTTTTTTTTGATGACTAGCTACACCGGAGCTGTCGTCTTCATTACAGTCAGTTAGTACCATCATCCAGATGATCATCTTCACCTCCTGGCGACTTGGTTGCATCTGAGTCAGAGTCTTCTTGTTGTACATCTCCTGGCGGGATGGTCGTACTTGGATAACATAAAGGGCGACTGACGCTCATCATCTCATGCCAAGCATGTAGAAGGACTGTTGTTCGACTGTACTGCTCGAGCCGAGAATGCAAGTAGGACGGCTAGGAGTGAAAACGCGACTCCTGAGCAGGCCAGCCGAATCGTGGGAGGAGGACGCGGGACCAAACTTCCTATGACTAACAAAGTCTTTCTTTGAGCAACGATTCTCATTGAAGATACACTTGGCACGTTTTTTTAGAAAATACAAATACATAGGGGACCTACTACCCTTTGATTCATGAAGTCACATGATGTGCTTCAACAGGAACTTGATCATTGTTTCAGCTTCTGCATGTCTCTTTTTACGTGAAGGTCTGTGTTCTTGGTGCGTTTTTTTGTAAAATATTATATACGTACCAGGGAGGGAGGCCCCCCCCCCTGTGGATGGATCTGCGGTGGACCACGCCAGAGGGGTCCAGCCTGGCCACCTTTGCCCGGTCTGTAGGGTTGGGCACATGCAACACGCCAGACGAGGGGGCCACCCTTGCCACCTTTGCCAGGTCTGTAGGGTTGGGCACACGCAACACGCCAGAGGGGTCCGGCCTTGCCACCTTTGCCAGGTCTGTTGGGTACATGCAACACGACAAGAGGGCCCAGCCTTTGCCACCTTTGCCAGGTCTGTGGGGTACATGCAACAAGCGGGGAGGGGTCAGAAGTGGGCGCTTTGAGGCCTTCCCGCCCGGCAGCCCCTCGAAAAGAGGGGCCGGGGCTGGGAGGCCCCCCCCTCAAAAAGTTAGATCGGGGGGGGCCTTCAGCCCTGAGCCCTGGAACATATATAGAGAAGACTAGAAAACAAGACAAAGGACGAAATGAACAAAAGAGCATCTTCAAGCTGGTTCTTTGATGTCTGTGGAACAACTGCTCTGCGTGTGGAGCAAAGGCGCTGAACGCACTATGAATGTGGGAACTGCCGCGATCGTTGCAGCTCGAGTCGCAAAGCTCATGTGGCGAAAAATAAGCAGATGGAGATGGTCAAATAATGACATCAAGACATCCACTCAAGAAGAAAAAGCCACCTCCTCACTATACTACCACACCGGTGCAAGTCGTGATCAATCATGTAGACAGGTAGGCACCAGACTGTGCACGTGATAAAGATCACCACATATATTTTCAGCGGGATTTCAGGTAGCCCAAACAATCGAGAGGCCCCTTAGTTTTGGCATGGAGTCACAAGATCCCTTAGCTTCTAATATCTGTGGTGAGATTGAAAAGCCATTGAGTCGCATACAAGTGTTGGCTTGGTGTGGAAGGGAAGTTTCTAGCGCAGGCTTGCTGGGGATGAATACGCTGCGCAAACTACACTTGAAGGGAAATACCACAGGCGACATTTATTTACTGGTGTTTTTGTGCGTGGAATCGCTGGGACAACGACAACCGTGAGCAGATGACACGGGAAAAAACCGCGATAGAGATGCATTTTGTCGACAGGCTGATCTAAGCGCTCATTCGGGATTGTTTCTATTGTCGCGCGCGCATTTTCGTGGACCCTCCGCCATCTTCGCGGCGAGCATTTTCTGCGCAGGGGTCCGGTGGGCTTTTGTCTAATTGCGCCAATCGTTCATTGTTGAGAAGTCGGCGAGTCGCCACAGTCCTCGTTGGGGCCCGCAACTTCGCTGCGCCGTTCTTCTTTCCATTTACGTGTTCTTTTCCCTGCTCTCCGCGTCTTCCGCCGATGTAGCCGCGCATCTGGGAAAAAGAGGTAAACAGGGTTCAGGAAGTGCCTGCGTGCAGATGCAGTATGTTTAATTAGAAAGACTTGCAGAATGACGTTACCAAGCGACCGATGCAAAAACCACCAGTAGAGATGACCTAAGTACTATCAACATGATGACTTTGCACTATTATATTCTGTTCTCACATGGACAGCATTGAGTTAGTATTAATCAAAGAGCGATAGTGAGTACCTGATGAAAGGGGCGTTCCTGCAGAGCTCGGCGCCTCGCTATGCTCATCCCAGAGATCGCCAAGGCCGCCGTCGCCTGATGTCTCGTCCCGTCGTCTTCGAAGAGAGGTGAAATTTTTCGGAGGACTCGTATTTGGTGATCCTATACTAATGCTTGCATCTTCGCCGGCCTGGTCTTCGTGTCTAAAATTACTTCTTACTGCTGTGGCAGCGGCGCTCCTCGCCTCGTCTTTTCTCCGGAAATGCCTTGACTCTGACCCTGGCGACACACTGCGCCGTTGTGAATAGGATGAGGCGTCCGATACGGGTCCAGCATCGCCATAATGACGTACAGGAGAGCGGTCACTTTCAGCCACCGATGGGCTTCCGTTCATCCCGCCTCGCCCACCCGCGTCTCCCTCGTCGTCGTTCACCTCCGCTCCATCCTCGGGAAGATCTGCTGGCATGTCCTCCTCGTCCACGGCCAGCATACTGGTTACTACAAAAAGAAACACCGTGGTCGCGAATCCAATAAGCACAGCACCAATCAAAGCCAGGAACGCGAAGAGGTATGGGTAACTTCGGATATACTTCTTCAGGCCCTGCAATTCCGGCTCTACGACCAAGAAAGTGTTGTCAATCATTACCCCCGGCGACAAACAAAGCTCGAGCCTCTCGTCTGCAGATACCTTTGGGGTTGTTAGTCGTCGAAAAATATCCGAATGGAAGAAGAACGAAAACACAAAGCAAACAAAACAGAAGAGGACCAGATCAGCCACCGTTGCGAATTGACCTTTCTTCATCATGTGCTCGATGATGTGAGAACATCAACCAATCGCACGACATACAGAAAAAATTTTGAACTAGTTTCATACAAGGGTGGAATACCGTTCTGACTGAAAGATTGTCCGCTAGAGTGACGTGGAAATCGCTATCCCAAAAGGCATCTGCTTCGACGTGAAGCAGGCGAGTTACAAGTCGCTGTATGGGTTTCAGAAAAGTTTCTTCGAGAAACGAATACTCGGATACGGCCGGGACGAAAAAGGAACGACGGCTAACAAGCTGATAGAGAACTTCTGGCATAGGCGAAGTCGTTTTCTTTGGAGATCCCGATGGAGGCTCCCGTGTTTTCCGCCAATTGCATTTCTGATTTGTAGATGAGTCGCTACGGTCGGCCTTGTCCATGTTTCCTTCCGCGTCTATGACGATGCCAGTGACAGCACCAGCTTCCTGTGTTACTTGCGAACTCAGATCGTCGATTATTACAGCACCAGAGCCGACAGAATCATCGGCATGCTCATCGCCAGACGAAGGGGTGGTGTCGGCAGATCCATTACGACAGCTCCCATCGCTTTCGTCTATAATTCCGGCACCCTCTTGCTCTTGAGTAACATCTTCGTTGTTTCGTTGCACACTAAGGATCGCGGAAACGGGGCCCAGGTTTTCGTTCCATCTACGAACAGACGGTAATGAGGGCAGCTTGCCGGCGAGACGCAAGCGAAAGATGCTCTTCGCTTTTGTTAAAGTGCGTCCAGAAAAACGGAGAAAACTACTCCTGCTCGTCGAAAAGACAGATCTCTCAAACCCCTGTTCGTAGAAATCCTCTTCTGCGGTGGCCACTTGCGCAGTAGAAATGGCCTGAGGCATGCGAGGAAACGCGCTATGAGATGAGCCTGTAGAACTACCAGATCCTGCGCCGCCTCCTCCTCCAGGTGAAAAGAAAAAGGACATCAAGGATGCAGCCGACGGCATTGAAGTAGAGTCTCGATAACCATCTTCGCCACTGACTGATTGTCTCGCGTGTCCACCACTGTCCTTGTCACTAGCAGCTTTTGTGTGTGACGTTGCGGCTGTTTTTCTGGCGCCATTGGCACCAGGAGTGGGCCCTGGTATGACTGTCTCCGAAGTCGTTGTGTAGGAGGCAGTCGGCCCACTTGTAGCAGCGCCGTGCAGGTGCGGCCGTGGATCTGGCACAGCTCCACGCGAGACAGCCTGCTCCCTGAGTGCCGAACTGTCGGCGATCCACGCATCGCCGACAAAGGCTTCTTCCCTATCGAGCAGGCCGAACCGCGCACACGCAATGGCATCCTCGGGTCGGGGACTGCGCCGAAAATACTCTAGGTGGAGTGGTAGCACCAGATCTCCGGGGACAAGAACTACGTAGCCGAACCAGAAGAGCAATAGTGCGGCGACCGAAAAAACGCAGAGCGCGGTAAAGAAGATCAGCACACCTGTGACTAGTTGATTTTTGAGAACTAGTCGCACCCACAGAGACCAGAGGCGCCCGCACAATCGGCACAAGAGACTGGCGATGGTCCGAATCATCTTTTCTTGAAATCACCAATTTTTCTAACCTTCCAAATCGAATGCAGTGAAGAAGGACTAGGTGTTGATGTACGGAATGCGGGTACCTCACCACATCACTACAAAAAAATATATTGTAGAAGTATAACTTCTACGCATAATGTTGTTGTAATACTATGACCTCCTGGGAGAAGCGTTGTTCTTCTGTCACACTTATTGAGCTTGTAGGGTTCCTATTTCCGCTACCAAGACTACTAACTTACGCGTTTGAGAAACAAAAAGTGAAAAAACACCTGTTCTCCAATGATTTTTGGTCATGAGCAGAATCACGGAGAGCAAGCAGAAGCACAGAAAAAATTATAGTATAGATTGCAGTTGCAGCCACTGCGCCAGGTTGTTGCGTGCTTGTCAGACCCTCAATACTCTACTCTTGACGCTTTCCGGTCACGTCATGCTGCAGCTAGCTCGCTCGCACACTAAAACGGCTTGAATAGAGCAGTTACAAGAAGGCGTATCCACATCAATTACCAGTTTTTCGCTGCAGTGAGCTGCGACGTCGTAGAAACGTGTAGCATATGGGGAAACTGTTTATCGAGGATGAGGAAGTGTCACATTGGGAGCGGTTTTTGTGATTTTGGCACACAAATGAATCTAAAAATGCTCTGGTTAATGTTGGTGATGCCTAGGAACTAGAAGAGTGGTGTCCTCAAAAAATCTCGAAAGTCTTCTGGCTTTTACTAGTACTAGTAAAACGCAAATGACGTTTCCCAATCCACCGTATTCGTGAAGCGCAGTGGCTCATTGATATCTCCGATCGGGCTGCGCAAGGGGACTTGTGGCGCGACATCGTCGCACATTTGACACGACCGCCAAGACGGCACAAATATTCACTGAAATTATCATCTCGCGATATTTCTATTCGCCAATGAGTGAAATGATTTTCTTGACGCTCATGACCTTGTCCGCGTCTTCGACTTCCTTCGACCTGCCGTTTTTCAAAATGGTCTGCGCTACGTCAACCATGGAGGGGTATGCCGCACGCAACAGGTGGTTCGCGTGGATACCTGTTTAAGCGGGAGTGGGTAGTCGGAATACATATGTTGATGTTTACTTTGAACTTGAAGATATTGGTACGCGGCTTGTGGAACACTGTCATTTTCTCAGCGTCTGATGCACTCTTAGATTCAGTGATCAGAAAAACCAAAATCAAATTCGATTCCGTGAAGAAGATGGAACCAAAAGTAAGAGCATCATTTTCTAAGTCTACATATTGACGCTCCAGCTTTCGCAAGCTCGTCCTCCGTGAGGCTGTTGTATGATGTTGGTACGACAACGAGCGGTTTTTTGTTCGGAAACTTGTTGTAGCTTTCCATGAAGGATAGAACTTCATCTGGCTTCTTCTCCTTACTATGGATCATGATCCCGTCGACCTGGTGGTGGTGAGAGTACTAGGTATCTGAGTCTAGGAATAATGCCAGCTCGATGTAACATATGCCGTAAGACAATTGAAAGCGAAGGAAGTGATGGAGGATCGCAATACAGTTGTATCAGAGACAGGTGTGATTCTCCTTGATTTTATCCACTTACCTTTCCTTCTTCTATGTAGGCTTTTGCGCGCTTGAGTGCTTCTTCCTCGCCTGCGCCTGCGATTAGTGCTTCAAGTCGGGCAATGATCATAAACTCCTCATTCTTTTTCGCGGCCTGTCCGACTGCCAGCTTATGCGAGAACTCCGCGATATCCGCAAGTTGCTGCTTGCGGTCCGTTCCGAAAATTAGAAATGGCCTTGCTCCTCCTTAAAGCTCCTCGTCCTACTCTACTAGCATGTTGGTCTCGAATGTTGATGCATGTTCAGTCTGTAGCTCCCTCGTGAAAACATACGCACATCGAATAAGTGCTATGAGTCGGGTCTTTATGAGAATGACAGTGTTTTCCAACAGATAGTCGAGACTTAAGAAAAGACTATTCTGCTTGAGTCCGCTCTTGTCCTCGATAATGCAAGCGGATACACCGAGACTCTCGAGTTTTTGAATAGTAAACTTGAATATTTCCGGAAGTCCTCCTGTATCACCGTCGTATATCATCGGCTTGGTCGTTACCTTAGATCATTTTGGGAGTGAGCGAGGCATACGAAATTTTAGGAACTTCGCTCATTTCTATGAAGCAAAGTAATCTTGTTCATCATACTGGAGTATATGCTTTTACACGACCATGCTTGAGATTAAGATGCCTAAGTTGTCATACCTCGAGGCAATCCTGCACGATTTGCAGCCTTTGTGTGGTGTCGACCACTTCAATGTCAGGTTTTGCTTTGATCGTACTTGAAGTCAATGAAGACGACCAGAGCGCATCAAACTCCGCTACGCTGCCGTCTGCGCGAGTCGCTTTGGCCTTCTCTGCGATCAAAGCGCTCAGGCCGGAGTGGCACTCCATCGCTCGAACAATCGGCTTTTCCTTAATCATTCGCCGCAACGACCCGAGTCGTTGCACGCAATTGACGAGGTTCGCCATCCTCTTCTAAGTACTTCTTTTGTTACTTTGCTCGTTCCCGTGAGTTTCTTTTCAGTCTTAGAATGAAAGATGCTGGACCGGTCGAGCCTTGATCCAACTTCTCGACCGGGAGAAGTTGCAGCAACACAGACTCCTCAAAAAGCGCATGTCATCACTCGACTCTCTCGGTACAAAGTCGTTACTTCTGGTTCGGGCATGGCCCTCGCTCAGTTACTCCAGAAACCGATTACAATCTCATCCACACCACTGAAGTTCATGTCCTCTCAGTCTCACTCATTCCACGTTGGTGACGATCTATGACTCAAAACTAGAGTTGTGCTGTCAAATGATCATTTTTGGTCGATGCAATGGCCTGTATTATCACAAGAACGTGAGGAGTAGTAGCAGCAGTAGCAGGTTTCCTACCTGGATGCAAAAAGTCCGCTACTTCAATTCAATGGGCGACGGCGGCTATTTTTTTTTTTTTGTATCGCAAGCGAGTTCCGTAAAGAACCTACCTACATATTTTCCGCGTGGATACCGGCGTAGGGGGGAGTTCTTAATCTCCTTAACAACTACTCTAAAAGCCCCTACGGATACCTTTCGTCTGGGCTGAACGCCACGTCACAGCAGTCCTGCCTGCACGAGTGAGGCCGAATCCACGCTACTTTCAAGATCAGTCAAAAGAAAAACATTAGCCCCATATTGGCGTTCGTGTCATTGTCAGCTGCTCCACAATCGCTCAACTCAGCGTATCTATGCTTCTTCCTCAGTCAAATAAGTGCAAAAAGTGATTGCATGTCACCGGAATGCAACAACAATTGCGTTTCTTGGAAATGTAACGAGTCGACATTTAGGGATGACGGTAGAGGTGAGGGTGACTAGAAAAATGCTGATAACTATGTTGAATACATCTATGCACAACGCGCAAGCAGCAGGGAAGAATGTTTGGAGGAAACGAAAGAATAATCAATCTATTTGTTGCTCATCTTGATATCACTTTTTTCTATTCCTCACACTAGATGTTAGTCAATCGTATGTGAGTGGAAATTATGCTGGTGACAATGACATCTAGATCTAGTTCTAGCAAAATCAATAATTCCAAAATCGTGCTGAGACTGAATGTGTCATTGTGTGTGTGTATTCGTTTGCTGGAAGTAAGTAATTGGTGAAAAGAACAGACGTGGTACTGATTATAATTAGAAGAGAAACAATAACAAATACTTAGGTGAACTTCATCGTCATGCACACAAGAACAAAAACATCATGCACAGTCAGTGGCCCATCAAAAAGACACTGAGCTAACAAATATCACCAAGAAGAACATGTTGACCACCGGTACTATAATCTAAAAAAGTGATTCAGATGTACTTTGCAGCGCGTACTTAATCGTGATTATGAATGGGTAACTACGACTTAGACTCCCAATAACTTCGTGTTAAGCTACTACACGATTATGGAAATAGCACAAAGTGATCTTTTGGTATCGAACACCCGAATATAACGTGTCAGTTGAATCTTTTGTTCAGCATAAACAGTTACCGCTTGCACTTATTCGAGCGACGAGACTCACCCTTGCCAGAAGAAGCGTTCGCTGAACGACAGAGCTAGACGCTGCCATAAGACTTTGCGTCCCCCAACAAGCTGGAAGCGGTCCTCCGATTCAGGCTAGTGCTCTCGAATCACGGCGAGCGGGAATGGGCTATGCGTCTTTTTATAGCCGGTAATGACAATCAGTTGGCACTGTGTACCGCAACAAACATCGCGCAAAAAAACGATTATCAGCCGAGCCTCTTGACGATGCCTCGAATACTACGGTAGCATAACTTCTGTGGCACCCCGCGGCGTGCACAATCCTGCGAGTACAAAAATCACAAATTCCTGTAGTCGTACGGTGTGTGCTGGTATACATGATGGGGTTGTTGGTGCTGGCTCGCATGTGTGTTCTGTGACGTCTGTTGCGCTGCTGCTGTTGCAGAGTAGTCATTGTAAATCGGCAGGCCACCACCTCCACCACGATTATTAATGTGGCCACTGGAAATGGAATAAGCATTTGCTGCGTTGATCAACCTCGTATCATGATGCGAGAAAAAGCTATCCTCCTCATGATCCTCCCAGCTCTTGCTCAAAAGCGAGGTAGCAGCCTCCTCGTCGGCGTCTCCCGAGAAGTCTAGGAGATCGCGATAACGACTCGGACCAGAAGAGAAATTCGGACCAGGTGATGAAGCACCGACAGGGTGGTCGTTTGCATTCCGACTTCGCGACGGCTTCGAACCGTTTTCCGCCACCGCGGCGAGCACGGAGCCCTTGACGTTTCCTGGAGACAGCATGCTGCTATCGATTTGTCGGTCTATTTGCTGCAGGTGCATCTTCAACTGCCTGTTCTCGGCGCGCGCCAAGTAAACTCGAAGTCGCGAGATGATAGGGGCGAGAAGGCCTGTCGAGTGGCAAAGAAGTCCAAGCGCCAAGCACAGCAACGCGAAAAAGAGACAAAAGCGCGTTGTCTGTGCTGCTGGAGTTGTTGATGAAGAGTGCTCGGCTCCCTTGTGTTTCAGCAGCTGCGGCGCCCCCCCTTTCTCCGAGTCAAACAGCTCCTCACTGGAGCTCTCGTCATCATCTTCATCATCGCGTGCCTCGACAACTACTCCGGAGGACCTCGACGTCCCCTTCCCCTTTTTCTTCTCTTTCCTGGCGGCGGAATGCACTACGGATCCCGAACTCATGCTCTCAACCTGAGTTCTCGCCCAACCCTCGCGGCGCGCAATTTCCATGAGGACTTCACCATAAAGCGGTGCAAATGCTTCCATGACGCTCTCTGCTGCGTCCTGATACATCGGCGTAAACATGTTGTACAAGCAGTGGCTCTTGTATGCCTGTGCTTCGACGCTGCTCCACGCATTGAATCCTGGCGTCGAAAAGAATTTCATATCCTTGCCGTCATGCTCCGCGCGGTACTCAGCGTCTCGATACATGTCGAAATATATCGAGTTACTGTCCCATGGATGCCGTCCATACATCTCGAAGGCCATCGTGTACAAGACCTGGCACAATAAGGAAGGGAGCCCTTAGTTACGGCTGAGACTACGTTTGCAGAAAAAGCGGCACCACCGTTGCCTAGAGGACTATGGATTTGTTGCAAAAACTACGTTCAAGCAGGGGTACCAATATGAATACATGCCCAGAAAGCGGGCCCATCACGGGCCCGCTGCGCTGGGCATAGGTTAGCACTTAGCAACTAGACAGATACGACAAACGAAGCAAGCCGCTAAGTCATCAAGCTAGCGACGCGCGGCTGGCTTAGAATGAACCAGCATGGACGCCGGCCATTGCGATTGCTCAGCCAGCTGGCCAGCTATTGCTAAGCTAACAAGCTGGACCTGGAGGGGCTATGGCTAAGCTAGCAGGTTAGCCTTGGCGAGGCTGCTAGGTAGCAAGCTGGTCACGGCTAGGCTAACAGGCTATCTATGCCGGGCTAAACTAGCAGGGTGGCCATGGCTAGGCTAGCAAGCTGGCAATGGCTGAGCTAGCGCCAAGCCGGCGCTCTTGCAGGCTAAGTAACATGGCTAACCTAGCAAGCTGGCAATGGCTACGCAGCTAGCGCGCTGGCTATGGCTAAACAGCTAGAAAGCTAGACCAGGCTAAGCAGCTAGCAAGCTGGCGAGGGTCAAGCAGCTAGCAGGCTAGCTACGGCGAAGCCGCTAGCTAGCTCCCTAGCTATGGATAAGCAGCTGCGGCGAGCAGGCTAGCCGTGGCTAAGCAGCTAGCTACGGTTAACCTAGCAAGCTAGCTCGCTGCTGCTAAGCTAGCAAGCGAGCTATATCATTGCTCTGCTAGCAAACTTGCTAGCTATGGCTGAGCTAGCAAGTGGAGGCCCTTAAGAGGTGGCCCTTGAGGAAGGGTCTAATATTAACCCAATTTTGTCAAAGGGCCCCCTTAAGGAGCTCCCTTAAGGGTCATCTTTTGCCCTTAAGGGAGCTCCATAATCGATTTCTATAATTTGATAGAAATTTTTCTCCTAGGGATGCAATGTGCTTAAGGAAGCTCCTTAAGGAGGCCTCCTTAAGGAGAAGGCTTGGCCTTAAAAAAATTGCTAAGTAATACTAGAAATACTAATATTGTGGGTTCTATCTTTACCTTTATGATAGCCAAAAAAGCTCGTGCTCAAAAATTATACAATAGAATACCTTTCCCTTATCGTGTAGCAACGAAGTCGCGAAGTCGAGACCGCTTCCGCCGACGACGTCTCTCGTCAGGACAGGAACGGCTCCGTAGCTCATGGCCATTGCCTTTCCTGATGGCCCTGATATCCATTCAGCGAGTGGAATGAGCTTCGAAAAATACTCAGACGGGAGCTCCTTCTTGTGTGCCCAGGGCAAAACTAGGCTGTATTCACCAGTGTGGCTATCTATGAAAGCGTCGTAGTCGAATCCTTCCAGTGCCTGGGACAAATTGTTGACTGATATGTTGAATTGAATCCTGATCTTACCATGCAGAGTTGAGAAATAGAAGTCGTAGTTTTTCATATTCGCAGACCCAACCCTAAGGAATTGCAAATACTAAGCGTGCTGACGGCAAAACTCAACTCTCTGCTGTAGAACAAACTGCGCAACAGCGTGTTATAGTTATTGTTGTATGTGCCAGTGTCTCGTGCCAGTGTCTTCTATTTAACAGCTTCCTCGGTTACCTAGTCGACTAATGCATCAAGTTCATCTCAAAGCATCGTCGGTCTTCAACCCCCCACTGTTACAAAACTCAACAAAACCTTCACCCCAAACCCCACTACCACCACCACATCTTGAACAAAAGGGTGAACCATGATAAGGATGTGAATGACTGAGTGTGTGCCTGCTTGCATGCTAGCACGATCTGGCCAGAAATGAAGACAGGCTGGCAGGATAGAATCACGCGATACAAAGTGCAAAAGGAAACTACTTAAGGCCTTCCATAGCTTGCTCATGGACAGTAAGCAAGCCTTAAGGCTAGCTAGCTATCTAAGGTTTACCCGTTTATTTACTTCTAGGTAAGGGGCATGAAGATAACAGGGCGCAACAACAATATTTTTACTCTCTGACAGACAGTAGATAGTGTGGAGCAACCGAACGATCCTGCACATGGCCAACAGTTAAGGCTTCAGTAATAAATATTGCCGAACCACATGAAGCTCCATCTCTTTACTTCTATTTCTTACATGGGTGCACATACTTCAGGGTAGAGTGTGCGGAGCTACTATATATAAAAGGTTGCACTTTTACACTATAGCACACAAGCAGGGACGACTACGAAAACCACCAGCGCATAGACTCAAGGACGGGAGACAAATTAAGCATAATGATAGATGAGTATTAGTTCCTGACGAATGATTTCGGAAGTTGGCCTTGGTGAGCTAGCACCCATAAGCAAGGCCAACTATGCCGTTCCGATCTCATTGCGAGCGCCTACCTCTCTCCTCTTCTCCGGTAGGGCCTTATGTGGCTGAAGTCAGGAATTTTTACTAAGAGCGCTCTGATTATAATCAATTAGCCACACCCTTCAAGAGTAACTTAGTTATGAAGCTATTCTTAGCAATTAGTTACGATTTCACTTGTTAAATCTTGGTTAAATTGAGGTCGGGCGATCGATCGTCTTAGCGCTTTCCGCGCTAATTAGTTGGTGGCAGTTTTTGCCATCAATCCGAAGCTTTTAAGCTTGCGGTGTTACATGTTTTGAAACTTGACGATTGAGAACCCACCTCACAGATAAGATCCGAAATAGATCAGCTTTAGCCGGTTCTAAATGGTCTACTAAATCTCCGACAGCGGTCAACGAATTCAGAAAACTCACCTGACGAATCAGAGCCAAACACCTCAATCACACCATAGATCCCAAATTGTCTACCAAAAGCTCGTGACCGAAAAAAGTTGGGTACATTTTCGGTGAGTAGATCACGCTCAACGCTCACCCTTAATAATTGGTCGTTCTTTGACCGAAAAAGTGAAAGTTGGCTCCTTTCGTTCATTTGCCGAGATCCAAAATTGTCGACCGAAAAAGTGGGGTACATTTTCGGTCGTTATTTTCAAAGGTGAGGTAGATCCTGTCCACAACGTCGAGATCCAAAAACTGTCGACCGAAAAAAGTGGGGTTCGTTTTCGGTCGTTATTTTCAAAAGTGGGGCTTGTCCTCAAATAGTAAAGACCAGGCCGATCCTGTCCCCAAATAGTTAGGTATACCTACGCTACTTTCACGGAACATGTGCGCAAGTCTCTGACCGAATACACAGGCTTTCGCTTGATCATCTAGATCGAACTTCGTGATTGATTTCGTCAATCCTTGCAACCGAAAAAGCAACCAAAAAAATGGCTGACACAGCAGGTCTCTCGACTCTTCAACAAATCCAGCTTTTCGCTGAGAATGGTGACCCTTTCCGGGCCACTGCATTCAAGGACGGCCCTGGCCGCCCCGGTGCCCATGCCTTGTGGAGTAAGCATGTGCACCGCAAGAAAGCCGACGGCACTGATAACCCCGACGCCATCGGGGACGTCCATCTACGTAAGGCATTCGGTACAGCCCTCTTTGAGGTGAATGAGGTCGAAGTGGTTTTACAACTCACCGACAAGGAGAAAATCACGGCAGTCCTCGAGGAGACTGCTCTACCGTCTTTCAAGGACGTAGCTCGCGCTAACGAGAGCCGCAACGACCTTAAGGAGGCGAAGGCCGTAGGTATTGTCCTTTCTGCTTTGCAGCTTATCCAAGTCGCACAGCGCAACAAGGAGAAGGAAGAGGAACGGAAACACCGCGATGACCTTACGCGCATCGCTATGGGGGCCTCTTCCCTCACAACGAAACAGCCGAAGAAAGTCGTGCAACTCGCACCGCGCCTGACGGTGCTCGGCATCGTCTCGGACAAGAGCAACCTCATCCCAACGCAGGACCAAGTCAATTTCATGCGTTTCCAGATCGAGAAGGGCTTCGCTTTTCCTTTCGCGGACCTGAAGTCCAGCCCTTGGTACCCCAAGAGGAGTGACTGGGTCATGAAGCTTGGGCTCGGCGAGAGTGAAATCAACGACACCATTCGGGAAATTTCTGCCACTATGGGCATGGATGCCCAACGCTCAGAGAAACAGCTACTAGCGGACGCAACCGCCAAGAACAAGGATACTGAACTTCCACCCTCGCAGTACTTGTTCCTTCACGGGAAGGCGCTGATCGCTTGGGCCGCCGCCAGTGAGGACCCTACCATAGACAATCAGTTCACCGCGATATTCCACCTCTACACTACTGCAATCCTCGACGCAATCAATCACTTCGGGCCGCGGGTCGTCACGTCTTTCGACGCGAAGATTCGGCAGGATTGGTCCGAGGAAAGTCGTCACGGCGACTTTGATATCATGGCCAAGATTCGCGATTTCCGCGGCGATGATTTTCGGGAGTATCTCAGCTTGTTCAACATGAAAGAAGATCGGCGTCGCAAAGCCAAAGCCGCGGACGATGAAGCGAAGCGTCGCAAGATTACGGTGCAGCAGCCTAAGGGCGGAAAGCCACCGAAAGGAAAGGGTCAGACTCAACCCTCGGGAGCTGTCAACTATGACAACACACCACCGCGAATTCCTAAGGGGAAAGCGATGGGAAATAAAGGGGGTGGCGCCCTGAATGAGCGTCAGTTGCAGCAGATCCAGAATAAGGGGCAACTCTCTTCCGAAGCTAACGGGCGAGGAGAACAAGAACCAGGGCAGCAGTCCTGAACGTCCTCTCTTGAGGTTCGTTCCCCTCTCGTCGCACCAGAACACGCCACACCATCACGAGAGGGCGAAAAGGAACACAGTGGCGACCCAGCTTCGGAACTAGCCGATTCGGCTTCTTTTTCTAGTTCGGTCCCGTCCTCCTTTGAAGCGGGAGAGCACCACAGACAACAGGCCGAACCTTCGCAGAACTATCCTTGGGAACCTCCCTCGGAGTATATTAGTCCAGCAAACACGGAGCCGGTGGAGATCACGCGTACCCGTCTTAGGGTCAGCGAGTGGATATCGAACCCGGCCAAGTATCAGCTGGCGCTTCAGGCTTTTAATAAGTCATACATCAGGAGCGATTTCCTTCGCCCTTTTTCCGCTGCGATGTTTCTTCACAGCGAATCAGATCTGTCCTGTTTCTCGGGTCCAAGTAGAACCTCATCGCGTAGAGTTGTCCTTCGTGATGATTTCGCTGAGGAGGATATTTCTGATTGGACAGAAGACGACGGAAGCGACACCGTCGCGGGAAACGCAACTACTTCGACCGCAATAGCACAGTTACAACATAGCACGGCAGTAAAACCTACTAGAAAGCAAGCCGATGCACATGTCCTAGCGATGTCGCAGCAGGGAGTCTACATGTCTCTTCACGCTTCTACGATTCGGGGACATGTCAACCTAGCACAACAGTTTCGCTTTCCGCGTATTTCTCATGAACCGCTACCCCTTGACTTACAAGAGGCGGCAGTTTTCACAGCTGATAGCGTCTCCGCGCGCCAGAATGCGCGCCGCCTGGTCTTACAATTCTGGCGAAATAGGAAGGACGCACTCCCACGCGACACCTGGCTACCAGGTAGGCCGCAGATTTCAAAAGTCGCGGTTACATTGCTCGAGGATATGATGAAGGTCACGGGCATCTTCGGGTCGCGCTTGGCCGACCGCTTGCGGATCGGTTTCCCAATCGTTGGAATTTTCGACGAGGTTGGAGTCTTTCCGAGGGCCAACCGCTCCCGCCCAGTTCAATCGGCTACGGATCTAATCAACAACAAGCACAAGCTCCTCCGCGAAATTGAAAATAAAGCACGATACGACTCGAAAGAAGAAACAGACCACATTTGGTCGTCCTTCCTTTCGGAGTGTGAGTCTGGATCTTTGTCTGGCCCTTACTGTGTCAACGATCCTGAAGACGTTAAGAATTTGCCGACGGATTTCCTTCCGCTAAGGCGGTTCATTGTGACCCAGTCGTCCTATTCTGGAAGCTCTGGCACATACAAAACGAAGCTACGACCGTGCGACAACGCGAAACACAGTATGCTCAATGAAGCCTGCGCCGTCAGAACGCCGATCAAGTTGATGAATGGCGACCACCTCAACGCAGTCACCATGTTCCTGCAGAAGTTAACGGGACCACAGCAGCTCGCCTTTATCAAGAAAGACATGAAGTCTGCATATAGACAGCTCTTATCTTACCACAGTTTCGTGGTGGTAATCGCGAAGAATCCGACTTGCGGGAGGCTCTTCGGGGCCGTCGCGAAAGCCCTCCTGTTTGGTGAAGAGGCCGCGGTAATTAACTTCAACGTTTATGCGTTGGTGGCGACTGCTCTGGGTAGGCGCATTCTCCGCCTCCCCATCGTGTCTTACTTCGACGACTTCGGCTGCGTCGTTCCCGCGCAGGATGCTCAGCGTGCATCCGAAGACATGGACACATTCTTCACCGACCTCCTCCAGATCACTTTTGAACGGCAAAAAGACGAACTTGGTAGCCGTATTAGATTCCTCGGAACGTTCCACTCCACGACCCCAAAGGGGATTACGGTCGAAATCTGCCCCGTAAGGGCCCAAGAAGTTCAGCGCCGTATTGGTGACTTCTTGAGTAAAGGCAAACTCCACCCACTCGAGGCGGAAAAGCTTGCAGGAACTCTACAATTCTGCTCAAGGGCGTCATTCGGCAGACTCGGCCGCGCCTTCCTCGTTCCGATTTACGGCCGGGCCCAGATGAAACACCAGGGCGGCGCGTTGGGGCCCCGCCTTCGTTCTGCACTAGAATGGTACCACAAATGCCTTCCAAGCTTTCGGTACGATATCCCATCTTCATCCGGCGAAGGCAACGACTTGCCGCCAGTTGTCTTGTACACCGACGCCGCGGGTTCTGGGCGTATCGGTGTCGTTTGCTTCGACGGCGATTTCCGGGCTTGCGCGTCCTTTTGGGCCATGGAGGCTGATATGTTCATTGAAATTTACGAGACCGAAGCTGTCGCTGTCGCGCTTGCGTTATTCGCCGAGCGCATTAAAGGCAGGAAAGACCTCGTTCTCATCGACAACGAAAGCGCACAGTGCGCGACACAGAACGGGTACAGTGACGACCCCAAGGTTCAAAAACTTGTCCTGTTGATATGGATCCTCGCGCTATCTCTAGGCATCGAGATCTGGTTTGAGCGCGTTACGAGCAAGCTCAACATCGCCGACGGTCCGAGTCGTGACTCTTTTGACACATGTAAAGACTTTGGCTGCGTAATTCTTCACCGAGCTTCTCCTACTCGCCGTCCAGACTCGCCGACATTCACAATGGACACCTTTCGGGAGGTCGCTCAGAATGCGGCCAGAAGCAGACAAGCTGCGCCGTTTATGGTGTAGGACGCCCTCGGGGTCACGGGAGCTCTTCTATCTTGTCAGGAGCGTACTAGCTAGCATCACATTGACTGACATCGACGACTAGTGAAAAACTTACTGCGCTCGTGGGAACGCTCTAGAAGAAACAAACAAAGTCGGAGGTGAGACACAACGTTCCAGCGGGCCGCCAGGCTGGGACTGTAATTAAAGACGTTACCCAAGAAGTGACTCCTCTCAGTGCTGAAGTAGTAAGTAAAATAAAGAGTAAGTAAGTAAGAAAAAACGGCTCTCCATCGTGCTGAAGTAGTAAGTAAGTAAGACAAAACGGCTTTCCGCCGTAATTCCGCCTGTTTCCATGGCTCAGACTTCCAGTTCCAGAAGGAATAGAATAGAGGAGCAAAGGGCGGCTTCGAAGTCGCTCGCTATAGCTGGTCGTAAATAAAAAAGCCACCTCATTCGCGCGGAATGTGCGGCCAGCGTTTTGCGCAGCCTGGTTCCCAGGCCAGCGCGCTCAGGTGTTCCACCTTACAGGGCGATGCGTCTGCATATAATCGGTCCCCACACTCGGTTAGTTTTTCTTTGGTTAACTTCAGTCTCCTCTCCAGCGAGCGCCTGAGACTTCCCAATAAGACGAGCGTCTCACTCGTAAGGTGGTGAATAGTAAAGAAAGGCAAAGTCTAGCGCTATACCTCGTTAAAGCTAAGTAACGCCGCTAGTATGTCTCTTCCGGACAATGATCCCGTCCCCCGAAGGAGGCGGGAAATAGTCAATATGTTCAAAAACATGGCTTGGTTTGACGAGCGGTTCATCTTGTCCTTCCGACCAACGCAGTTGTCGCTCACGAAACGGCTCCGCACCGCTTTACAAGAGCTCCAATCTATCGAAATAGACCGAACCCGTGAAAAGCGTGCAGGTACTTCATTTGGGCCTTATTTTAAGTAGTCACCTCAGTTGGCATCTGGGAGTAGGACATCGGCGACTGGGAAACCTCCCAGACCCCAACTGACGTGCAATTCTAATTGTCTTTTGACTAATTGCAGTGCTATAAACTATGAAGTCTTCTCGTGCTACGTTTTACTAGCACGGCGTCGCGCTCTCTGCACGCCTTTCGGCTATGTTCATAGGCCGCCGAGAGGTTCGTTTATCGTGGGGAGTTTTCTTATCCCACGTGCCTACTAGGCAGGATCAGGGTATCGAGTGATCGTTCTAATTTAATTACGATTTCACTTGTTAAATCTTGGTTAAATTGAGGTCGGGCGATCGATCGTCTTAGCGCTTTCCGCGCTAATTAGTTGGTGGCAGTTTTTGCCATCAATCCGAAGCTTTTAAGCTTGCGGTGTTACATGTTTTGAAACTTGTTTCTCACCCTCCTCTCTCCACCCCTCATCCCACAGATGCTCTGCGGGAGGAAAATCTACTATGCTGGTCAGTCGATGAAGCAATCCGTCTTCTTTCCGAGGAACCGGAAGCGACGCACCCAGATACGAAGGGGCTCCCCCTTGCAAAACGCCTCAAGCTTTTAAGCGAGGCAACTACGGAGGAACAGAACTCCATCTTGGACGATAGGGCGCACTCGCTACAGATCCAGTCTCTAGTCCCATCTTCGCGAAAGGGCTACATCTCATCCCTTAGGGGCTACCAACGATATTGCACCACCCGAAAAATTAGGGAGTTTCCTCTCGTCTTCATTGAGGTCAAGCGATTCTTAGGACTGGCAAATACGGCCGAGTCTGCAAACGCATGGCTGGCTGCGATAAAGAAGGCGTCTGTATTGATCCACTGCCCCTTCTCTTTTTCGTGCTTCGAAGAGCTCGAGCTAACTACGCTCATCAACGGACTGAAGAGAACGCAACCAACGAGAAAAGTAGCGTGCGCCATTCTGGGCCCACACTTACTCCTCATCCTGGACCACGCTCAAAAGAAGCATCAGCACCAGCTTCGAATGCTCTTGGCATTCTCGTACGTCTTCACTTTGAGACTGCAGGACGAAGCGCTACCACTAATACGCTCGGGCTTATCCTCGGCGCAGCATCAGTCTGCCACCCCCGAATCAGTTCGGTCTCTCGGAGTGCATAGCGCAGTCTTCAGGGCAAGTGACAACTCCGTCAAGATCATCTTCGCAAAACGAAAACAACATCAAGCAGGCGACATAGTGTCTCGCTCTTGCTTCTGCGGCGGGCACGACGTTTTCGCACAGTTCTGCCCAGTGCATGTCTTATTCCCTTACGTGGAACAGCATCAGCCTGGTGAGCCGCTCTTCCCGGCCTGCTCCTACGGCCAGGCCCTCGATTTCTTGAAAGAGGCCTTCAAGAGCATCGGCATCGTCTCGACCTCTTCCCCTGGTACGCACAGCCTTCGTCGCGGATGTCTCCAAACTATGGAGGCCATGAACCCCGACGCCAAGGAGCTCTTATCTCTTGGCCACTGGAACAGTTCTGCGATCCAGCGATACCGCGACTCTCGTCGCACTGAAGAGATCGCCCTTACCCATACATTCTTACCGGACATTTCATCCAGCGTCGAATCTGACTTAGAGGACAACAACGAAGTCGCCCCTTCAGGCGTGTCCACTTGATCCCCTATCCTGCTGAATTCTCCCCACAAACGAATCCCAGACCCCAACTGACGTGCAATTCTAATTGTCTTTTGACTAATTGCAGTGCTATAAACTATGAAGTCTTCTCGTGCTACGTTTTACTAGCACGGCGCCGCGCTCTCTGCACGCCTTTCGGCTATGTTCATAGGCCGCCGAGAGGTTCGTTTATCGTGGGGAGTTTTCTTATCCCACGTGCCTACTAGGCAGGATCAGGGTATCGAGTGATCGTTCTAATTTAATTGACCTTTTTACCTTCTCAGACTATAGTATACTTCAACATCATACCAATACACCTCCAATCAAAATATAGGACAACTCCACACACACACAAACCAAAAATGACGTCCAGACGCATACTGCAGCACTGTCCTGTTTTCGGGGTTGTTTCGTCTCATGTGGAACTTTTTTGACTATCTAAGGTTTACCCGCTTATTGTTGTATGTGCAAAACGACAACCCTAATTCCGCTTACCTTCCGCAGCATTCTGGATTCAGGTTCTGAGAATGCCGCAGCACCAGTGGGATTTATATCAGCGGAGGAGCTCCCGAAGTTTCCTGCCCCGCCGAAATTTCGATTGAGGTCGATAAGGTTCATTGCATTTCCCCGCTCGCAGGCTCCGTGATCATAAGACCGATGTCCTCCCTCATTCTCCGCTTGCAAGACGCTGTCTCGTCCAGTAGGGTTCACATTCACGACCACTCGAAGCTCAAACCCCAAAGGCAATGTAGAAGTTGCAAGGCCCTGCACGAAACGCAAACCAACCTCCGACGAAATAAGCTCGCGGGCATGCATCCCGAAGGTCAGGAAAGCCTGGAGGATGATAATTTGGTATGCTTTTCGTGATTGTTTCTCCATGTTCGGAGTAGATAGACGATGAAGACAAGAAAGAAGTACCTACGTTGTTCATCGGCAATATCGTTTATGAAAATCTAACATGAATACAATATGGAGCTTTGGAGCTACCTTTTTGCCTATGTCAACCTCCTTCGGCGGTGTGTAGTGAAGGACGTCCATAGAAACGCCACTGTCGCTGAGAGTCTCCACAGAAAACCTTTCGGGTGATGCCGCCGCATATTGTCGAAGCGCTGCGCTTATTTCGCCCGAGGTGGAGTAGCGGTAAGCGCTACCTTCGACTTTCTGCAATAAAGTCGACGAAGATGTGCCCTGCAGAGCCGAGGACGATGCGACTTGTGCATTTAGCGAAAAAACTACAGTTTCCGCGGAAGATGCCAGTCGGTTGTCGGATTCTTGTGATGTCTTAGAGTTACTACAGTCGACAATGACATTAAGACAGGATCGAATTGCACTCCAAGAAGTCTTGACTATCTAAGTTTACCTACCCGTGAATGAGATTCATTGATTGTCATAACTTTTCCTTCGACTTCATGCTCTGCAGAACTCGAGTCAGCTCGCGCCGATCCATCGGATCTATCTTCAGAAGCAGTGAGCTCCGTACTGGAAGCTCGTTTGGATCCCATAACATCAGCTAGTTTCTGTTGACTACCCCGACTGTCACTGTTGGGATTCCCGGTTTCGTCAGCACCGAGCTCCGAAGGACGTCTTTCGAATTCGCGCACACTTCTTGCAGTTGCAGCCGTGATGAAGGCCCATCGAGCGGAGCGCGGCAACAAGCGTTGGAATACCATGGTGGCTCAAACAACTGCTATGGAAAAGAATCTAAAGTCCTTTCTCCGGTGCTGCAACTACCCAAATCGAACCTGGTCGTTTGAGCATAGTAAATGTTAAATTAGTTTTCGTCTTCCTCTTTGTGTTGCTAATTGAGCGAATCAGAGCCCAGCCGCCTCGTTGTCGTTCTTCTGGTCATCACCACAATTGAAGTAGAATAACCGGGGAGAGCAATTACGATAAAGCAGAGCATGTGGGGTCGACGAAATTATTAGAGGGGATCCCTGGAGAGGAGGAATATAACCCGAAAAGCCCGCTACATATTTCTGGTCCGAATTCCAGGTTTTTCAGGTTTGTCGAAAGGACTACACTTTCACTCGTCATGCAGTGGCATTTTTTACAAACAAGATCAATAGCTATTTTAGTTTTAGTTTTTTCTTTTTGCACCTTTCCTAATAGAATACTTTAGTTGTTATTTGCGTGTGTCCCGCTTGCACATTTTTCCAGCACATCGGAAATCAAACACAGAACACGAGTCGCTTTCAGCCCAATGGGAGGTCGTCCTTGGGAAATTTGTTCGCGTTTCAACAAATCGCGTCAATGGATCGTTAAATTTTTAAGCGACTAGTAGCAAAGCCAGCTACTCATAAAACTAACTCTACTTACTAAAGGCATGAATATTCCTCGAACTACATCGATGTTGTTTAATTCATGTTCCTGATAGGGCTGGTCTTCCAAAGCCATTTGAGTCGCCCGAAAGGTCTTCAAGTCTTGAGAAATCAACATTGTCGACATCAAGACTTCGCTGTGCACGCTGAAGTTGCGTCACTTGACTGACAACTCGCAAAGGCTGCACCATGAAACGTAGCACTAGAAACGGTAACTCGAAATTTTCCACCAATGTGGGTTCCTGTCCGGCCTTGTGCTTGCTCGACGAAAGCTGCCATATCGCCCAGAGAAAGATGAAGAGGGACTATTACTTCTAGAGTCTGAATGACGTTGCGTCGAGCGGTATTTTCAACGAATTGAAACTATGAGTATAAATATCCGCGAAAAATTTACAAAAAACCTTCTGTGTGGTAACTATTGCAGCCTAAAACTACCGACGCTAAGCGAGTTCCACATAGCGATAACCATAACTAAGCTGAGCCAGGACACGCAAACCACGAAGAAATCGAGTTTCAGCCAAAAAGAGCGTCGGAACCGATCAAATCCTAGAAGAAAAAGTGTAGTTCCGCATTCTGCCAGAAGCAGCAAGGCAATAACGATTTCTAAGGCCTCTTCCCAAGGATGATGTCGCCACCGCGGTAGAAAGCCAGTAGTCGCAAGTCGCTTCAAGTTCCAGAGTAAGAGCAAACTAACTATCGCGAGCAACGCCATGTTATACCCCAAATATGACCGTGATAAGCGCCAACGCAACAAAGAATAGCGCCATCGTTCGTAGGAGGAAGAGGCATCAGGACTTTCGACAGTTGGTCCGGCGCCACTTATCCCATTGCCGTTCTGGTGTGCTGTGGCGTTGATTTCTGCTCCCGGTGGTAGCAGCTCGCTCTCCTGTCTCGGGCCAAGATTCAACCACAAGGAGCTGCTGTCGGCAAAACGGCCACTCTGACCCCGCGGCACGTCGTCGCTCGTCATGGCATCACGGGGGGTGTAGCATTTCAACGAGTGGTAACGAGAACAACACTCTGATCTGCATGTTCCATGCTACTCCGGGAAACTGAAACACACCAAAACGAAATAATGGTTGGTGGAACTAAAAAACGAAAACCTATTTCATCGTTAGTGTGAAGGAAAACTATTTGTGAAGGTAGTATTCATTTCTCAATAAAGAAACACTTTCAAGAACGCCAAGTAGCAAGACACTACTTTCAGAACAAAGACATCTTCCATATACCAGAAATAGTACGCGGTTTCCTATAGACACCTACTACGAAAACTTGATCCGCGAACGCCACAAAAACTACAGCAGGCCCCCGAACGACCTCGAAGGTGCAGCTCAAGTGGAATGATGCCATCGAAACTGGGGTGGCAACGAGTATCATCCAAGTCTCATTTTTTGCGTCATTTTCTCCATGAAAAAAAACCCATTAAACTGACGGTCGCTCATCTTGTCAAATCAAGTAAATCAAAAGCAATGCACTAAGGTCAAGGAGCACAAAACCATAATTACGTTGTAGTTTTACTTTTGCGCGAGTCAATGTCAATTGATACTAGACAATAAAAAAAAGCTGAACAGTGCTATGACGTTTCTCATTTTCTCTTTTGCCAAACCCATGTCAGAAAAAAAACGGAAAGCGCTCGTTCGAGAATGCGAGCCTGTCCCTTTGTTTGTATTGTTGCAATTTTCTAGACTCAAAGATAATGAAGCATTTCTGCTGTACGCCAGAATGACAACTCTCAGCCTGCTACACCTTGCTGCTGCATTGCCTTGATTTTTGCGTCTTTGCGTGCGATTTCTAGCTTCAGCGCGGCCAGCTCTTTTGAAGTTTTCTTCCCGTTTTCGCGAATCACCTGTTCTGACGTCTGTACTCGCGCTTCTAATTGCTGTATCTTGTACTGCAAAAGCTGCTTGTCTCCTCCACCTGTTGGAAATTAGAGCTGCCCTACGTCAAGCAGAAACTGATTACTTATCCACACATAGAACGAGGTCGAAATGGTGCATATAGAAATTCGAAGGAGTTGTAGGAGACGAGGACCCCATTTGATTTCATCTGCTTAGTTAAAGCAAAGGAATTTATTCATAAGTAGCCGACGCTCTCTCGAGTTGCTCGCAGATTTCGCGGAGTTTGTCGTGTTCTGCTTGCTTGTCACCAAGCATTTTCTTCGCGGTCTGCAAGTCCTCCTCTGCGTGAGTCAACGAGGACGCTTTCTGGCTCAGCGAGGCTAGCTCTTGTCGCAACTGCACGTTTTCCGATCGTACTCGCTCTAGCTCGATCTGAGTTTGCTGGGCTTTGTGCAGGTCCTCGAGGCTACTTTCGAGGACTTTCTCCAGCTTGCCGATAACCTTCTCCGAGTATGAACAAGAGAAGGAGGGCTAGTAACTACGACACAATAAAGATAAAAAACGCACCAGCATGTAGAGAAATACAATTGATCTTGCATCACCAGTAATTTTCGGACTCAGGAGAACGACAGTGCATTGAGAGGCTTCAACAAGCTTTTAAATTATTATATTAGTTGTAACTGTAAGTAGAGGAGTAGGAGATGAACAAGGAGATAAGAAAGACTAAGTACAATACAAGGCAAGGAAGAGGGCCTAGCTTCATCGAAATGCCCATACTCATTTTCGTCAACATAACTGTGATCTTGCTGTTTCTCGGTAGAGCTCGATTTTCTTCGTGTCCTTCTGGTATTTCTGTAGCAACGTGGCCTGTTCGAGGTGTGCCTGTTCGAGCTCCTCAAGTTTGCGCTCTAGACCGCGATTCTTGACAATTTCCCGCATTCCACTCTCCATCCTTGTCTTTAGATCGTTCACCTTGTTTTTCTCCTCTCGGTATTTTGCAACTGCCGTCTGAAGCTTCATCGCAAGTTCCGAAGTTGACAGGCTGTCGAGAAGCTCGGAGTTCAAAGGTTGGTTAACGCGGACGTCCTGCGTTATAGTATTTGTAGGAGCGACGAAGGAGAACCATTACTCACACTCAAAAACCAAACACAAAGTCTAAAGTTTCTAGCCCCTGTTAAACTACGCAGTTCACTAGATAGTTTAAATTAGAGTAGATGGTTGGAGTTGTCTGCAGCACTCCAAACAGCAAGGCTTCTACTAGAGTGATCCTCTCGGGCACGTTCTGGCCACGCTCAGCAGCTGGACTCTCGTCTCGTTTCTCCTTGAAGCCATACCACACCGGGACCGCTGCAGACAACTCCAACTAGTTCGAGCGAAGTACCTAGTTAGTTAGGTAGTGAAGTTGATAATGAAAAACTTAATTTTTGTGTTTGGATTTTGAGTGTGAGTAATGGTTTTCCGTCTATGAGCGTGACACTTCCTTGAATTTTGCTAAGGAAGCTCTGTCCTTGATGTCATTCATGCCCACCCCCACCACGAACAAGGTGCATATAATCGCTGATAGTATACATAGAGAGCATAAGGCAGCTAGTTGAAATATCAACAATACCTCATTGAACTTGAGCTCTTCTTCCAGCTGCATGTTGAGCTTCGCGTTTTGGTTTTGTAGGATTTGTATCGTTTTCTTCAACTCCACGATCTCCTCCCCTGCAGTTTTTAACGCTGACGCTCGTAGATTAAATTCGCGCATTAGTTGGATAGATAGGTCCTGGTTTAATCTGAACTCCTGTTCTTGCGCTTCCGCAGTCGGAAGTGCGGGTGGCATTTTCGCTGGGCTCCCTGCGTATAAAGACCTCCCCGGCTTCTCTGGACTGTTCGGTAGCGTGTCAGGAATGTAGCCGCTACCTGGAGGTGGAGGATGTTTCTTGGCAAGGCACAGCGGGGGCCCGCACATGAAAAATGCGCTCAAATAACGTCTTGAGATCTTTTTGTGCTACTTGTACGTTCTCATAGCCAGTAAAAAGGAAGATTGATTTTCAGAATCACGGATACCAAATCAGTGCTCTACGTAGTACTCAGGGCCCTTTGTTTGTGCCCCACAGCAGCAAGCATGGCTTCCGCTCGCATGTTTCTACCCCAGATACGAACGTCGACTGCTAGTGTTGATGCCCTTGTCGGATCTTCGAGTAGCCTCAAGTCCAACATGTAGGCTCTATGTAGTGGATCCCGTGCACCCTCTGGTGGGCACAATGTGGAAGCATCTACGCAGGCAAATCCGACAAGGTGGTCTGGGAGCGGCGCTGTCGGTTCACTGCGGAGAAGATTCAACTCAAAAAGAAACAGGCTCAAATGCTGCAGACAGCGATCTGCTGCCGCACTACGAAGGACGTAGCCGTCAAACTGTGGACAGCGACTACGACTAACCGCAACTGGTGTCATGAAATATCGCGGTGGCCTGGGGTACGTGGCCAACTGGTCCTTGAAATAGCCCTCGAGGACTGCACTGAGGTCCCGCCGTACGTCATAGTGATAGCGAACAATCGTTACACGCGGAGTCGGCATACCGCTATACTGCTGTGTCTGCGTTGGAAAATCAGGAGAAACAAGCAGCAATGCGTGATTCGCCATCTCAGGCAATGGCCTCGCAGTTGGAACACCGTGACACCGAAATTCTATTCCGTGAAAGCTTTCTGCGATGTCTGGTAGGGGAATTTCTCTCGTGACTGTGAAACACAACCCAGGTCCACTCGGGAACTTACCTATCGGGCCTCCAGGCACGAGGAGACCACTCGTCGGTGCGCCGCCCGCGTGAAAGCTAGTACCGCCGCCCGCAGAAACGGAAGAGCCGCCGCCGGATGTGCAACACATCACGGTTACTGGATCGAATGCGGGTATCACATTCAAGAAAAATTGCACACAAAGTATCTCTCGAACGTCTGCGTTCCGGACCAACGTTACTGTTAGCTCGCACCGCTGATCTCTCAAGTCTGTCGTTGATGCTCCTCCTCCGTTCAATCCCAGAGGCAAGACTAGCTCCTGATTTAATATCAAATGCTCTACAATATCCGCATTAAACTGTCCCGGTGGTTGTACCTCAAATTCTGCGCCTGGGACTTGAAAAGCGCAGGTTCCATCATACCGCAAAAGTCGGGCAGTCACTTGCAGTTTCACTGGTGGTGCAGAGACGTTCACTGAAGACGAACGAACCGCCGCACCTGCCGTGTCTGTCCCGTTATTTGCGTCCTCGAGATCCTGGAGTGCATCAACTGCGCTCATAGGGTCTGGCGCGCGAGGTGGAGGTGCGGTCGATGATGAAGAACCGCCTTCCTGATACTGAAGATACACGACGTCCTTGGCGCAATGGCACAAAATTCGTAATCGATGCTGGAACGGCGTGACGAGCCTGAGAGAGGAAGATGAGGAGTGTCGACCCTTTCACTCTTATCCAAAAACCTAGCATACTAGCTAGTAAATTGTTTGCAGCAATCTTCGTCGTCTACTAGTAGCAGGCGCGAGGTCAAAAACCGGCAATACCACAAGCCCTGATCCAGCTCTTCTGCCAAGCTGGTGTCTTTGACTTTCTCGATATCATTCTGGCCGTCGCCACGTTGATGCGTCAGAATCAGCTCCTCGCTTGGCTTCAACAGCTTCTTCTCTATCCGAAGCATGCACTTGCCCACTAAAACATGATGATTACCACTTGATACAGCATCTGATTGTGGTGAAGAGGGACTATTGCAAGTTGTACTTGGCAAAGCAGATCATTAAGAATAAGAGTCATCACATTTTCTAATTACAGGTACTAGGTAGAAGTCGTTGCACTTCTTGGTTGAAGTTTTTTATCATCTGTTGATACCCGTAGGCGCGCCTGATCTGGGCTCTGTCTTTCGAAGAAAAGACGCGTTGTGGACGATCGTTTTTTGGCGTAATTCTGCTAGTCGCGGATCTATCCTATCGGGTGCCTTCAGTGCTCCAAGTTCGTGTAGGCTCACTATCGCCTCACCCAATTTCTTCACGGCAGAGTCCTCTCTTTCCGGGTTCACTACAACATATGCGCGGACAATAAGCTGTTTTTGATGTGATGATCATGTGCATTGATACCCCTTAGCTTTTGGTCTTTTAAGCAAGATACTGTTTCTACGAATTGATCAAATTGTACGCGTCGCGAATGAACAAATTTTTCTCTCACCTGATTCTCCGTATTCTCGTCATGAAACGGAAGGAGAAAGGAGCTAGACTCGAACTGCGGATACTGGGTGCTTGCAGAGGTGTCTGTCCTGCGTGGTGCGAATTCGTCACCGAGTTGTACAGTAAGAAAATACGGAAACGGCTTTGCAAATTCGCAGCCATCAATCGAAACGTCGAGAAAAAATTTCGATGCCTGAGAGTCCTCTTCTTGCTCGATGTTTAGAAAGAACAACAAGTGCTGTGGCGCACGCGAAGGCACCTCATAGCAAACCGACGCGATGGAGCTGTTAGTTATATCTTTCTTTGTCTTTAAGAAATCCACCTAAAGCGCAAATACAGGTACTCGTACTTAAAGGGACTCGTCATATCGTACTACCTTCAAGCGACAAAATCAAAACCATAATCTTCTGGCATATCTGTATGATCTTGGCTTTCATTTCGACGTTTTTCTCGAGTTGCAATTTTCTGTCCTCCAATTCCGCTTGCGTGGTTTCGAGTTGTGACTTCTCTTCGCGCAGTTGTGCGAGTTGGGCTTCTCGACTCGCCACTGCTGCTTCCGCCTCCGCTTTAGCCTGATCGAAAGCCTGACGCGCGCGCTGACGCTCGGTTGCCGCCGCTGACTGTACATTCTGGATCTCCTGGGCCTTTGCCTGCATGTCTGCCGTTAGTTTTTTCCGGTCTTCTTCAAGCTTTGACTTATCGGCTGCTAACTTAGTGGCATCATCCGTCTGCTTTTTCAGCTGGTCCTTCGTTTTCTTCTCATCCTGATTGGCATTTGTTGGGCTCGAAATAGGGTTGGTCTGGTGGATATGGGAAAAGCACATCGGGCTAAATTCCCAGTTATGAAAATCTTGAACAACAAGGCTTGGTTAGATATCGATATAGAGTTGTTCGCAGATTCTCCATCATGAGTGAATTGTCGTGAAGATAGTACCGCTTTCAGTTTCGCAACTTCATTCGCTTTTGCTCCGATTGTCCCTTGCGCCGTATTGAGATCCCGCTGCGCCTGCTGGAGTTTGAGCTCCAGCTCTTCGATCTTTTTCTGCGCGGCTCCACCACCGAACATCTTCAGCTATTTTTTAGGCTAGTACCACACTTTGTCTTTGTCGTATTGCAGCATCCCTTTTCTTCGAACGCGTTTCGGGTGATTACCTCACCCCTACCCGTCCCGCGCGCGTATAACTAGCCAGAAGCCGCGCGTTAGTCGTTTTCCTTTTCCTGGATTGCTATAGCTGATCGTTTTTCTGGATTGCCGGACAAGAAGATATCGAAACTACATCAGCCCAGCAGGCCGTACGAATCAGTCCGCCGTCAGCCTCAGCGGGATGCGAAAAGCTTTGTTCAGATAAAATGCTATCGATTTGGCGAGCATTCCGGTGCTTACAGTCGATGAAAAAGCCCCTAATATGCGATGGACGGCTTCCTGTTTTTTTCCTGGCCGTTGGCGATGAGGTCTGCTCAAGTCCACTATTGGCTTTCAAATGTTGACGATGCAGATGGCATGGTTTTCCTCTGTAATTACGCTTTGTTGAAATTAAGAAGAGAACTAACAAAACGTCAATCGATCCACAAACACTACTAGTGACTAGGGAAATATTTCGCTCCACTTTGATGCCCTTTGCTTTTGCACATTTTTAGCACTTTTTGCTACGCAGAGTGGTCCGCTTTTTCAGTTTCTTTACTCTACGGTCAGGTGCTGTGGTATACTAGCTCTAATGGGTTGGTTGGATGTAGTCTCTCTAGATTTTCTGACTTCTTTGATTTTCACTGTATGCCTACCTCAGTCGCTCATTTTTTACAACAATATCCTATGTGATGAGGGATGGCCATTCTTAAGAACGTGTCAGTTTCCTCTTGACAGAATCGCTAACCGATGCATGTGCACAAACCAACAGCCTTTGCTGCATGTATAACAAAACACACTTCTTGCGGCAGCAGGCGTACCGTCAGCCCGTTCAGTCATTTTATGTGTCCAACAAGGGACACAGGTAAGGCTAATGTTTGTAGTTCCGAGGAACATCAAATGCCAAAGGTCCGAGGAACATCAACTGACAGATTCACTTAGAGTCTCTTTTGATCGATTTCCGACTACAACGAACCGTCTCGATCCGGAGGCATAATTACAACGAAAAGTTGGAAGTTAAAATATGATGATTCGGAATTATTCAAGACCTAGATTACAGAAAAATGATTGACTCATCAATCAAGCTCTTTGATTATCAGTAGGGGAGACGCACAAAAGGAATAGAGGTAGTTCTTATTTGCATTGATTGCTATTTTTTCATAGCCGAGATGAAAAATTTTGCTACCTGGTCAGGTCTAAGAATAAGATCTGACACAGTAACCACGCAATTCGTGACAGTTCTTGAAGATCTGTGTGTTGTGGCATGACATAGATTTATCAGCTACATATTAGAATAAGAAATCGACGCATCGATTAGGTTAAAACTCGACGCAACGACCGAAGTCGAATGGGATTTGGTAGTCTACGTAAAGGGCGATCTCCGATCTTAAGAATTCTAATGACATACTTTCTTCAAGAATTGATTCGATCTATCAATCCTCCTCGCAAGAAGATACTTCATCAACTCATGCTTCTTAGTAGGTCCAAAAATCTAAGTTGTAGCTATCAAGGAGCCGGGAGCTTTGTGCGTTCCATTCTGGTGTTTTAGTTTTTCTTGCATCATCGTCCGAAATCCTTCAGCAATCTCGGAGCGTTTTAGTCTATTCCATCATCATCCAGAATCCGCCAGCAATCTAGATAGGCCAGCGCATGGCCAGCCTGGGGGGTATGGCTAACATCTACCTCCTTTAATCCCTAATCATCCAGTTCCAGTAGGCAATCATGATGATCACGTTGTCCTTGTCTCGTAAGAGTGTGGAGTATAATCAAAGTGGGGTGGACTACACCGGTTTCTACTTGCGGTAATCACTGGTGTAGCTGCGCTGCCCGCTGCTGTTCGTGTAATGCGAATAGCCACCGCCACTCTTGCCGCCGTTGGACGTGTAAAATCTACCACCGCCGCTTGCGGTCGGGGCGTAGTAGTGGCTTCCGCTCTGTCCTCCGGTACCTTATCAAATACAACAATATTTGAATCGAGACTACAAGACAAAAAGAAGAGTGGTGGTGCTGAAATTCTTTACAATACTGAAAATAAACTGGACGGAATTGGACGACAGAAAGTTGTCTCCTGCATTTCGATATCGCTACATTTTACGTGCAAAGGAAAAGATTGAAATAGATACCTCCACCCTTATAGCTGGCGTTGTTGAGTAGGTGTATCCGCCATTGGAATTATAGCTAGTGTATGAATTGCCCTAGGCATTCGTTTCGCTGCGCACTGGGTCCGGCATTTTCGTTGGTTATGTACTTGTGTTGAAGTGCTACGTCAATTAAAGACGACCTAGAATTTGCTATTGTTCTGCTTCTGCATATTCTTATCTAGTTGTGGTCTTCCTCTTCTCTCGGGGAATCGTTTGCGCTTGAAAGAGTCTACTCTAAAAAAGGGCTGTCGTGAGTGTAACAGGAAACAATCTCAATCGATGGGAGAATTAGGAAGTTTAGATTTAGTCGAGTCCTTAGTTTATCCGTTGGTTTTATACAAGGCGGTATCGAATGATCGCCCATTGACTAACGTTTTTGATTTTTTGACTTCAAAAATCCTTTTTTTGATGATCGGGCCAAGCTTGTTGATGCTTAAATGTTGTTTTTCAAGCTCTCCTTATATTTTTCGTTTTTCTATAACACGGCCTCCCAGTTAGTCGCGTGCTTTGGCGGTGTTCTTAGCGCTTCGGTTGCTGCTTCCTCGTTGCGGATGTACCTGTATCACTCTTCCTTGAGCCAGGATCGTTTCAATCATTTCGGCTTCCGTGAGAAAACACACTTCGAAATCGACATCGCAACGATAGAGACAAGTCAGAATATCGAAGTTAGACACCTTATTTATGTCGTTTTTCAAGAAATTGCAACAGCGAGTCGCAATGTGGAAACGATTCAGGCATTCTGTGTCGCTATTTGGTTTCATCGGAATCTTTCTCGGTGTCAAAGATACCTGTCTATTTGGACCTTGAGACGACCACGATGACTTGGAAGTAAGTGATCATGTGAGTTGTGAAATCTGAAGTACGAAACAAACCCAAGAAAACAAATGAATGTATCAGATTTTCCCGACTATTCATTTCTATGTGGGCTCGCTGATCTTGCCCTTCCGCAAACATGTTTCGATGATGCCAAATGCCAAGTGCTCTCCTTGTTCTCCAAACACAATCACATGTTCAGGCTGTTCATGCAGCCTCAAGATACGCCAACGATCGACTATCCTCAAGCAAACAACTTGTGACTGCAATATACGTCACCTCTACCGCTCAGGCAGTAGGAACAGTGCTGGCGCCACCTCTACTGCTCAGGCAGTACCAGTAAAACAGTAGAAAAAAAAAATTGAGCTCTTTGACCTGGCGTCATGGCCAGAGAACGAAGCGCAGGCGCGTCAGCAGCATCATAGCATGTCATGTGATGTGTGACTCCGATCTGACCTACCAATTCAGTTTTGAGACCAGAGCTTAAGGAACTAAGTCGAAACCGTTCGCAAGCCTCATCACATCACTACTTACACTTCCTCTGTTATCATATTAATTGTTACATTTTTCGCGAATGCATCTATGGCATATCGCACCTTGTTTTTCACTTCTCGTGCTGCACTCCATAGAACATATGACGAGCTTTCCGGTTGATCGTTTTTTGCCGCAGCCCCTACAGCGACGATATTCCTCCTCTCTATTGGTGGAGGTAGTTTTTCGCTTTGAGCGGGTAACACCGTACCACTTTTGTGGACCACACCGTTTGCAACACAAATCTTCGGAGGGGTTTTTAAACTTCACCTTACGAATAAAGCGAAGTTCCTTGTACTCGCTCGAAGGTATCATAAACGTGTCAGAAAACGTTTGTTTGAAACTTACCGAGTCATACCCCCTCCGCAACAGCTTCGCATCCCGGTAACGTCGTCTTGGTATCCGGATATTTTTTACTCTTCCGAGCTTCGCCTTGACTGCAACCACCGTTTTTTCAGCACCTGCCTGTCTTCTCTCGCACGCTGCATGATTCTGGCAAGCCGGAAAAATAAATTCCAGGACCCGCGTAGCCGCTCCTTCGTCCTGGCCGAAAGTATCCGTCTTTCAGTATTCTCGCAAGGTTGACCTTGGAGGTCACGTGATAAAGCCTTTTGCGGCGCGAAGAGCGGTCGAGGCGTTTCCTGCGCTTAGACTTCCACCGTTCCAGCTTCTTGGTGTATCTACTACCTTCATAGCGTTCGCCATGGGTGCTCCAATCATCGCTCAGTAAAGCTACTATCCGAAGACGCGTCTGAACATGATTCAGAGCTTGACGACGCGCCTTCCTCGTGCAGATTGAACCTGTACTGGAAAGACAGCGATGTGGAGGAGTCAGAATCTGATGAGTCAGAAGACTCCGACGAAGAAGAGCGAGATCGCCGACGACGAGGCATTTTCTATTTCTTGTTCATCTTCCCTACTATCATAACAATATAGGCACCAGGGAGGGAGGCCCCCCCTGTGGGTGGATCTGTGGGGGACCGCGCCCGAGGGGTCCAGCCTTGCCACCTTTGCCCGGTCTGTAGGGTCGGGCACATGCAACACGCCAGAGGGGTCCAGCCTTGCCACCTTTGCCCGGTCTGTGGGGTTGGGCACATGCAACACGCCAAAGGGGTCCACCCTTGCCACCTTTGCCAGGTCTGTCGGGTACATGCAGCACGCCAAGGGTGTGGCTCCCGCCTGGCCTCCTCTGCCCGCTCTGTCGGGTACCTGCAACACGTCAGAGGGCTCCAGCCTTGCCACCTTTGCCAGGTCTGTCAGGTACATGCAACACGACAAGGGGGCCCAGCCTTTGCCACCTTTGCCAGGTCTGTCGGGTACATGCAACAAGCCAGCGGGGCCCTGCCTTGCCTCCTTTGCCAGCTTCAGCGTCCTCCGGTGTGGTGGCGCTCTAGGGTACAGGCAAGAAGCGGGAAGGGGTCAGAGGTGGGCGCTTTGAGGCCTTCCCGTCCCGCCCGGCAGCCCCTCGAAAAGAGGGGCCGGGGCTGGGAGGCCCCCCCCCTCAAAAAAGTTAGATCGGGGGGGGCCTTCAGCCCTGAGCCCTGGAACATATGTAAGTCTCAGTCTGAGCCTGTCACTCAACCTGCATCATTCGACCTGCAGGTACGACCATGCCATATATTCATGCAATGTTCAACGGGAACAGAAGATCAACATTAATAACTATCTCATTAGAAGCAATATTTCGCGAGCGTAACCTGTTACGCAATTTGCATCGGCTTGTGTTTGGTCTACATCATTTCTGAAACGCGCTGCGGATGAACGAGTAAGATTCTTACTTCTGCTCCTTACCATTTGTAACACGTCCTTGTCTGTGATTGGCGGATAACGTCATGGAGGTCAGAATTTCTACCAGATCTCGATATCACTACAGTCGGTAAGCTATTGGTTTGATTAAATTTGGTGCAAAAAAAAAAAAAGAAATGTGTTCTTCGGTTTGATGTGCAACATTTGAGATGCTAATATGGTTATGGCTCTCACTGCGGTATCCTCTCAAGAGACAATTTGCGACACGAGCTAGTCGAAAATCCAGAACTCTGTCCGAACACACACGGACGAAAATACAGACCAGGTTAAACCGTCGGAAGCAGACCTCACACGAAGGTTGCCAGTGTTTCTTTCTTATTCTGTCGCGTTCGCGCATTTGCCGACAATATCGAAAACTGTTTACGAATCGATATCGCTTCTACGTAGTCTTTTTCATCCTACTGACAAAAAGACATACCTACAGAAAGCGGTACGCGCCTGTCTTGCTTCGCTAAGTATGATAACAAATAATCTGCTGACCTCTCTGGTCGGGCCAATCAATGAATCAGGAATACCTGCTTAGTGCGCAAATTGCAAACGAGATATATCAATGTCTGAAAAGGGTCGCGTGTATATTCTCAATTTAACGTTAATGTGGGTAATTGTTCATCGAAGACGCGTTTTTCGCTGCTACCTCAGTATCTTGCCGAGGAAGGAGTTGGCAAATCGTTTGGGATCCGATGGGGGATATCTTTGCTGCACCAATTTTCCTAGACCTGCTGAGACGTCGGAAGAAATTCTGCGTTCTGAAGCTGAGGCGTAGAGCAGGATCGTGTAAGCAAGCTGCTCCGACAAGAGGTCCAATGGTTCGTCAACAAGCGCCGATTCTTCTTTGATAGACGAAGCGAACATCTGCTCGTCCCCTCTAGCATCAGCGGTATATAGAGGCTGGCTATTGGTCGTTAATGGTACGATCTTGTGGGCAGCGTCCAACAAAGCATCGAGATCCGTTGACGTGCCGGCAAAAGCGCTTTCGCCGACATGCTGAGAGACTGGTGGCAACAGGACGCCCAGAGCTGTGCCCGGGCCGCTAGAAGTCGGGGCTGCTAAAGGTCGGTTGTATGGTGAGGTCTGCCGATTGCCAGTAAAGAAGTTCCGCACGGCGCCAAGAAGACCTTGTTTTGTGTCGTGTGCTGCACCCGCCTGGTTGAGGGAACCTGTTGTGAATTATAGTTTAAGAAGTTGTCGTTGGGTTGAATGATGAAAAAAGCTTTGGTCGAAGTTCATGATGACTCTTTAGTGATTCAGTCACTTTAGAAGCTGCTATGGTCTTATTGTAGAAGCACGTCTGCGTAAGGAGTATCGGGTATACCTTGATGCGCTATCTGTTGCGCCAAGAAGCGCATATCCGCAACCCGTTGAAGCGTGGATCCTGTGATGAACGGTGTGAGTTCGTCCCTGAATATTTGCAAGAGGTAGCAGCCGATTTGGACAGCCTCCGGTACGGTTGCGCCCACAAAACAACATGCGATTAAGAGGTCGCGACTCACTTGTTGCACTAAGCCAGAGCGGCGAGTTAGCAATGGCTGTGACATCGTTGCGAACGGTGGCACGGATGGAGCTCCTCCGTTTGCCCCAGGATATCCATTTGCAGCTGGTGGTCCTAAAACAACAATCTGGTTGCCGCGCGAGGTCAGTTCCAGTGGTCTTTCTTCCAGCATCTGCGCTTCGTGCGACACGCACTGGGACGCGAGTCGCATCACTTGGGACGTGATTTGCACCACTTGTTCGCTACTCAACAGCATCTCATCTCCGGCAGAAGGCCGCAGAACGAGCTGGCCTAGTGGAGCACCAGACGCTCCATGTCCATTATTCGCTAGGTTTCTACCCATCGTGCCTCCTGTCATTCCAGTTATCCTGCAATTTCGTTCCTGTTGTTGCTGTCTTCTCTGCTCCTCCAGGGTCGATAGTTTTGTCGCTTTTAGTGTGAGCATCTCTGTGGCGCAACGCTGGCAGGCGTCCTGGGTGATGCTGGTACGCTCCAGCAAGACGAAGACGAAGTTTTCGCAATCCCGGAGCAAAGGCGCATAGTCTGCTGCTGACTCACAGATGGTCGAGAGAAACGGCAGTAGAAGCAAAACTAGGTCGCCTTTGCTTCTTGGTCCTTGAAGCAGAGTCGTTGCACCATCCATCCACAACGAGAGAAGCCCGCTTTCGTAGAGCGCGACGACAAAATCTTCTCCCAAGTCAGGTAATCCGCTGTCCTGCTCACTACTGCCAGGCGCCAGCGCTGCTTTCACTGCAAGAATGAGACTCTGTACGGCACTCAAGTATGCCGTGTCGTGAATGCTGTTAGCGTGGTTCAGGGCCAAGTTCAACGTCTGCTTCATGCACTGTAAAAACAGCGCCATCGGAGGGAAGCTATTTGTAACCACTTGTTTGTACTCTTGAATGATGAAGCGAAGCACACTCAATGCAGCTACGGCCAAAGATGTTTGTTCGCGGCCACCCAAAGCTGAAATTAGCGATGGAGAACCTCCCGCGAGAGGCGAAGCCGTTGTATCCAGTAGAAGCATGTCTACCGCTGCAGCTGCCGTCGAAACTGGGAGTTTGAACAAACCGCGATCTATCCTCGGGAGCAGCGCGAGCAAGGCCGAATACAGGGAAAGTTTTGCGGCTCCGGCGGGCACGTGCAGCAGAAACTCAAATAACTTCTGCACGAGATTCTGGAAAAATGAAAAAGGGACAGCACTATTTCCCTTTGGAATCATGCCACTCCTCTCGTCTCCCGTCGTGTCCTCGAACAGCAGTGGCGTTTCGTTATCCTCGGCATTGCTCTCATTTACAAAAGCGCCTGCGCCTATCTCTTGCGGTCTACCAGGACAATGTGCTTGCAGAAGTGCTCGTGTCACTAGAAAGAGAAAGCTTGTGACCATTTCCTGTCTTGACTGCGATACCACTTCACGTTGCACCTGCATACTGCCCATCATGCTGCTGCCTAGTACGTCGAGGCGCCTCATGGTGGCTCGGTCTGTGTCTACGCTTCTTCCTGTGCCTGCCAATCCTGATGTTGACGATCGCGCATAGACGGATCCAGACACCAGGGCGTCATCGCGTGGACCGCACTCCACGTCCGCTTCGTCCAAAGCAGCATCGATCAGTAATCGGAAGGATCCACGAAGCTGCTTCTCGTCTGTCTTACAGTATCGCAACGCCCACGACAAGAATTGCGAGAAGTTTTGTTGCAGCGCCTCTGTAAGGTCGCGAGCCATCTTGCGCCGATTCTGGGCACACAACTGGCGACACATCTTCCGTGTTCGTAGGTCCAAGTAGGAGAGCGTCGCAGGTCTCGAGGAGAGCACGACGTTCAAGGGCTGCGCAGAGGCGACTGTCGCGCTAACACCGGAAGGCGCCGCTGCGCTGCTATTTGGTCCGAATCCAGGTCGCGGCATTCCGCCTGCAGCAGTGAAAAAAGCTCCGGTCGTACTAGCAGATTGCAGAGCTTCTGACGGCACAGTTTCCGGCGTTGCACCAGCAAGAAGCAGCAGTCCTGAAAGATGATAGAAACTCGCGCAATCGAAGAAGTTATGCACCGAGCCATCTTCGTTATTACCGCCACTAAACAACGAATCCGACGTTGATGGAGCTGCAAAAACGTCAAGACCACGGGAAAAAGCTGCACCTCCTCCTACGCCTGATAGATGCGGAAAGATACTTGGCTCTTGCACTATCGCGAGAGCTCTTGAGTTGGAATATCCGTCGAAAAGCTGACTCGATGGTCGCGGATTGAGCACAGCGTCGTCAGCGAGGTCACCAACTGTCGCCTGAGAGAAGTTACCTGCTGACATCCCACTGTTTGGTGGTCCCCTATTCTGGCCACGCTGACTGTATCGCGACTCCCTCGGAAGTCCGTCTTTCGCAGAACCCATGAAGGACCGGCCGGTCGAGGAAGTGGCTGGACCGTTGCCGACAAAGACGCCTTGGTCTGCTGCGATATCCACCGACGTCTGCGCGCGGTCGCCACTGATTGGCCCACCGGTGGCTACACGGCTACCTTTAGCCCGTCGCCGTGATGCCAAAACGTCCTTCGTTTCGTCGAAGTACCCACGACTTTGCGCAGCGGAAACTGCTGGGCTTAATGCCTGCTCGAGCTCAACCGGAAGAGGTGCGCCTCCCGTCGAGAAGTCGTCGTCAGCCACAGCTAGCGCGTCAAGCAGATGCCGCATTTTCGCTGTGATTAAGGGTTCGTTATGGCTAGTCACCATGAAGAAACGACTCACCATGTCTTTCGATAAATTTTGCGTAGCTGCTTGAAAGAATTCACATCTTTGCCGGTCAGCAGGAGTAAACAGCATTCCAGATACTGTTGTGCCATCAATCACAGCTGATGTGTCGTTGGGATCGTCGAAGTTGTTCCAAAATGCTGCTGCTTTCGCGCCACTGAGTCCGTTCCTCAACTCCAGCAGGCTCGCGTTCGCCCCGTCTAGTTGTTTCGCAAACGCCGACGAAGACATACCATCCAATCCCGCCAATGCGTTTGCGCTCGTTTGCGAATCACGCAGTTTTTGGCGGAAGCTCTCTGCAAATTCGTGCACTTGTTGCAGCTCTGTCGCGAGCAGCTTGAACAAGGCAGACGCTTGCGACAGAAGCACACGGTGGAGAAACGCTGGTCGATATCGGAATGCCTCCGTTCGCGCGTCCGCGATTGAGTCGAGCACACGATACCTCGAAACAAAGCGAGTTGCCAGCGATCGCAGCGCCACGTCGCGCAGTGGAGGCAAATCGAGACACTGTTGAATGAGCTCGAGCACCAGCAAGTACTCCTTGTGATTACGTTCGATGTCGTGATCGCTGTATTGCCTGAGTTGCGACCTACTCGGAACAGCGCGCATTACTGCGCTTGCCGTCTCGGCTGAGGGACCCCTACCGTTCGGAGCTGAAGTCTTCGTCCCTGCGGCAGATCCCGCTGCGACGCTGCGCGCAGACTGGATATTTTCGCGAGCACTGTGCAGAACAGCGGATGTAGTCGATACTCCAGAGTTCTTCCGACTTGAGTGCATGGCATGCGACGAACCACTTCGCATCCTGCTACTGGGTAAAGCCGACCCACTGCGTCCACGTGCGGAAGCAAGACCACGGCTTGGCATGTTGCTGCGGGCATGATGGAAAGGATTATGTCCGCCGCCACCAGAGTGTCCATCTGCATCCTCTAACCCCGCAAGTGCAGCATTATCCAACTTCTGATAGACATTAGATATCGCGTCAAGGTCCTCAGGATAGTTTTCTGCGATGTGGTAGAGACCCTGAAACGTTGAATTCGTCAGGTTCGGACCGTTTTGTCGCGTCGGGTCGAGGTCGATGATGTTGTCGCCAGAAGACGCTGACAGGCCGAACAAAGCGACGACAAGACCAAGTCGCACGCTAGCAGGACTGCTTTCGTGCTCACCTGCATTTGCGGTGTTGGGAAGCTTCGCTTTTTGTTGCGGTGCAACATCTTCCATCTTAACGTCTCCGCGGCTGTCGCTTTTCTTAGGAACAGCCGTCGCAACGTTGCTTAACTGCAAAAGGCTGCCGCTGGATCTCGAGAGACCATGCAAACACTCGCGTAACAGAAGAAGCACTAGTTCGCGAAGAGGCGTTCTGTCTAGCGCCGGATGCTTCTGCGTGTGCGGGAACAGCCGGTTCGGTCGGTCAGAATGGCACATGTGCAGCATCTCCTTCTGGTACTTCGTCAGTTCGATCGAAGGTCCGAAAAGCGGCATCTCAACACCTGGAGCAAAGATTTGTTGTGGCGCTCTGTCCATGTGCTCTTGCATGCCCGTCAGATTCTGTAGGTCACCGGAGGGACCCACGTGCTGCGCCACTCCTGGCACGCGACGTGCTGTCCGGAAGCCTGGGGTGCCCTGTTGCTGCAAGCCTATACCTCCCGGTGTTGTTGCAGTAAGACCTGGCGTTCCTCCGTTCAAGACTGTGGTGGCTGGCGTAGCTCCAGGAGTTCGCCCAGACGGACCAAAAATCGCACTAGCACCAGTCAAAGGCGGTACAACCCCTGTCATTGGTCGTCCTGGAGTTGCGACGACGCAACCCATGCGCGGGATACCAGCTGCGCTTCCGACGCCACCGAAGCCACTCAGCATTGCATTATTTGAGGAAGCCACAGCTAAATTCTCAGCTTCTCGATGTTGTCGATCCAGGATCTCGAATATGCGTTCGTCATCTCCAGTTTCGAAGCCAAACGCTGAGCAGTTGAGTGTTGAATCTTGCAAGTATGCTGCGCGAAGCGTCTTTTCGCGTCCAAAATGAGTCAACTTGTCCCTGGCGGTGGCAGAGATCATTGCGCTACCGCTACCTGGTCCGCCGGGAACGCCAGCGTAAAAAGCTGGGGCCAAGTTCTGAAGCGCAAGAAAGGAGGAGCCAGCTTGTGAGAACAGTCCAGCACTGGAACCTCTGCCCGCTGCAGTGTTTACCGGTCTTCGCAGCAATCGAACAAGCAGCAGATCGAGATTCTCAACCGCGATGTCGTCATGAACATTTGTGCGCGCTTCGACCTCCTGCACAAGCGAAAAGCCCGTCACGACTGAGTATGCAGCCTGTTGCGCGAATCCAGTGTCCGCGTACTGCCTGCTCTCAGCCAAGAAGTCAGCACTGAGATCCGTGTTGGTCACGCTTGCACCGTAAAGCGGTGTCGCACCCGAATCGTAGGCTGCAAGCTCAAACATGTTGTGTGCTAGGCCGTAGGAAACGCCTTCGCGGAGAATCGGATACAGCTCGAGCGTGTGCGCTACTGCGAGCGCGTTTCGTGAAATCATCTGGTGGAGAACGAAGACAGCCTTTTTGGCGATTTGACAGAGCCGCGGTTGCTGCGACATGATGTAGAAGAGAATGAGTGTCAGGTTGTTCGGTTGCCGTTGGTCAACATCAGCATCAGTGAAGACTCCTCCTGCCCCGCTGTTCATGCCTTTAACACCGCCGTTGGCTACGCCCGCACTGGACGAGTAGACACTGCCAGCTAGTTGTCCTCCTGGCAGACGTGCTGGCGCAGGCGTATTTCCGAAGTATTGGTGAAAGTTGCGCTTTAAGCGGTCGCCGAAAGTTCCTGTGCGCGGAACGAAAGCGTGTTCGGCAGCCAAGAAGTCATGCTGTGGCACAGCGTAGTCCTCTGGTGGCCACTGTTCTGGGTACTCGAGGAGAAGCAAGTTGTCCACTGAAGTGGCCTGCTCCACGATTTCCGGCATTACAAAGGTCTTCTTTTGCTGCATGTTGGCCGCGGCCTGCTGGGGCGCACGCTGCTGTTGCTGCAACTGCTGCTGCTGATATGGCAAACTGAAGTTAGCGCCGTCCATGGCTGCCATTACGACGTTTTGATAGGTGTCGCTTGTTTGGTTCGTTTGTTCCAGTCTCGCAGCGGAACTGCTCGTGTGGAAGTGCCTGTTGGACAAGTACAAGAATAAGTGGTCGCGCTGGAAGAGCAATCGCAGGATATCCAGACTTGTAGATACGACGCCAGCTTTCTGCGTTTGGTTGCGCGGATCCTTGCGGTAGAGAATACCCTGGTTCTCGTCAAGCACTCGTCCATGCAAACTGACCATCTGAATCAAGACGCGCATGCAGAGACCACTCGGACGAACCAGAAAACATCGGAAAAGCCAACACGTTGTCAGATGCGCGCCGAGTTGTTGTTCCTCGGGAGTCGGAGATCCGGGAACCGTCCGAAAAGCCGAAGACCCTCGTCCACCGGTTTGAGGTACGCCAGACGTGTTTCCGCTGGCTGTTGCTGTGCCGGTTGCTCCTACTCCTTGCATTGCCTGTTGTTCTGCCAAAGGACCTAGTAGACTGTTGCAAAAAATCTCCCGTTGAGCCAACACCGCGAGGTCGTTTTGACTACACTCGTAAAGCGGTCCGCGAAGCATCATGCGAAGGAGCTTGGTACACAACTGGCACAACCGCCAGTAGCGCGTCTCGTCGACAAAGTGCTTTGGTGGCAGGCTGCACACTGCGAGATACACTTTCTCTACGACGAAACGCGCGAGTTTGAGGAGCTGAAGACACTGGAACCGGCGTCGCAGAGACACCGCGTGCAGCGCAACTAGTGCAAAGTTCAGAAGTTCGCTCACCAACACAAGGCCCTCCGACGATGCACTGCCAAGAGGATCAACTACTGGCACGCCTCCGTTGCCTGCTGTATTGAAGAGTTGCTCGAGGTGTTCTGTCTGCATTTGATTTGCGCTTACACCAGCAAAAAGGCCTTCCCCGCGTCCAGATGCGGCGGCCAGCAGTGTAGTGGCGCGCGCGCGAAACTGCGAATACGCGCTTGACTCTACCTCGCACAACTGCGGTAGAAGCAGAATAACGCTGTTCAAAAACTCTCCTGCAAACCATTCCGAGTCTGCCATTTGCGCCAAGCTGCCAAGGCACGTGCTCTTCAGCAACGTTGGAGCATCCGCGCTCTTCAAAATGTGGAGCAGGCGGTATCCAACACCAATTTTCTGGTTCCACGAAAGGATCGATGCCGATGAGCCGGGAAGTAAGGAGGAGGCTCCGGGAATCACGGGGTTATGAATCAGTTGCGAAGCAGATGAAGTGCTTGGGGCACCTCCCATGCCTTGGACAAGGTTCGGGTTCTGCTGCTCGGCTGGGCCACCGGAAGCCATCAGATTCTTCGTTGGGAACACCAGTGTGTGTCGCCAGCACTGTCGCACAGAAACTTCGATTCTTTGTGGCCCTCTCGGAAGGTCCTGAAGACAACACCCAGGTTTTTCGTGCAGCGCGATATCACCAAAAGTGCAGCCCCCATCAGCGAGACTGCGAGTTGCTGCGGAGAGGGTGCTCGAGTATCCTTCGACGCCATCTGCGGTACCACCTGCGGACATGACACTAGCCGACGAACCACCTGGCACTTGCTGTGACTGATAGGGTCCGTCGCCTGCGGCACTGCTACCTCCGCCAAAATGATCAGCCGGGCCCATTATCACGGATGCCGCAGATCCAAGAGCGCCCGCTGCGCTAGTCGCATTCGCACCGCCTGTGCGCATCTCCGCTAGAACAGATGCACAGCCCAACTTGTCTCCATAACAGACACCGGACAGTTTCACTAGTGCAGCCATTGTTAAAACGCGTGCACGCTCCTCCTGCTTTATCAAATCGTCTTGCTCGGCCTCGCCAACTGTCGCGCCGGCAGAGGCTTGCGCTGCCAGATAATGCTCTAAATGTTGTGGTAGGAGCTCGAACAGGTATCCGAGATTGAACCTGGTTTGGTGACAGAGAAAATGAGGTTTAAAAGTCGATCTACTGAAGCAGATAAACTTTTGAATTTTTGTAGGACGCATGCAACAATTGTCAGAGGTTATGATTCAGATACTTATCGCAAATATAACATGAAAGTAGAAGTACCATTGATTTGCGTGCGAGTTCAAACGCTGCATCAGCTTGACTGTAATTGCGTATGGACTGCGTGCTACTAGAGCCGCAAAAAGGAAAATGATTTCTGCGTACAAAACACTAGTTTTCGGTGACGAGTCAAACACAGCTCGGGTCATGGCAGCTTGCGAGTCAATCTGTCGGCCCGCGTTAAAAGAAGTCAGCGGATTCATCTGAAAGGAATCCGAAATGTGCAACACCAAGTCTGCAAAGTCTCCGCAAAACTTGGGTTCGAGACGACATAGTCGGTTCACACAACGTAGAGCTGAAATTTGCACCCAGCTCTCATTCAGAAGAGACGCCATTTTTCGAGTGTGCATATCGCGACCGCGGGTGTGACCGGTAGACAGCGTTAGGCCTGTTGCGAAAAAAGGATTCAAAATCGCTGGAAAGTAATGGAATCGAATATTAGTGTATCAAAAACGTATTTAACAAGATCAAGAAGCATCAAGAAAATATCAAAAATTCAAGGTAGTAAGTACGTTGTAATTGCTCTCGTTCTCGTCTCTGACACTGCGCTTCGTATTTCTTCAAGACTGTCCAATTTCGAATCGTGAGTGCGCGTCGTAGTATGTCGCAAACACACGCAACAGCTTTCTCGGAGTAGATCAAATCGGAAAAACCATGGCGGGTCAGATTTTTTCGGCCTAGCGCTGTACTACTAGGACCCAGCGTACTCCGACTTGCGCTGCTCCCGCCATAGACCTCGCCTAGCGCACCTGAAGCTCTCCCGAAACTATCGTTACCACGAAGGATGCCTAAGTCACCTTGTCCGCGGCTCTCGCGCTCTAGTTTTGTGCCAAATAGTGGTCGACCCGTTACTGGATCGAGGCCAGGAATCTGAACCTGAAGTTACGTGAGGGCAATATAATAAGACGAAACGTCATCTATAAGTTGTACTATGAATGAGCTTCAGAGGCATTGGCATGATTTACGACTATAACAATTATGTCCGTAATATTTTTGAAAAGAAAAGATCGATGAAAAATAAATCTGTAGAGAAGATGTTGGTCGAAAGGAAGCATAAGAAGAGAATTTGTACGTGAGCTCGTCTCTGCTGTTCTGCTGATGTCGTGCTTGAGAGATCCAAACGGGACTCAGGATGGTTACGGCCATCGTCGAGTCCGAAGTTTAGCGATGTGAAGCCGCCTAGGACTTCAGCTGTGAGGAAATCAAAAATATTCCAATGGAGAACGCCTTGCAGAAAGGAGCGCTCCTCGTCGCAGTAGACACCCTGTACCGCGAAGGAGAGCAGCTGTCCAAGGATAATGTGCTCGTTGAAAAAGGAGTATCTACTGCCGTCACTATCAACCACATGCTCAGCCGTTGCTGCTTGCTTTCGCGGTTTTTCGATCTTCTCCTTGTATGCAGTCAGCAATGCTGAACCTGAATATCAAAAGAATGAAAGAGAAAATGGTGCTACCAGATTCCATCATTCTGGACGGTTATTTTCATGAACTCATCATCATACATCATCTACCACTCAACACCGGGAAAGATATTGACAATCTCGTAAGATTCAGTACGATGAACTTGATGCGGCCTGTGCCTCGGCGAGTATCTCGTGGTTCCTGCTGCAGCGGTAGGCGCATCGCCTTCACCAATAGACTTTTTTCCTTCGTCATCTTGGAGCATAATAATGGCTAGAAAGCAAACCCGTAAAGTGAGGTCTGCAGCGTCCTCTCGGTAATACACGTCAAAATCTTGAATAGTCACGCTTTGCAACGGAACGCCATCTGCTGGTAAGAGCTCCGCTAGAGAAGCAGGCATGACAACCTAAAAGGTCGATGTAAAAAATGTTTTTCATGTCACTTTAGAACCAAGAGTAGACGAAGCACCTGAGTTCTTATGGTTAATATGCACTTTGATTTACTCTACTAGCACATTCCGAATGATGGATTTCTAAGTAAGCAATTGCTTACCCTGACTCTCTGCCCCTTAAAATAACTGTTACCTGTGGTATCAGCGAAAAGAGCAGATCGAGATTCGAGACGGAGGATTTGTAGAAGGAAAAATAGCTCAACATCGCATCGAAACCATACTGCAAAAGCCGTCGCACATGCTGCTGCTCCTCAATCGAGCAGTTTGGTGTGAGCCCATGAATCAGCATTCTGAGCGACTCTACAAGATTGCTAAAGAGGCTTGGGCCCAGAGAGTCGAAGAAAGCGGCAGCAAGTCTACTGCCTGGTGGAGTCGGGCTCGTCGTTCGCTGGTATTTCCCGAGCTGCCGCGATAGGTCGAGCCTGTTGTTGATGCTCGTTGTGTACTTGAGTGTAGGAACTGTTGCTTGAGCATCAACATCTTTTCGGGTTACTGAAAATATTCTTACCTTCTACCTAATACCGAAAAGTATCTAACAACTAACAAGCACACCGAGTTGTAGTACAGTATGCAAGCGAGGTGCTGCTGCTCCCTGTAGTAATGGTCCTGGCACGCCCGTATGACATCGGCTGGCAGGGACCCGACCTGTTGAAGGACCGCCTCAACAAGTGCGCAACAATCATGCTGATGAAGTCTAAGCTTTGCAGACAAAGCGTCTATGTCGGTTACAAGACCTGTAATTTTGGTTGGGGTGGAAGTTTTTATCCCCTCTGCACATAGGAGGACATTAAGTAGTAAGTTCACTTTGACGACTTGTTCATTAGATCCAGACACTGACGATTATTCGGTGTTGTTCTGCAACTCCTGCATAAAGATATGTTAAAAACGTAATTGTAATTCCTTAACTCTGTACGTTTCACAAAGGCCGCACCCCCTCTTTCGGCATTGAGTTTTAAGAGCTCGTTACTTGGCGTCTGCCTCACATATTCCAGTAGTTTGTCGAGTGTAATTGAGGACTCCCTTATTTTCTCCGTGCGTAAAGGCTTGAGAAATGTCTCTTTCTCGGCTTTAAGTGCGTCGAGACATTCCGGATCGGGGTTTCCTGCTGATACTAATGACGAAACACGCCCGTGAAGCTCCGCAAAAACGGAGCCAGTATAGGCTGGAATTTTTGTCGATGGTTGCGCCATTTTCAACGTTTCTAGAAGATGATGCACTCGCTCCTTCGAACTTCCGAAGATCCTCAGAACGTCCGTACTCACCACTGCGGCCGGACTTTTTTCGATCGTGTCGTTGTTAGCAGCTCCATTGACCACCACGGGTCTAATTGATAGTCCCACCTACAGCGGTGTCGTCACCACGTGATCCAGTGCGTCTTCTGCTCGTGTATGACCGTGCCTGCGTCTCGCAAGTAGCACGCACATCAACCAAGGTAGACGGAATTAAGCTCTCGCAAACTTTCCCCCACAATTCGGGCAAATCCAGTTTGGTGAAACGAGTTCGTACAAAAATATGCCATAGCACTAGTAGTGCGTGGGTCCGAGTCCAAATCTAAGGTAGGAGCAACACCGTGCCATTGCTATTCTTCAATCATAAAGGGCAAGTAGACACGGAGAAGACACGGACACTCAATGAAAAACCTGTTTGTTATCCTTATCGTTAGTTTAGTAAATAAAAATATCAGACTTCACCAAATACCCAAGAGTGAGGACGTCTCCGTAGCTCATACAGAGCCAATGAAAACCTCAACTTGTCAACTAGAACTAGGCTAAAAAGGTCGGAAATAAAAATAGTAGAATCAAAAATAACGATCGTCCGAATACCACGGAGCATCCTCACTTTGCTACTTAGGATCGTCACGACCATCATCTTTCTTGGCAGAGACACCAGAACCGACCATTTCGGAAATTCTTTCTTACGTTGAATTTCTCTGTATAATAAGAGCAGTAGAACCTTCACAAGAACAGGCCTTGCCAACTACTATTTCTTATTCTTTCATTCTGGTGCATGCGCCTGCCTTTAAAGGAGAACAGAAACAGATTTACATTCATCAGGAGGCGCATTACTTTTTTTCGATTTGATCGAGAATCATCATGTTTCATCATCGTATTAGATCAGGTGCTACCGATGCACTGCAGGTATGGAAGGCCTCCGGTCGTGATCAGCATGATTTCAGTTTTCTCGCAGGATTGGAATATTTCTTCAAAACATGACTAACTTGCTTTGCCAGACATTGGAGAGCATAGCTCTTGATCAGTCTCTGATGTTAATATCGAGCTTGTTTTGTGTCAGTAACAGTAGAAAATTTTAGATTTGCGTTTTCATCATGTGTGATCATGAAAGCCGTCATGATTTGTCTTGGTAGAGGCAATTGCAAATGTTCCAACAGTTGACAAATCTGATGTACTCCTTGTCTTCGAATCGAAAATCAGCTTCGAGACTTCGATCATTTATCGTTATATCTAGTCAATGCAGTGGCCGTTATAATGCTTCGGGCTTAGCTAAATCTTGTATTTCTGAGACATGTACTCCAACTGTCGCGGCAGGTTAAGCTCCTCTGTAACGCTGAATGTTCCTCTTCGAAAGAGGACATAATCGGCTTGCTCGCTCAACTCCAGGTTACCCGGAAGCATGAGCCTTCGCAGAAAACCGACCCAATAGGCAAGCGTTTGCGCATCGCCGTCAATAGCGAAGTCGTAGGCACGTCGCGAGGCGAGCTGTTAAATCCATTCGGGGGATGTGGATTGGAAATCTTCGTGTTGGCAGAGAAAGAGAAACTAACAAATTATTGATGAGAATTACCACGGTCGAATCGATTTCTTTGCCTATGAGGGTCGAGGTTACTAATCATCTTCAACATTGGGAATGCCACGGACATTAGACTCAGCTGATGAAGAAGTACCAGATGAAACATGTTCACGTCCGGCAGAGAGCCCCATCTGTCCTGAACTTTTTTGCTTGGCCCCAAATTTATGTGCGTCACGGTCTGGAGCGGGATGCGTCGCACGCGACGAGACATGCTTGCATTAGCACGACTACCAGAAAAACATGTGCGGAAAAATGATGACGCGCTTCTTCCGACACTCTCAAAAAGGTCTTGTGTGAACACAGAGGGACCTGATCCGTAGCGAGCGGCATAGCGACTTTTCCGGAATCGACTGCGAGCTGCCCGGCTACTTCTTCCTGTCGTTGTTGGAGAAAACATTGCTGAAGTTGCCTCACTTGAAGCGATTGTTGTCTGCGATGGTCCTTGCGGAACTAGTTGCAGATCTAGCTCCTTTTGCTTCAACATGCCACCTTTCATATTTTTGGATGGTTTATCAACGTTGGAGTTCATCTTCATGCCTTGCGCTTCGACATTCCCGCCCGTTCGTGGTGAATCGAATGAAGCCGGTGGACTCGCTGCGTCTGCCGGCAGATAGGTCCTCCAGTATTCCAGATAGGGGACGCGTGATTCCGGAAAATAACCCAAGCGCACGAATACGGACTGCGTCTGTCGTCGTGTGTAATCGAATTTCGTAAAGAAGTCACCTTGGTGCAAATCCATCATAGAAAAAGCGGATGTCAACAAGGTGGAAAACGAAATAGACGGCTTCGAAGACGACGGTGCAAGTGCAGTCGCGACAGTACCTTGAGAACAATTTTTTACACTCACGCTGTCCTCATTTTCCATTGGCTTCTCGGTAGACGCCAGTGCCTTGTTGATCGTCGCACCTCCCTGGTCTTTCTTGCGCTTCTCTGACTGCTCCTTCTCGGCTAGGACCAAGGCTCGCGGACTTCCGGGTATTCGAGAAGCAAAAAATTTATCACGCAACTCAGGACTATCCAGCAATGCCGGATTACCTGCGAGTACAGCCTCAAAAAAGATTGGCCACATTCGAACATCTTCGATGCACAGCTCAACCAACAACAACATATTTGATGCACATGCACAAATCAATGAAAAGTAAGCAAGAAAATCAAGATGTGAATGCGATGTGTGGAAAAATACAGAAAAAATGCAGAAGTACCACTCCCAGCTTTCTGTATTATCATTTCTCCATCACCGCGGCCGTGGGCGATCTTCGACTGATCGACAAGAGCAGATGTTGGGCTGTGCATTTTTCGAAAACGCGGGTTTTCTCTAGGACCAACATGGGCCCTGATCTCCTCTGCCAGCGTTCCTCCCACCAGCATGCGAGGTGAGCCTGGGTCTTTACTCGGTATTCTTGGTTCTGTAGAACTACCACGCGCAGCAGCTGTCGACCCCGCTTGCACTTTTTGCACCTGTGGAGAGGAAGCTGACGCACTCTTCTGCTCAGTCTGAGCAGCAGGTGTGCGCTTGTTGGCAGCGGGTACTACCGCAAGTCTTCCGCGCAGGATATCCCTTGCCTTCGGTGGCAGTCCATAAAGAGCGGTAACGGATGGTTGCACTCGCCTCGGCGGACTTAGACTCAGCCGCAAACTTTCGGTGCCGTTGCACTTGTCGAACCCTTTCCGGATCCTTTGTTGGTGGTAGAGACTATGCGTAAAGCGCTTTTTCGCCAAACGTTCGCGCATCAGAGCCGCAAGACGGAACTGTGCCGCAACGGATTCCCTCAATTCTATTTCATGACCAGGATTCCTCGTTGTCACAGACTCAACTAACCTAGATGCCGGTGACGAATCTCCTTCGTCTTTTTGATCATCCTCGTCAGCCACTACCTCACCTTCCGAAACCTCCTCCGCCTCGGCCTCTTCCTGCACCTGGTGTGCTTGCTTGAGTCGTCGGGTGTCGATGGTTCTCAGCACGTCCGAGAGCGTCTCGGTTTCATCCTCATTTGTAGCTAGATCCGTGACCGTCAATCCAAGTGAGTCGAAAACATCTGCGACGAGAGACTGAGGAGCACGGCGTTCCTGAAACGTCGGCGGTGACGAACTACGACCACGCATCTCTACTGAGACAGAATCATCGGTGTTGCCATGGTCAGAAGCGACATTTTTACCTTCCGGAAACGAAGACGCAGAATGCTGATACTTGAGCTTTGCTGCTTGGTCGTGCTCGCTGGCGTGATCTCCATCTGCGTCCGCGGCTTCGTCGTCCATCAAATCCAGGTGAACCGACGATGCTGTGACAGGAGATGCTCTACTTCTAGACGGTGTTGACTTCCTTCTGGCTTCTGCGTCGCGACCTTTCTTCGTATTTCCGATCTTTGCTACCGCAGCTGATACTCTGGAACCAGGCGACGTCTTCCGCCGCCTCGGGCTCTGGTTCGCAGACGGTAGTCTGGCCCGTCGACCTGCAGTAGGATGAATTTTATGGTTCGTCGTCGCTGTTGTTGCAGTGTGTCTCTCTTGAGTAGCTGCAGACCCTGAAGCTGTAGTCGCAAATGAGGGGCGCATTCTGGCCGGAACTAACGGTCGGTATTGCGGAAGGCGTGGAGAAGTAGAGCGAACTTTTCTTGCGGGACTACTTTTACCTCGTTTTCGCTGGCGTGTTTGTGGCACTGGAGGAGCTCCTATTCCTCTGGGTGATATTTCAGCAACTTTCTCTTGTTCTTGCAAATCGATTATCGCTACTTGACTCTCTTCAGGACGTTCTGCACTTTTTGGCGGCTTACCTGTTGCGGTTGCGTCTACTTTGCGAGATCGCTGTTCAGGGCTTGAAGCTGAGGCGACGTCTGGTTCACAAGGCGCAAAGCCCGGCGGCGATGGCGGATAGTCACCATCATTATTTTCTGCTATCGATCCTTTTCCTGCTTTTACCTGGTGATCGACCTCGTCTGATGCTGTGAATGGTAATGAGAGGACCTTGTTCGTGCCGCCAGCATCCTCCATCTTCATTCCACGATCTACTCTGCGGTTATCCCGACCTTCCGAACTCCTTGCTTTCCGTTTCTTGACGTCTTGCAGTAGCGCGCTGGTAACAGGCACGAAGCGGCTTGCCGTTGAAGATGATGAACGCTCTCCGGTCTTACTTTTCTGGGCGTCCAACAGTTGTATGTGATCGACGCCGAAGTGCGCGGGCCTATCGACAAGCGGCCCCTCATAATTTTGTGGAACAGAAGGTGAGGATGCGCGCTTCGGTTTTTGCGTTTCGGAGGAAAAAAGTGTGGCAGCCAGAGGCGCGTAGGTTTCAGTTGTCCTCGCCGTGGACGTGGTTTGAGCCTGAGCCTGAGGTTCTCCCGCTACCGGCTGAGCCGACGCTGCGTGAACGGTTCTCCCGACGACATCTTCCCACTCGCGTTCTGATCTTCTGGTGTTACTTGTCGTGGCGCGTTCGGAAGTCCTCGGATTGCTGCTTTCAAATGGACGCTCTCTCGAGTTCGGTGGTCGATAGAACTCCGTCTTCGGAACCATATTTTGATCGGCCACACCACTTTTCCGTATGATTTGATGTGGGAAACTGCTTGTTTCGTTGTCTAGCAAGAAGACCTCGTCTCGTGCACCAGCACCTCCTCCGGCATGAGGATCATAGATATCATCTATCATGTCGTCAACTAGAGCTGCTTCATTTCCCAACGGGAAAAAATCCCCAAATTGTAATTGCTTCTCATTCTCTTCATCAGCAAATAGATCCACAGCGACTAGACGCTGTGGCTTACGCTTATTCTCGTCATTATAGTACACAAGTAGGGCGTGTTGATTTTTCCCCGAGGAGTTACCGAAGTCCCCATTTCGAGGCGTCGCCACGGCATTGTTGCGCGCGTTTGCTCTATTTTGCCGATTTTTTGGATTCTGCGATAACGCTCCGACAGCAAAATCAGTATGACGCCGCTCCGGTTTTTGTGCTGCTGCGGCCCGCAGATTTGATATAGCACCTCCATGCTTACCATACATTCTAGTGGTGTTTACAGTTCGGGTGAAGGGCGGTCGCGTAGAAGATTCGCGTCCACGTGGTTTATCATCTGCTCGTCCTTTCCTACTCGGCGGCTCATATTTGCTTTTTCGAACGCTCGGTCCGCTCGGCTTGCCCCGCCGCAAGCCTGTGTCTACTGCGGGTTTGACGTGGTCGTACGGTGAGCGAGCAGCACGGGTCACAACTACCCCAAACGGATTCTCCTCGAGGGCGCCTGCGATCTGATGACTTTGAGTAGCAGTGTTCACCCCCAAGTGCAGCACTCGAGGCGGTGTCCGATCGTCGTAGATGCAGTCCTCCATGTCATATGGTGCGTGGTAAAAGTGGAATTCTCGTCTCTGGTCTCGACTCCGTGTTCCTCTGCTTGGGGAGCTCGTAGCAGTTCGTGTTCGTGCAGATTTAGGCACAGATGAGCTAGATGTTGAAGGCGTCGGCCGCTGCTGATTCATCATGAAAATTGATTTAGTTGAAGTTGAACTCATGGTGAAGGTGGAATTCCGATGAACAGCATTACTTTTTGTATTTGAATTTGTTCTCAATGCTCCAGGTCCAGGATGTGAATGTGATTCGTCCTCGTTGTAAAAGCTGTTGCCTGCTGGCGCATGCAAATCTACGATCTGGACCTGTGGCTCTCTCCTTACTGTTCTCTTCAACGACAACTGCACACGTTGATCTAGTTCTTGTCTGCGTGACTTAAATTAGAGGTTGCAGCACTACACTCATCTGAGCACCCTTGCCCTGTTTTCTACTTCAGAGAAGGCCAAGGATGTTAGTGGAGGATGTAACGCGGTAACCCTTAATTAGAAGACCTCCCGAGCTCTGAGTCTGCCCGTCGCTGAATAGCTTCAGGCGGTTCTCCATCTGCGCTGCTCTTTGGCACGACGGAGTTACTTGCTGCTGAAGGTGAGGCCGTAGTTGCTGGTCTGCTTCCTCGCGTTCGGTGTCGCATTCTTTCTGCCGACGAACTAATGTAGTCAGCGTAAGTCATTCTCGAAGTGTGCTCGCCTTGCTGAAATGAAGATGGACCTGCTGTTGAACGGCTTGACCTTGATGTCGTAGAGTGTCCATGAAGGTGCGAATTTGCCTGTACTTCCGACGATGGCGTAGTTGTCGTCGCTTCTTTGGCAGCATTAGAAATAGGTCGATACACCACGACGCCTGACCTCGAAGGCGACGAAGGGGAGCGCGATCGCGACAGGGCATCGTCATAGTAGCTCGCCTTTCGCGCCGCCAGAGAAGTGGGACTCATCGGCGAGTGCCCATGATCACATAGATCTATGACACCCACTTCAGGACCACCATCTTGCTTTTCAGAAAGGTGTCGCACCACGTAGTCGCGCTGTCGCTTCCGGTGGGCTTCCGCTAGGCTTTCAAAGTATGTAACCATCATATTTGTCTTTTTGAGGCGAGGGCTCGATGAGAAAAAGCAAGAAATCTGGGTTGGAGCACGGACGACAGAGCATCCAGGAAACTCATACAACATGTAAGACAACACCGTCTTTGACGTATCTATGAATGTTGTAAAGAATACGTCTACTGGTACTCGGTGCTGCCAGATGTCATATGTTTTCAAAAACTACATGGTTTGCTTTTTTACGATCTGCTAAGTAACTGCAAGCGGAGAATGCATTTTGAGGAGCAACCGTGAAACCTGGTATATGCGCAGAAATTTAGATTTTCATATGATTAAGTAACTGTTGATAGATTAGTATATCTTCAATGAAATACATTTACATGAATACCACATCAAAATATTCCATTTATTCCAATCCATTTTGTTATGCAAAAGTGCAATGGAAAGATCGAGACCACAGAAATTCGGAAAAAGCTAAAGCCGAAGCCAGAGGAGAGCGAGAGAGAGTAAAAAAGATGAAAAAGCGTCTTCGGTAATCATGCGTGACATCTTGCTTGCCTCGTTTCAAAAAAACATTTTCGCGATCTCGCACAGCTTGTTCTCGTCAACGCCTTACTAGATTAGGCACCGACGCTACGTGGCGATTTTACAGAGAGAACAGTAATAATAGCTCCTTTTTCCTGAAACAATATACCAACGACCGAAAAATCTTAGACATGCACAGTTTTCGTTTGCGTTCTCTCATTTACATTTCGCAGATACAAATACGATTTTACCTTTTTCTCTGTCCGTAGCTTGCTTTTGATTTCGTTGTGTATATAAGAAATACTTAAGAAGTAAGAACTCATTACCGACAACAGCATAAGGAAGAAGAAGAAATTTTCCGCTTTTCCACCCTTTGAGCACAGATAGGATCAAGCCATAGAAGGATGTGAATGTATAGAAGGATGTATAAATCAATGCGCCACGAACCACATCCAAACGACCGAATCAGACCATCTCGACGGATCTGCAAGATAAAATCAGATCTGCATGATCTGCAACAGGACACGTGCAAAAAATCAGATCCATAGTCAATGCGTTTTACGAGCAGGAAATCAAAGATTTTTCATCTCCTTCACACTCGTGTATCACGGGGCCATGATTCAGTCTTTGGTCTTTTCCTTTTCGGAGTGGGGTTGCTTTCAGCATTTTTTCATTGGGGCTGAGGCGATAGTCTTTTGTGTTGGGCTTGTTATCGTTAATTCGTTTACTTTGATTGGTAAAAATATGCACACTTCATCTCTCTGCGCGACTGATGTAGATATCACTTTATATTTTTGTCTCACTATGCCTATGGATTAGACTACTTACAACAGCTTCTGTGTGCCACCGCCGGTGACAAAGTGGTTACTACAAGCACTCACACGGGTGGAGCAGCGGCAGTCGCCGCCCTTGCGCGAACGCGGTCCATCAACGTGTAGTCGGGATGTGCGATGTCGAAGGGCCCGAATCGCTTCGTGTAAAGCAGTTTCTTCTCGCCATCAAGGAGCTTGCTGCCTTGCAGATCCAGGTAGTCTTCAACTTGCACATCCACCACGGCCATGTAGGACATTGTGTCAGTGATTTCTAACTTCACGCGACCAAACGCACGCTCGTTGCCGCGGAGACGCAAAGGATCGGCGAAGGGGAAGAGCATCTGGCGCCAGTGGGTCGGCACATTCCAGGGAGAAGTGGAGAGCTCCAAGTCGTTACTGTGTGCTACACTGGCATTAACTGATGAACCTGAAGGAGCTGAAGAAGCTGTTTTCACCTCCACATCGGGAGCATGATTTTCGAAGCCGCAATCAAACCACAGCAACAATCCATGAATTGTCGTGACATCCTCTCTCGGAACTGCGAGCTTCGATACTACTTCCGCGGGAGCTTCTCTTTTCGTAAGGGGAAAGTCTTCATCATACTGACTCTGCGAAGCTAACGCTGAGGCTTCTACAGCAACATTTTCAACGATAACAGGAGAGCCGAGTGGTGAGGAAGCTACGGACGGTGCTCCTGCTACTTCTACTTCCCCCACTTTTGATACTGTTGCAAGAGCCTGCTGCTCAGGAACGCTTGGTACTGCTTCTACAGCGTTGAGTGCTGCAGAACAAAAGCCTTCCTCCATGTCCATAGGCAGGTTGTGGGTCTGGTCTAAGAACTCTTCTGGATAAATGATCTCGAAATCGTCCTCATTGAAATCATCCCCAAAGGGGCAGGAGGATGGTCCCACCTGTTCAGCGGTTGTATCACCTCCTTCTATAATCAAAGATGATGTAACAATTTCAGTACTTGTTGCTTTTACACTCGGCTCTGGTGCTCCATGTTGATCCACTTCTTTTTTGTCGTCGGTAGCATTGTGCTCCTTCAATCCACCACTCGTCGTGTCTTGTGCGACGTTAGTTTTGCCGATGTCCCCGAAGGTGTTATTGAATTGGCAAGCGCTGGTCTTCGTCAAACCGCGGCTACGGGGTTCGCGAGCGAATGATGCAGTTCTTGAACTTCCCCCCTGTCCGGCGTTTACTGCCTTTACACCATTAGCGGAGGTCGCGACGTCTTCCTGCGCTGGGCCTGTGGCACTAGAAACCAACTGACTCCCGTTGGGTGACGAGGCACCTTGTGGACACGCCAACTGATCCATGGGAATTTTATCACCCGTGCTCGTTGTCCTTGTAACCACGCTCCCACTTGGTCCCAGTGCTGAAGATTGCTGCTGCTTTGTTGAAATATTGATATTTGTCGTGTCTATGATAACTCGCGTCCTTTCGGCATCAATTCTCGGTCTCGGAGCGCCAAAAAACTCGAACGGAATCTTGATACATTCGAGGTCATCTTCCTCCTCGATGTACCAGTCAAAATGCTTTTCGCTGATGTTCAGGTCCCGCATAGGAGCACCTGTTGGCGCGTCGCCTTGTGGCACACCAGATGAAGACATGTTGTTAAGAACACAACTAGTACTACCTCTAGCGTCAGCACTTGAACAATTCGAAGACGAAGATGCAGAGCCTGCCAAAAGCACACTCTCGGGAGAAAAAATGTCACAGATCGGTGTCGACAGTGCTTCATCCAGGTGCATCTTCGAAACACAGCGCAAGTCTAGACCATACGGGAAGACAGATGGTGCTGGTCCTGTCATTGGACCAGATCCAGGTTGAAAACTATGATCTTGTAAAGCTCCTGAGGCTGAGGTACTAGAAGTTGTAGAAGTGTGTGTGCGGTGGTCGCACACCTCCGTCCACCAAGTCGATTCGGCTTGAATTTCATCGTAGATTGCTTCCTGCGCATATGGCGCCACGCAAATGCGACTTGTGCTTGGTGCGAGTGACCCACCGACAGCAAGAAAACGGTCTCGTGCGCGAAGATAAGATTCGAACATGCGCTCGTTGACCAGGCACGTTCCGATGCACTCGGAAATTATACCGTGGACCTTGCCCGGCAACGGAAAAAAGTCGAATACTCTGAGAAGCTCCTGCTTCAACGCATTCAGCTGGACTTCAGTTCTTACAGGGAGAGCTGCGTCTTGTTGATCTAAATTCCTGTTCGGTCCTTTCGCTTTTGCGTCTGCAGCAGCAAGCTCTCGAAGAGTGGCAAGATTGCTTTCTAGTTCAGCCTTAGCCAAGCGGATCTCCTCGCCTGTTGCGGCATCCTCTGCGGCAAGCCATTTTTGACGCTCACTGCTGTTCTCAAGTGCCTCGTCGATTTTCGTTTGGAGCGTCTTGCGTGTCTCCTTGTCCATCGTCGCGACAGCGATGTTCTTTTGCGTTTGCTCTCCTAGGGAAGAGAATGACCGGGCCACTTCCAGCGCCACATCGTCGTCAAACATTAGCTTGACTCTCTTCATAAACGTTTGCCGCAGCTCGGCATCTGCAACGTCAACGCGGAGTCGTGCGCAGATCTCGCTTCCATCCAGGTTGACGAAAGCGACCTCTTCTTTGCCGGCTCGGCGCATCATTTTTGACACCTCAGCAACCACTGCATCACGGCAGCCGGCTGGCGCATTTTCTGTATCACGCATGTACACTGCAATTTGGGCATTGGTTCGTCGAATAACATTTCGAGCTTCTAGGTTCAGCGCCCTAAGCGCTGAGACGTATTCTTGTTGTGCGCCATTTAGTTTTTGTTCTGAAGCGGCGATGTCGACGTGATCATCACCAGAAACGAGACAAAGTCCGGTGGCATCTTCTCGATTGAAAATGTGTTTTCTCTCAGCCGCTTTCGTCGCCTTTACATGTGCTTCTCGCAACGCGAGGAGCGCACGTCGCATGGCAAAAAAGGCATTGTCTGCGGAATTTTGCTGCTTTTTTGTTTGCTTATCCAGCCACTCGCGCGTCCAGCTGCCTGCTTTGTATGTTTCTTTCTCACGAGACGAACTTGAATCGTTGTTCTCATCAACACCACCTTCGCCATCGACAGTTCTCTTGAGTTTGTCAATAAAGTTCACCATCGCCGCAGCTCTTTTCTCCTTTTCTTCAACGACAGAAAGGACAGAGCTCGATTTTTCAAGTGCATCCTGCTCTTCCGTCAGCACTTTGATCATAGAAGCATGTTCGTCCTCCTGGTCCATCGCTTGCTTACTATTAGCACTATCGTGAGCTTGAATTTCTTTACGGGATGCAACATCACCTTTACTCGGTGCGGCAGCCTCCAGCGCAGCTGTATTCCTCTTAATCGGCAGTGATCTAATGACTCGCTCAATGTCCTCGCATTTTACTTTTTCTAAAAGTTTTGCGAGTAGCGTTATCTGCTCTGGACCGAACTTGTTTGTTTTCGCGATTTGCCTTAGCGTGGCCGCTATCTGGCTGGCTTCCACTGCGAAAACATGCCGCGCACCGCCCTGCAGCGCAAAAAAACTCAATATGCCTGTTCCAGCTCCAACATCCATCACCAACTTCATGCTCTTGTTTTCGTCTTCCTTGTCACGATTATCTGTTGTTGGTATTGACATTGCGCCTCTCGCAGCTGCCTCTGCGCCGAAATCATAACAACAGTGAATGGCAGCACGATAACACTCGGTGCGCACGTAGTCGATGACCATGTTCAACTGGGCTTTGTGCATAGAATAGGCCCGAAAATACAATCGACCCGTTTCAGCGTTATCTTCATCGCGAATCATGGTACTGCCTGCTGCGCTGGTATTGCCTCCATTTCCAGCAGTGGAAGTCGTGGACTCATTCATGTTCTTGCCCATGTCCTTCTCCACTACATTCAAAGCGGGCAGATTACTGCCCGTCGCGTGGATCGTCTCATTGATCTGTTCCATCTTATATTGCGTTGTTTTTTCGTCCGATTGTAAACTGAGTTCAACTTTATCGGATTCTGACTCGTCACTTCTCTTTTCTTCTGGAGGCAATTGTGTTTTCCGTTTCTTCATCGATGAATTTCCTGGATCTGGTGAGTTTTCTTGTTCGAGTTGGCCGTTACGTCTACCAAAATCGCCAAACTCCGACTCCAGGGCATTTCTCTTGTTGAGGCCGTTCTTCCTCTGTGCAAGACCCGCGGCGCTCATTATCCTTCAATCATCTGTTGTCTAGTTCTCGTTGTACTACTAGGGATCGCATGAATAAAAAATTACGATGCTCGATTTTATGCGTCTTGAGAAAAAACCAATCGCGATCAAACAACAGTTACAAAGAAATTAGTTAGAACAAGCATTGCTGCCGCAACCAATTGAAAAGCAGGAGGCTTCGAAACTTGAGTCTAGTGAACAGCAGCTGAAGCAACTTCTCCTAGACAGTAGAATTGATTATGGTCATCGACCATTGTAGAGATGCGCATGACGTAACACATGATTGATCTGTCATAAGGCAAGTTCAAACAGTGTTCGACCGCTAGCATTTTAACAACGGTATTTCTATTTGCGACGTTTATTTGGACTTACGCAGCAGAAAAAAGCTATTTTGAATTCAAATTCTTTTGCATTTTCACTGTCCACTGATGACTTTCTATATTTCCTGATGGCATCGCGAAAACAGAGCAAGGTGGCTGTGGATCTTCTGCGGAATCCGTAGAGACGACATTTCACTCGGTTTTACATCTACCCGCGTCCACCTCGCACCATCTTTAAGAAGCAGCAAACTGATAGTACTGAAAACATCGACCCCCTAATACTGAGCATTGAAGCGGAGAGAACTGTCACTGTGCTAGAACAAAACGAGACAAAGTGGATAGTATCTACTGTTAGTTGAATTCATAAGCTCATCTCTGCACGACATATTTCCAGATTTTCATTTTTCACATCAGATGAAGATGAACTGCTGCCAACCTCTCCCTTAGCCATAGCATTTGCTTGGTCAATTGTCGTAGCTTTATCTAGAACAAACTGACATATTCTCGTGTAGTCATCGTCGCTAATTTTTCCTCCACTTTTCTCCTCCGCTTGGGCGAAAACTTTCTCCACGTAGGGCAAAACACTCGCAAACGAAGGAGAGACTTTACCAAAGAGCGAAACACATTGTCGCAAATCCTTGTGCATTAGTCCATAGCGAAAGCCATAGTCGTATCTGCCGGTGAGGACTTCTTCCGGCCAACGGACCATGCTCTGCAGACTCCGACCCGAAGATTTGTTAATGGAGTCTAGCGCGGTGGCCGGTGACACTCCGATACTTCGTAGAGCCGCAACTCCTTCGGTCGCCATCACAAGCTTCGCCGAGTTCATTCCGTTGTTGATGCTCTTCACTGCGTGGCCTGCGCCACGAACGCCTAGGTAGACGCGATTCGTCTGTGCGAACGCACTGCAAAGGCTATCGAGGCGTTCATAAACAGTCTGCTCCGATGCGCCAATCATGGCCGCTAGTGTGCCGGCTTCGGCCCCGCGCGGACCGCCGCTAACTGGGCAGTCGACTAGATTGACACCACATTGTGATTCTAGAAAAGCACCGATTCGCTGCGTACTCTCGAAATCACCGGAAGAGCAATCAACAAGTAGCTTTTGATGGTCCTCAGCCTCATCGCTTCTCACGTCTTTCGGGGAAAATTCACTTGACGACAAAGTAGGAGAACTGCTTGTGCTTGATGGCGAAGTTGATGACGTACCACAATCGAGGTTTTGCGTTTTCTCAATTACTTGCAACTCTGGAGCCCCCTCTACATCGTAGAGCTGCGCTGCCACTTGCGCAACCTCCACAGATGTGGGAACCGATAAAAAAACGATGCTGCAGTCGCGCAAAGCCCGCACGTTATCAACCAAAACTGATGAACTCGCGAACTTGTCACCAAACGCTCTTCTAGCATCCTCGCTCACATCGAAGGCTCGCAGTCGAGCAGCACCTACCTTTTTGCCAATATGCGCAGCCATAGGCGCACCCATTCTGCCGAGACCGACCCAACCAATGAGCGGGCCTGTCGCAGCGGCGGACATCGTTTTTATCTGTGTTGCAGTACGCGGAAGAACCGGGGAATGACCTCCGTGATACGCGAGACCAGCAAGCCCCTGAGGTTCGGCCACGCTAGGAGAACACCTCGGGGACTTATCAGACGAGCCGTGCACGCACTTTTTCTATTTTCTTTTTCTCATGTCATTCATTCTTGCTAATTACTGTTTTATGGAGTGGGGATTTTGCACATGGGGAGCGCCAGAAGCAGCTTGGCGAAAATTTTTGAAGTTTGGATGATGATGAGGCGTTCTACCTAGCTATATGCAATCAGTGGCGGGCTGCCTAGCTAGGTGGGAGGCAAATGGCCAGGCTCGCGGAAGCTCGAGGATTGCACGCAGCGGAGGGCGTGTGAGCTATGAGTGCGACAGCCTGGCACAAGCTGCCGACGAGGACGCAGCCCTTTCGACGGTTTGCTCGAGGCCCCGGGGGAAAGTGGTTGATTAGTAGGAGCTTCGTGCCACTGAGTTCCGAGTGGATGCCGCGATTTGGAGATTTTGCACAAGCGCCCGAAAGTTTTTGGCTTGCGTCCTGGAAAGTCATGCCTGTACAAAGTCCCCAAATCGCGATCCCCAATTTCTATCCCCACTAGATGGCGCATTTGGGGATTTTGCACAAGCGCCCCTTTTTTCGACTCAAATTTCTAGCGGCCCTCAGAAGTCGCCAGAAATTTGAGACGATCCGATCCCTCCTGTCCGAAGGGCCGGAAAGAGCGACAGGTCTGGCCATGGAACGGCAAGCCAAAGCAGCAAAAGAGGCCGATCTGCGGCAGCGTACTGCGGCAGCGTACTGCGTCAGCTGTCTCGCCAATAGCCACACTCCCGCCGCCTGCATTCTCCAGCTGCCGCGATCCTTTCAGGCCGCGCGCCTCTCTACTAAATAGCTTGGCGAGCTAGCGAGACTGCCCGTCTTTATCTACCTTTTCAGTTCGCGATTTGTTCTTTTTTTTGGAGCAGGCTGCTATTGGTCCCATGTGCAAAATCCCCACTCCATACGTACACTCCTGCTGCGTAGTATCAATACAGTCGCCGAGAGCGTCTACCTGATAAGGATGTAGATTGCCCCGCGAGAATCTTGCACGAACCCTCTGCTGGATCCTGGACGAATCCCACGTTGTCACTTCCCGTATGCTCTCATAGGCACGAACCCGAACGTTTTGTTTAGGCTCATTGCTTCTTGTTTTTAAATTTGCGGACATCATGAACATTTTCATTTCATAAGGCCGCCCAGAGTGGTTGTGGTAGCAACTTCATCGTCCGCAGCAAAAGAATTTCTCACGGTCAACACTCTTCCAAACATCTTTCTGCTCTGCTTCGCTAATAAGCGTAAAACATCAATTGCGATAGTGATAAGTTGCGTCGCTGTTCGCGCTTGACAAAAGTTGAGTAAAAGTTGACATATCCCACCGACAAACATGGAATTGAAGAGTGATCATCTTCTTCAATCATTCACCAGGAGCAGGAGTTATAGCAATTAAAAATGCGGGTGTTCTTGTACAATGCTTCATGGTCATCTTCATCAGCCAGGTGTTGTCGTTGTTCTTTCAGGCGCATTAGAATGTCAACAAATCAGCCAGACAAAATAGACAGTCAGATTGATGCGCAGAAAGATACACAATGTAATCATGAGCGTCAAGAAGATACAGGGATAAAGAAGGACTTCGGTCTTCTCAAGGAACGGCAGCATTGCGTAGCCCATACTCGTCACGTAAAAATATGCGAGCAATGATACCCCGAATAGGACGTTTGACAGAAAGCAGCAAATCTGGAAGAAGAAAATTCAAAAACAAAATTGGTCATTTTTTGGTTTCTCTGTGGATGTGAGGAAGATGTAGAAGGGCTTTGTGACAGTGCATCATGTAATGAAGGCCGCATATGAAATTGACATACTTATTTCGATCTATATTATAATAATATTCAATTCACTAACAGCTTTATGGGGAAGATGGTGCAAAAAAAATACGAGGGATGGCGATCGGAGCTTGGACTTATCCAAGAATTGCGCTGCAGTTGGGGGTCCGTCCACTTTTCCAGCTCCTGAATCACCCGTCGCGAAAGGTACAGAATCATTAGGTTGTGCTTGTGCGCCTGCGGCGGGATCGTTCACTTCTTGCAGACGCCGCCTTGGCACGTCTGACGCCACGGCTCGATCCCCGCTGTTGCTGTTCCAATTGAGGTGCTCTTCCATCCATAGAGAAAACCAACCTCTATCATTGTTTGTCTCGTATCCGTTTACTGGCTGGACACGATCATGGATTGATTCTACTGTATTGCCATCTGTACTCCGCCGTACTACTACGTTTGCGCGACGGGCACTTTCACCAGGAAGATCGGTTACTCTGCTAGATAGAGAAGATGAGCTGCTTGATCCTCCTCTCGTTTGTGTACCACCAAGAAAGACTCCTTTATCCGCTTGACTGCTACTAGTACCTCCCTTCATCTTTGCTTGTTCAGCTTCGCCTTCGGCTAGTAATACTTCGTTCTCATCTTCGGCTTCCGCCAGGAGGTTTCTTCTCGTTTCCCCTGCCGCTGCACCTGAGGAACCAGACGATCCTCCTGCCTGCTCCACAGAAGTGTTACTGCTAGCCGTTGAAGGTAGGGAGGTCGCACCTCCACTTGCACTAATTGCAGCAGCTGCATCTGCTCTCGCTTGGTCGAGGAGAGACGCTAAGCCCTGGTCGTCATACAAAACTGGTAAGAGGAAGAACTGCACAACATACAGTGTCAAAAGAACGTGAATAAAGCCATTGCAATGCACATCCCATGCATACTGCCACTCCAGTTCCTAATGTTGTTGAACGAAGACAAGAATTGCAGATGAGGGCTTGTGGTTGACGTTGAGGGGTTGAAGCAAATTTTGATAAATGATCATAGAAGCAACTTGATTCTAAATGTTCAAATTTTTCATCTCATAATTGTGTTCATGGATTAATCCTTGACGTTCATTTGAGCGAACAATTTTGTAGACCCTACTAGAAGGAGTTTTCGATGGCTGGTTCTGGTATGATATCGACTTTCACTCTACGTAGATTCATTTCTTGTTGTAGAAGTACCTGCCGCACATAGTGTCCACCTACCGAACCCGGATGTGAGTAGCCCCGCTCCCGCAAATAGTTGTTACAGATGTAGGTATACACGGTGGCTACAATGACTCCAACTAGTACGTAGTGCACCCCGATTGTGTAGAAAAGTACTCGGAAAAGATTCGCATGAAACGCCAGGGAGTAAGCAACGGATGCTACGAAAAGGAAGCAAAGCGTCAGCACCACAAATGCTGGGTCGTCGCGAGACCAATGGTTCTTCGTCTGTTTCCTGCAATGAATCAGAAAGCGCTTTGAAATTACAAGACGACGAAGCACCTTTGAGAACAACCGGTAGTGGAACTTAGTATTGCTTACCCACTAGGACCTGAAGTGGTCATTCAAAAAATCGACGTCTTCTAGCTTCTTTCAAAATTACTTAAGCGTTAAATTTCTCTTGTGACATCATCATTTTTTCTTTCACGGCAGACGCGGAGTATAAAGTCGACTAGAAGTGTTTTGCATCTGTTGTAGTATGGATATTACACGAGCACGACAAGCGTGAACTAAATACCTGTAGCTTGTGAGCTGGTAGACTTTTCGTGGGTGCGATAGGATGTAAAACATTTGCGCGAATGTGTACTCGATGTCCAGCTGCGCATAATGCAATGCCATCTTGAGGTACTCGCGCAAATTCCGACTTTGTCCCAGCTGGGGCATTTCCCGGTCTTCCATGTGAAGAGGCAACATCTTCTTGAAAAGTTCGCTGCAAGTCTGTCGGGCAAGTGCAAGATTGATCAAAGCTGTGAACGCTCTAGATCGATGGTGGGGGGTTCGCGCGAAATGTAGTAGAGCAGCTCACTCAGGTGCAAAGGTGGAGAATTCGATCTCAGTAATACTTCGTCTTCGAGCGGCGAAATGGGAATAGTCACAGGACTCGTCAAGACGTTTCTTGTGCTGGTGTCCGAAAAGTAAGTGAGTAAGTAGGGACTTTAAACTTCCGACTTATTTTCCCTTTGTAAATCAGTTGTCCCGTTTTCGCGACTCTTTGACGAATGCCTACTCCCCATGTGACAGTCCTCGTGCCTGGTAACGGAAAAAAGCTGAATCGGCGAGTGGTGCTTCGTAGAGCCGATAGCCACATGTCGGGTATTTCCCGGAGCACTGCATCTAAACAACAACTGCCTTCCTCGATACAGGTAGCCTGGCGGACACACCGTGATCGAGTGAGATACCAACACGAAGGAAGCTATCTATCCCTATCCGCCGTCGAGCATCACAGGACCCGGGCATCGAGTTCATAACAATGCCAGCAACATGCCCATAAAGCTAAGTCATTGATTTTGATGCTGCACTCTTACTGCAAAACATAGATAAAGCCAAAGCATAGGAAATTCAAATTAATTAGATGATTGCAAAGGAGACGAAACTCTTCTAGGAGGTAGCCTGACTACAACTGAGAACTGGCAGGCTGCACGCAAAGTAGAACAAGCTCTTTTATAACCTCTAGACATCTCATACTCATTCCTATCAGTACCATAGATATATTGACTCCGAGTCTCGTACAAGAATAGCAAATCAACCTTAATCTTGTATTTTGTTGATGAATTTTTCTAAGTCTAAGCGCGAGTGCCGTTACTATTGGATATTTCTTTGACTTTCGCCGGGCAGGTGAGTCATCTTTCAACTACACTCAGAAGCAGCTTGAGTCACATCCTCTCATGGTCGTGCCTCGGGCCACCAGCTTCGCACCGACGAAGTCTTTGAACGTGGTCTCAGATACCTGTACGCAACCGTAATATTCATGTGCACAAAAGTGACAAGGATATCGAGCAGCTGCATCATTGTTCGCCTTAGAGTTAAACCAATACCAAAAGAAAACGATAGTTTCTGAGAGACACACAAATCGATATTACCTCTTTCGGTATTGTTGATTGTTCTACCCACGGCCTTGCGGTCGTTTGTACACATTCACCGTTTGGCTGTCCAAAACAACCTAGCGTGAATTTGAAATTTCCAAAAACTGACATTGATGAAGAAGTATTCATTTTCAGCTTCTTTGAAGTTTCGATCGTGGTTATGTGAAGCCTGACGGTGTATGTCATGCTATGTTGGTGAAAACTCCGGGAATGGGAAAATACGTAATCTTAATTGGCAGCTTTTTCTTTCTGCTACCAGGGCGGCGCAGGGAGGTTAGTACAGAGGCTACGGGAGCTCGGATTTGCGGCACAATAGGTGCTGTGGAGCAGCAAGGGGGGAGAATTTTAGGGCATATCTGCTACTTGATAGTGAACGCCGGTATATTGATGATCGCGATCAGTTGTGCTGCTACTGCGATTTCGAAACTCGTCCATTATTCTACAGGTACAGGTAAAAAGCGCCTACTTGCTTCGTCTCGGAAACATTGTAGTGTGTTCGTTACAACAAGCCAGCTTGCCCGTGATTCGCGATTATCCAATCGTCAGTTGGTACTCGCATTTTTTACTGAGAGCATATTTAAGCTGATCCTGGGTGGTCATGTGGTAGACAGAGGTCAAATCCATTGGACAGACCGTTTCCTGCGAATAAGCACGCACCTGCACTGGCAACAGATTCGCAGCATCTACTCGAATAAAAAACTCCAAGGTTCCCGCGTTCGAAGATGCATCGATTGACGGGATGGCCCTGATGTTTGGAATAGGAAATGGGTCAGTCTATGGTTGTGGAGGAAGATCAACATTAAGCAACAGGAGCCTCAGATTGATCTTGAAATTACATTCGATTTCATCGATCAACGTAATGCTCTCTGTTTTTTACATAGGCGACTTCTGCTTCACAAATCCAGCATGATGTAGTTAAGTGACAAGTACCACTGGAGCCAATCCGCGCCAACCATGCCAGCCTCTCCTGTCTCCACAGACTTAACTTGCGGCACTGATCCACTTGTGGGTATCCGCATGATGACATTCTCAAGCTTCACATCATCATTTGTCAATTCATACTGGATAATCATCTGAATCCCGTCTGCCTCTGGACTTGGCCAGCATGTTACCTGTGTAGGTGTACGCACTTATCGGCGGTGGTCATAAGGACAACTGATCCAATTATCATATATTAGAAAAGTTTATAAGGGTTCCCAACATGGCTGGGCTGGGCACGCTTGGCACACTGGGACGCTGGGCGACCCAAATCTGCCAGATCTGCCGAATTCTGCGCCCAGCGTGACGCTGGGCGTCTCCAATTGCGGGGCGCCCTTCGGGCGCCCGCTTGACAACCCCACAAGCGGCGCTAGTCTAGCGTAGGGCAAGGCCAACGACGGCGGCGAGTTTACCGTTGTGCACAGGAGCGGCGCAGCATTGCACGCATCGAGCAGCGCGGTGCAGCGCGACGCAGTGCAAGCCTGAACAGAGCAGGCGCCGCGCAGCCCGCTGCTGCGCAAACTGGCGCAGCACTGCGCCAGCGCTGTCCTGAACCTTACGGCGGCCCGGCACGCCCAATGTGTGGCCCTCAAGTCCGCTAAGCGCCATCCATGCGCCCGCCCAGCGTGCCCAGCGTTGCCGCCCAGCGTGCCCCGCGTTGCCGCCCAGCGTTCCCAGCGAGGCCGCCCAGCCACCCAGCGTAGCCCAGCGTCTATAAACTACTCTAATATATTTATACCAAGGAGTAGTTTTGCCTGACAAACATTGCAAAACAAAGGAGCAGTTTCATCTTGCAATTGCGACAAAAGGAAATAGCATATGCATACCGATAGCGGCACGAGGTCCTCCTGGTCTCCTTTGTATTGCCATTTCAGCAAGGCAGCTGCTGAATTTGGTCGATATTTCCTACTTGGATCTCGTATTTCGAGGACATTGTTAGCTTGCTGCGTCTTATTCAGGTTCGGATGCAGCCGATACTTGAACTTGTTGTTCAATTCTTTAAGCTTGAACGTTGCTAAGTCCGCTTTTGACTCATCGTGGACGGTTATCTGTCAGAGTTTTTGTGCTTAGAGTAGTTGGTAGTCACATCATTGACAACTACTAGTGCTGAAGAAATTTCTCGGAAGAGGAAAGAGTCTTAGCATAAGTACTGCCAGGAGACTTGCTGGATTCAATTTCAAATTATATCAAAACCTTCAGTAAAATGCATCAGCATCCTCGACAATTCTAGGTACCTCAAACTTGCCTTGAAGGGTAAGGTCGCCCTCCAGACCTCCCTCCGCCCCCATCGCCGCTTCTAACGTCTCCTCGACTAAAATGGAGACCGGTTCCTGAAGTGGATTTACGACTGGCTTTAGCACAACGTCGGGTATCGAGCTTGGTGCTGCGGAAGAAGGCTGTGTTTGAGACGGCATTTCTGTTGGTACAGTGTTCGCTGTCATAATCGTCGAGAAGGCGTCGACTGCGGGTGCAGGTTTCTTGCGACCGAGCTGCATGCCTGGTGATTCAACAAAAAAAAATTGGATGGAGCTGACCGAAACTGACTACAGCATGGAGACGAGTTGACGAGCTGTAACCAGGATCTTTGTGCAAAGTGAAGATCACTAATTTCTTTGGATTCAGCTACTCCTTGCGGCTCAAGTTGTCAATTCATGAAACTGAAACTACAAAAACACCTCGCTTGGGTAAGCTCGCTTGTATTGCTCCGGTGGCGGAAGGCGCTGCCGGTTGACTGAAAGCGAAGGTTTCTACCTCTTTCAGCGGTGCTTTCTGCTCCAATTGTGCTGTAGTAGTTATTGATTTATTAGATTAAGAAGAAGATGAAGACCATCATATTGTGAAGAAGGATTAATCACGACTGGAAACATTTTGCTTTGTTGAAGATGAATCTACATCAAGAAGGATAGGTTGCTTTTGCTTCGATGAATTTAACTCGTGCAGCATGCAAGATAAGCATTTAAGAATTTTTGCTCACTACAGTAGAAAGAAGTACTGTGAATCTCATTCTCGACTTTCGACATGGCCGCGGAACCGAAGGACGTGTGCTTATCTGGACTCAGTTCTGCAGCTTTCTTTTTAGCCAGTTCCTTTGCTTCGTTAATCTTACTCTGCTCTATTCTTTGCGCTAGCTTCTCGTCGTTACTCTCCATCTCCAAATACTGTTTGATCTGTGACAATGTCACGCTTTCCCGATACCCAAAAGATATGGCCTCGTCGAAGCCGAAAATAATATCAAATGCGTTCTGCAGCACAGACTCTTCTGATACCTGGTGACGTTGATGAAGAACTATTCTTAGTGTTCCGCTAACTACTATGTATTGAAAAACATCCTTTTCCTTTTGACTTGACACAGCACTAAGCAATCGAGAAGATAAATGACACTGACTTCGAGCGCTAAACTCGTTTTTGAGTATGACCCTCAAACAAAGATGGACTAGTATACAGCCCCCCACTACAACGTCTACAGTATTATGATTATCAGTAGATTTCCAAACGCAGGCGGCCCTCACGCCGCAACTCGAATCTATTTGATTACTTGAGAAACCATATCCAACACAAGCGCTTAATTAGAACTCTACCGCAACGCATTTGCATCCATCCTGCACTGTCTTCGCTAAAAGACGCAGAGTTTCGATATCTTCGAGAATGTTACTAGTCTTGTTGGTGATAAGAAGGAGAAACAAGTTCTCCATTGGCTGATACACGTAGCGAACCGATTCAGTCTCGATATATGTGTGGTCTTTGCCCTTCTCTGCGTCTACTAGCTTCGGGAAGGCCGAAAGCAGACCATCGACCCTAAGCCTCGTCATATCGACGAACTGACGCGCTAAAAGCGTCTTCTTCTTCGATAGAATCGCCGCGGAAAGCACCACCATCTTGACGTCTATATCCGGAAGTCACAGCAACAAAACGACTTGATAGCTTCGCGAAATCACGTTGCGTGGAACGGACCCTTTTTATCGCTCCCCGACGCGGTGGAAAAAACGGTCGTGGTCAATACGCTGAACAAGAGGCTTCAAAGTGGTACGCTGTTCGAAACACAAATTAACGTTTGCCTTTTCGCTTTTTACAGACTTCTTTATATCTTGTGACCCACAAACGAAGCTGTTGCTGTGGTAAACCACTCACCGCGTGAAGAGGGCTCGTCCGCTGCCTCGTCTAAATCTCTGTGCACGTTGGCAAACGAAGACCCGGCATTATTTTCTCGTTCCTCCCTTCCATTTAGCAAAATGCTTCCTGTACTTCTACATCAAAAATGTTCCAATACACGAGCACCACGTGTAACCTGCTGTAGTTTTCATCTTACCAATTACAAGCGGATTTATCAACGCAGCAACGACAACATGGAAATGCTGTTGAGCATATTGAAATTAAAAGCTAGAAAAAAATATTGCAACAACTAGCACTAGTGGTGCTGACAGAGACCAGCAAAATATGTCACAGGATTACAAAACCCACCAGTTTTCTTCTCAAGAAGTGTCCTCGAGCCTTCACCTCAAACTCGCAAATCATCCTGCGCTCACACTTGCTTATGTAATTTTCAGTGCAAGTGCAAGACATAATCCACGCGAACTAAAAGTCTCAGCTAATCTTTCACGAACGTGTGGATACAGTGCGTTGTTAGGATCGAACACCTTGTTGAAGAATTAGAGTGAAGCGTCCGAAATTTTCTCTCATTTTTTGAAACTTCGAGTGAATACTTAATTGAAATTTCAAGGTCCTTGCGCGAAGCATTAAAGAATTCCACTAGAAATTACATGATTGCGATTCGAAGCTGGTTCCCATCTGATCTTCCACTGCAGCTTGTTTCTAAAATAGAGGTATTGTCATTCTCCATAAGCCCTTTCCTTGCATCCTCTCGACCTCATCTACCATGATCATGCATGTCCTTGACGACGTGGAATGTGTTTTTCGTCCTATTAGTACTGTCAGAGCTGGTGGACCTTGACGTCATCCCCCAAAAGTATTCATTGCTGAACGTGACATTCTAAATTCACCAGCTTATGAATATGAAGGCCTTAACTTCTTCCATTGGCTTTGGGTGCGTATGGCTACGTAAGGCTAAGGGACGATCAAGACGGAATCTAATTTTATAAAGAAACTATGCGCTCACATGAAAAGAACAATAATGGAGCAACAGTAAGCTACCGGGTAAAAATAACTTAACGATGTCGTCCTCCAGGAGAACAAGGAGTCAGTATGGCTTTTGGGCGATGAAAATAAGACCGGGGGGATGAATTAGAATTACGCTTACTTCTACCTACTACTAGTTATGCAATGAGTTACGAAAGTGAAGGAAAGAATATGGGAAATTTCATCGTATTATCGTACTCCCTCACCTTGTACTTGACTTAAGATATTTATCTGTAGTGTAATTATGCGGTATGAACAGCGTACTTCGATCGACGCCTGCGCAAGACCAGGACGATAGAATAATTGAATAGGCTGGCCGGCTTCGCCAAAATATTCGGAAAGCGCACATGAACATGAAGGGCAAGCCACCGAACCGCACAGCATTGAAACACAAGCGAATGCGCACGCAAGGCGCGGTATGAAGTGCATCCAACACACGCAGCAGCTCGGGTGGGGCTTCTACCCCAAAAAGCGTTCAGTCTCCGCATGCTGGCTCACCCCTTTTTCAGCTTTTTCAAATTTTCAATGAAGGTGTGAAGAGGGCGTGGTACCTCTGTGGGTCATCTGTTGAGACTGAATTGGTCCTGAAACAAATCAACTTCAATACGGTGAATCTAATCATCAAGAACAAGTATTGATCTGTCATAAGCGCTGTGCTGCTGCTCAATTTCCGGAGGTTAAACGCTGATAGTTGCGAAGCAAGGTCTCTTGCTTGGCCTGTTTTTGCGAAGTTGTACCCACTTCGCGCGATCATAAACGACCAATACCAGTGCAAGGTTCCGAGCACGGACAACATGATCCCAAAGGGTTTTATTAGCTCTGAAATGAGATGTAGTTGATGAGGAAATGAATCAGAGAATTTGCGGAGCCGGAGGGCTAGTCCTAGTGCTAATTGTCGTTATGAAAAGACGAGAAGGGAATTATCGAAAGATAGAGACTCGATCTCTGTTGTGACTACCATCAGCAAGGTCACAATAGGGAAACCATAGTAAAAATTTGCGCCACTCGTCTGGAACTTAGATGTAGTACCAACTCTTGGTTCGTCGGCGAGGTAAAGCGAGCAGTCCATAAAGACGCTGCGCACGACTACTAGCGGAAAGATGCATAGTCGAAGCCAAAAGAAATTTACGCACTGTAAGATGATGTGGAATAAAAATGATTTATAATCACATCTCAGTAGTAGTAGTAGTACGTTCGGTGACTTACATTGTCTATGCACGAGGTGCACTCGAAACCCGTCACAACTTATTATGTCCGAAATCGCGAACCCTCCTGTCAAGAAATCTGAGACCTAGGAGTTAGCACCTGCACTTTGTTCCAGTGTAATGCAGTAAACTAAAACAATACACTCATCCCCCCTCAGATATTGATTAATGGCTGACTGAACTTGAAGCACTAGAGAATGAGAACCACTTTTATCAATCTTAAATCAAGTCAACATTCAATACCAATACGACGAAGCATACTGCTATTAGCGCTGTCCACTGGAAGTCGACCGTCATTCGGCTTGTGTAAATTGAGACGTCGCTGAGACAGTGAAGAAACAACACCAATATTCCCGGCCGCAAAAAACTAACAACGTGTGGGTTGGGGTTTTCTTCATTGTGATGATTGAATTTGGTGTTGCTGTTCTTGTGATGGGAAAATGTTATACTTAAACTGCTCAATTAGACTTACTTCTTGGTGAATATTGAATCACGACTGTCCTGCATATATAAGCAATATCATGTTCTCTAAAGCAGCTTGAAGCATTCTGTATTAAGTACCCGCATACGAAGGAGAAGCAGGCCAGTCCGATCGCTATCGTATGATGTAAAAGCATCTCCAGAAAATCAGAGCGAGCCCTCTCTGGAAATATAAGGACCAACTCTGAGACGAGATATCCCGCTGAGACTAGGTACAGCCTGAGAAAGATGTGGTGTTCTTGGATGTAACAACTACAGTATTTTTGTTATGATAAAAGAAATGCACGCAAGCGCCAAACTTTGAAAGGATCAGAAGGACTATAGATTTACACAATCAATAGGTATACCGAAGGATTCGACGATTAAATTCTAGAACGACGACGAAAATGATGAATGATTTAAAGTAATCGCAATACAACAGTGAAAAAGCCCCGTAATGCGCACTTACAGCATGATGCAGATCCTTTTTTTGAAAATGGGATGATCTACTCAAAAAGCGCTGCTATTTCGTTCGAACAAGATGCGTGCAAGGTACCATCTAACATCCTCTGAGACGTCTGCAGGGTCTGCCCAGAAAGTTGCTACATGCGGGAGGGGCTCCCACGCAGCATTGACGATTTCCTGGAAGAAATACAAAGGGTTAGTCTCCTCGATGAGCCGGGAGAAGGCACGTACGACCGCCCACTCCTTTGACCAAGACTCGTTCCGAAGCAGGTGAATCCAGGCTACGGCAGAGGCAAAATGGTAAAAAAGTTTAAAACAAGCGTGAGCTGCCCTTTGCACGCGCATCTCATAACTGTCGACGCTCCATTGTCGCTGCTTTGTGATTATCATCGAGAAAACTTTAGAGGTGAAGCGGTGCTGAATTCCACATTCACATGATTATGTATTGCGACTGAACAAGTGATAGCACTAGCAGATCCCCAAAAAGCTTCAAAGGGATTCGGATTTCCACCTGTTTTTGAGGATACTCCACATCTTCGGTCACTGGAAGGTAGTGATGTACTCCATTGATTCTTAAAAATGGGACGCGCGAGCTGAATAAACGCAATTTGTAGTGCAGTGAGTGCTACAGCACTCATTGCTAACGTTTGCCACTCACTGCTTGTTGGCGCACGCCTGTACGAGGGCGAGCCTGTTCCACTAAGACCACTCGCATCTTCAGGGACGTCCGCTAACCGTCTTGCACTAGAACCACCATGCTGACTCTTGACTCCTGCGACGCTAGAGCCCCTTGATGATGCATCTCGATCGAGCCTTCTTGATGACGATGACGATGACGATGAGGTTCCCAGGCCTCTTTCAATGTCAAAGAAATCTTCAGCATTCAAATGCAGCTTGTACGCCAGGAAACCCTGCCCAGCTAGCGACGCGAGACACGCAAGTCCGAGCGTAGCCTTTTTCACTGCTGTAGCAGGTTTTGGCTCGGTTGCTGACGGATCGCAGCCCGTCGAGTACCCTGTCTCGTCCATTATTTTGCTATTCGCCTACTTAATTACCTACTGGCTCAATGGGAAAAAACAATAACCATTGATTCTTGAAAATCAAGTGAAAATAACTACGCATGTATCTTCTTAGAACAAGCAGAGCGAAGACGTCTTTATCAAACCCAGGATTAGACACTTCTCTTGTTATTGTTTATCGTTATTTCAACGTCATCGATGACACTCTGTCCAGGTCATAACAAGCGTCGTTCTTGGTCTTGCTTTTTCAAGAGGAATATTATCAATAATAACACGCACTTCCTAGTATGAATCTGGTATCACTTGCTTACCAATGGAAGGGCATGCAGGTGTCCAAGAAAATTAAGCTTGATGGATTGACTGATTGATAGATTGATTGATTGATGTATGCATGGAGATCATGATCAACTACTTTGTATACTACTAAAAATAACTTTGTCAATATATCCCTTCCCTTCCTCAAAAGATCCTAGTAAAAAAGATTCTTGCACAGCAGCTGGCAAGTATGATAATGATCCTTAGTCGAGTTATAGAAAAACGTGGACGAACGTGGGACTCTCCAACAACGCTGCGTTAGTCAAATGACTGACGCAACGAGGTACGCATGTTGATAGACAGAGGACGCAGATCTTTCTCGTTCATCCTCTCCACTTTAAACATCCATGTACGCTCGCTGCAGCACCCAGAGCCAGACAAGGTGCCTTCTGAATCTAGTGGTAATGTCTCGTTTGTATCCTAAAACTGGTTGACGGGTCGCAAATAAAAATGGCTCACGCATTCGCGGATCCACACTACTAAAAACAAGAATACTTATCATCAGGAACACTAAAAAATAGCACGACCCAACGAGGATTCTCTCATGCCTCACCTTATCCTTATGTGGTTCACGTTCAACCTCCTTGATTTTTCTTGGCAATTAATTGCACAAAAACAAACCTCTTTCTGGGCAAGAAATCAACCAGTATCAGCATGCGACTTCATCTCGACAATAAATAGAACTAGAAAAGTTCTATGGAGCGATATTGCTAGTACCTCCTAGTCATCGAAGTTCACCTGCCACGGCATGACCAAGACCATAAAACGAAGCAATATCCATGTGCAGTCATTCTCATTGCTTGCAAAAATGTCAATATCTTTAGTAATCATTTCAAACAAAGCGTGGCGAACTCAATCACGGTCTACCTTAAGATTTACGTTTATTTTGACATTTGAAGATTAGAAATCATTCTGTTTCGCTCATCATTGTTTTTGAGTCAACAGCCTCTAACTACCTCGTAGCCTGTGAATATATGCGAGACTCCATCGACATCATAAGTAACTTCAAGTTTTACCTCTGGTGCCTTGCGTCTGAGGATATTAAGATAGTTCATTTCGGAGTCGATGCCAGTCTTGTAAACGGATCTGCATATTGAGGAGAGGGTCGTCACTTTTCATTTTCTTATGCCATACCAATACTATCGAACATAAATCAAATCACAAAGCACCTCTATCATGACCTTCGCCTTCCAGAACAAAGATGTTGTCCGTGGGAGGGGAACGCTATCGATTCCAGGGTCAGGGACCGCACATCGCGCGAAAGTGCTTGGTAAAATCGAAACTGCAATCGCAGCTCTAACCTAGAGCGTCTGCACAACAATGTTTTATGCCGCTGCGGCAATATCTTTTGCCAGCTCCCCAAGGCCGCCCGCTTCATTGAGGATAGCCGCGGCCGATGCGACATTGCTTCGAGCCCGAGAATCAAGGAAGAGATTGCGCGCCTCTGCAGTGCCTTCTGCTTCGCCTTCTTGGGGACCCAAAAAGTCCGCTGCTGTATCGAGCGCCGCTTTCACCGCATGATACACCGGACCGATAACGAAGTGGCCAGCCATTTCTCCCGGCGTCTGTCCGAACTCGACCCGACCAAGACCTAGCGGAAAATCGATGCTCCACAATCTCCGCGCCGACGGCCCACCGCGAGGCGGAAAGGCAAGGTACGCGGCACTCGCATTTGCCTGTGCAGCGAGTTTCGCGCCCGCTTCGGCGTCTCACATGAAGGAGGATTGGAAAACTGGCACAAGAGCAGGAAAAGTCATTTTGTAGCATACCTGAGTAACTGCTTAATCAACCTAGACCCACTTTCTAAGTTCAGTGTGAACGTCATGCCAATCTTCAATGCAGCACTCTCCAGCCCACGGGCAACACGCGGTTGTATACTAGAATATTACTGCCTTTGTCATTGTGATTCTGCGAAAATGAATGCAGATGATTTTCTAACAATGAAGTCTCCGTTTCCATAAAATTGAATGCCCGTCCCGGATTCGCATTGTGCGGCAGATCCGGCGGCATCGCTGGAATTACAGCACCATTGGGCCCTCGGACAAAACCCTTGGGTACATTTGAGCTTTCGATGCCCGCCATGCCTGAAAGCCAATTTACTAGACGCGAGCCAAGCGAAACGGGGGTGAAGAGCGAACTTGCAGCACCGTTCCCCGGAATCGCGCCATCGCCAGGACCGGTAGGAATATTCGCGAGCGGCGAGCCCGGCGCTGATGAGGACCCTTCAATGGGTGCAGCGTTGACATCAAAACCTGAGGAATTAGCCATCCTCTCTAGCATTCGTTCGTCGATCTCCGCATTTGGATCCATCTCGTTCTTGCCTAGATCTCCCAGCGCCTCCTCGTCACCTGTTGGCGGGTAGTAGTTGGCCCCCGTGGTGTTGTTCTGGAGCGCTGCTCCGCTTGCCATCTGCTGCATCACGTCTTCCGGCAGGTTATTTGCGAACGGATACAGAGGGTTGTTGCCCGGAACGCCTGGGGCCGTATAGTATGGCGACCACGGTGGCTGGAACTCATCAGTGCGCTGGCTATTCACATAGGCATCCTGTACCGCATCTACCGGATGCGCTTTGATTTCCTCTATCGTATCCAGATGAGGAGGGCGTAGACCAGCGGATTTTGCCATATCGAGAAAATTCTCTAGGGCTTGGCCACCTCCTGCCACACCACTTCGCAGGAGCGACTTGCCACTACGAAGCGCCAACTTTGAGCACACACCAACTGCCGCAGTCGTAAGAATCAGTTTCGGCACACCAGGTGGAATAACGTCCAGGATCGGGTGCAAACTCGAACCTGGACAAAAATCAATAGAATTTTCAAAAACAAACATCAACATGTCGTGACCGTGCATGTCGTGACCGTGAGGCGGATCATGCCAGTGACTAGTATAAATTTCAAATTTATTATCATTGAATGTTGCGGAGCCGGATGAACTAAGAATGAAAATTATAGTGGAGAGAATTACCGGCTGTACCAGACGAGGCCGTGATGATACCTGCCTTTTCGGCAGCTTGATTTCGTTCCGCCAGCTTCTCGAGGCGAGCCCAACATCGTTGACAGCATGGATATCCTCTGTAAAGCGCCCCGAATATGCTTTCATCGAGGGATTCCCCACAGTTGACACAACGCACGTCCTCAACAAGAGCCATGATTTCTTGCTCTTGGATTCACTTATATCCCACTCACTTCTCGTTGAATAATGTTCATATTCTTATTCTCAGAATCAATAGATGTAGAGACGAAAATAAGAATACATCCACGGCTTCTACTTGTTAACATGGCAAGAGAAAAATTGCACATCTACCACTAGTTATTCTTCTGTTCAGCTTCAGTGAGTCATTGCAGTGGCCTTATTTTCATCTCGGCCACGAGCTAAGTTAGCAAGTAAATTAGCATCAAATTGAAGATTGATGCAGATGTACCTAGTATAAATGATTAAATATTATTAACATGCACGACTTTCCACACAAAGGTGATGACCGACTAAAATGATTCAAACGATTGCTCCGCGACGACAGACCCAACACTCAGAGAAACCTAAAACTCTTCCGTTCTTCTAGTTCTAGTTGATTGTATACTGGAGACCGAGACGCAAACTTTGGTACACCGACTCGTGTCGGCGATCTCGAACGATAATTGCATCCGCAAGGGAAACACAACCTGGTAAAAACTGTAGTTCCTCAGCAGGACAGCACTTTCTTCTTTCTTACACAACTTCGAAAATCTCATGCGAGATGGCTCTCAAATGGAATGCCTAGGCTATGGTTAGGCTAGGTTAGGTTGGGGCCTACCATCCGATGTGGCAGACTTGAACGGCTGCTGAAGAGCCTCGCAAACATGCTACACTAGAAAAAACGTTACACTAGCTTAGCTGCGCGAACAAAATTGAAGCATCTTGGACGCATCGCAATCCTTCATAGAACAACCCAGCAAAAGCACATGCTGAGTCGATGCTATACAAGGAAAACGAAGGAGGTTGTAGAGCGGGGGTTCCCCTAAACCCCATGTCCGATGTCGGTCTCTGGAACGGAGAAGTGGAGCTTACGCGGCTTGACTTTTCGGAGTACGCACATCGACAAGCGAAGGTCCCTACGTATAAGAAAATTAGATTGAAGACCGACTCCGAAAAGAAGGACCTTCATCCTGATCGTGCCGCAGAGAATCCGTGGTTGGCAAGAAGCCCTGTTGTCAAACGTGTGGAGCTTGGCCTCGACATGGAATCTTCGACCACTGGTCGAGCACTCGGAGCTGTTACAAGCGTGGTTCTATCGGGTGCCGAGAGTGCCGCGCACACATCATCCAAATGGTCCGTGCTTCTTGGTACTCCCGCGCCTCTCTGATGACGCTCGAGCGCGGCCCAGCTCTCCGCTGGGGGTAATGAGAACTCGAGCAGGTAGAAAGTCACCAGTGCGTAAGGGTGTCGTTCCTTGAACGGGAAGAGTGCCAATTTAATGCAGCAGGTTAGCGGTACGCTCATAATCGCACCGGTGATGCCCCATAGCGCACCCCAGACAACCAAAGCGAAGAGTATCACTATCGGATGCATCTCGAAAGCGTTTCCAAAAAGGCTCGGTTCCACCACATTCCCAACGAAAAAGTGACACAACAAGCCCCCACCGAGTTGCAATGAAGGAATACATACAAAACGAGGGAAAGCTACAGTCACAACAGAAATACGAGATTGCCCCCTCGTTCTCATTTTGCATATTTTGATGGCTCTTACTATTTCAACCCAGATCCACTAGTCACAAGAAAGAGATGAAACATTAGCAGTGATACTAGATTGCGACAAACTTCGAATGCATTAAAATAATGATTCGTGTATTTGGACTAGGACTTTTTTACATTTCTCATATAGTGAGTACGAAGTCTGCAAACGTCTTTGTGGGATCAAGGAAGCAGAAGACCGTGGGCCCAGCCAGAGATATTGCGCCGCCAATTGAGGGAATGTAGTTCAGCAAGAAAGTGAGCACAGCGAAAACAAACCAGAAGTCGACCTCTACCGCGGCGAACAGGATCCCCACAAGAGCTCCGTCCAGTACTGATACGAAAGTCTTCAAGAGAATGAAAAGCTGGACTGTTCTTCGCGCCTGCGCTATGATCCCTAGGGCAAAATTATTGCTACTATCGCCTCCCGTTTCACCATCACGACCTCCAGATGATAGAGAAGTCCTCCTCTGCTTCGAATTAGAGATTACTTTAGCAATAGCATGCATACCCAAAGCTCAGTGTCTCTGTCTCAGAGTTTCATCGTGGTAACAGCCTTCGAAAAGAATTGGCGGAGATGACTCAATTTTCATCAGCCTTAAGTGAAAATCTTCTTCGTGATGAAGCGTCTGCGCGACCTTGAAGAACAACTATAATGTGCTGTTGCTGTTCATCTGCGACATTATTCATGTGGCCACCTTGCTGTGTTATTGAATCAGCGTTTCCGTTATTTGGCGCATTGTCAGAGGATAACTCCATCAAGAGATCTTCTCGACTGAAAAATGGGCTCTCCAGTGGAGTAGCTAGGCCACTGCTGCCTTCGCCCGAATCGTCACGTCCTGTTGCCGTCGAGTCAGCATTTCCCTGGCGCACAACTTTGGGATGCATTCGATTCAGAGACGCTACTAAAAAAAATCCCAACATCATCACGACCAGCACCGAGGTCTCCAGGAAACTGAGCAGGCCTGTTATGAGGCCCTCCAGTGGCGCCTCTATCTTCTCAATCAAATCCGCTGCTGACATGTGAATACCGTGTGCCTCAAGGAAACTGAAGATTTAATTCAGTAAATTACTATCGCAATCTTGTTCCTTCATCTATGCATAATTCGGGTGAGGTACAGGTCGTTGAGGATGAGGTTTTTGACGAAAATGAACATGATACTAAGGTGCGTGTGAAACAACTGAAGTACTAAATCGATCTCAAGGAAACCTTTAATCAGCTGCTTAAGTACTCTATGAGCTGCTTGACTTTTCCCCCGTGAATGTACGCGTTGAAGACATCCGGAGCATCCGCAAGTGCTTTTGTGAGCCCAAAAATGAGCCAGAAAACCGACGCAAAGAGCAAAGCTAAACAGAAAACAATTATGAAGATGTCCGTGAACACTAGGAAAATTCTGCGCGATGTTTCTCTGCATAGCCGACCAAGCCACGTTTTCGCAACTGGGCCTCTGTTCGCGCCATGACGTTGTACGATGGTCCGTGCATCAGCCGCGCCAACCGCGTGTCTCTGCTGCGTCCGAGTTGTCGCTCCACCAGCAGGACGATCCCCGAGAAGCCTCGCGTTTGATGAGCGGCTGTTCCTCGCTGATGAATGCGATGACGCCAGCTCTAGAGAAACATGCTCATCTTCTACCTGCAATCCGAACGTCTCATCTTCGTTCCTCGCTTCTCCGTCCTGTGAAACGCAGGCTGCCTGCTGCACGTCGGCGTCCCCTTCGCCTTGCCTGGTTGTATAGATTGAAGTAGAAGTTTTGTCACCAGTTTTTGTCGCAACGTTCGTCTCCAGCACTCGTCCAACTTCTGGTTGCCTATCTCCAGCAGGTTCTTGTCGTGTTGTACCATCCGCGGCACTACTATGGTCGCCTTCGTCGCATCCGTACTCTGCTTTCCAGATGCGCTTCAGAAGCGTCGCACGCGGTCCCGCCAGAGTTGCTGCGACAGGCTCTAGCAATTGACACAAGAAGAAAGCGATCATGAACGGTATAAAAATGCCGGACAACTTGAAAAGCGAGAAGCCGACTACGAATATGATGATCATCAATGCCGCAAGCGTGAAGAGGTGCCGCTCGCCACGCCCGAAGCTCGACGCCACGACAACGGCAGGTCGTTGCGCCACCCCTTCGGATGAAACAGGCATCTTCAACGCGCAAAAGCAAGATTCTGATCAAAAAATGTAGACGATTTCACGTATTATCTACAACAAAAAAAGCATGCCAGAAGGTACATTCTTAAGCAACAAATTAAAGAGCTATTAGTGCGGATGGCTCTTCTTCTTATTCGGCGCGGTCATTTTGATTTTGGCTACACGACCACTTCAAATCACATTTACAATTTTCAGCGTGGCCTTCGCGTCTTCTACTTGTGGTGTCTTTGAAGGGTCGCAGTGCTTATTCCGGTACGCAAACAGAAGTAGTGCTGAGCCTTAGTGATGAAGACTCCGCGGAGCTACACGTCGCACTCGCAGCCTCACGCTCCACCATTTTCAGAAACTCTCGTTTTAACGCACGGCCAATCCATCTTATTGACGAAGTCCTGAACTCGTAGCCTACTATTGGAATCGGCTGCGATAAAAATCAGAATCGCCGGCCCTCATTCGCATCGTCATTCACTTTTCGTGTCCATTGATGAAATACGATAAGCATCTTTCATCTATTTATATCTATCAGAGTAATGTAGATGGTTTGCCAGCTCGCATGGCATGGAGTGCATGGATCGCATGGAGCTAAAGGGGGCGCTTCTTGCGTCCCTTAGAGCTCTGCGCTCCATGCTACTCCATGCGCCATGCGTGCTATAAACTGCTCTGTTATATGAGTTTTTCATCCCGTTGGGTCCCAGCAAGAGCAACGCAATATTCGTGTGCTCAGTGATAGAGTCAACGTACTTCGAGACTCACGGTAAGTTGAAAGTCAACGCACAAAAAAACCCTAATTAAAATATCCCCGCGCTCCCCTCAAATCTTTAGGTGCTTCGTAATTCGCTACCTTTCTCCGAATCTTAATAGCTATAGCTGAACCCGAAGTCGAAGATAAGAAATAACACCAATCCACTTGTCTGGAGCACCCTCACACCAAAACGCGCACCCTCTCGTACGATACAAAAAAAGCGGTCACCCAAATTAGTTTTCGCACGCAAATCGGAAGAAATCCTTTGTACAGAGCGCCGACGCCCTCGTTTTTTACTATCGACACAAGCGCGTCCGTCATCCCGGAATACTGCTTTTCTTTAACACCCGCGGATGGTATGAAAACGAAAAATCAACACAATTAGGATATTCTTCATCTGACGCTTATAGTTCTGATGATGTGCGTCTACTCTGCGATCTGCCTAAGATCTTATAGTTCTAAGTTGAATTTTGTTTCAACTCACCACCTTCTAGTACTAGTAGTCGCTACTATACGAAATATCCGTGCACTACGTTCCTCGTTCATAAAATTCATGAGCCTCGTCTTCACCACGTCTGCAGGCGTGCTTACGCAGGCTGAAGCAAAACCCGCGATTCCTGACGCTCCGACGTGCGAAGTGAGGCCATCGCCAAAGATGGGCACAAAAAGTTCAGTCTTTGCTTGATCGTAGGTTCCCAGTTCCGCTGCATTGACTAGGAAAGTTCGTATCACGTTTGGCTGCACCCCACTCCATAACCCCCTAGGCCCGTCGACACGCAGCACTTCTTTAAACACTGACGTTACTGTTCGGGTGGCCGCGACACTCTCAGCAGCTGTTTTCGTTGTCGTTTGTGCCTGTATCCTCGTCTTTGCAACCTCGAAAGGATTGAAGATGGCGATGGAAACTCCCCCGGCAATGCCCCCCGCCATAAGGCGGAAAAGGAAGGACGGCTTCTCTGTTGAGGCGAGAGGGACATCCACTGCAGCAGTTTGCGATCCGTAAATTTGCGTCACTGCTGTGAGCCCGTTGCGGACCGGCTCGTAAAGAACCATCATCAAACTCGAATAAGAAACCTGGTGGTGCGACGCAAGAATTGATAAGGACGATGACTTCTATAGCTGGACCAGTGCTGCACCAGGCCGCTGCTGTACGTATCCTAGTTGAGAATGCGCGTCGTTTCCTCTACTCTTGTTCTTCATCAAAAACAAAGAATAGGTCATCTTCAACAAAAACCTACAATCAGGTGCACACACCGGCTTCAATAACTCCGGGAAATCGAAGTTCACCTGGTCCAGGACCACCTGTTCCTGTAGGTACATCTAACGAAAAGGCACAATGTAGCTCTGACTAAAAATATGTAGAAGTTGTCTACTAACGCAAATGTTTTGAATAATAATAATAATAATAGCGGGGGCAAGGTGAGCCCGGGGTTGTGCGGGCTGTTCACTACAGTACTCCGCGCACCATGCAACAGGCGCAAGATAATAGGACCAGCCTAAGGACTACCTCAAGGCCTGGAGCGCCTCCAAGGCGCAGGGTTGGCACTTAGCAAAAACTCAGAAGTTTAGTTAGAAGCCGGACCGCCACGCCAAGGCACTGCTGTCAGTCCGGTTTTGACTAAAAATAAATACCAGTTTTACCTGTCTCAGAATCGCGGGCGTGTAACCTTTCCACAAACCAAAAAATCCCTCTGTTGCGGCAATTTTCCGACCGCAGTCCCACATGCCCGCATACCTTATGGTCGTGCCGCCAGCCGAGGCTGTTTGCTGCAGCTGCAAACGCACCTTAATCACATCAGTTGGCAACGTCAGACTCTCTGCAACAAATCCGCCATTTGCATGAAGACACTGCAGTGCTCAGGGGTATGGGTGGAGAATGTGAGAAGGAATAAACAAAGAGCTAATTATGATTCTCCTCGTGAAGATACTGCTCATTGTTGAAGGGTGCGGAAAAGAGCAGAACAGAGAAGACCATGTCTGTTGGGCGATTCTCAGGGAGTACCATGTGGTAAAACTTCGGATCATAAACTGATCCAGCAAGGAGTCGCGAGGTCATACTTGCACTTGTTGTTGCAGGCGCCAGGGCCTTGGCTGTTGACGAACGAGGCTGCGCGGAGGCAGATGAAGAGGCAGCTGCCATCTTGTTGAGAAAAGGGAAAAGCACTCCACTGAATAACCAGTCTCGTACCGAAAGAGAAACGCTGTCTGTTCGCGCAGCTTCTCCACCTTCCGCACGCCGCTCCGTGAAACTCAGTAGCCTCCAGTACTGTTCCCAACCGTTAGCGTGTCCTTTCGATCGGCCAAGGAAGTCTTTAAAAGTCGAAGCCACCCAAATCCACGATGGCGCCGGCTCGTCAAATGCGTAAAAACTCAGACAGTAGGCGCAGACGACCACGGCGAAGACCGCCCAGCTAGAAAGAGAAGATGTAGAGAGGATCCTGCTTAGCCAAGTTCTCACTCTCAGCCGAGCATCAGCACTCCCCAAAAGCCTCTAGCACCCAAACATTGGCCCATCTATTTTTCAAGCGCAATGACAGACTGGTAACCTTGTATTATCTTTTTGTTTTCGGATCTTCTAGAACCACGCTCCCTTTGTCTTCTTGTCACATATTGGAACCCTGGATGATACAAGCGACTACAGACTAATTCGGACGAACAGCTCGAAAGCGAGAATTCCACCCGTCGTCTCGAGAGGTACCGCAAAAAACAGAGGCACACAAACGAGAGCCTACCCTGTTCGAGAAGAGCCCAACTCGCCTGCGTGCATGAGAGTAAGAAGTCCTAGTAGGACAGGTGACGTAACACTTACAGTACTATGGTCTAGAATCACATTCATTTATGCCCCTTGTACACAGGCACATGCCTCTCCTTGAAGTCGCGTCACACATCCACGGCAGGCTCAGGTCGCAGAATTTTCCGAGAAGCTGAAGCTCTCAGGTCGTTGCGTAACAACCAGAGACCGTCCGTGATTAGACGCTGACGCCCTTCTTAGCACTTGCTCAGTATTCAGCGCAAGCGCAATTTCGCGACTCATCACACCGATTTCTCAAGATCAAAGCTCATTCGCGTTAAGCGGCACCATATCGCAAGGACCCCAGCCGCTCAACTGGCTCAGCATGGTCCAGCATCTCGCTTGCGCAACTCCACGCTGCCCCGCTGACCAAGGTTTCACCCGGAGGCTCGCCTGGCGAGGCCAGTGAAACTCAAACTGAACGTAGCCTCAGCAGTGGGATGTAAAGTTGTTGCAGAGCATTAGTCGCCGAGTCGCTATTCCCCCCCTGTGGCACGACGAACTGTCCCTCTCGCGGCATACCATAGGGACCGCCAGTCTTCCCACTTCCCCATCGAGAATATGCGCTCCCACCGCCAGAGCGACCTCTCCTCGAGCACTAGGGCCGTGTGTCCTGCTAGAAACCCCTGCCTTTGCTTTCGTTGCATTGCGGTCTCATGCTGCCGCGGAGGGCACTCTACTTCCACGTCCGACTCGCGAAATCCGAGTTTCGCTAACCTGGAAGATTTGGATTCAGCTCGCTAGTCCCTGGCTCTACCGACACGATAGACAGCACGCCCGTAAGCGAGAAGAAGGCATTGCGAACACACGATAGTATATGATTCGCATCGATGTATACGAGTAACATGTTGGATACACTAGAGTGACAGATCGTCCTCGTGAATAACATCTAATGTATTTCTTGGTACTCCTCCTTGTGCATTAGGTTGTGATCCATTCGACACTGCAGATACTGTCTTGTTATGTATCGGCACGAGTTGTTGTCATGGCGATTGCGCCCCAGGCATGCCATATACTCGCTCATGATCGGAGTGCAATCATTCCAGTGATCTAGTGGGAATGAGCCTCGATCCGGAGGTCTACCCCCACGGCCGTATCCGCGCATGATCCCGGCGGAATGTGCATCCATCCTTTTCTAGCATTCAAGAAGATATAAGTATTTACGAATAACGAACTTAGGAGAAAAGGAGTCTTCAAGTCGACAAGTCAACTCCCGTCCTACATACAGTCTGCGCTAACTACTTCTTGATCAAGGACCTCGAATAACAAATTAGGCAGTACGTCCATTTTTCGCAAGATGTACACACCCGGATGTCCGGGCCTTCACGGCTTTCAGAAATGTGCATGGGTTTATGCAATATGATTTTGGACGTTCACTCAGACCAGTCTCAGGCGGGGTTAACACGGATCGATTCTGCATTGCCCTTTCGTGAGGGTCAGGGCCTCTCAGTACCAGTCTTCATTAGCCTCACGTCGAAGAAAACCCGAAGTAAGCTCTCAGGCACATTCTCTCATAGAAAAGCACTCGTATAAAAGGAAGCTGTTCCGAGCAAAGGCTGCATCGACAAAAACTACAACCGATACAAGGGTGGGTGCCCATGAGAGTTCCAAATCCAACCAGACCTCCTGCTGCTAGCGTACTCTACCCGATTTCCCGGAGTCGAACACTTGCAACTCCACCAAGTCCACGCGTAGGTCGAGCGTGGCGCCTCTAAATGAAACGGCGGTGCTGTATTTTAGGGGCTTCATGCCCGATCACTGTGAGTCAGAGGCACGAATGCTCCTGTCGGAGTAACGCGGCTGAAAGTTTCAACGTCATTGCAAGACAAGGGACAATCCTTCGCGGTGACTCATACGCAACGTGGCTCATGATCCACATGCTTGCAGATTGTTCACCGCTTGATTCGATAAGCCTCGTTCTGCTCTGAAGTGCTTCTGACAAGCACGCCTGAGCTTCAACGAATTCCGTGGCGTTGCTTCATTCGCCTGCTCGGCTACTCACTTTGACTGCTCACGTGACAGGTGATCGCATTGCTGACCGAATTGCAGCGAAGACACAGCTTGCTTACTTGGAGCGCTGTCTCATCTTCCTCCTCTTCTTCTGCAAACGGCGCGTGCGCTTCTTCTTCCACTGTTGTGTGTTTGGTGTAGGTTCGTTGAAGAGGAGAGGTCGTTAATGAAGGTCAACACACTGTCCGTACTAGACCTACAACGAAAGCTATTGTCACATGTGATCAATCTAGTACTTTTGTCCAACACGAAGCCTGCCTTGAAGGCCTAAAGAATGTTCTTACAATTGGACACTATCAACCTTGGAAGAGAGCCAGCATCTCTTTCATCACATGAGGAGTTCTAAATCAGAACCGCTACCCATGGTATCTCCGGTGAATATGCATAACACAAATTCTACTAAACTAATTGGCAAGAACCAAACAATAGCTGCAAACTCATTGAGGTCATGTAAAATACCTTCCAGCGGAAGGCACTGCGCGCTTTCTTGTATGGGTTACTTTTGTGACCCATCTTCCCCGGTCTCCCTGTAGTATCGTTTCAGCCAGCCGCAGTTCGATGTGACATTTTTTGGTGATGCAAAGTTGTCAAATGAAATGAATTTATTCACAGTCGAAGATATAAGCCACAAAATGAGGCAACAAACAAGTCCATGGAGAGTTTTTGGGTAAAGGCACGAAGAAGATGAAGCTTGCTTTACTTTCCAGATGGACGCGAATCAAAAGTAGCAGTTAGTCAAAAGAATGCACCGTTGAGACTATTTTGCAAGATCTAACCACCAGTGGCCAGTGAAGGATGAACTCAGACACAGATCTCTTGAAATCTAAAACGCAACGAAAATTATCCATAGATATCCATTCTGATCCGGTCGTTGCAAATTAGGATCTCGCGACTGATGTCAGAGTGTAGCACTTGAATCGGATCTCCCTCTAATTGTGCTTTTGCATGTGGACAATTGGGAGCCGATTTATTTGCATTCTATCTAGCAAAGCCTTCCATAGATCCTGCACGTTGAGAGATCCAATGTCCCGGATTCAGTCGCAGCGCTTCAGTGAAAGGATGTATGCCGTGAACCAACGTGGTGGATCCACATTTAACATTTGCTATCCTGTTTTAATTCCATCTGCATTCTCCGGGGAGCAGAGCCTGCGCAGTATTTCTAGGGATGTAGATAAGGAAAATTTCGATCTTCATGATCTAATTTCGTCCGGCCGACCTACAGACGAACCACGGGTCGTCTGTCGAGGAACAAGGAACGATCTAAGGAACACGATAAAGAACTCCAGAAGAACACATACACACACCACTTGCAGCCATTTCATTCTGCGCATAGGTAGAGCAGACGCTTCTTTTACAAATTCCGATCCGCTTAAATACTCTAGCGGTGCTATTTGGTGCGAGGTTTTCTTCATCGAGAAGCCAGAAACGACCTGCTACTCAACAGTGCTGCTACAAGCCTAATTGCCCACCGAGTTACAGAGAATTAATATTTGGCGTAGTTCCCCCTTTGACAACCACTTTGGTAACCTGTCCCATACATCAATGGGAGAGATTCCAGAGATCATAGACCCCAACGGCAAACACCCGCCGGCCCTTTGACTGCGAAGATGTCGAGGAAATGGACTCGACTGACGCAACTATCCATCTGATGCAACGAAGAATGGCACACAATCAGTTCTCGATGTTGAACTCAAGCGGGCATAAGCAGCACAGACAACCGACAATAGCGTAAAGTCGGGCAGCGTTTCATGAAGGTACATATAGGCTCTCCTACTTAGGTAGCAACAGGAACTTGCGACATGCGCTTTCATCACAATCATCTAATTACATTACACGACAACTTCTACCAGTTTTATGCTGCAAGGAAATGCTTAATTACAAATATCTCAGCATGTTAAGAGTCATAGTAAAATTCTAACGAACATTCGGATGTGGCGAGGTGACGGTGGAGAACGACACGGGAAAGGCTTCCCGAGCACGTAATCAGACAAAAGCCAGCGACGAAACCGTCGTCCTGATATACCTCGTCACAAACTACATCAGTCGAACTCCAAGCAGCTCGGATTGATTGATGCTCCTAGCGTTTGACTTGACGTCGCCTTTCGACACAATTGAGCGGTTCTTCAATGTACAGTAAAAACATGCCTCAAAGACGGCATAATAAATGAGGTACATAGCGAATGAGGGATCTAGAACATAGTACTTTGCTGATGGTTCTGAATGTAGGAAAAAGTCAACCATAGGAATGTAAAAACTCGAAAAGGTCTAGGAGGTGACTACATAAGAAGATACGGACGAGGAAGCTTCTCCTTTCCATCATGATGCGCTACAATGTAAACATCTTAGCGCTGGCCGACACCCCACCATTTCATTGCCGACTACCACAAATGCGCCTACTTCGAACCTAGAGACGCCCCGAGGTGAAGATGCACCACACCACGGCTGCGTCAATAACAGGAGGAAGGAGGAGGCATCACGTTAAATCCTTACATGGAACAAGGACAGGAGTACTTAGCTTTCGAGTGGTCTCAGGCGCTGTCCGTGGTAGATCTCTGCACTTTCTCGCACAGAAATGCAACCCTACTCTTGGCCGGCAGACATTTACAAGCTTGGTATATGAAAATCGAAAACTCAAAGGTGTGTAATTAATTTTCTGCCACGTAAAATGCTTTAAGGACCCCGAGCCACAAGGCGCCTGCGGCTGAGTTGGGAAAGGTGCAACTTGATTGATAAATTAGTCTACGGTACACAAGGATCCCAAGTCGCAGACAGACAGTTGCCTTCACCCTTCACCTCCACTGAGTACACCTCATTAAGCGCAGTTTTGAAAAAAAAGAATTATGTGGCCAATGGATTGCTGCGCAGAGGACACGCAACATCTTGATACCTCTGGCCAGCAGCACACATAGAATGACTCACGCAGTGCCTACTGATGTTGGATATCAGTTACCGACTTGTTTAGGTTTGGTTCGGCGGAACGGATAGTTCAATTTAGCCAAGGCTTATCTGAACCTTATGGTCTCTCTAAGCTCGCGAAGTGCTCTCCGTTCCTGGACAGCCGCCAAATGTTACAATCACAGTTTTTCGACAAAAAGCCAACGCGCCAGCCGATTATCCGCCATAATTAAGTAAGCTTTTGACTCTCACGCCACTTGCATCAATTGTAGTAGATGGCCCCTCTGCTGAGCCGCAGCACCAATGAAGGCATAGGACCACTCAGCCGCTATTGTAAGTGGCATCTTGTTTGAGGAAAGAATCGGGAAAGAAACAAAAATCGGGTTGAGGTACGACGCTCCAAATGGATGAAGGCTCTAAGCTAATCCTTTGCAGAAAGTCCGAATCAATCAAGTCGGTTCATTAAAAAATAGAAAACAAATATGATAACCTTAACCGTGGCGCTTTAGGAAAGGTAACTGCGCTCCCCGAGCGTCTCCTGCGCATCAAACAATTACGATTTCTGTCCTTGTATCTTTTCGGCGAACTACTAACCAAAATACTATCCTGAAGTCGAATACTGAATCCAATATGCTCGCGCTAGAGCTCGCAACGAGTGTCATTGAAATTGAATCTAACCGAAAAAATGGTCCACGAGGAGTAAAAATGAATTCCGTGACCAAGACTCAACAACACGCGGCGCAGCCCGTGTCCCCGGTTGTTCAAACACTCGGGCGAGAGCATGAACGCGTACGGATTAGATGCTTGCTCATCACAAACTAGCACAAAGCTAGCGAGCTGCACTTGCGCGCGTTGAAGTTGATATCTATCAGGTTCAGGCTACTTATTACAAATGCTGCGCCTCTGACAGTCCATCTTGAACCAGCAGCGAAGCGTCCGTCTTCAGCGTCTGCACAATTATTTTTTCACTACATGGCCCCGACGACTCCTCTGGACGGACCTCATAGACGAAAAAAAAGCCTCACGCTAAGCCACCTACGAAAGACGCGGCGAGCCGCAGCCGTGAGTTGTGTGGCACCTTCTCGCCATCTGATGCGCTATGACGACTCGTCCACCTTCTTTTGCCTTCTATCTCTACTAGTGTCTGAGAGACTGCGCACCAGTCAACTGCCCGCATACAAGGGGTCTTATGGCTGGGCCGATCACGCTGGGCGCGCTTGGTCGCTGGGCGACCCAATTGTCCCAACTGTGCCGAATTCTGCGCCAAGCGTTCGACCAGCGTGCCAAGCGCTGCCATCCAGCCTAGCCCAGCCGCCCCGCGTTTATAAATTATTCTGCACGCGTAGTCTATAACGAAAGGCAAAATCTTGCGTCGCATCGACGTAATAGGGCTCGAAATTAAGAAGCTGGGCGGTAGCACAACCGCCGTAAGCGTACTCACTTTCAGCCACCAGTCTTAGTTTGGTCCGATAAAGCTATTTACTTTTATATGTCTGACGGTAATATATCTGCGAGTCATTGACGCGCGCCCCGTGCGTGCTCGTTTTTTTTTTGTGCTCGTGTCGTATTTCGAGGCGCGCGAAGTTCGCTGTCCTGTTTGGACTATCCTCCAGAGCGAAGCTTCTTGAGGCCAAGGAGGATAACAATACATCGCGGCACAATCGAAAAATATGGTCTCAAAACGGCTGACACACCTGACAGGTCGTAGATTCGGGGCCCTATCGGCACAAAGATGCTGAACAATTGAGCACAATGAAACTTGTGTTTTATCTATAATTCCCCACATCCTGCAAACTCATACGCACCTGCTCCTGAGAATACGCCATCCAGTCCTAATGTACAAAGGCCAGCGTGCAACTGGAGATCCTTCTGAGCCGGAAGCTGGGACACGGCGTAGGCGTGGCGCCCACTAGATACGACAGAGAAAACATGGAGGCTCGCCCCGCTTAAATTCAATATATCACAAGTACTACTACAACTACGATTTATCGGGATAGGTGAACGCCCAGAAAGTAACGCAGTTCAGTAATCATCCCCAAAGTCTGTTGGGTTGTTAGCGTCTTTGAGCGAGAATTTCGCCCATTAGTCTTTGAGCGAGAACTTCGCCCGTTAGTCTTTGAGCGAGAACTTCGCCCTTTACGGTGGACCTTCGCGGACTCTTTTCTTTTCGTCCAACAAGAGCTGACAGGTAGTTATGCTTATGGCTACGTGTGGACCTCGCGATTACAGAAGCCTAAACTCAAGGCATATCATGCGTACTTGTCACGTCCATCATCATGATTAAGAGTGCAGAAGCCAACGACCATGAAGTCGAAGAACAAAGCCCTGCCGATTAATCTATTCCTTTCAGTCAGTCTTTAGATGCTATTCGTGTGCATGGAAAGTCTGACTTTTTTCCTTCGTAAGCACAAGGCGGACGAGGGTCAACGCCCGCGCTGCTGCTAGTTGTGGCGCCCTATTAATCTGCAAAGGATTGCGACCAAGTCCCCAGCTTCATCTTGCTGCTAAACAGTGGGGCCTTTGTTAGAGGTAGGCTCTTTTTGACCAGTATCGGGCCGGGTTTCTCGGGCTGCTCGAGTTGCCCACTTAAATCTTATCGCTGCAGGCGCAGCCTTGGCGGGGCGTTGAAGTAAGAAACAAGAGCACTACGGGTGGGGCATCCGCCAGGGGAAGACAGCCACGGGGGGCAGCCGGATGACCGCAAAGGGCCCAACGCGGGGGCCCTGGGGGGTGTGGCATGTACCACACCGGCCTGCCCAGCTGCCCACCAACATGAAACAGCGCCCACAGCTACCCGCCCACACATCAGCCCCCGCAGCATTTCCCCCACTGTCACCGCGGCACACACCAGCCGCAAACCGGCCACGCACCCACCCCGGCGGGAGCGAATCCCCCACACCGCAACGCAGCGGGACCAAAGTCAAAACCTGCCTTGACGCCCCCCAAACAGACAGGCTGGGGCTGGGCGACGCACTTGACCCCCCCCACCGAGTGGGGAGCGGCGCGCCGCTATCGATCCCAAACAGAAGGAGACAGCGGCCCCCCGGCCTTCTCTTGCGCAGGGAGGAGACCGCGAAGACGGCGCCGAGCATGCCGAGCGAGCACTTCGGCGCCCGCGCCGCCCTGCTTCGCCCCATTTCGGCGGACCAGCCTCCTTCTGGCAGCTCGTGGCAACTCGTTCCAGATTTGGGGCCCTTCGCTTCAGCAACTCGGGCAACTCGCTGCAACTCGAAGCCCGTTACTTGCCTTACTCTATTATGTATATGCGGAGAGCCTTCATACCAAGCTGCTCCCGGCAGGGACTACCCGGAAAGCTGGCTGGCACACACCCAAAACATCCGGCTTCCCTGAGCACCGAGGTGATCGATGTGGATGTGGCGAAGATTATATGGTCTAAACAATAAAGCACACAGCAATGCATGGGTGTTCGCGGTGAAGCAGAGTGCTCGTTTCTCAAACGAAGTGGGCAGTTAACAACGGCTCTTGAAGATATTTCGATTACACTGCTTTCATGTAGATCGTTCAGTTTTCCAAATTAGTATCATCCTTATGCCCTTCTTGTCTATACGCAGAAGTCTCATCATCCGCGCACGCTAATCGGCAACGCGAGTAGTGATCTCGCACGCGGGAAAAGCTACTAGGTCAACTCCTGATGTTCAGTATCTATAGATATACTTAACTAGGCCATGGAACGAACTTAGCAGCATCTACAACTAACTTTTTATGGGTCATGTAGCAACCAATTGCAATTGTACATAATGAAACTCTATATCACTAGAAACCTTCTACTGCCAGTTCGTTGCTGCGGCTGGTGTGTGCCTTCTTATGTCGAAAAGCAGTATGAACCACATTTGGTTTTGGTTATTAATGAGAATGGTAGTAAGAAAGAAGAATCGATGGGCGAAGTGTCTTAAGGACGAGACGACAAACAGGAGGGGCGTGGAGTCATTACCTTAATTAAATTCATTTTGGAAATGTTAAAAAAGGAGAGGGGAGGGAGCGTAAGGCTGAGAACCCGAGCCAAGACCTGGAAGCAAGCCCCTTATATCTAATAAAGTGAACAGTATTCACCAAACAAGCCGGCGCGGGGAGGGGAGCCACCCAGCCTCCCCCTGTCGGGGCCTTGAGCGTCACTGGACCCAAACCACCTCGCAAAGCAGTGCGAGCATTTCAGATCTCAAGGTCGTTCGCTAGATAAGAGAGCCTCTTTGACAGCGCATGAGTAAGCTCTGCTTCTGTTGTACAGAGCGACAAGGCGATCATTATATACGACAACAAGACGCGTCACCGCTACCACTTAAACATTATCGATTTCATCCGACGGATTACTCACGTTGCAAGAGCTAAGGAAGTATATACAAGGATGCACTGCGGAGCGGCAAATCACCGTTGGGCTTTCAAATAAGTAAGTCAGCAGTTTCTTCATCCTTGATATCGAAGAAGCGGCGGAGAAATGAACTGATGGCGAATACAGATGCAGGAAGCCTGTGCGGACCCGTTTCTAGTACGATAAATTATATTGCTCGACGGTTTATGCAAATGGAAATGCTAGGCCTTGCTCTACTCACGTCCAATTTACTACATCTTAATCTTTTTTAATATCCAACGCGGGCTCTCTCGAATAAAACGAGAAACAGCAGAAGCTCTTCCTACGGCGCTATGGTACTGCCTCCCCCCCTTCATCGTCCTCGAGCCGGGATCCTAATTTGCTGTGTCTATGTTGTGATATGCTGTGTCTAACTAGTACGAGAAAAGGTGGCATCTTCAGAGAGAGATCAAGCATGACAAAACATGGCCTCAGACAGAACCACGCCCGTCAGCAACATGAGTGGGCTGATACTTCTCCGCGTTTTCTTTTAGTTTCACTAGTGACGAATGATGAATAGATTTGAGTGACAAATCAACATGTTGCCATATGGGATTTTAATCGAATCCGAAAGCAATTTAACAATTAAATTTCGCAAAAGGTACAGCCAGAAGGAACTATACCTGCAAAGCCACCCACGATATGTATCAATGACCCAGATATTCAGTTCCCGAAGTAACCTAAGAGGGAAGCAAGGGCAGTCGAATTCATACACAGTCCCCAAAATTCAACCTCCAAGAGTAACCAAATAGGGAACGGAACCGACTACCCTCCGACTGACTTCAATTGTTGCAGCCTGAATTCCACAAGGCGGACTTCAAGCGGAACCTCGTTCATGCCATCGGTGGTTCGTTTTTATTTTCATTTTCGGTTGGTTAGTTTGCAAAAACGATCACTGAGTGCGAAAGTGGTTGGAGACTATCTGAAAGTTTTAGAATACCTTATAATATATCCAATCGCTGATCACTACAGTGAAAGTACGTATTTCGTGAACAAGATGTCTAAGTTTATGTAACACGACCAGTACTTTTCCTTTTACTTCTTTATCATGTCGCTCAACAGATTTCAAATATGATTCACAGTCATCGGTACCTACAAAGAATAATAATAATAATTGACACCAAGAACATATTGTAAGTGATTATAACAAGATGGCTTATGTGTATGCCCTGTGCAGTATTGTTGTAGTTCTTGTGGTGAGAGAGCACTGTGAAAGAATTGCTGATATTGTTCAGCAAAGAGCTCTCATACTCAGTGCCCTTGTCGAAGTGAAGGGAGGCTCGCTATGATATCAAAAAAGCGGACTTTTGTTCTATTCATCCAAGGGTTTCCCTATCTATCTATGCAGGAGCCAGCATCAACCGGTAAGACGAAGAACAAGACTGACGAATTCTGTACTACCTCCTGGATGCTGCTGTGGTGCAGATCGTACTTCTTCCCGCCTGAGTCTAGACGATCATCCACACGGCACTGGGGCTGCCTCTCGCAGTCCAACAACAGTCCGCATTGAAATCGAGAACAAATTTGAATAATGACTTTCGAGCTTTTCCACAATCACAACCTAAATTGAACGCTCAATGATGTCGTGACACTGGCCAACATGAATAAAATGCTTCACCTCTACGTCTACTAGTGCACCCTTGTCCCGCACGCGCGCTGCCAGATAAAATAAACCACACAAAGAACCCGCTATTCTGCCCAATAACTACTTCTTCTAGTACAGTTGGAAGTACACAAGCAACAGCCTCCCTCTATGTGTTCTTTTATCCTCCAATATCCGATTGGATTACCATAGTCAACATAGCGAGTCACGCGTTCTTACATCGACTCATCATAATTGATTTGAAACGTTGCACAAGGAAACATCTTCAGGATTTATTCGAGAGTTATAGTTCTTTTACTTTTTCTTTGTGTTTGTTCTACGTACTTCCTAGTACTCAATGGCCTCGGCCGGTCCAAGTCCATCAGCCACCCGAGGAGCCATTTCCAGAATCCATGTGCCTCCAAGCACTGGCCTTTTTTGCGACCATCGTGTGAATAATCCCTGCAAACTGCGCAGGAACTATTTTCGCACTATCTAAGAGAAAAAACACCAACAGACACGACGGCAATCTAAATACATAGAAAGCGAAGCACCAAAAGACCAAGCTAGACACAAGGAACGAACCAAGGCACCAGGGTGGCAAGGGAAAATCTGTCGAGGGCGAAAGCAAAGACAGAAAATAAAGGGGCAAGAACTTCATGCGCATCAGCCCAGCGGGTGTGATTTTCCGCGTCCCAAATCCTGCGCGACAATGCTAGCCGATCGAACGGCGCACGTCGCTGCTACAAAGCTCTGCGTCGCGATGGTTTGGAGCCCCCGCGGGTAATACCGAGAGCGCTGTGGCCGTCACCTCCGCAAGATTTCACACGAAACGGTAGACCCTTACGGAAATCGGAAAGCCGTCGACGCTGACGGTAGCAAGATGACAAATCTCGTGCTCGCCAACAAAAGCGGCGCCTAAAAGAGGAGGACGATTCTAGAAGAATTCATTGCCATGGGTTGGGGTGGCGGCCATAGACGCCAAGGAGTAGAGGCGCAATACCGAAGTGTACTAGCAATAGGCAACATGATAGTCGCAAAAGGAGTGTCCTGGACCGACGAAAAAATATGCTATAGCTATACGATGAAAGTGGGCTATATCAGAACTAAATTGTATAACAAGATAATCTACTTTGTCATTGCCGTTCTTGTTTTTTGTAGTGAATATAATTTTTTATTTTTTCCTGAGCACTACATAATATTTATAGTATACAAGGACTGAGATCACCAGCGGACTGAGATCACCACCACCAGCTTCGATCATATTGATAGCTTAGATCATCTACGGACTCAGCTGTAGCCTGCCACGCGCCATCATCATGGTGTCCCATTTAGTACTCCAAGCCTAATGGCGGGACAAAACAGCGCCAATTTCAATGAATTGGCACTCTTCACGCCCTCGCAAAGTGTTAGCAGAAACAACTTGCACTTGTTTCATGAACATTAGTACAGCAAACTACGTTCAAACACTATTTTCATGATTTGACAAAAGCACCCTTGCCCTTCGACAACATCAAATAACGACTGCAAGGCATGTCCTTCCTGAAGTACTACATCTGCATGGCATCCAAGCATGTGCCATTTCATAGGTTGTGCTTTCATCGGCCAATTCTTCGAAAGCGCTGAAAAGATCAAACTGGTGGTTACTCACAAAAGCTTACTTTATCCTCGTGAAATTTCTTTTTCTCTCCGAGGTGGACGACGCTGGTAATACTGCAAGAAAATAAAGAGAAATGATTAAATCCTGGTGACTGTCGACTGTTTACTACCTATATCAGTGAATAATTTTACCAATAGATACGTTAAATAAAACTAGCTTTACCTGCTCTACTTGAACAAGATTAAATTGATATCGCTATTGCTATTCAACCCGATATTACTAAGGTCGTCTGCGTAGTAGGACATCAATTACCCAATCGCAGGGAATTCTCGCTACGTTTTTCCATGACAACTGTGCCTTCCCCATATTTCCTCTGGGAAGAAGCACCCAGCACACTCACTTGGCGTCGGAATGATTCTCCGCATCGGTAATGACAAGACCTGAAGTATCTATTGCGATAAAAGCGCGGACAGACTTACTTACATACAACAATGCAAATAAGGAACATGAATATTAGTTTTGGTAGTTGTACTCACGTGATCAGTCTTCTCTTAGCATTGCCATACACATGGCAAGCAGACAAAGGAGGTTTTTAGAATCACCACAACCCAGGAATTATGATCATTAACAAAAGTACCTTTGTAAACCGTGGAGTGCGGCAACACGGCAAGGCCTTCCGACGTGGCCAAACCCGAGAATTTCTCGCCCTTGTAGTTTTTTGAAGAACCTGCGGCACCGTGCCTGTCATCAGTATCGCCATGCTCGTCATGTTGTCGTCTATTCAGGAAATACGATACCTGCCTGTCACTTTGGTCGTTCGGCTGCCGCGAATATGCTCCCAATAATGAAAGTGAGTTCTTTGCTTGGTGGGATAAACCTAGGATATGAGGGAAAAGTATGAACCTAGGATGAATGAAAGTGAATATATCATGATATCATTGAAACGAAACAAGCTCGAGGGACAGCATTTTTCTACACCTAGATGAATTCGGATTTCAAACGATGAAGCATTCTCGCTCCAGATGATAAGACGGATACAGTGCAGTTGTATAATACACCTATCCTACAAAAGTTGAAGATCCCAGAAGGCATATTGTTTTTAGTGCTAGATATAACTCCAACTCCTTGAAGGCAAAAGTGATAGAGAATTTGATGGAGGAATCACGACAGGCGGAACCGGAGTACGTAAAATAAATTAGTGGAGTCAATTGCGTCTCGTTCTTTCGACTTTCTATCATATTGATCTCGGCAGTTGTAAGGTGGCAGATCTAGATGTCTTCATAATGAATCTCCACGACCAGCGGGCATTCGATAGCGCTGCTCGGAGTAGTTTTGCCCGTGCGGAGGCCGTTCGTCGTTGTAGCGAGATGAAACATATCTGCTGTTTCGATCGTTCGGTCTGCGACTGCCACTGGAAGACGTGACTGCGACGCGACTCGAGTTCGTGCTGCCGGAGTGGAGGCGGTCGTTGTAAGCACCCTTGCTTTGCGGGTCGCTGTAGCCGTGCCACTGCCCGTCTCCCGCTTGCTGTGGATATCCGCCTCGATCATAATTGCTGTGTCGTCCGGAACCGGGATGGCCTCCGAAGCGGTCGTTGTCCCCCGCAGGATCGCCGTTGTGGCCCAACGTGCGGCCTCGCTGCGCATGAGCGTCATCGTCATAGCGTGAGGGGCTTGCTGGAGGACCCCTGCTGTTCATCATGCGCGAGACGAATCCATAGTCGTAGCGAGGATCACTTCTTTGCTCCCGGTTGCGACTGTTTTGGGAGCCCGCGGCCTTGCCATTGGTGTACCCGTAGCTGGCATTGTCAGGATTTCCAGAGCCGCCTCCACGGGGTCCGCCAACACTCTGCTGAGTGTAGTAACCTCCTTGTTCCGGGGGGGCATTCCCTCCATGATAGTAGCGAGAGTCGGAGTTGAAGTAGCCACCTGAACTTGGGTATCCATCCCTTCGCCGATAATCTGGACCATCTCGGGGAGACATGCGACCATATCCGCCATCACGAGGCGCCTCACCCCCAGCGCTCTCACGATAACGACCTTCGCGTGGCGGGTAGCAATCATTACTGCGCGGTGGTCCCCTCGGGGGCGGTCTTCGGTCACGGTTATCCCTGTAATCGTCGTGCGGGTGGTACTCTCTGCCTGGCCTGTAGATAGTAAGTACATCTAGAAGTTGAAACTGAATCTCTTTAGTTGTACTCTACCAAAAAACAGAAAAACTGCTAAGCAACTGGATCTGGAAGAACAAGTGTTAGTGCTGTAGGAACTAAGTACACGACCAAGAAAGTCAAATGTTACAATAAAAGAGTAAGAATGGTCAAAAGAGTCTCGTTCTCGACGGGGTTTCTGGATGGATTGTCGGGGGGAGGCGGGGGCCTGCGCGACCCCTGTCCAGCCCCCTGCCCCTTCCCAACTTCCGCGCCAGATCAGACGCGGCGACGCTTGAGAGCCTCAGCGAAAACTACCTGCGGAAAAACCAACACTCACCACGACCACAGTCGGGGGATTGCGTTAGCGTCTCGCAGCTCCTCCTTGGGAGTGTGCGTTCGGAGGCTGCGAGCGAGGAACCTTCAGGGGGGCCAGCCTGCTGGCAACGCCTTCACACCTTCCCACTTGCCTGGTATTAATTCCCGCAGAAGAAAGCCGAACAAGCGCCGAAAGCAAGAGCCAGCCACGCACGCGGGTGCCAGGCCAAAGCTGTGGGCTAGCTCCTCACAGATCCAAGCGCCCACCCCTCGAGGAGAGTGCAGCCGGAGAGAGCCGCAGGCTGGCAATCTCGGCAAGATAGAAACGCGGCGCCCAACGTCCGCCCCGGCAGCCCCCTCAGGCCCCTGCGCCCGGTTGCAACCGAAAGCGCGAGGAGGTAGCCGCAAAAAGTGCCAACTTTATCAGCTGACCCCGTGGAGTCTCACTCTCTGTCTGAGAAGAAAGCCACAAGAAAGGGCAACGTCTCACGTTCAGCAAGCCTCTTCTTGACACTACGCCCCGCGCCGTCCTCTTGGTTGCTCTTTCTTATTTTAAGGGCGGCGGCTGCATCCATTTGAGACTGAGAAAGAGAAACCGCCCAAGGCGCTGGGCTTTCGGGTTCGCGCCGTGCCCGTTTCTCCCTTCGGGGGGCCGCGCTGCTGCTGCTCCCCGTCTTTCTGGGGCCGTGGCGTGTTTGCTTTGTCGTTGTGGGGCCATGCTGTAGCTTTGCTGGGGATCTGCTCACGCGGTGCCTCAGGGGTCAAGCCATGTGGTTTGGGAGAGGGGTGCTGCTATGCTGTGCCTGAGAGGTCTGGCCGCGTCCTTTTCGGGGGTTTGCTCGTGCTGCGTCCGGGGGGTTTGGCTTTGGTCAATCGCCACACCAGCCACCAGGGGCCACTTTGCGCGGGGGGGGGCAAGCCGTGGCGAGTTCGGGGGGCCGTGGTGCGTTTAGAGGTCCCGGCGCCGGTCGGTGCTTGGGGGTTTGTGGTGTGTTGGGCGGGATGGTCGCTCTGCGGCCTCTTGGGCAAGCATGGCGCCACCTGGGGGCGTCCCAGGGTAATGTTGCACGGGGAGGGCAAGCCATGGCGAGTTGGAGGGGCCGAGGTGCGTTATTTAGAAGCCGCAGCGTCGATCGGTGTTCAGGGCGGGGGGAAGGTCTGAGGGGGTCACTTGTGGTGTGTCTGCAGCTGTCGCCCCGCGTTTAAAAAGTCACGCTGCGCCGAATTGGCCAAATTATCCGCGCGCTATATTGGTCAGATTATCAGTGGGACCGCAGTGACGTGGGCCGGGGGGTCGTGGTGTGTCTGGAGGGTCATGGTGTGCTTGGCGGGTCGTAGAATGTTCGGGGACAGGTCACCTCATGTCAGGGGGCCGCGCTGTGTTCCCTCGGGGGGTGAAGGGGGCTGCCCCTGAGGGGCTACGTAATGCCTAGGGGCTCAGGCGGTGTTTGCTCAGGGGGTCACGCTTTGCTTTTTAGACTGCGCAACGCTTGAAGGGTTACGCTGCGGCGCTTCACTCAGGGGGTCACGCGGTACCTGGTGGGTTGTGTTGTGTCTTGGGTGCTGTCCGCGGTGTGTCGGGGGAGTCGTGACGCCTAGCGGCGGCACTGGTGTCCATTTGGCTGCGCTGTTCTTCAAGAGCCCGCCGGGCTCTGTCTCGGGGGCCGGGGCAATGAATGTCCGTGGGGCCTCACAAGGACTCCCACTATTTTGCGGCGGCCATATTCTTTCGCTCCTGCGGGTCTGAGGGGTCGCGGAGTGCGCGGGCGGGGTGCGTCTGGAAGAAGATCGCAGGGGGCTTGGAACTGGAAAGGCGGCCGTGGTGCGTGCTCCCTCCCTCAGGGTCATGCGGATCTTGGGGGGCCGCGTAATGTTTTAGAGGCAGCGCAACCCTCTTGGGGGGGCCGTGTCGGTGTCTCTATTAAATAAGAGGCCCCGCTGTATCTAAGAGGCCGCGGAGTGTTTGGTGGGTCGTGGTGTGTCAAGAGAAGCCCAGCACGCTTTGGTCTTGCTTGGTGGTCGTGGTGTGTTCGAGGGTCGTCATGTTTTGCCCTGTTACGCTTTTTCTTCGTTACTTTGGGGGCGCGCGGTGTGTGATGGTGAATATTTGGCCGTCGTGGTTTTCACGGATCGCGATGCGCCTTGACCTTGAGGGCAATCGAGGGCCTGGGCGTCCATGCTGGCGGCAGTGCTTGCTTGGGGGTCATGCTTGCTGCGTCTCGAGGCTGCGCGGTGTTGGGGGATTCATGGCATGCGTCGCACTGGATTAGTTGCATGCTTGCGCCACGCTGGTTCCCGTGGGGTCATGTCGATGCTTTGGGCAGTTCATGCCGTGACATTTTTCGGGGGATGGTGATGCGCTGGAAGGTCCGTCGTGGCCTATGTCTCGCGGGTCACTTTGTGCCTGCGGTCTTCCTTGCTTGGGTGGGGCTCGGGGTGGTGCGTGCTGCTTGTGCAAGGGGGGGCAATTCGTTCCCAGGGGGGCGCGCAGTATTTTGGGAGTCATGAACGTGCTGCAGCTCGGGCGGCGGGGCGGGTTGTGTCTTGTGGTGAGTTTAAGAGGCCGCGCATTTTCAGGGTGCGCGTGGTGTCTTTCAGGGGGTGGGGAGGCGTGGCCCTCCGTATGGGGGGCGTGGTCGTGGTTATCCAGGGGCTGCGCGCTGCTCTTTAGGGGTCACGCTGTGCTTGTGCGTGGCTTTAGAATGGGCGCCAGGCTTTCCCCCCTTCCTTTGTGGCCTGGCTTTTTTCAATGAATTTCGCCGCGTGCTGCGTGTGCGTCCGCGTGGTGTGGCTGCGGTCGCGATGAGTTGAGGGGGCCACAGTGAAGGCGAGCCCTGGTAAGATTGGCGCTGTGCTTTTGCCTTTTGGGGTCATGCTGCGTTTTGGTGGCCAATCAGCTGCGCTCTGCTTGGTGCGTGGGGGTCATGCGGGGCCCTATGAAGTGACGTGGTGCCGCAAGGTCTTAGTGAGTCACAGCGGCCGACGTGTGTTCGGGGGGTCGTGGTGGTTCTTGGCTGGGGGTCGTGCTCGTGGTGTGTCTTGGTCGTCGCCGTGGCGGGTTCAGGGTGGTAATGCTGTGCCCTTCGGGGTCTTCCTTGCTGTGTTTTGGGGTCCATGCTGTCTTGGGTGCTGTCGCTGTGTTGTTTTTGGGGTGCGCGCTGTGTCTTTGGGGGTCGTGCTGGCGTGTCTTGGTGGTCGTGTTGTGTTCCTTTGGGGGTCTATGCTGTACCCGGGGGCCATGCCGTGTCTTTCTTTAAGGCCGTGCGCAGGTTCGCTTATGGTCTGCCACGCGGTGCCTTTGGGGTCGGGAGGTGCCTCAAGATGATCGCGCTGCGCCTTAAGGCCATGCGCATGCTTCTTTTTCAAAGAGGCGGGCCGTGTCTGTCATACTAGCCCAGGGGCTGCGTGCTATCTGCGGGGTTGCTTCCTTTGTGTTTTCGGGGCTTGCTGTCTGTAATTTGTGCGCGGGGTCATGCGGTGCCTGCTCCATGCTCGTGCTCATGCTGTGTTCCGGGAGCCGTAATGGGTTGCCTGGGGGGTCGTGGCGTGTCTTCTTGGTGGTCTTGTGGTAAGTTTGGGCGCCGTGGTGTATTTGGGCGCCGTGGTGTATTTGGTGCTTCATGTGTTGCCTGGCTGGGAGGAACGCTGTGTTTGCGTGACGTGGCCACGCTGTATCCCGGCGTCGTGCTCTGCTTAGATAGAGGATCGCGCTGTGTTTGGTGGGGGGTCGTGCAATGTTTGGGGGAGGTCGTGCTGTGTTTGGGAAGGTCGTGGGGTATTTTTGGGGCCGAGGTGGGATTCGATGGACCGGTGGGCAGTGGCAGTCCCCGCTCGTTGAGCCAAAGAACAAACCCGAGAGCAGCTGGCCTTGGGCGAGAATGTATGCGGACAGCCCAGATCGGAGAGGCCTGAGCGGCCAAAGTAAGCTGGCAGGCCAGAGCCAAACTGTCTGGGCAAGCTGGGCGGGACCAGCGAGGGCGAGCAGAACGCGCGGGCCTGGGAGGGCTCACCGACGTCGAGCGCCCCCTACAGCATTGGCAACACCCCCGCCCGCGCGCATGCATGTCCGGCCGGCCTATCTCATTGGCGTGGCGTGCCGAATTGATTTCGCGCGCAAGGGTTCCGGGTTGCGTGGGCTGCTTCGGTCTTTGTTCCTCTCCATCATGTCGACTGCAGCCGCCAAGGTGCGGGCGCTCCGTGCCTCTGTCGCTTATATTTTTTTTCTCTTATGTTTCCTCTCTGTGCCTGTGGCTGTGCTATTATCAAGGAGGGGCCGCCCAAGGGGCGACCCCGGTTTCTTGTATTTATAATGACGATCATGACTCAGCAAAAATAGTACGGTCTGTGTCCGCCGCCGTGTCGACTATAGGACGAAGGAGCGTTTCTCGCTGATGAGGAGGGATTTTGTGTGAACCAGTGCCCGCCACTTCGATGTGGTTTGCTCCGATTGTTGTGAGGGTATGGTCCCTTAGCCGAAGATCCTTCGGCTGAAAGGTCATCGTCTGGCCCGTAACCTGCTGCAATCCAGGTTTTCTTGTTACGCACGCAGAATTCCTCGAATTCCTCGTCATCAAACCAGAAGGCGTTCTCGTTTGTCACACGCGTCACCTCGTATCGAAAGTACTCTTTCAGGTCCGGCAGATCGCGGAGCTTGGCTCAGTATGAAGGAGAACGAAAAGCGCCGTAAGACAGACTTTCGGAGAAAAAATGTTAACTTGTATGAAAGAAGCGCCCGTTATTCGGTAACTAAGATATTATTCAGGGTCGATGACTCCGATGAGTCGCTCTATTCACATAAATACACTTAGTATTCATCAACTATCAGCGTTGGGGCATCAACATACAGGCTCCTACGGGTTCTCGCGCGTCTAGTTCTTCTCAGTGAATCATAAAAATGAGCACTGGAGCGCTCTTTGTTGGGCACAGAATGCTCTCGTTTCCCCGATGAGCTCTCGAAAAATGTCTAAGAGCTGCCTATCTCGAAAACACGCAAAACAGTGTCCGACGTTTCTAGCGGCTCTCTTGATCCTGAAGATTCTTCAGGTTACGGGGATAATCAGCAAAGACTCGATCGTCAGGTGCACATATAAATATGTAGAACCAGTTCCTTTCTTGTATGTAAATCTAAGAAAGTAGTAGTAGTAGGCATTGGATAAAGGCCAAGTCAATAGAACGAATAGGACTGAAAGCTTAAGAACAGCTGCGTAACCCCATGCTTCTATTTTGAAAATCAAAGATCGTCTGGAGCGATTTAAGCTCACAAAAGCATCATTGTGCAGTACGAAGCATGATCAGAAATAGTACCTTGGGAGAGTGAAGAACGAAAGCGAAAGCTTGGCAAGCGGATGCAGCTTTTCGTCAAGCGCCTCATAGGGAAGCTCTGGATACGGGACACCGCGACGGTCTGTATACTGTACGTCTCGAGCACTCCAGACAAGGTCGTTGTTTCTGTTGCGGCGGTCCACCATGCTGGCATAGACTCCTACATCTTAGAAAGACTACTTCTAGCAGCGGATACCAAATTATTCATAAGACTGCTCTAATGAAAGGTTCAAAAACTTACTCGCTTCCAGGCGGATACATTGAAAAGTACTTATGAGAGTTGCGCACGTCTTCAGCCATGTGACTATGTGTCCTCATAATTATCGTGGCCGTCACCATCGAACAAGACCAGCCAGGGCCCGGGCAGCAAATCCTGCAGGTAGCTTGGGGAGCGCGCATCTAAAAAGCACATTGGCGTATGCATCGCAGGATCTTTTGCAACAGCTTTTGCCACACTCTCCGCCCATTTTCGCATTCTGAAAGAAAAGATAACAATACCAATTGCCTTACCTTCCGTCGTCGTGTTCAGCTGGCGCCCGAAGCCCCACAAAGTCCCTGCGCCAGCCGGTACAGCTGTAATCTGTTTACTTGTAAAGTTTTGCCGTCGTTTTGATTTTTTGGTTTTGGATTTTGAGGTTTGGTTTGGAATTTCGAGCGTTGACTCTGAGTTTTGGTTTTAAGTTGTTTTGAACTTTGAATATAAGTAAACAAACGCGGCGACAACACTGCAAAAACGCGCAGCGTTTTGCTATGCCTGAAAGTTGGCGCGTGAATTCATTGTGAAAGTTAGGACGTGGGCTGTGAAAGTTAGGCCACGAATTTTGAACGTTAAGACCTGAACTGTAAAAGTTAGTGGGCCATGAAGTGATTGATTCTGAAAGTTAGGGCATGAATTTTGCAAGTCACTTGGCGCATGAATTTTGAAAGTTAAGGCCAGGCGTGGGCTTTACTTGAAAGGTAAGACATGACTTGCGAAAGGTTGGGGCGTGAATTCTGAAAGTTAAGGCGTAAACTTTGGCGCCCCACTCTCCTCTTCCCTCCCCTGGGCTCGCGCTGCCCGATAGTGCGAGGCGGCGGCCCAGTGCAGCGCCACGCCAGCGCGCCACCAATCACAGACGGGCAGCGCCCTATACCTTTGAACCCCCGCAGACCCGCGTGGCCTGCGCCTGTGAAAGCCTTCGACCCTGGCAGGCCGACGAATCAGCCCCGCAGGGCATGCGCCTCCCTGTGCCTAAGGCTGAAGATAGGCCCGCAGACTGCGTCTTCCGCTTGGCGATAGGCCCGCAGGTACCCCCACCCCTTTCAGGCGTCCACTGTAGTGCTTCAGCTATCTTCGACCATCCTGCTCGCTGCCATTTCTCAGGCTTCTGGTCAAATCTGGCGCCTGCTGAAGAGTGTCCACGTATGTGCTTTGTCTAGCAAGTTCCTCAGGCTCCCACCGCGTCGCCCCCTGGGGAACCACGCCAGGAGGGTAGTACTAGAAAGTAGATAATTAGAACACACCATAACAACATACTGTCGAGCAACAAAGCGGTTGGTCTTAATGCTCTACCATCGTCGCGCTTATGCAATAAGATTAAATCAACTCAAAACTACTTGATTCTAAAAGAGAGCTGAGTACTCTTCAGCAAGAACTTCCTTGGCGGCGTCATCCATCTCATGAATTTCGTGTATCCGTTGCAAATATCTTGCATGCGTCGACACGAGGTCGTTTCCAAAAAGAGTGTTCAAAACCGCAAAAGGTAATATGAGGAGTGCAACATCAGAGATATGCTTGCATGCACTACAAAACGCTATGTATGAGGCTTTTGATCACAAAGACAACACAAGCGCAACGAAACGGAAACCGCTAAGTAGTTCTTGTTCTTGAAATGGATCAATCAAGACGGAAAAAGCATAAGTGAATTCAAAAACAACAGTCGATCCAACCCAGACGTTTGTCCAGTTTCAGCATTGGAATCAAAAGCCTCAACACGGAGTGGATATCTCTGAAGTCGCAGGAGCATAAAGTTGAATCTGATAGTGCAGTAAGAGACGAGCGACAAATATTTAGCCACGCTGAACGGTTCGACCTACCGACATATAGTCTGCCTCAACATGAAGATGCGGGCGCTGCTACTCATTTACAATCTTACCGTGGATTAAACCAGAATACAAGGGGAAGATACAAAAGTACGCTGCGATGAATTCCCTCATGTGAAGGTAGATATTCTAAGCAGACCCCGAAAAAGCTTATGTAAGTTGGTAATTCATGAAAAAATCAAACACAGACAGCTACTAATATCTTAATAACTAAAGTATAAGGTGAGCCAGCGCGGCTATACCTGCTGAGGACGTTCTGGATGTAGAGAACCATTCGGCCAGCATCCTTCTCGCGCTCGGCAATATCGCTCTTTGAGAATTTTTTAAGAGACGCTGGATGATGTTGGTAGCCTCCTTCACGGCGATTCGCATACCCATTTCCATTGCCGGCGTAGTTAGAGGTGCCATTCTTCGATCATTCTTTTCTGGGGAAGTTGTAACACAGGGCCCATCTATTGTTCACAGTCTCTTTCTAAAAAATCAGTAATCTCATTTGAGAATTTTTCAGACTGAGCGGAGTTGTTGAGATGTTTGTAGTGTAATCGACATACTTCTGTACAGAGACTTAAAACCAGTTCCACTGCTTCCAATAGTTGCGGGCGCTGCAGTAGATGCAGAGGAAGAGGATCCTTCAGCTTCCGCCGGCTTCTCTTCCTCCTTGGTACCCTCCGCGGTTGCAGTAGAAGCGCCAGGCGACTGCAATGCGTGAAAGGGGCCACCCTCTGTAGACATGATCAATGTCAACCATTCACACATCGCTGCAAATAATTTCTCTGCTGGAGCTAAGTCAACAGAAGAACTGACAAGGCCTCTAAAAAAACACTTTGGTGAAAAATCTAACTCGGATTACATTCACACACCTTTCCTAGGCTAAAGAAAGCAACTTTTGCAATTCATCCATTCACTCATTTACCTAGCACGAGGTACAATTCAATTGTTACTTTTCAGACAAGAATAGCTAGAAGTAGTGGTAGTAGTGTATCGGCATCCAACCGTGGAGTATAATTCAATATTAGAAGGCGAAACATACGTGCCGGAGCTGGGAGCTTACTAAATTTAAGAAGTTACCCAATAGAAGATTCATCAGATTAATCTACCCCTACTCGAACTCGATGTTGGGCAAATAGATTTTCATAATTATTCTCGTCCGTTTTGTTCGAAGTCGATCCTTTATCCGGTACTGCCACTGCATTTGCTTGACCAGCCTCAGAAGTACTTGAGTTCCCTAGCCCTGGGGGGCTGCCAGCCTTGGGCGTGGCGCGAAATTAGAAGAAAAGACTGTTGCCAAATTGATCACTCGGCGTGCCTCACTCGGGATGAATCACAAACATACTCATTGACTCTCGCTCGTGAAGATGGGAATTTGAAAGGACGGTAAGATCTAATACTATAAAATGAAAAAATCGAGAGACTTATCAAAACACCTACATACTTGAGCTAATGATCAAGAACGAGCATTCCAGCAGGTGCCATACTCCTCATTCTGAGACACCCCTTGTGCAGGCGAGGGGCTCGCAACTTGTTCGCCTATTTCGGATGCAGCGTCTGCATTCGCTGCAGCGACAGCCGGACTCTTTGCTGGCTCCACCATGGTGAATATGAGAAACGGTAGATCCTTGGTTGCTTCGGAAGATACAATTCGTAACCTTCTCTATTAGTGTTGCTGTTGGCGTTCCTGCTCCTCACGAGAATGATTTGCGTCTGCAGCTGATGCTGCGTTGATGTCGATTGCTTATTATCTAGTTCTCGTTCTACTTCTATCACAGCGAAGTGGATAAACAAAGCCCCACAGCAAGTCTGATAGCGAAGTGCTCCACTCCTGTGGTCGTTCACGGCGAAGATCTCTGTTGTAGTTTCTCCTGCACTAGTGACGTTCCTTTGACACGATGGACTGACGACGAACTGCTACCACTGCTTCATACTAAACCTCCCCACAACAGTCATGAAATAAAATGACTTCTCCTACCTTGTGCTCCGTGGTTCGTTATCAGTTGCGCGACTCATTCATTCTCTTTCGTTTGCCTGTTCTTGAGGTATAGTTTGACGCGACGGGACGCAGTGGTGGCAAAAAAAATTTAATTACTTTTTCCTTCCAGCTCCGGGCGGAGGCTTTAGTGCGTTTTAATTTATAGAATAGAAATTATTATCATTATTATTATTATTCTTATCATTATCTTATATTCCTATTATTATTCTTACGTACGCTTTTATCTTAGACTAACGTCTTTTTTTGTTTTTACTAAATTGAATGAGCTAAATCAAGATTCAAGATTCAAACTTAACAATACAAGTCGTACCCAGATATGAGGTCACGAACTGGCCAACGAAAATGTCTGCCGAACGTGGTTCTTTTACTCTGTTATCTAAGTAAACACAACACTGTTCCTGAGGGGAAGTCAAAGAAATCGAAATTGCGAAGCACACCTGTAAGTTACAACCGTGGGACAAGCTACCTGAAATAAAAAAAATCGCTTCGAGAGAATAATGCCATACCTCGTGCAGACGAAGACAACAACCCGTGGTGAGGAAACTACGATAACGAGCAACCTACGTTAACATTTGATAGCAGAAAACTGAAAACCAAAACACTTCGTCTCGAGGAAGCCTAGACACCTATCTGACACTTGAATGATGATTATTGAAGAGACATACGACGACTAACCGTCCTCAAGGTGGAGCGGGTCGACGTGGAAATTTGAGGACAGCGCCCGTTACAGATTAGGACAAGACCACGAGTGTTATCTAACATGCAAATCAACAGCACTATGAAGTAGAAATGACAATATGCAGTACTATGGAGTAGAAATAAATCACGGTTGAGCGTAAAAATGTAGAAAAAAATTAGGATTATAATTAGAACACGTCCTAAAAACCGGCCGTATTTTTCTCGAAGAAGGATGTAGGCAGATTATTTTTCTTGTTTCTGACGACGGGACTTCTAGGAAAACGAAAAGGACTTTCAAATTGATTGAAAATATAAAAGATGCCCCCACTTCAGCGGCGCGCGGATGGAGCTTTACTCGAAGATGAGCATTTGTATGGGACAATGTTGACAAGGGTGCCCGCAAATTTGTTGAACCTTTTTTCTAGTCAAATGAAGCTATCTGAGCTGGAAGAGAACGATATGTCAACATCAACTGCAGAGGTATCTAGAAAGTTTCGAAAACCACTAGGCCGTGGTCACAGACTAGGTCTAGCCTCGTCGCGTGAAAATGAGTTGTCCGAATATATAATCTTCTAACACCGAGCTGGTACGTAGTACTCTGCGTTCTTGGTTCCTCCTAAGTCTTCTACGTTAATTTCTTGAACTTGACGAACACGAAGAAGAGAGGTGGATATAAAAATAGTACATGTGGAAGTGAAGAATAAATGAGCTAGACACGCACAATCTTTATTGCTAACCAACCACACTGCTTCTATCTCTATGCTCCACAACTTAATGAAGAGACAATGAGGTCGTTAACAAATTCAAACGTCTTCGATTGAGGTTCACGAAAGTCACAAACCACCGGAAAAGAAGAGGAAAACTTATCGCACCCAACCAGTTTCAGACCAATCCAAGGCCGCAAAGTCAGACGTGCATACTATCTAACAAGAAAATAGCGGTAGGATTGTTATTATACTTGATATAATTCGATCACTTTCGCTTCACGGAAGATAATTAATACTAATATGTGCAGCTCATATTGTAGTGCTGGTACGGCGATCAGCATGGAACGAAGGGAGCAGATAGTGCACAGCCGCTGGGTCGTCGGAAGGAGCCTCAAATACGAGACGGCTCGACCTCAACGACGCTAATTATTCAGTAGCCCTATTTCCTTTTTAGTTCAGCTCTTTCAAAGAACCCAACATGAAGATGGCCCGATCTGCGAAAAATCAACATAGAGCAGCGATATGAAGAACTGGAATAATCACAATTGAAGTACGTGACGGAAAAATTTTGGAGCTACAAAGATCGGAATCACTTAATTACCCGCTCAGTTGCAATACAAAGTCTGGACATGCTTCTAGTTGTACCGCCCACGAAGCCCGGCCTGTGATTTTGCTTGAGATAAGTTATGACTACAAAACGTGATCGTTGCACGCCCAGTATCTATAGTTGTGGTCCACTAGTGAGAATACAAGAGATGTATTTCGTCTTCGAGCCCGCAACTACTGTAATGCAGCTATTTGGTGGGAGTACTAGTTTCAGTTTGTTTCTGCTGCAACCTCCATGCAGCAGTCTACTAATCTTATGGCTGTCCGTGGTACTACTGCGCTCAATCCTCTGCGATCGATGATGTCCTTGCGTATAGCTTTGTACCGGTTATTATAGCCACGCGTAGCAACAAAGTAATACTCTCGGAGAAAAAAAGTTGTAAAAACAACACTTGCGCGATCTCGTCTTTATAATATTTTTACAGCCTGCTGTTTCAGTCCCTTCCAGATGTTGACGATGCGCGCGTATCTCGGAGTAGTGACCGGAGTACGCGCTGCAAACTAAAGTGCTGAGAGTTTCTTTCGGATCTTCTTCCTCCACGATTTGCCGGAGCAATATTCGTCCGAGAAATGTCTACTTTTCGGGAACAGTAGTACGGCCCCTGTGCTTCGTTCGCTTCCCTCTGCAACGCTTATCTACTGCCGCTAGTGGTTGGAGATGGAGGACGTTTTTATCTCGTTCCGGTTGTAGTGGAATCAAGTTTATCGTTGTATTCCGCAAGATGTTGAAGAGTGAAGGAGATGCAGTAGCACGAACCAACGAGCATTGCCTTCCGTCCACGTCAGGGAAGAGCTTGCTGAGGCTACTTTGTCACGAGGAATTCGGCGAAAGAAGAAGCTTCTCGACGCACATTATTGAAAAAAAAAATACGACCAGTTGTGAAGGAGATTAATATTGAGGTTCTGATCAATGATCAAGAAAAAAACGCTACAACACGCTTTGTTTGAACAACAAGACCTGCGCCTGCGTTCGGGTATCAATGTTCTCTCTCCATCGAATTCGCTTTTCTATCCTCTCGTAAACGGCATGACACCCCGATGTCTGTCTGTAGCAACAATTTCCCACCTCGTCAGAACAAGAGGCTAAAAAGTAGGTATGACAAGATGTTACACCACCTGTACGCATACGAACAAGAGCTCTTTCGACTACGACGTACAGTCCTACTTGCTACAACTTCTTGTAAATAGTTTACATAAATACTCCACATGTATCATCCAAATATATCAAACTGATAAAAACACGAACAAACTTCTTTCCTTGACCTTCTCACTGAGCACGTTCTTCTAACATGCTGCGTTGATCGGGATGAACTTGGTACGCAAACCCTAAAAAACGCCGAAAAAGTGAAAACTCAAAGTATTCATCTCCGTTCGTGATGGTGTATTTATCTCCGTTCGTGATGATGTCATTGTGAGTCACAGTTTTTCTCTCGCACGTGGGCACACGATTCATCTACTTCCTGCCTGTAGTCGGCCAGAAAAAGCTGCTCGTTTTGTCATTCACCTACCCTTTAATTATATCAAGTATCAGTAGAGCGGCCTCGCTCAGACTACTTCACGCACAGAGTAGATGAGATTTAGAAGAAGCTAGGGCTCTGCCTAAAAAAAAAATTGGTCGCGCCTCTTACCTTAGTAATAGCTCCCGCGGTGTATCCATTATCGGTATGATGATGCGAATCTATTCGACAACCTGCCTAAGATTTCCCTGCCTGAGATACGGCGCATCGGTATAATATTAGATGCGTATCTTCCTGACGATCATCAAAGACATACTCGAGAGGACTGATAAACAAAATTACCTTTCAAACAAGTCAATACCTAGTATCAGTAACTGGCTACTCCAGTCACAATCTGGTAGCTACTTCATCTTCTAGTTCTGGGGACGACCAATGGAAGAATACACGAATGATCAGCATCGAAGTAGAGTATAATTATGTAGCACTCGTCGGCACCTTCGCATCACAAAGGCCTCAATGAATTACACTACTCGGAATTGTCGTCTATTTTCAGACTGACAATGCCGATAATCGAGTATAATCTATTGCTACAACTAGTAAAAAACTGGAATTCGCTGCGAAGTCACTGCTCGCTGTAGTAAATTTGTCCTGGAACGACTCCTCGGTCTGTTGACGTCACAGAAGTCGAAGATATACAATGAGCTTTCATTTTTATTGAGAAACTATCTAGTAGTACATTATATCAATATCAAGAAATCATAAAGCAATAAAAATTCAAACACGAATGAATGATCTACTTATAAAACTAAAAACAAACCACGCGCCATATATCGATTGAGGCTCCGCCCCTGGTGGGAAGGCAGGAAAGTGCCTTTGAGAGGACAAACACCCGCCCCTGGTGGGACAAGATGCCCCCACCTCTGAGAGGGGGCGCGGGAATTACACGCCTAGCCCCAGGCCGGACAGAATGAGGCGCCGTAGCGCTTTGCGAGAAGCATCGCGCCGCGATTGGTGCGCAGCATAGGGGAGGCCTGGACGCATGGGCCTGTGCTCACTAAGGAGATACTGGGCTAACAGCTACTGGCATGGCTGATGGTTGTTCCTCCTGTGAGTGTGTGATGCAAGAGAAAGAAAGAGAGACGGCCAGTCCGGGGCGTCTTGCTCCATTGCGTGCCAAGGCCTGAGATGAAGCGCCAACAGCACAGCAGGAGAGGGGGGCGCGCTGGCTTCCGTGGTTCTTGTCTTCTGTGTGTCCAAGGTGAGGAGAGCCCCACAGCTTCAGCGAGCTGGTGCCGCCTCGTTTTCTTTCAAAGAAAACAAGGCAAAAGGACAAAGCCGTGGCTGCGAAGCCGTGAGGAGATTCGGCGGTCTGATTGGCTGCCCCGGTGTGGTTGCTTTCTAGTCCCGTGTCGTGTGGTGTGCGCGGCCTGGTTGCTCTCCTCACCCTTGCCGGGATGCGTCCGCACCCCTCCTCCTTCTTCCCCTTTTCGTCCTTCCCTCCTGGCCTCGGTTGCGGTCGTTGTGGAGGGTTAACCCTAGCCACGGACCCGCGCACCGGTCCCCAGTGTCAAGCCCCAGGCGGGCAGACAACACGCCACCGCCAGCTTCGCACTCCTTGGCGCTGCTACTTTTCTGGGGTCTGATCGCTCGGCCCGGGCGCCTGGGTTGAGGATGCCCAAGGCGGACCTGGGCGCTTGAAGTTGCGGTCCTCTGGGGAACACCTGCCGCCGACTCACCTGGTGCAGTATCCCCGCGCCAGTCTGGAACACGCGAGAGCGTGACGGCAAGGCCCCCGCCCCGGCCTCAAGTTTCCCTGGAGACTGAACACGGGCAAAGGCCCAGCGTGTTGATGGGTCACCTTCCATACATACAGACACACATATATCGATCGAGAGTCCTGGAATTATTAGATAACTCGATGTATTTTGTGATAGTTGTGTTCGTGAACCGCAATCAGCGCCAGACGGAAAATAAAACATCATGACGGTGAAGACAATACAACTCACAGTCACTTCCACTGGCGCAGACGAATCGATTAATTGAGTTTGAGGCAATGGTAACATTTGTTACTTCTAGTTAGTCATGCATGAATATTTTTCAAGATTCATTTTCATAGGCTGGCAGCAAAATGAGTTGAAAGAATCCCGAAAGAATGGAATGCTTTACTTAGCAAAAGAGTCTATCACACGTCAAAACTTTTCTCCATCTCTCTTGCAGTTCATGCCGCTGCAGAATCAGCACATCGTACAATATTTCCACTTTCATTTCGCATACAACATTTCAAAGAGCACACCAAAGCAAAGGCGTCGTTGTTCCATTTTGCAAGAAGTGAAAAGACAGCAGGTAATTCTCCGCACACGTTTCAATTTTTTACAATTTTAAAAACTTCGGCCAAAGGACCAGCGCACCAGCTGGGGTGGGCGCAGAGAAGTCTTACACTTCGCGGCCGATGCGCCGACGCGGCATAAACCCGAGACTGCGCCAGTGCACTACAACACAAGAAGAAACACAAGACTTGAATTTGCAAGTTCATTTCGTCAGAAAGAATAGGACAGTCAGCATGCCTAGAAAAGATGCATTTTCCAATTCGATTAGATGAGTGTCAACATCAAGGGCACCAAAACGAAAACACAAGGCTCAAGGTTTATATAAGTAAGCAAGAGAGTCGTGATTTGACGAACAAGAACATCACTGGTCTCAAACTCAGAGCACTAGCCGGCACCGTGCATGAACTGAGACTGACAGCGGCTCTTGCACAGCACGGCTTCGTTGTAACACAAGCATGGATGACTTTTATCTGCTTTTCTTTGTAGCCTTGTATTCGTGGCGCATGAGGGTAATAGACGAGGTCACGCAGGCCAGAGCATCTTTCTGTAGTAGAGTGTCCGAATCATGATCTTCATCAATCTAAAGTCGAATTCATGCGGGTGGGTCCTCTTGTTTAGATTGAACTGGCAAAAATATTGGTAGTTGTATTAGAGTCGTGTCTAGTACGAGGTATTTTAGTATTTGATGATGACTTTATGTTGAAGTAGAAGTAGAATCATCTTCGTCAGCTTTAATTTTCAGCCACACATCGCACAGACGTGCTAGTGTAGTTCTATCATGACGATGACCAGTGTTCTATTTAATATGTCATTCGACAAGAATGTACGAAAAATCTTGAAATTTCTGACAAGTATGTTTTTCAGTAGACAATCTCTTGATTTCTTGGTGCATCTTCAAGAACAACAATTGAAATTAAGACTAAGAGACTTCTGGCATGCGACAGGCAGGGGCCGTGGCTCCAGAAGTCTGGGTAGGTTTTATTTTGGACGAATTCCTGTAATCATTTGTCGAACGTGTTTTTTGCGAGAAGTCTGAGAAAGTAAGTTGAGAAAGAGTATATCGTCCACTCAAAGGCGAATTTATTAAATGAAGAAAATTGTGGACTTCAGTTCTGTTGTGGCTTAGCTCTGGGTTTAGGCAGAGGATCAATCTTCATCGTCAGAATGAATTATAAATCTTCAATCTTTCTAAGTCCTAGGAAAAAGATATTACGTGATGTATTCATTTGGTACAAACTCAAACATCATTTACAAGGAGAGGTGGAATCTTCAAGCTGGTTCTTCCGCATGAAAAGTCTGCGTCTGCAGCGTGTAGTTCAAATAATTAAAGTCCTCATACACAGTTTCTCGTAGCACTTTTGGCGCCCTGTACCGGTGCCATTCTCGGTATAAATCAGTCCATGAACTGGTCTAGTTTTTGCGCTGGTGTTCCGGGAACTGGTTGCTTCAGCGTCTGCGCGCTCTGCGTATCTTAGAGATAGTAGTGCTATATTTCGTGATCTCTTGGTAGTCCCACGCCTATGATCAACAGGGCTTCACCCGAGACTCTATAATGGGAACTTGTTTCTCTTAAGTTTGATCGAGCGGAGGGAGCAGATTCTCCTTGTTAGCTCCTGTCAGTCGGAAGTCCGCGTTCACCCGCGGAACATATCGTGGCAGCACGTCCCGCTTCCCATCGAGAAGCGTGTAAGCCGGAGTCAGGGGATGAGTGTTGCGCTTTGTAACCATACCCTTACGAAGACTGCTAACCTGGATACAAAAATTGTGGTTTGAACTCTCAGAATAGGCATACTTCTGTTTTTTACTAGTACTAGTTTTCGGCAATATTTCACGACTCCTGAGAAGTAGAGCAAGGTGAGTCTTGAATGTTGATCTTGAACTCGAAGTCAGGCAGTGAAAGTACTTGCGCGCCAGGAATATCGAAGGGGTCGTGGAATGTAATTGGCGGTTTCTCTTCCATTGAGTCATACACGTGTATCGGCTTCTCGCCACACCACCTCTGCGGATTTGCACCTCAGGGATATATTCCACGGTTGCCAGAAGCATGGGTGAAAATCTAGGAGGAACGATTCTCGACACAAGAGATAAAACGTCAAAAAATATGAATTTGTTTGTGCTAAACGTAAATCCTACCAGCGATATCTTCTTTGAGAAGACTAAGTTGCGGCTCCCCATTACTCCACTGCAGTTTCCGTGGCTTTGCCCCAGGTATCGTCCCGATCGTAGACGGTCTCGCCTGCGGCGCGTAAAGACCTATGCAGCATCAAAAAAGGAGGGTATAGATACAACGAGATAAAAAATCTAGATATCGCTCTTGTTGCGGTGGGGATGGCACGATGTGGGGTGGCTACTAGCATCTTGATCATACTGCACAGCACGTCCATCCCTTGATCACAACTACAACAGTAAAATTGCTACCTTTCTCTTCGTTCCAGTCTGTGTATAAACTCGTCGTCGTTGCTTGAGAAATGGTGTATTCTGGATCGATGGGATTCGTCTCTCTGAATGGTATACGCCTCTTCGGACCGTTGATGTCACCCACAGAAAGTGAGTTGTAGAGTGTGCGGTCTGCACCAGTTGCATTGGTCGCTTGCCTTACCGGCTGAAGAATGCGTCCCCGATAATTCGGACAAGCATATTCGATATCCGACGCATCATTAGGGTCCCGCACATAGTTCCGATCGGGAATTACTATCTTTGAAGACGTGAACCTGCGCGTTAAATATACAGTCAAAATGAAGATCTGGATGTAGATCAACATCAACAATCAACTTACCAGTACTAACAATATCTTCGTCGACCTCGAGTTATAAAACTACATGATCTTGAGTAGCTGAAACACATTGTTTCGTCCAAGGTACGAATACAAGTAACCATAAGATGAACCCTATGTATAAGTCGATACAACTCTCTCACTCTTCAACAGCAAATCCGAATCAATTAAGTAGCACCAGATGAAGACACTAGTTATAGTACTCAATATCGGAGATGTCGTTCGTGTGACGTCCACTAAATCTTCGGGGGGAAACTGGGAGTTGCGGCCTGCACGTGGGTAGCTTGTATTCTGGCTGCAATGGGTCAATGTGTCGGCATCCCTTGAAAATCTGTAAAGACATCAATATCATGGGTCATAGGCATCATGATTTTTAATGTTGTGTGGTGGTGGAGGATGTGAAGGTGCAGGTGATAAGTTATAATGACATTCTTAATTTCAATCAACTGTCTCCCGCAAGCTACAGAACGGAGCTATAAAGATAATTTTGTTCGACTAAATGGTCTTCGTAATGCATATCAGAAAGTGACTATGCTAGACAAGAACGTAGCGTCACGTGTCAAGCTAGTACCTGAGTTTTCGCAGGTCGAGCACCTTCTATGTCCACAACAGTGAGTGACAGATCGCGTGGCCTCCTCAGGGGGTTTGGATAGCACGTTCGCGCTCTCTGTCCGGGTTCTGTTGTTTGTGGTGAAAGGTTGTGAAGCCGAAAAAGCCTATTTATCACCAGCACAACAAAGTCCAAGATCGGTATGTCCATAATCTCATTAACCCACGAATGTGATCATATTCATATTGATTCTCATCAAAAACACATCCATACAACTACGAGCAGCATCACAAAGGTAAGAACCTGGCTCCGGCTTCTCTAGTTTTCGAAGGTAATGCGTGTGATAGTAAGGTCGGGCCTTGAAAATATCATTCGTTTTCAATGATAAGTCCTCGTCTGAATTAGAAAAAATAGTTTTACACTATGCTTTTGGCCCAAGTGAAAAAGTAATGTCCCTGATCTTGATCAGCGGTCGAACGATCCCCTGGAAGAAAATACAGAAATACGAAGACACTCCTTGTTTCTTCCTTCTATACTGAGATAGATCACTGTGCCACAACATAGTGGAAAACTACGAAGAACCGTAACTTTTGGAGGATATATTCTTCCAAGCGGTACGTCTTTTGGGTGGATGGTGTCGAGGTACATCGTGTCCTCACGACGCGGAAATGGGTTGTCGCCCAACATCTTGATGTCCTTGCAGTTCGCTGAAGCTATCGAGTTGCTTCTGGTACAACTTAATGAAGATGGTCTTCACTTGTTGTTTGATCGTGATGCTGTGAAGCCAGCAGAAGCAGATAACCTAAGACTGTGACTACAAGGAAGTGGTTACGAATGGTCTGTTGTAGTTTGGTACGTCGTGGTCCGAGAGTTAGCAGGCTCGCTTTGCCTTACTCTCTTCTACAACGAAGAGAAGCAGAAGAAGGACACCGAAAAAATCAGGAAACTCAAATTACAAGCTAGATAGAAATCAACTTGGCAAGAGATTTGTCATTTGTGCATGGTTTCTTTTATCATGCAAGGAGTCCAACATGTCTGTTGATTAAGTCTAATGAATGTACGAGGAAGGGCGGCGTTACAAATAAGTGGACAACCAGTTCTAAAAAAGTCGAGCCTCAAATTCGAATATGTAACCGAGGGGTAGGAACAAGCTGCTCAGAAGGAGAAGTAGAAGATCTATACTTTAGTTCAATGCACAGTGATTAAGAGAAGATGTTTTTGATGATTTGAATCTATTCGGCGAGCTGCCTAAGATTTTTTACGTCATTGATTTCAATACAATAAGGGTTATGGTTTCTTATACTTCCTGAGTGGTTGTAGATAGTAATTGATCAATATCACTGCTGACAGTGAGTTGGGGTGATCGTATAACCTCCGTGAACTAAAATGTCTTCTAACGCGATTCTTCTCGAAAACTAAATGCTAGTGTTTTGCTCCTGCTTATGGTTATACTGTGCGGAGGTGATTATACAACGAAGCCAGGTGCTCGGGCGTCTCCGATGAATGCATCGCAATAGTACAACGACTCTGCCAGCACCCGTGAAATTGTTGCTGCCATTGGGACGGGGGGTCATAACACGGAATCATGCTCTTTTGCTGTATCAGCTCCAATAAGTTTTTTTTCCATTGCTAACCCTATCAGTTTTATTTGATATTGCTATTTTGATTTGAATAAAGGATGAAGAGCAAGGATGTTGAACCACCGAAAACGAGTCTTCATACGTTAAGCCGAAACTAGCACAACCTAGATCTAGTAGGCAATCAAACATCAACGATACTGCGTCCATTCACTTCCTCAGAGTGTAAAATCTTGATTTACCCAACACATTGTCCATAATTGAAGCGTATTCCTACAATGTGAAACAAGGAGTGAACAACAGCAGGATCTCCTGGAGGACATATCATGCGAGATATGGAATCTTTTGGGGGAAAGGAGGAGGGCTAGAGATGCTAACCGTGGCCTATAATGGCTGCTCTCTTCTCCCGACAACGATGCGACCAGACTTCTTGTTAGCTCAACAGTCGAGTCGACACAGACAACTGTACTTGAAATTTCCGATAAGATCGATCACCGAAGGCGAAGTTCAGGTCGTTTTGCTGAATGATTAATGCGACATTGTCAGGACAACGATTGAAAACTACAACACGCAGACCTGTAGTTCACAAAGGCTCAACGGAGAACAATATGCGAAAACCACCACTTCTTTTGGATGAGGTGACGTGGTTAGGATTCCCGTCTCGATCTTTTTATCGTTTTCCGTACACTTTTGTTTCAGGCATTGTTCTACGAGAAACACAGTGTCCCTAGTAGGTTCACGTTCGCCCACAAGGTGTGGTTGTGCATGTGCAACGGAATCGCCGATTAATTAGGACAAAACGTTCACCACAAAAGCGCATAGTCCACTTTAGCTGGAATCACGCCACACTCTTCATTCCGATATTGAGAGCCATGAGTTGCGTCTGAAGATGGTTCATGAACTCCTGCCTCTTTGGAATGTGATAGATATTGATGATCGCCTTGTCTTTGTATTCGACCTGAACGCGGTTTGGCCTATCTTCTTCGAATGACAGCCGCCGAATTGCATTTATGCGCCGACAACTATGCACCACGTAATGCCCGTTATTCTCCAGTGGCGAAACGAGCTGAAGCGATGTTCAGGACAAGAATTTATAAAAAGGCGACAGAAGGAAATCAGCCTTTTGCTACAAATTTCATTTTCACAGGTGCGTCGAATAAGCGCCTCTAGTTTGTTTATCTACATAAGAATAAGTAGGTACCACCATGTAATTCAGGCAGAGGATGAGCGTCCTGGGTCGCTTCTCATGAAAGGACAAGGGGTCTCCCTGAACCAAGCCTTGTGCGACTGAGGTCGCGACTTTAGTTGTTTCTTGAATATTCTTCTTGGTTCGTTGCCACCATGAGAGTGCTCCTCCAGAGGATGAGGAGTTACGTGTTGCAGAAGCACTGGCTCCGCCAAAATTCATGCTCGCACCAGACGAAGCTAAAGAACTTTCGAAACCAGGAGCGGAAGATGCGGTAGCTGCACCAGACGCCGTTGCTGTTATCTTTGGCGGTGCTCTGTATTTTGTTACCTCGAAACTCGCGCAGAGGGATGACCTCAACAACCGTTCCATATCCGACCGAGCGATGACACTGCCCTTTCGCAGAGATGCGAAATCGGCCATACTAAAATTCAGCTCCGGTCCCACTGCTCCCTCAACAGCTGAGGAGGAGGACGAAGGCACTGCTCCTGCAGTCATCTCCTGACCGACAAAAGCTTCCGCGTTGTTAGCGTCATTCTTCGATGGCGACACCTGGACTGAACCTAGTTCAGTCTGCCCTGCAGATGAAGTGCTCCATGTTGACGCAGTCACGGGTCCAGCAGTACTACCTGTTTGCTTTCCGCTGCTTCCAGGAGCATGGCGGCTATCCTCGTCGCTGTGCGATTCCGAGGATTCAATCGCGAAGGTGTCATCTTCGTCGTCATCTTCCTCGACGACAGGTTTTGCCTGCATTTTCTTGCTAGAACTAGAAGGGAGCAATGAATTCTGCAAAGTCTTCAGCATGCCATCTTTCTTCGTGGGAGGAGGTGGAGGAGGTGGCTGTGGATTTTCGGAAAATTTCGCACCGTCTCCGGCCGGCGGCGGCTGCGTGGCTGTTTGCTCGGAGGGAACAGCGACATTACCATCTGAGGCGCCCTCTTTCGACAGTGAACTACTGCTATAAGCACTATCTGTGGGGCTCCGTGCTGTTGTCGTACTAGACGCAGCTGCAGACCCTGTCATGGTGGCGCTGCCTAAAGGCACAGCGCTTCCTAATATTCGGCTGCCGACGCCACTGGCGCTGAAAGCTGCTGTTTCTGCCTTCGTCTTTTCGTACGCCGCCTCAAGAAAACTGCTCGCTGCTCCTTGCAGGCCCGCAAACATATCGGTAGTTTGCAGACCCGCTCCGTCGTCGTTCTGTTGAGAAGCAACAAAATCTCTCCGCGGAAGAGCATTTTCAAGCCGATTTGACGTTGCGGTCTCCTGGCCTTGTCCTTCAGAACTTCCGCCAGCCATACTAGACTCAGCAACAGGCTTGCTTGAAGATGACGAGGAAGAAGAGGAGGTCTTGCTTAATGATCGAAGTGTTTCAACTGCTCGCTCCATCTTGCCGCTAATTTTGTCTTTCCGAAAAGAAGTGGGAAGCTCAACAGGCTTCCCTGGCAACTCTGCGCGTACTGCTGCCGAGGCAAGCGATTCCTTCAACGAAAAGAAAAACGAACTTCCGGCGGCTTTCACTTTTTCTCTCTGAGCTCTCATTTTTTCAGCCAAGGCAGCCGCGCGAGCCTCACTGGAAACCGAATCTTCCTCTTCGAGGCCTTCTGGTGCTCGTCCATCCTGGTGAACGAAGCCGCCATAGGCAGACCCTGCTGATGTTGCAGGTACAGCTTGCATGCCGTCCATGACCCCAACTGACGCTTCTTCTTCCTGCGCCACAGCTGCTGCTCCCCCAACCGTTTCCTCGTCAGTAGAGGTTGCTGAATCAGCATGCGGCTGTCCGACGTTTGTCTGCTGGTGAATCACGTGTTTCTCCAACAACCCTGCGACTTTCGCCTCTTCGCTAGTAGCATCTGCACGGAGGCGCTCACGCTTCTGCATTTCGTCACGCACACGCTGCTGGCCCTTCTCTAACAACGTTGTGGCCTTCTGCTGCGCCACCTGCATTTTCGAGTCCATCTGAACGAGCGCCGAATCGAAACTCGTTGCTGCCTGGTTCAGCCATTCTGACCACTGAGTCTTCGCCATATTGCGCGGCTGTCGCGTTTGCTGTGTGGAAATTTCAAACTGGTGGTCACGAACAAGATAGCTAAAAGGCATTGCTTGGAAAAAAGTTGCGAGGTGGAGTAGGCGCCAGCACAACACGACGACTGAAGGAATTTGTAAATGTAAAAAATTCTTCATTATGGAAGTTCATCCAGATCCAGGATATGCAATTGAAACTCGATCATCCCTACGCGACTAGAAAAAGATACAACTATTGCGTCTTCTTTCTGTTTCCCCACGAGCTGCTTGCACAAGCCAGGAAAATCTGTTTCGACCACTGAGACGTACGGAAAGCCTAACTCCCGGCTCAGGTTGACGATGACACCCGCCTGATTTGCCCCGAAGACGCAAAGAAACTTTCCACGGTGGCTTTCCAGTGTTGCCGCAAGCGCTTGCAAGTCCTCCAACTGCGTGCTCGCTGCAATCTCGAGACTTCCCAAAATACGCGAGTGCCCAGGAATTTGGACGGAAGATGCCGCTTTTCTACTCCTCTTCTGGCCCTGTGGATCACTTCGTATACCTGACATGCTGTCGGCGAGCGCACTAGTGGTTGTGATCGAAACTCCTGCAGCCTCCCCTTCCTCGCGAACAGCACGCGGCGGCGGCGCGAATAGATCTCCAAGCATCGCGTTCACGGCTTGCTGTGGACCGGATGGCGCTGTGCTTTCATCTTCTCCGTCGGACGAAGATGTACTGCCATCGTCGGATATGAACCAGTCGTCCGGCGATGGCTGTCTTTCTTTTTCAACGACGACGCTTTGCGCTAGCTGGTCACGATCCCGACAATCGATAAGTTGAACCATGCTGTTGTTGTGAAACGCTTCAACCGGCAAGCCGCGATCTGCGAAGAAGGACATAAATCGATTCCAGGCTGCACCGCATCGCCCGGATTTCGATGTTCCAACATTTTCGCATATACTCTGTGGATGCGAGCTAAGCACAGCCAGGTCTAGTCGCATCTGGACGCCGCAGGGGGCGCCCGCCGCCACCAAAGTCGGTCTATGCCCTACACACAGTTCTGCCCAATAATGAAAAAACAAATCTGGCGTACGCAGAACTAACCAGTGGAACTCGTGAAGCTGATGATGTTGACCTTCTGGTATTTTTGAGGGTGAAGATTTTTTTTTTCCTGCAGGTGAGAGACCCGAGCTATTTGCGTTCACACTTTGATACGAAAGATAGTCCCCACTGGCGGAGGCTTCCGTCTCTAGACATCCGCTAGGCAATGGGGCATCATCAGATAGGAGATCGAGCAAGCGGGCCTCCTGCTCTACAGCAGCCGCTGTCGGTGTTGTCGCGACTGCATTGCTTGGAGAGGAATCCTGGCTCGTCTTTCCGTCCTTCTTGGTGTCTTTACTTACTACAAAACCCTCTGCAAGAATCTCGTGTAGTTCTTCCGCTGAAACAGCCGTCTGAATGGCCTGAAACTTTCGGAACATTCGGTAGAGCAAATGCAGCGGCACGAGTGATCCGAGTGCTTTAGGGTTATTCAAAGTCGTACGCGTCTCTGCTTTCACAATGTGCGTGTTCTCTTCGTGCTGGCCGTCAATAGGGGTCGCCTCGCCTCCTTCCTTTTCGCTTTTCTGCGCTTCTGTTGACGACGCTGCTGATGTGGTTGTAGCAAGAACATTCTTTAGTGTTGATTCGTCGACGATTGCCAATCGAAGGTCTCCTGCAAGCCGATCCCCAAGTATGCCCAGTTGTTGTGCGCCGTAGCCCCACATTTCCAGGGAGCGCGCAAACAATGGATGATGATAGCGCAAGAGTGCCCAAAACAGTCGGTCTCGCGCTGAAGGCCCAGATGACTTCGAGTTGCTATCTCCGAAATCGCATGCGAGAAAACTCTCCTTCCAATAGAAGAGCAGCGAACCTAGGCAATCAGCCGACAAATATTGCTTCGAGTCTGCATCATCTTCTGGAGGAAAGTTTGTGCACCCCAATAAAGCGTGAAAGAGTCTAGCAGTCGGCGTGATGGTTGGAGGAATTGTAGAAGTTGTAGCGGTTACGGATCCCGCAATAAGGCTTTCGTGTTCCGCATCAACCTCATGCTCATGCAACCTAGCTGGTGAATTATGTCCAAAAATGTCCGCGGCGCTCTCTCCAAGGAGCTCTTTACCAAGGCTACAGTAGGCCGACTGGACTTCAGCAACCGAGCTGCTATGAGTCGAAAAACTCAAATCGACAGCTAGGTGCTCTGCGAGAGCGCGGACCCACGACGCAGAGACAGGCTGTGACGGTGGAGCACTGTCTTTAGCGGGCGCGTAATGATTCCCGGGAGATGACATTATCATGTTACTCAATTATAGTTTCCAGCCGAGCAAATACAACCAAGCAATCAGACCAAAACGAACCTCCAAACTCTACGACCTTGGTCGCGTCGCGAGTCACGTGATATCTTTTTTACTAAAATCTTCTTCAATCCTAGCTCCCCTATGAATTCATAGATTGGTCGTACAGTGTGGATGTTTGTTCTGTTATTTCTAGACATGTTTTTGTTCACCAGTTCTCTTTTCGTGGGGCTATCAGTACTGCTGCAGCATGTCATGTGGTCGCTCGGTGTTGTAGTTCAAACTGAACCATCTAGGGAGCCGTATCACATAGAAGTTCTAGCGAGCTCAAGTAGGTACAACATGTGATGCCGCTTCCGCAGTTGAACTATTCTAGACCTCGTCCGTGAAGACCTCCTACTCGGTAGTCTTCGATCTTTTCGAGCAGGCGCCGCCTAACCTCACGCTGCTTCCCCAACGCGCTGTTTTTAACCTTAACTACACCGCTTCATGGCCATGTGGCCGTCGAGTGCCGGCGCTCATTGTGTTGAGCCAGTCCTATAGATACATTGACATGCAATGTTTTGCCGAGTTTCAAAAATTCTAAGAAATCCTGAGTCCCAGAAGCAACTGTGTATAACGGCCTTCGCCTTGTTTTCTGTATTCTCCAAAGCATATTCAGATGAGGGGGACTGGAGGAAAACCCGCTACACAGACGAGAGCGCAAATTATGATCCGTTTGTCAAAAAATATCCACAAGAACTGTAGAGCTACAACATAATAGACTGAGTGATGGCACTCGATGATACATTTCAAAACAAGGCGCAGACGCTTTCTTGATCAAAAAATACATAGCGACGAAGACTCCCGAATGATTTCCGTTAAAACATACGAGTACAACATGTAAATACAACCACAATGGGATGGGGTACCGTGTATGCTGGTCGTTATCATGTACACAAATAAGCTCGAGGACATTAGGCATCGGGCTGTTCTAAAAATAATAATAATTTCATTGTCATTATATTTTGGGATATGGTATCATATGGTTAGACAAGGGTTAGGACCTGAGAGCTTGGGGAAGACTAGGGGCGGGTGCTAACCTCCGAGACAGAGCGTGCGGATGCAGGGGAAGGGCCCGCTATTCGCATCTGGTTTCGCTGCCTTCCGCGCAGCGTAAAGATGTCGCAGCAGCACATGCAAGGGAGTCCAGTAGAGTGGCACCATATGGCTGACAGGTATACAGTCTACGTCGACGTCGGCAAGAATCACAGCCTGCGAGGATGACAAAGCCACGTCTCCACCTTGTCCTGTTCCGTTAGAAGCCGATGGGCCAGCGCCTTTCGTATCTCCACGACTTGTTCCGCCTTGTCGTGCCGTTCCACTCATCGAGGTACGGGGATCAAAGACTCCGAGAACTGCACTCCCTCTCCCCACTACCTTCTGAAGAAAGCTTTTCGCGCCTGCTGGCGACAACATGCCTCCGGACGAACTGTTGGTTTGCGGTGTCGCCGTTGCCGCGTGTTCAGCCGCTGCCTCCCCGTTTTCTAACTGGGCAGCAGAAGATGCATCCGTACTTTGGACAATATTCCTGTGTGCAGCTCCGCCCCCTGCAAGCCCGCCACTTGCGCTGTTCGTAATTCCATTAGAAGATGCGCCATTTTCCAAATGTGATGGCGCCTGATTGACGAATGTTTCGAAAGCGTCCGCTAGGCTAAGATGTCGATTGTCCAGCAACGCTACCGCATCAACTCTGGTAGGCGACCCTCCCGTGAGCGCCTTCGTTGTCAGACTACAATTAAGTGAGTCTGGTAGTGCGCACAAGAGAATTTCCACACACCTCGCGTTCACAAGATCAGCAGTAAGCGCTCTCCGGCTTGGATCTAGCAAGGAGCGGACACGCGGTGACATCAAGTCCATTGTTCGGTATGCAAGTAAAGCACAGGCTTCATCCAAACAGGATAGTGCTACGAGCTTGTGCTCCTCCTGTTGTCCTCCTTTTCGTCCGGATTCGAACTTCGATGACGATGGGCCTGTTGATGCCGATGATCGAGAAGCAAAAACAGTGCGGAGCTGTGCAACATCTGTTTGTAAAAATTCAAGCGCCTCCACGACTTGCCCACGTAGCCAAAGCTCTACAAAATACTGCGTGGCGAGTAGCGCAACCGGGAGACACCTGATGTTCGGAGATGTTATAGACGCTCATGCTCAGCGATTATATAAATATACATATTTATATATAAAACATATTAATACATGCCCAGAACGCGGGCCCAGATGGGCCCGCTGCACTGGGCATAGGTTAGCAACTAGACAGATAAGACCTACAAACGAACAAAGTCGCTAAGTCCGCTGTCCAGGGCTAGAATGACTGGCGTGCTGGCTGTCGCTGTGGCTAGGCTAGTAAGCTGGCTACCGCTACCGCTATGGCTAAGCTAGCGCGCTGACTGTGGCGAAGCTAGCACTGTGGCTCTGGCTAAGCTGGCAAGCTCGTTTTTAGGTCTTATCTGTCTAGTTGCTAACCTATGCCCCGTGCAGCGGGCCCTTGATGGGCCCGCTTTCTGGGCATGTACTAATATTTCATTGTTGTGTAGGCTTCAGAGATATTTAGGACACGGGAGGCACCTGCGTGGCGTTGAACACCATCTGTCATGGTTTTAAGGATTCAATATTTTATGACACTACCGCAATTGCTTCGCGACTTCTCTTCTTCTTCGTGTTAGCGCGCGCAATGTCGTAGGATCTTGGTTTTCGACTGCTTTTGCGTATCGCATGCGTTTCCCAGCAGAAAAGCCAGCTGACATGCTTGACGACGATCCGCCAAAACTCGGACTACCCCAAAATTGGAAACCTCGGGATTTCTTTCCCTTCTCATTCCGACTTTGGCACGGATCGTTTGCTGAGTTTCGTCTGGTGTCTCCTGCTGTTACGTTGCCATAATGTCCATTCATCGCTGCAGCCCGCTGTTGCAGCGTATCGGAGCGCAGATTTGACTCGTTGCGGACCTGCATTTTCGTGGCTCCCTTACGGATCGGGCGGGGAAAATGCTCGCCGGATGCGCTCTTCCCCGCGCCTTGCCCGCGAATAGCTCTACTAGGCGCTCCACCCGATAAGACGGATGCAGCTGCAAGTTCGTGCTCGTTAGGATCGCCCGCTCCTGCGCCACCTGTTGTTCTTGAACGACTATTGCTACTACTTGAAAGCCCTACTCCCGTCGAAGACATTTCCACATCTTCATGTCTGATCGCTGCTGTCAACGACCCAGAGGCAGTGTCAATACTTAAAGTAGCGCCAGAATTATTAGTGCATTCACTGCTAATCGTCATGTTTGTGCTAGCAATGTCAGAATTGATTGCAGTGGACGCTGCCGAACACTTTTCGTCATGAGTGCCACCCTCTGAACCTGCTTCGCCTTCCGGGCCGACTGCGCGCGGCATTCCTTTCGTGTCCGCAGATAGGATTTCTGATGACGAGGCTTCGGTTGGCTGCTTACGGTCGGGCGGCCGAAATGTATTGGACTGTGCTCCTACACCCGCTTCATGAGTTTGCATATCAACATCGTCTTCGGCATCATGATACTCATCATGTGATTCTGCGGCCAATTCTAGCCCCCCGTCCAAACGTGTTCTTTCCTTTGCTTGCGAGACCTCTGTTGGAAAGAGGAACGATGCTCCTACGCTTCGTGCGTCCATTCTAGCTGTGACTGCAGCACCAGCTGCAATCACACCAGCGGGTGACACAAACAACGAGTCGATATCGTGATCCTTACCATTCGTCGCAGCACCATGCTCAGAGCCGTTGGCTGCAGCTGACGCGCTATTGCAGGACGCTGATGCTGCGCTACTGCGAGGTGCAGAGGCAGTGGAATCAAAAAATCCCGGCAATCGGTCACGCAAGATGTTGACCGCCTTCGCAATATCGCCATCCAGGATATGCGCACGCACCGCAGCTCGCCATCCGAGTGAGGGTCGGAGTGCTGCATCACGCAAGCTCACTTGTTCTCGGGGGAGCTGAGAAAACGAACCCGCGGCCGGTGGCTTTTCTTCATGTGGATCTACACTGTTCACTACCAAGCTACCGGTTGTTTTCGTGTTTGTGGAGTCGAGCGTTAGACGAGTCGACACCTTACTCTCGTCCACCTGCTCCTCTTCTACTCGATCGAGCTCAAATGCTGCGAGCGTCTCCGCAAAGCCTGCCGAAGTGAGATACGAACGGACGAGGCTGTCAGTTACGTCTAACGCTGGACGCAAGGAGGCAGCGCTCGCACTTGGGCCTGACGCTCCCCAAGATTCTTCTATTTTGCTGCTCCTTGCGAGTCGGTCACCCACCGGCTGATGGATTCTCTTCTTTCTCCCATCCTGGTCGAAAAATATACTACTGGCGGCCAAAGCTTCTCGGTTAATGTTCGCTCTCTCCTCTTGCATGATATCAAGGCGGTGTCGTGTGATATCGTACGAAAAAGGCGGACCGAAGCGGAAACGAACTCGCTCGCCCGGACTATGAAGACCCACGGTTGGAAACCATCGGCCTTCTGGCGACTTTGGGTCATCCTGATTTTTGATTGGATTCCTCCTAGAAGCTGCGTATCAATTCACATATTCGCCATCGCCATCATGCTACTCTTGCAGATTACAAAGCCAATCGATATGAATATTTGCTACGAAAAAGCAAGGTCATGTACTTGCTGTGGTACCTTCTTAATTATATCCTCGGGGGAGTAGAATAGCGGCGGTGCCTCACTTGCGTATTGAGACAGTGTCGTTGCCACGCCAAGATAAGTCCCATTCCGAGTGAAAAACAAGGTATCTCGTAGCCAGTTGATTCCGCAGCCAACAACGTCACCACGAGCAAAAGGCGGCCCATAAGGTTCCCCTCGTGTGCTACACAGAAACTTCTTGCCCTCATCTCCCCGGTACCCGAACGACGCGGGCTCGGTCCCCGGCATGCGGTTGAGAAGAAAATTTCTACCAGAAATTCCAACCGCGACGCAGTTCCGTGTGCCAACCTCCATGATTTCCACCTGAGAGAGAGGACAAACGACGCACGCTTCCTAATTATATCGGTCGTAGGTGCAACGGGCTCAGTAGTAGGAGGAGGAGGAATAGGAGTAGTAGGAGCAGTGGGAGTAGTGGGAGAATTAAGAGTAGGAGTAGGAGGAGTAGGAGGAGTAAGAAGACTGACCCAAGCCAAAAGAATCCGCCAAACCATAACAAGAGACCCACTATCATCTTCACCCCCGTCGCGATGTTGTCGCGATTGCGCCACAAGCAAAAACGAAAAAAGACAACGACCGACGAGCAGACGCCGCAGCCCGCAGGTGGCTAGACTTTTGCAAAGTGACAGAGAGAGGCGAAGCCAGTTCCCTGAGAAAAGAAGAGAGAAGCACGCGCACCCTTTGTGTGAGTTATCTACATAAACAGCAAGCAACACCCCGAGGGGCTCTCCCCCCACTTGAGGGAGGCCACTGCCTGCAGGGGTTGACGCTCAGAGCAGCGCACAAGACTAGCTACGCGGTTCAGCAAAACCAAGCGGCATCGAAGTCGTCGCGCTTCACTCATAACGCTTCCGCATCTCAGGGGGACAACACCGGCCACCCTATCCCTTGAAAATGCTACTAAAATTTTTCTAATTTGACCCATCCCAACGACCTCAGAAGACCCCCCGACGCCGCTAGCAACACCCCTGAGAAACCCCCAGGAAAGACCCACCGACCACACCACCAAAGCCGCGACCGATAAGCAAACCCACCGCCCTCAGCTGCAGCCACCACCAGGGTACCTCTGTGCGCAGACTCTGCAAAACCCGACGACACAGGCGAGCAGAATCACAGCACGCGACACATGGCCGACGGATCTCTCACGAAGCTGCGCCCTTTGGTCAGAAATGTTCTAACTCGAGCGCTAAAAATTCTGCTAATTTAGACAAAGCCGACGGAATGCACCAGCACCAGGGGGAGCTCGCTCGACAAGTTGCAAACTCATCACTCTAGTTTGATTTTGGGGCTTTTCGAAAACCCTCTAAAAATTCCTCTGGTTGTGTGCTCTAATTCAGCACTCTAATTTGCAAGCCCCCCGATAGCGCGAAAACGCGCAGGGTTTTGGGGTGCAAAATTAGAATGCCGAATTAGTATTAGAGTGCCGAATTAGAGGAATTTTGGAGGGCTTTCGAGAACCCCCCCAAAGCAATTAGAGTGACGAATTAGCATGATTTTTAAAGCAAAAAAATAAGGCACCCCGGTGAGAAATCCCGCCGAATTAAAGAAAGTGCTGAATTTATTAGAGTGCTAAATTAGCGCGATTTTTAGCGTGCTAAATTAGCACGATTTTTAGTAAAAAAGTTAGGCCCTAAAAACCGACCCGAGCACGGCACCAGTCTGACAGCTGCCGCGTCAGCCGAGGACCTTTCGCGCGGGGACCCACCCCCCGACACAGCGGCAAGGCCACAAAGAGCACGCTACACCCCCCAGCCACACAACTAAGCCCACCACACAAGACACACCCCGACCACCACAGGCAACCGACTAGCCTACAACGATTCGCGACCTCTTCAAAATTAGAGGAATTTTCGCGGAAAACTAGGCGCGAAAGGTGCCCAGGCGTGTCCTCCTGACATCTTGGAGGTGCAGGGGGAGGCGCTTCACCAGGTCAAGCTGCCCCCCGCCCCTCCACATGTTTCCACATATTTCCGAGGCACTGGCTTCCGGCCTATTTTTCGAAGTCTGCCAGACCACTAACCCCAAGGCGAGTGGGCCAACCTTCCTCGAGGCGGCGGGAAGTTTTGCCAAGATCAAAAGAAGAAGGCGCGAAACATCTAAGAGCCCACCCGCCTCATACATTGACTGGGAGAGAAAACACGAGACGGCCTTCGTCTGTCATCCATGCAAGGCCGAGAAATCAACAAGCAAAGCCTTGACGGTGGTCGCAGACAAGGCGCGCACACGGCGGGCGGCGTGTCTCGTTGGCAAGCAAAGTGGCTGCATTGTTCACGCGGCGCACCAGATGGCCGCCGGTGTGGAGGTCGGCGCGATCTGGTCGCCATCCCTGGCAGATGCGTGCGCACTCATAGAAGCCATCTGGTGGCTGCTGCCACAGAGCGCGCCGCGGCGCCTTTCGCAGATTGGTAGCAGCTCCTGCGGGTGGCCGGCAATCCCGCACCGCGGCGGTGGGTAGGTTTCCTCGCTGTCTGCTGCCGATAATCACCAACGACGGCGCGGCCAGGTACTCACTCACCTCGACAGCTGCGATGCTCTCACAACTAACACAATAGGCCAGACGACACCCACCGGCGTCCTGTGCTGCCTGCTCCTGCTGCTTTGCTGCCACGATGGTGCCCACTCTGCGGCAGAACTCGCGGACAGTGTTGGCAGAGAGCCCGGCCACAGGCGTAGTAGCAGTAGTAGCAATAGCGGCAGTAGTAGGAGTAGGAGTAGGAGTAATAGGAGTAGCAGTAGTAGTAGGAGGAGGAGGAGTAGCGTGCCCATTCGTGGGGTATGAACTGTAACTGAAACTACGTCCATAAAGATACTGTGGAGAGGGAGATCCAGATCAAGAGCTTCGGTGGGAATCAAAACCATGTTTAAGATATCCACCAACCTCGAAGTAGTAGAGGAGGCGATGCACCGGACACGGTCTGTTGGCTTGGACTGCTCCTACATCTGAATGGCTGCCCTTCCCGACATAGCTAACGGTGCGTTTGTCTTTGCTTACTTCAACGAAGGAGAAATGAGACCGGGTGTCGATTTCAGAAGGCTCAGCCTCCAGCGCATCTTGACAACCTGACGCCATTCTTTGATGCTCCTTTAGTTTCGCTTGAAGACTATCTAAAAATAGTGAACCAATATCGTACACATAGGTATTACAAACTTCGTTGGTGTAGACACGACAAGCATGCGGTAAATCATCCCAGATGATGACTACCCAAAAACAGGTATATCGATCCTCAAAAACGATGTATTACTCCTTCTATTCGCTTCGTCATTGGTTACAACTAGTTTGTTTCCTCTATATTTATCTCAATACTTCTTGCCCAACGAATATTGCAGTTTTTCATGATCCCCTGCCCCATCTCCAGGTTGTGTCGTGTAAGTATTAACTAGTACTTCTCGTTAAGTAGTTCTACATTCAGGTAGTTGTAATCGTCGGCGGGTAGCGCGTCCATGTGTTCGAGACAAACAAAAATTAATATTCACAAGGAATTATTCATATTTTTGTTCTAATCCAAGTCTAGTTACTAGGTAGTAGGTCTTGTTGTCTTTACTGCAACGCCGAAGCCCTGTTTATTCTGTCAGCATGAGTACCAATCTATAAGAACCAGATCGCCTTTCACGCTAGAAAATTCTACGTAGAGGTGACCGAAACTAGCCACTTCCGGTTGCACCCTAGAGTAAGAGTGCCTAGTACAACGTACACACTGAAGTCTCATTGCTCCTAATATTCATTGTGCATTCATTCGCAGCGTCGAGCAAGCTCGAACTAGTGTAATGTGCGTTGTGCATGCTTCGACTGAGGAACTAGTGCAATCATTTAAGAATGTTGCCATGTTCTCCTGGACTCTATAGCATGGGGACGCTTGACTCCATGACAGGATTTCACCCAGAAGCGACGAAGTCCGAAGAAAGACCGTGACTGCGTGCTAGAGGATCATGGCTAAGAGAGGAACAAGTACAATACATAGCACACCTGAAGTGTGTCAACCACAACACGATCAGATTCTTTTCGGCGACGGTCTTCTTTGTGCTAAGTACGTCTAACGTCGCAGCAGTTCTGCTTCTGATCTGAACCGAGTTGCTTCTCTCGATGCTCTTCCGGAGATGCCATCTCTCTCACAGCCTCGTATGCTTGTCATCCCAGTGGGAGGCTACTCCGGATGGGATTCTCTCATACTCATGTTCTATCTCACTTCGCCAAAGTCCGAAGATCTCTCACAGTTGCCTCGCTTGTTGACACATAGGCGAGGAGACAGTTACGACAACCCCGGTTTATGTTTATGAAGGGTGATGAATTCAGCAAAGTAAACGTTGTTGCCTCGAAGCGAATAGAATCGGTGATTTCTTATGTTACACAACGGGTGGTACAGTTAGATACCAAAAGCTGTGTGTGGGTACATTTCCTCCTTGTCTTCCAAGAGGGATCGAGAAAAAATAAAGAGGTCGATGTCTTTAATACGTAGGTACCGGGTGATCAAAGTCTTTGCGCATACCGTGTGAATCACAGTGCTGTCTTGGCTGCAGTGCACATCTTTTGTTTTCACTGCGACTGCCGCAACAAGTCCTTGTCTGGATCATGATTTCTAGCATCATCTTGTTAAAGACAGCTGCGAGCCAATACACTTGGACCTCAACGTGTGACGTATGGCTGTGAACAAGTCACTTGAAGTGGGACTTCGAGGTGCGAAAACAACATGTTCTATGAAATGTGTTCGTTCCCTCGCACACGCACTTTCGTCCAGCACAGCTACTTTCTCGATATTGAGCGAAATGCCGATGTGCTTCTGTTCATTTTCGGAAAATGAGTTTCAAGGTTGGCGTCTGGACGTCTACACCGTCATCAATATCCGAACCGGTAAACTCGATCGCCAGACTTGATCGGTGCTCTGGTAGCTGCTTCTTCGTTATCTGCTCGTACAGTTCCGTAACTCTCTGTTGTTGCCTCTTCTTGTGGCTAGGGAGGTAGGCGTTGTACAAGCACGCATTTCCGGCGGACAAAATCATGATCTCCGCGTTAAATCGACTCTCGATCTCGTTTACCTTTCAAAAATAGGAGCAAGTTTATGCCAGAACAAGTTTTGAAGAGTTTGTGTCATCAAAAGTCACGTGTGTGCAGAAGACGGTCTGCAAAATCTTATTCTTAAGGTAAGAATATAACAACATCTAAAGCTGATTGATAGGCTGTGGTCTTTTGCCATCACATAACAATTGACCCAAATTCTCTAAAACCAAGGTCTCAAATACCAGTTGTCCCATGGTGATGTCTCCTTTGTCGACAATGACTTTGTCCCAGCTGGAGAACCCCTCCGGCATGGCCTTTACTGGTCCTTGCGCCACTGGATCAAACTCGCGCGACTTTGTCTTTACTGGTTCCATGGGCTCTGACAGAACGAACAAAGGCAGTGCGAGATTGACGAAGCCGTTCTTGTATCTATCCAGCATCTTGCATTTCTGCGCTATCTTGTACAACTCGCAGAGCACTAAACCGGTGATCATAGCCGTTGTTGTTGCGATGGCGGGAATGATCTTTCCTGCGATCATCTTCACCTTGTGGAACGGCGCTTCCTGGATGTTGTAGTTGCGCGCGCGCAAGTTTGCGCTTGCTGCCATAAACGCAATGTGGAAATTCGCATCGTCATCCTTCTCGAAGTCGATCGGGCACAGTGTCAAAAACGGATGCTTGCTCGCTTTTCCGTTCCCTGCTGCGCCATTAGAAGAGGAGGAGGAAGCAGCTTCGCTGTACTGCTGAAGCATCTGCTCAGCAAGTTCGTTCGCAACTCGCGCGTCGTCTGCGCCGCCCTCGACCGTTTCCTTGTCTTTGTCGTCCGTTTTTATCTTCATGCCCGCTTTTGCCTCGAAAGCAGAAATTTTACACTTAGCTGCGACGGCACGAATTTTCTCGACGTCATGCTCGGCTGGCTCGCCCAAGTTGTTCAACAACAGACTCACGGCGCTCTGCACATAGCCGATGTGCGTCTCATCCGACGGATCGAAGTTCAGCGCTGTCGGCATACGCTTCGGACCGGACCAGAACTTGACGCCCTCGGACGTCATATGATCTGCCGGAAAATTGTGCAGCAGCTGACATATCTGATCCCTGAAGTCCTCGTGCCACTGGTCGACCGCATACTGGACTAGCGTCCGCAGCTCTGGTTTTGACCTAAACAACATGCGCTTCACAGCGCGAAGCTTAGCGACCTGAAGATGAACTTGCGCATTCGTTGTTGATCGAATCATATCGGAAGTGGAGCGCAGATCTCTAGTAACTCATAAGGGACAACTCAGGATGTGCATGTGAATCATGAGGACAAGACTGCTCAAAACCACAGCTCCTTCTACTGCTTCAATTTCATATTACTATAAAGCATAATCATAATGATCCTGTACAACACGTAGAAGACAACACGTAGAAAACAATAGAATACCTGTGCACTTGCACTGGCCTCTTGCCTAAGTTTTTTAAGGAAGGCTTCCGGATTTTCCAAGTAGGTATTCACTTCCTGGGCGGCGTCAACGAAGCATTTCTGGAAAGCGTCGCGCGCCCACTCAATGGTGTGTTCGATGGCATGGGGAAAGTGTTTCATGGTGCACAGTGGAATGCTCTCTTCAGGCGGATCTTGACTGTCTCCGTAACTTTGTGTCAAGAATGGCAAGACGACTTGGACATTGCCTTTTGTGCCCAGAGTTCCGCTCTCCAACAGCGGCTTTTCGTACCACACACACTTGCTGTCGACGTAGAGTCGTGCCTGGACATTGTCAAGCGCATTGACGATACAATCCTGGCGGTTCCAAAAGTCATCGTTGAAGGTGTCCTCAGTGTCGGGGCCGACACGGGCCTCCATTGGGAAGACGTTCAGCTCCCGGTTAAACTCTTTGGCCGCAGCGCACGCGGTGGAACTCTTGGCACTACCAATGTGCTCGCGGTGAAACAAAAACTGCCGATTCAGGTTGGATACCTGACGGATGAATTTTCGAGTTATCCGATATCACGGAAAGATGGAGCCGAGAATGGCACCAAGATACATTTTTTTACATGTCATCAACGGGCATAAAAATGACGCTGCGAAACAAAAGATATTTTTCTGTTTCATTTTCAAAGAATATTTTTCTAGGCACCTCGATCCTGTCCATGTCAGTACAGGTCAGCTGACCTCCGGAACCCGACGAGCATCCCATGAGTGAGAGCCCCTTGAGAAACTCGCAACCCAATGCACCCGCACCGACTACAAACAGGTTGAGCTTAGCAAGCTTATCTTGGAAATCTGCACCAAACAATGCAATCTGATCCGCGTATCGCGAGCTTGTCATGTCCAGTTTACCTGTTTGTTTTTGAGTCAAGATGACCATAGCAATAAGGACCTAAGCGTGAGGGAAGTGCCAGAACGGTTGAGAGGAGAAGAGAGGAGAAGAGAGGAGAAGAGAGGAGAAGAGAGGAGAAGAGAGGAGAAGAGAGGAGAACCGACAGAATTTAGAGGAAGAGAAGAACCGACAGAATTTAAAGCCTGAAGAGCGGCGCCAGGTTTGAGCACTAGAAGCGAGGGGTTTGTTAGTGAACTACTGGTGACCGACAGGGGGCTATGCTTTTTGCCAGAGGCGCCCGAGTCTCATACCTTCGGCATTTGCAAACTTAGAGCCACACGGCCAAGTTCCCCGCCGCCCCCCCCCGTTTCACCAAGTAAGTCCAGCGCCTGCACCATGCTCATGTATGAGGCGCGAAGCCCGTTTTCATTCTCGTCGCGAGCGCTATGCGCCCACTCCTCACGCTGTCAAGCTTTACACAGTCAACCGCGCCACTCTTCTTCGTTGCTTTTGATTGTTCATCTTCATGCCAGTTATAAAGTGGGCACCACTAACAAAAGCAGCAACGCCACGCAAGCCGCGCCCGTTCGTTCCATATCCGTTGCCCTCGCCCTTCATCCTCATACCCCGCCCATCTTGTTGGCGACGCTCGCCGCCGAGCACTTCAGAACGCAGAAGCAAGACGCTACGCAAAGCCCGCAAACCAAGCCCAGGCTTACTGCAGCGCCGCGAACGCCTTCAGGTGTTGCAATTGCTTCCAGGCTGCAAGCAGCAGCGGCGACGCCGTGACGCTCCCAAGGCCATCTCGTTGGCACACCGAATACCCCCGGCAAGTCCGGGCGCAAGCGCTGCCGCCGCTCCTTTTGTTCCATTCCACGGCGGCGCCTTGGTTGCTCCTTAATTTGTGACATTGCCACAAAAGGCGACCAGAGTGCGCGCTCTGCTGCGCTCTGCCGCGAGAAATCCCATCAGTCAACGAACCGCAAAAAGAGGCGCCGCCGGCTACAATTGCGAGGCTTGCGGCCGCGCTTCTTTTGTTCACGCCGTTGCCGTCGGCATGTCTTCACTCTCGTGAAAAATTGAGGCCCTGCGGGCCGATAAACTTCCGAACCTAGCGAGAGAGCGCCGGCGCCATTTCGCCAAGAGCTCGCGGGCCCTGCGTCGCCAAACAGTCCAAGGCGCCGCAAATGGAGCAAATGCTGCCCGCGTCCTCTTGCTTTGCCGAAGCCACCAGCCGAGCACGCTGCTACTCAGCTCGGCCGGGCCCTTCTCGCCGAGGCTGGCCTGGTGGTACTGCCCTGCGTGTTAGTTTTGACGAGCTTACTCACGTCTTTGGGGGTCGCTTAGCTTTGCGGCCTGAGGCTGTTCCCAGTCCTCCACCTCCCGCACCATTCGCACACCGCAGCAGGCTCGTGGGCGTAGTGTCGCCAAATCTCAAAGGAAGCGCCGCCGAACACTTTTCACCATCGGAAAAAGCTTCCAAATAAATAGCAAAAGTGCGGGACTTATTCACCCGCGCCCGCTCCTCTCCGTCTCCTGTGGAGACTTGTCGAGACTCTCACCCGGACACTAGTCACGCGTCACCTCTTGACACTTGTCAGGCCCCCCCCTTGACAATTGTCAAGACCCTAATCCCAAAAGCTGTCAAGATGCTCCCCGTGCCACTTGTCAAGGAAAGCCCCACCCTGACACTTGTCAAGGAGGGACCCCTCCTCGTGACACTTGTCAGGCCTCTTCCTGTATTGTCAATGTTCCTGTAGCATCTGCAGCAAAAAAGAAATCAAAATATGTGGAGGTCGTTATTTCAGTAAGTTTTAGTACATGGCTGCGTCTCCGGAATATCTTCGACAAGCTCGAACATATCGATGTAGAGATATTGGTGCAGCGGCGTGTATTTCCCTGTGAACTTCACGATTTCCTGTGCCACTAATCCGCCCAAGAATGCTGCCATTGGTACAAGCGAACACCGGGAAAATTTCTCTACCTTGGCAAGAAGTTTTGTGTCCACTTTTTCCACCTTACCGCCACCGTCGGCTGTCATTTCGCTGTTGCACTTGTCCGTGCATGCTAGGGCGCTGATATTCGACTTCATTTCGCGTTTCACACGCAAACCCTCAAACGCGAGATGGAGCTGTTCTGAACGGCCGAATTTCGCCAAGTCGGGCATCGGCAACATGAATTCCCCGGGAGCTACTGGCGCAGTCCGACTCTCGGTCCATGATCGAAACTCAATCGGTTTCGGCACCTTCACTTGCGTCACCAGTCCTTCGCGCGTGTATGCGCCAAACGAAGAAAGATCGGTCTGTCAAGTTGTTTGTAGCAAAAGCGATGCAGTCCTTGGCGGACAAAGATTCCAGATTCATTAGTAGAAATCAACGACATGTGCGATACTGTATCAAGATCAACGACATGTTGATGAAAATCGGTCTCATCGTTTAACTTTATAAAATATAGTAATAGAGATCATCTGGCTACGTTTTGCATGCCTGCTACAAACCACAGATTGAATATTCGACTGAAACGCATGGGTATCAAGCTTCATACTTGACACAGACTTATTTTTCACAAATCAGTGAGCTACCGTGCATCTTGATATGATACCATGCCTTGCGGCAGCTTCAACTTGAATGCATAGGGCTTCGTGTCGGTGATCTCAAACTGCTTTCCATTGATTCCAGTCATGCCTTCGACTTCCCGAAAAAGAACATGATCACCATCTTGGTAACCATGCCTCGCTAGCTGGTCGTTTGTCATAACTTCTCCGGTTGGAGATACGGATGCAAGGATCGACGTTCTTGGCTCTTCGCCATCGACATCCCGCACAATGAAGTTCTTGCCAAAGTCGACAAAAACTTTTGCAGCAACGCCAGCGTTTTCCACCATGATGAAACCGGTCTTGCCAGCGCGACACCGCTCGTTCAGCGCGGCGATGTCCTCAGTTCTCAGGTCCATCGAGTCTGAGAGAACGACTACGTCAAAATTTGCCGGGTCTATGACACTGCTCACGTTGTAGCTGCTAGCGCCATTCGGTTCTGCCTTGACCGGTGTTGAGGCATTCTTGCTACTGAGTATACTCACCTGCACGTACGAGTTCAGCTTCTGCAGCTTCTCGCAACAGGCTTCCGCTCGTGTCTTGCCCTCCTTGACGTCGGCATCTGTCACATAGAAATTTCGGCCCAAGTCTCCGAGTTGGCACACCACTGGGTCGTAAAGGGTAACGGACTTCGGACCAGCCAGCACGAGGTTCTTTGCAACCTCAACACCTGCACCAGAAAGACCCTGAATCAGGACGCGCAGCTGAACCAAGCGACCCATAGTCTCAAGACCGTATGTCCCGATCTGTCGGGAATACAAGTCCTGATTGATCTCAACTTGGTCGACCTCCATTTTGTTGTTTACCACACTGTTTACTGTCATAAACACGAACTGAAGTGATGAGAGGAACCTCCGAAGTCGTTACTTTTAGTGGTTTTCGTAGCTATGTATGACAACAAGTTCTACATTGAGCGCTGTGCCTGTACCTGTATCTGTAATTGTAGTGAAAATTTTTCAATGAGGTGCTGGCGTGAAATCTCTATCCGAGAACTACTTGTACTCCCCGGGCAGAGAGGTACTTCGCACTCTCGGAAAACTAAAACTGAATGCCCGCGTGCTTCTTGTAGTTGTCCTCGTCGTCCTTCTAAACTTATTCTGAAGAGAGCTGTATCGGTGACTGCTACGCGTCATAAAGAGATGATCATACACCGGACTGCGCTCTTTCTTATCTTATTTTAGAGTGACAGATCCGCTGAATATTTTCAATTCACTGGACTGGATTTCGGAAAGACACGATCAATCTTGAACCCACGATAAGATTTTTCTGATTCACCGTTCATAATTCTCCCTCTGCAGGTGAGACATCGCCACCGATCCGACAGCAGGTTCAGGAGAACGACGGTATCGGTATGCGTCAATAATGATAGTAGATTCATGATGTAAGACCACCAGAGAAGCGTAGGAGCATCATGAGTCATTCCCAGAACAGATAATTTTTGGTTCTACTGAACCCAATGCTTGTGGGTTGTTTCTAATACGCTTTCGGATCGGTCTTTGAACACAATCTTTGATTCAAAATTGGAGCTCGATGAGCCGTGTAAACGCCTAATATCTTCTGGTAAGGCGCAAAGAGAAAAAAGTCTTATTAGAGGTAAAAATAGTAATTGGAAGGGAGGCGGCGTGGCAGTTACACTTGAAAAGTTGCTTGTGCCTCCTCGCACTGGCGCACGCAAGTTTGTATGTTGTCTACACTAGCAGCGCATTGGTCAAGACTCCTACGAGTCCGAATTTTAGAAGCCCCTGCTATATTAACCTAGAACATCCAGCAGCGGGCTTTGGGGCTAGGGAAAGGGATCGTCTTTTTATGTCGATTAGTACGTGAAGCAAGGTCCTTTTCGTGTCTACAAACTTCTAAAAGTTGACGAAGTCGTCTTGATTTAGTTCGCCATGGTATAGACGCTTTCTATGTCATCGTCTTCGTCGTCTGAACCCGAAGGAAGAGTGAGTCCATCGGAAAAGAGACTCGATCGGGTATTGGTTCTGCCCAGGCCACGCGATGGTCGAAAACTTCGGACCGACTGCGCCTCAAATGGTCGATGACGCACCGCGACAGAGGAGGCGAGGGAGTCTCCCCGTGGCCGTGCGGCGCCTGCAGCATTTTTGCTGATCAAGTTCGCGCTCGGGTCGTTCGCCGATGAATCGTCAAGATCAGCCGCGAAAGTCCCCGCGTTACCCAACAATCGACTCTTACGAACAACAAATCCACCACCAGTTTCATCTCCTGCAGTGGTTCCCTCGGTGGCAATAACAGGCTCTTCCTCGTTAATGCTTGGCCTCGTCCCTCCTTGCGAATCCGGGCCGGTCTCATCATATTGAACTTCCTCGTCTTCTGGAATCGACTCAAAACCGAGAAGACCACCCAACCACGACGGGTGAGCTTTCTCGGTTTTTTTTGCCGCAGCCTTTTTCTTCTTGGTCCGTTCGTCGCGCCGCATTTTTCGTTGCAGGAGACGAGAGTTTTCTAAGTCATAGGGCTTCAGAAACACGGTCTGCTTCCGCGAGTACCGCGAGCGCTCAATGCGGGGGTCTGCTTCGGCAGGCTGCCACCATGAGGGTCCGAAGAACGAGCTTTCCACTTCTACTCCCTCTTCTTCATCCTCGTCAAGCTCTTGTATCGTGCTGTTGTTCAAAGGAATTGAGCATATTTAAGATTTAAACGAGCTAATAATCATCATCAAATGTGAAACTAACATTAGCAACGCTGTCGATCGCAGTCAACATGTGCGTTGTGTTGTGTTGTGTTGTGTTGTGTTGTGTTGTGTTGTGTTGTGTTGTGTTGTGTTGTGTTGTGTTGTGTTGTGTTGTGTTGTGTTGTGTTGTGTTGTGTTGTGTTGTGTTGTGTTGTGTTGTGTTGTGTTGTGTTGTGTTGTGTTGTGTTGTGTTGTGTGTGAGTCGGACTACTCATTATGGAGGTAGGTGTGCCTGATTTCAACGAGATGCAAAAAAAGTGAATAGTACTCTAGATTTGCCGCGAGGACAGTTTGACGCGGTGCTGGTGCTCCCCCGGCTTCGACAAGCGTCTGCACATCATCAAAATCGGCAGCGTTATCTTGTTCCTCCTCTTCGTCAACGGCATCGAACTTGGCCTTTATGGCTTGTGGTGTCAGTTTCGGAGATGAATGATGTGGGGAACTCGACGAAGGCGCTTTTTCGTCAGGAGTATCTGTGGCAGTTGTGCCCGTCTGAGGCGTCTCTTCGCCAACTTTGCGTGTTCTCTTATCTGGCGGAGTAGAAAAGTTCGCGTTCTTCCCAACTTTCCATTGATCTGTGTAGAGCGCATTCTCGCGTCGTTTTTTCTCCGCTACGGTTTTTCTCGCAAGCTCTTCAAAATGCCGCATCTCCTCAGCCAACTGCCGGTCAAAATGTTCCTTCGTCGTCTTGTGTTGAAACGGGTTAGGAATTGGTTTCCACCCCAGTGCCCGCATCACCGACTCCGGTACATTGTCGTCTACGGCATGCTGTAGAAGTTCGTCCGCTGACTTAGCGATGAAGCTATTGGGAGAAAGCAGAAGACGATTTTGGCCTGCATCACCCAGTTGCCAAGGAGAAGATGATGACGGAACACCCAGAAGCTTGCTGGATGTATTTTTATCTGATGCGTCAGAAATTAGACCAACATTTGCTGCTGAAGACGAGAGCTGAAAAGGAAGAATAGTCGAAAATGCCCCTGCACATCCTGCCGGGGACTTCATTAATGTACTAGTTGGACTAGACATCAACTTGCCGTGTCGACCAGCACTACCTCCTTCCTTGATTTCGCGAGTAAGCCGCTCCCACTGCTGTTTTTCGCGCGCGTCATCACTGACCTGCGCAAGAAAGGCCTCTTGCAGCTTTCGCAGCGTAACTACAGCCTGTTTTTTCATGACATCGAAATGGATCAATCGTCTGAAATACGCAACTACGAAGATATTCAGCTGGCATGAGGGGACCAAGCGATACGTGCGGACAAATTGCTGTCGCTTCTTCTGCAAAAGCTGTTGCTTGGCAATCGCATCGCGCAGTGTGCTCTTTGAACTGGAGGCGGCGGGGGACGAGGCTGATGCAGCCGAGGAAGCTGAGCCAGCCACTGTTGCTTCAGCTGATTCTTTACCGTTGGTTGTCTGAAGCTCATCTGCCTCCGCTGCTAATGCTGCGCGCTCTTCTTCTCGTGTTTCCTCGGAGACAAATTCGCCGTGCGTCATGACACGCTCATAATAGACATGGTCCAACAGCTTATGGATGAAGGCCCAAAGACGCCGGCATGAAAGTTGAGAGGGATTGCAGCTTAGCTGCTTCAGCGCTTGGAGCCAGACTTCGTCGACCAGTGGACGAAAATGCTGCAAGTCCTCCCGGAGATCTTCGAAAAGGACTTTCTGTTGCGCTTTCGATAGCCCCACCCTACCACCTGCAGACGCCTTGAGCGCTGTCGCTCTTGGGTTCTTCTTGCTTTTGTTGCTATCACCAGGGATGCCGCTGTCTGTGCTTGTGATGACTTCAGCACCCTCGAGTCCAGGTGTTGTCGTGGGCTCGGTTCCGGATCTAACGACATCGTCGATGGAAGCTGTTGTCAAGCGCTGGATCACTCGGAAAGCGTCTAGCGCCAGCGAATCCACTTCTAGCGGTCGTCCAAAGCGGTCTTTCACTGTTGGGAATTGGCAGAGGGGTGACTCGAGAAGTCCCGTTTGGTGTCGAAGTCTATCGGGTGTGTTTGCCCACACTGGTTCCTCAAAATACGTCCACCCTAGCGTCAAGTCGCTGTGCTCTTGCAAGTTCGGGAAGAAACGCAAGGAGAAAACATCCAACTCACTCAAGTTGTATTTTTCCACGACAGCAGGTTCATCTGCGGTAGCAGAATCGCCAGCAGCTGCCTCCTGCTCTTGTTTCTTCGCCCCTTTGGAAGATTTCTCATCCGTGAGCACAGAAGACCCGGCACTTGGTCGCTCAGCTTTTGAATCTCCCGCCTCGTTCGCGGCCATCTGGTCGACAATGTTGTTTTCACGATCCAGACGCTTTTGAAGTGTCACTGCCCAACGATCGGCGGCCAGTTGCGCATCAATCGGGTTATCCACAGGAGAAGCCACGGAAAGCGCGGTATCGCGTATGCGACGGGCTCCCGCATCCGCATGTGGTCCTAAGTCTGTTGCTGCAGCGAAAGCATACTCTTGCTGGTCCAGTTGCCGCTCGTGGAGTCGTTGGTCCTCAGACGCCGTGGTGGCAACAGAACTAGGCTCGTGCGCGTACGGATGCGCAACACCGGAACCGCCTGCGCTTGATATTTGGGATACCGGCATCGCAGGGGACACTGCGGATGCATCAGGAGCAGGCTCATCTACTCCTTGATGGCTTTTCTGCCTATCGCTCTTCTTCGACAACACTTCAGAAGCAGGATCCTGGACATCCACTTCCCCTTCAGCAGTACTTTCCTGTTTGGCGGACACACGGCTGTTCACCGGCGCTGCGGCTTCACTCTGTTGCGCCTGCTGTTCCTCCTGGTCCTGCTCCTCTGGTGAAGGATAGGTAATAACCTCTTCATCGCCTTGGACATGCCTCGATGAAGGCTGAGCGGTCTCTTCTGGTTCTACCACGTCGTACTTTTTCTCTGCTACAGCCCCTATTGCACTCGACTCGGCGTTACCGGCCTCAGATTTCTCTACCTCGTAAGCTTCAGTCGCTGCAGCGACTTCTGCAGCGCTCTGCTCAATCGACGCCATTCCTTCGCGAGTATGGTACTCAGCCTGTGTAGCTGTGTAGAAATCGCGATCCTTGATATCGATTCCCATGTCATCCGCTTGTGACATCAGGTTGCTTAGACGCTTCGAGAGCGTTCCTGAAGAATCGGCGCTCTCGGCGGTTGCATTTACCAAATTTTCCCAACCACTGTCGCGCTCTTTAGGATTTGCAGTAGCCGCAGTAGCAGCAGTGCTTGGAGCTTTTCCTCCAGTTTCTGTTTCTTGTCCAACAACTTCACCCTCGGGCTCTCCTCTAACTGCTCGCTTACTTCGATTTGGCATGGGAGCTGGAACGTCAATCGACATTGCAGCCGCAGGAGCACGAGTTGCCAATACCTCAGAAGTGGTACTGGTCTCTGTGTCTTTCGCTGCGTGTTTTTCCTGAAGCTTCTCTAGCAAGGTGCGCGTACGATCTATCGCGATGTTCGTCGTCGTATCCAAGTCTATATGGTAGCCCAGCACTTCAGGAATAGGGTCTCGAATGGGACTGCTCGCTGCGGGCGACGATACAACTGCAAAGTGAGACCCTGTGCCTGACGAGCTCAGAATGGAAGACAAGATTTCACTAGGTGGTGGCGTAGTTGAAGCGAATTGTACGTGGTTGTGCTCTCCAGTGGTGTTTGCCCCACGGCGACGCCCGTCTTCTTCAAATGTCTTCCTCAATCTTTCGAAATTGTAGTCGAACGGAACCAGAGCTGCGAGTCGTTTTTGCAGTGCTGCACGCGTCAACTCTAATTTCTGTCGTACGAGATCCGCAGATTGGAGCTGTTTCAAGAGCCTAAAAGCGTCGCTGTGCTCAAGTTCAACGTCGACTTCGTATCGGGACTGCAAAACTTCTAGGCACCGAAGAAGAGTCCCGATGTCGTATTCCTCCTGTGCCTGCAGAAGCCGCGTCTGCACACGAGTTCGCCGGCGACGTTGAGATTTCTTCAACGAACTTCCCTCGTCTAAACGCTGTCCTCTGCTCGGTGATATACTTTGAATTGACGAGGCGTAGTTGTAGTTCTGCTCGTATTTCTTGCCCCCGTTCTTCTGCTTCAAAATAGAACGTCGAGAGTTATTCGGCGTCAGAGAGGAATCCGGGATGTCTATGTCCGTCGTTGTTTCATGTGCGTTTGATGAGGTCTCAAGATCAGAAAGACCAGAAAACTTCCGAAATGATGATTTAAAGCTGCCGTCATTCAAATTGCCGTCGCTGTCGCCCAATTTTCTATGATGTTGTTCCAAAACTGTCGTCTGAAGAGATACTCCTTGTTGCTGTTCAAAAGAAGAACTTTTCCCTCTATGTCTATTTTCAAAACCGGAATAATTCTGCTTTTCCTTTTCTTCTAACAAAGGAGGGCCTGCAACATTTGTTTGTGAAAGTGGAGAAACATTGGAGGACATCTTTAGGAGTTGATGTGTCGAAGGAGGTTGATGATCTTCTTGCGTTGCTTCTGATGCTGCTGCGATCTCTTTGTCGTTAAGGTTTGAGGAACTTTCATCGATATTGATCTTCATCGATTTCGGATCTTGCTCAGTCGTCGTCAACTTAAAACTTACTTTTGAATTTGATGTTGATGGTCCTACATGCTGCTTCAGCTTCTCTTCTACAAGTACTCCTTCGGCGCTAGGGTTATTCCTCTCATTTTCTTCAGCGATCTTCGCATCTAATGCGCCGCTAATTTTGTGCTTTGCTGCGGCCGTGCCTTTTTTATCCAGTAGTTTAGAAGAAGTAGGTGTAGGAACTTGAAGTTGCGCAGAAAAGTTTTGTGATCTTGTTGTAGCCGACGCAGATGATGACGAATACAGAGTTGATGAAGTGTTCTGCGCTGGCACTGCCAGTGCCTCCCCTCGTTGTCGCAGACCACCCATAAAGGACGCTTTCTCATCTGGTAAGGGAGCGCTTTCGGTCGAGTCGTCGTCACTGTCTTCGGAAGTCGACGTGCTTGAGCTCCCCAAAATGCCCGAGGTGTTTTCCCCGCTATGCTCCTTAATACTATCGAGGCTGCTGCTGCGTTTTCGTCCTGCATCCTCCGCAGTTGTTTTTATGGACGACGGCCTACCGCGTCGTGCCATCAAGGCTCCGCTTCGGGAAGCGAGTGTTCTGCGCGCTGACTTGCGCATCGCGGCGGCACGGGTTTGAAAATCTGAGACAAATTGGGATTTTGACGCAGCTCCCATCTGGTTCTGTCGCAAGCCGTCCAAGCGCATCTCAGCTACCGTCTTCAGTTCCACATTGGCTTTCGTGACGTAGCGATCCTCCATCGGAAGAAACAATTTGTAAGTGCGCACCACAATCCGCAGGTCCAATCCTGCCTGATGCCGATGTTGGCCGCCGCGATTGGTAGTTGCAGATGTTGTTGTTGTAGCCTTTTTGTCCTTGTGCTGCAACAGCAGCTCTAACTTCCTTAACGAAAATTCGCGCAGGAAGCGCAAATGGTCCTCTACAGCCGCTCGTCTAGCGTTATCTGCTGATGCGAGCGACACGGTTGAGTTATCATCTCGAGCGCCGTCAGTTGAAGAAGACGCACTAGCGGAAGTTGTCAGTCCTTGTTTGCCCCTTTCTGATTTTGCTTGCGTCCTTGCAAAGTGAGCCGCAGCTTTGCCGTATGCTTCTGTCTCCAATAGTGGTGCTAGGATTTTCGGTGCTTTCCAAGACACTGGTAATTTTGACGACGAAGATTCTCGTGTTGCAGCACCGCCCGAGTTAAGTTTGAGATCAATCGCTCGACAAAATGCGCGATCGAGCGCCTCAAGCTTGCTCGCATCTTTTTTCTCGTCCATGAGCTTCTTCTGCTCGTTTTTCCGTCCTTTGGGCTCGTTTTTGCCCTTACCTTTACGCTTCGTGTGGTGGTCACCATTTTTAGAGTCAGAGTCGCACTGCAACAAAGTGTAGTAAAGAGCCGGCAAGCTCACTTTCTCTGTTTTTTGCACAGTTGCGGCAGCACCAGCTTGATCAGGCTCGTACGTGCCGAGTGGCGCGAGCTGCAGTATTTGCAACAACGGCAACGCCGCATCAGGTACCACAAGTTCCTCTGCTTCCAAATCTCCCGCAAAGCTGCTTGATGCTACTGACGTGAGAGATCCTGCATTCTTATCCAGTTTATCCGAACTCGATGCCTTCGGACGGGCGGAAAACTGTAAGGGGGCTGCTGTCAATGCTTGTTCAAGCAGCTGCAGCCTCGCCAAGCGGTCCTCGTCTTCACGCTTAGCAGCGTCGAACACGGTCTTACGCTGAGACACATTTGCATCCATGTGGCCCTGCAGGGAGGTCAGCGAAGATGGGTCATTCTCCGGCTCCATGTGGGACCCAAAACTATGCTCAATGTCACGATGCTCTCTCACCGTCCCGTGAACTTCGCCATACGGACGCAGGTCAACGAAAACACCAGCGCAACTGGTCTGACTTTCGTTCTCTGCATGACTCCGATTCGACGGATCGTACTCGTTTGCGCTGTTCTCTCCGTTACCGGGAGGCTCTACTAGAGCCCTCCTTGTTGGAAGGTTTTCCGGAGGCGCGTATTCGCGCAGCAAGCGTTCGAGAGTCAAACGCCGCAATGGCAAGTAGATCTCTTCCATCTCTCGCAGTATCTTATACTCTTCAGCCGGGTCAAAATCGCGCAAAGGCACCCAACCATTGAAGCTATTCGCTTCGACATCTCTTGTGAAGGCTACACATTCCTTTAAAAGCCTACCACTCAGCCGAAGGTAGTCTTCTATGAGGCCGGCAACAGCTTGATCCATCGCACTTTCAGCGGAAGAAGCATCTTCGCGCAATGCTTCATGTGACAGGATGGTAGTACTACATGCATCCGCACCATCCTCGTCTATCGGAAACGGGGTAGGATTTCCAACCTCTTTGAAATCTACAGCAGATGAAAGCTGCGCCTCTATTCCGCTCGATGTCGATAGAAGCCATTCAGCGGAGTGCGAGTGTGGTGCTTGCGACATATCTCCACTTCGTACCTGCGCACTTGGGCGGATTGCCACGCTTGCATCATCGCTCACAAAACTTTCCGGCACGCGTGCCCCAGCAGTTCGCCTTGATGCTCTCTTGACTGAGGGTCGTGCGACGCATAGTGAAGCAGCCGGCGCCGAAGTTCCTACAGACAGCTTGGCCCTGACAACCTTCTTGTCGTGTCTGCACGCCTGTCTTTTAAGTTTTGTGCTGTTGCCCAAATGCAGTTCCTGCGTGCGCGCCTCAAATCTATGGAGTCTCTTTGTGAGGTCACGCAGGCGCGGCAAAAACTCTTGTTGAATGCGGAGCTGATTTTGACGTCGTATGAACGTGGCAAGTGGTGGAAACTCACGATCTGACAGTCCGTAAGACGTTTCCAAACGCTGAATTAGTGCCCACATTTCAATGGGACTATCCAATAACGCTGCATCTTCCTCCATGCGTTGCCAAAGGGCGTGAAAGTTCTTCAGTTTTGTTAGGACACTCTCCAGCTCGTCAGCACCGGGGGGGAGAAGCGAAAGCATCACTTCTTTGTCGGGTAAGGATTGCAAACCATCTCTAGAACTCGATGAGGTCGATAAAATGGCGCGTTCGTGGGAGAGCTGCACCAACTCTTGCCCTTGTCTTATCTGCGCAAGGAGATCATCTGCTGTATTGTGATCTATTTGGCATAGCTTCGCAGCCCGTATAGCAGTTTTCGCGGCACTTCTAGACGGATTCTGCGTGCCAAGCGTGGAACCATTCGTCGTGGCAGTTGAGATAGCTAGGTCTGCGTCTCCGGGTAGGTCTCGAAGTCTCTCCCGGAGAAATGCGTGACTTCCACCACCAAAAATCAGCTCAAATACAGACTTGATTGCACCTGTAGTCTCGCAACGAAATTTCACTTTCAGATTTCTCGCAAAGGCCTTGATCTCGCGGTAGGAATTCTCAACGCCGTGCAGCCTACTTCGAACCAAGGCACCGCGCCACCAGCGCTGTACTGTGACTACGTACTTCTGCATGGCTTCTTCGCGAAGACTTTCTAGTTCAGCGACTAGTCGATGGCTCATGTGTACTACGTTCTTTTCGACTTCACTGGAAGGACGTCTACCTGCAGCATCTGAGGACACACATTCGACAAAGTGCTCTCCCAAGTTTTTGGCATCCGTAGAGGTGTTGGAAGTTGACATTTGCAGCATCGCACACGACTGCTTTTTCAGCCTTGCAGCGACGTCGCGCACGACAGAACGTAGAACTAACTCAGCTTCACTTCTAGTATCTCCTACAACACAGGACGATCGAGATGGTACAAATGCTCGTCGGTAACGCTCTACTAGTGCTGTTGATGACATCCGGATCACCGCGTGGCCACGCATCAGAGCATCAGCTGAGGCGCACACGCCAAGACGATGTAGCTGTTGCTCGACGCATAGGTGTTGGTTCAGTTTTTCCTCCGTGCAGATGCACGCAACTGTGTGCAGCTTTGTAGCAGCTACTATGCGTTCTAATGCATGCAGCGACAGTACTAATCTCTTTGCACTGCACATGGATGTTAGTCCAGCGAGGGTCTTCTTCTCTGCATTTACTTCTGCGCTTGATTTACTATCCGTATTACGATCTCTGCCCGTGGCGCTTTCATCATCATCGCCCTCGCGCTCTGGAAGGTTCACATCACGAAGCATAAACCGCGCGACCAGATTTTCCGTGCCGCTGGTTTCCGCAATAAGGTAAACAACATCTCGTATTAGCTCTGATCGCTCCGTTGTCAACATACAAGGAAAAAGATTTTCGTCTCCACTATCATTCGCACCCTTCAGCGATAGATCATAGTGCCGCCGCAAGGAAAAGCACTGAACTTTTCGAGAAATTTCCGCCTCTTCCTTCACTTCCCACTGAAAATGGTCTAAAGTGACCAATCCGAGTCCTGCGTTCTCTGTCGACGTTGACTGCTTGTTGCTCTTGTTGCGCCTGTCAAGAGTCGGAAGAATCGTCGTTTCGCACTGGTGAATTGCAGGGAAGCGCGCAGCTCTTTCTGCTTGCGCCTTATCATCCCCTAAATATGAACGCAGCAGAAGACCTTGACAAATCTTTTCGTTTGCATAGTTACGCAGCAGAGCTGCGGAAGTTCGCTGCAAATGCGAAGCCACTCTTCTTGGATCATCTCTGGTCTCCAATCCCACCGTGTCTTCATCCTGATAGCCAGGCATGTCTAGGAAACCGATGAAAGGCGCTTTGCTAATTGCTGTGCTACTGCTCTCGTCAGCACTAAAGTTTTCCCGGACCAAATCTGCAAATGTTGGCGTTCGTTCTGCATCACAAACGAAGTCTCTGCCCTTGAAGCAAATATTGAGCGCACGAATGACCATTTTCACAAGGTTGGAGTAGAGAAGCCAGGCGAGCTCGTCACGCACGCTCTCAAATAGCGTCGCCAAAGACTGTGTGCCGTCTACTGGAGTGCTCGCACCACGTCTGGTTTGCTTCTGAATACGTTCTCTCGCGACTGAAAAGTGCCGTAGCAACACATCCAATGTTGCATCTTTTCTGCTACCTCCACCACTCAAGCCCAGAAGCTGGTCTATGATCACGAATCTGCCCTCTGATGCCGCTACCAGCTTTTGGCGCAGAGGTGCGCTGTCAGCTTCGGCTAGAGCAATTTCCGGTATTCGCACTTCGTGAAGAAGCGATACCGCTAATAGAATTTGAAGAGCGCCCTCCGAAAAAGTTTCCGAGAAGCCACATGCATCCATGGCTTCCAAGACCAGATCCACACGCCGAGTGCCCTCCTCGATGTGCCTGGCAGATGGTGCAACACCTTCCGCTTCCACTTCTTGGTCTAAAAAACCAAGGCCGTTATTCTCTGACACCGTAGTCAGAATCTCGGTCATTCGAGTGAGACGTTGTGACCGTCGAGAAGGTGAAATCTCTTCCAAAGATTCTCCTACCAATCCACCGTCTTCATGTCGGCTCGCAGCTTGGCGCTGCCTAACCAGCGCACGCATATCACGGAGGCACGTAAATTTGTCGATAGCAAAAGGTCCGACGAAATGATCCAACCCAATCTGGTGTAAAGTTGCTCCCAAAAGCTCAGGTCTACCCGTTTGTCGTGCTATCCTGACGTGGAACTGCAACCATCGTCCACAAAGGAATTCCGATGACAGCTGACTTGGACTTACATTGCTTATCCTGCTTGTGTTTCCAAACCATTCTAGCAGTGACAAACCACTGGCAATACGGGTGGCAGAAACGACTGGCTGTGCTGGACCGAACTCGAGCTTGCGACAGAGGAGATCCACAGATTCTCGCCATCGTGATTGAACTTTGCTTCGAGCCTCTCCGAGAAAAGCGATGCTCTGGCTCTCTTTTCCGTTTGTCAAGAGCAATCCACGCAGCGCTTGCTCGTCCGCCTGGTCGCACGACCTGCTTTCCTTTCTGCGCTCCCCAGCTGGTCCATCCTCAGTGTCAAGTGCCACTACAATTCTTTGCGCATCCTGCAGGTGCAGCCACGATGATGGCAAAGCGCCTGGCAAGCCTGAATAAAGTGGTCGTGCCTTCTTGTGACCTGCCACATCGGGACGAGGCACATTTTGAGACGAGGAGGACGCAGCATGCGACATATTTTCTTTTTTATCAAAACAGAAAAGTGTGGACGAGATGAACATACAACGTAGTATGCTTCCCTAGAGAGTGGTGGCATAAAGCAGCAACTAAGGGTAAAAAATCATCTACGACGGCTAGTCCAGGGACCAGGGTCAGATCCTGGACAAAGCAATTAATTCGACGTGAAGAAAGACTATCCTACACAAGAACCCAACGAATGGCGCTCAGCCTCAGGAGTCAACTTCTATATTCACCATGATGTGTATCATCAATATTCCACTCATGTATCGTACTCATACCTAGGCAATAGCCACACTTAGAGAGACTGAATTTCTCAAAATTTTCCTCCTGATCGACAGTGTGAAAGTGTAGTCAAGTGGAATGAGTACATCTATCTCAAAACAGATTGTCGGAATCGAGTGTGGGCGATACTCATCGATGGCATTCTACAGAATGCAGTGGTGCTCAGCAGTAAAAGCCCTCTTCATATGGGAGGGTCAGTGCTCACCCAGGATCTTTTTCGGAGCATTGCAACCCCTCGATTAAAATTACAGACGCATATCATCTCTCAACTCTATCTCCAGTATCAGGACAGATTTTCAACAAGCTTGCTTGTGCAGTTCGGGTTTTCAGATTCAATCTCAAGCATCGCCAGGCAGACCGTAGCATAGCATTCTCATCAACAGACCCGTTATCTCATTCTCATTTTCCTGCTACAGATTCACACGTCACAATTCGATCTCGATTAAATTCATTTCTGATCAGAACCAACGGTCACGTAAATTTGTCTCGCTCATCAGCACACTCTTCAAAATTGACCTTTTCCTTTTGCAGGTTAATACAAAACAACGATATGCATGGGGTGACGTACTTATTTATAGGAACAATGGGAACCAATTGGTTTTGATGGTTCATCTGATGTGGCGCGTCCTCCACCTTGTTGTTCGGTTTTTTCTTTATTGCAATCATGGAGATGTTGAAAGGAAAGTGCGCGCCCACCTTGTCCGACGAAATTGGTTTCTAACCCGACATGCTGCGACGGCGGCATCATCGTGGTATGCATCTTCAGAGTGTTCACGATATTCCTGCTATTTTCTCCCTCGATCTTTGCAGTTTCAGCTTAGTTGTAAATCTTGCTTGCTCGTATCGTGCACATTCTTGGAAAAAGTATCATGATAGATTGATCATCTATAACTAAGAGGACCAGGACTAACCACATAGTGTGACATAATTTCTACCTTGTTAGACCGTCATTCCTTAAGCTTACAACAAGCACGACAAACTAGATGAGGCAACCTATTTATCAATTCAATCTATGCATTACGTAATCAGCACACCGACCTCTCTTTAGATTTTTTGTCGTCCAGTCATACAACAAAAAGCGTAAGCCTATCTATCAAGACTGACATCAATCTTCAGTGCGAAAGAAGTAGCTGCACCAATCATAGCTGCACATGTAAAGTCATTTGGTGCTTCAATCATTTTGTTACACTTTGTGTTTCAAGTTGTTGCTGCCCTCATGGTGATTTCGAAAACGTGGCCGACTTCGTTTTCGACTTTTTTGATTTACTTTTACATTTTTTATTTTTTTACGGATGGGATATGTCAATCCATGAAGTCATGTCAATGTTCAATTATGTTGATCGAGTTTATTAGTCTCTCTCTTGTTGAGGAATCCCGGTGGGTAAATATCATCTTTTTCACATTTTTTGTTTCTTGCCATCGCTTCTGAAACCCGTAACATGGTGGACGGGGTGACAAAAAAAACTCTCTCTACGGCTGTTCATCTTCATCTATCACACTATACGCGAACTGGGTAAACTTAAACAATTTATCTTCTTGATCCTCTGAAAGCTGTATCTATATATGTTTACGGAAACTGCAATAACGACAAAAACAGGTATATACCCTCACTCCGGCCGACTTGCAACGATCAGAGTGACGAATGTGATTTGTCACAATTACAAAAAGTTAAAGTTGCCTATTCACAAACTCTCCAAAAAATTACACAACTCGGGTTACCTGAGTCTCTGTGTGCTTATCTTTTTCGTATCAAGGTTATCGAATGAGTATCGAGATCGATTCACTTTACTGCATCAAAAAAGTTCTGGAATTTCTGACATTAGATGGTTAAAAAGTTACTAAATGAAACTGTTGTGGGATTGATAAGAAAAAGGTAACAAAGTTGCGCAAACGAGAGCTAGGTACACTGAGAGGCGGCTAGCACGCAGCGAAATCTTTTTGTATTTTTCTTTCGGAATCGGAGGCGAAGGGAAGCATTGTGGCTACAATTGCCTTTCAACCTGCTTGCTGCCATACTTTTTGAGTAACTTGCGAGTCGTATTTTGGCTGAGGACGAAACTCAAGCTCGACTTGTTATTCGACGCAAAAAAATCAATTCTAGTAACGTGAAAAAAACTACTGCGTGCAAATGCTTTTGTTAAGTAGCCTAACTGACTCTACAAAAAAAATCCAGGCTGTACATTCGTAGCAAACATGAAGATCATGGGAAATCTTAATATCTTGGATTTGAACTCAAAACTCTGCTGTAGCGAGATCTGGAAAAGAAACTACAAGCAATTGTTTGAAGCCTAGGTACGAAATTCAATAAAACATTTCACTTCTATCTAAATTCTATGCGAATTCATCGGGCGTAGTACGTAGCCCCTAAGCTCGAGAAAGACAAACTCTTAGCAGGATCGGCATTTTCACGAGGCGCATCGTCAACGTGATGCGACATCGCCTTTATGGCACGTTGACGTTCTTCGGCGCCACTAATTTGTCCGCGTGCGCGTTTTTTGATAGATGCAATGTTAGCCGGGCTAAGACCGCTTTGCGAAGCTGCGCGGATCACCTGGGCGGAGTCAGAGAGAAATGGATCGAGAAGAAGAGGAAAGTAAGATCAACAATGCATGTTCCTCGTCGTGATCGTTATGAAAATCTGTTCATCTTGGCCTTTATCCACATATTCTCTTCTGTCAAAAAACGTCCAAAAAATCCATCAGGTCAATACCTGATCACGTACAGACCGTCCTTCTTCCACTGATTTGTCTCCCTCGAGTAAGAAGTCGTGGTAATCACCGGGGTGTGCCTTTGATGTCTCGATGTCGATGTCGATCGCGGCTAATGAAGGCGCTGTCGGAGCGTTGGGATGTATTGCCGCGGACTCCGTTCTCTGAGAGATATCCATCACAGGTAGACACTCGCCGTCCACTGCTGTTGTTCCGTGTGCACAAGTATGACATCCTGACCTGGTGGGGTAGACATAGACAGAGAAATCGAAAGTGAAAATCATGATCGTGGTCAAAAAGGCAAACAAAAACATGCAGCGAAAAATATTTTTGGGTCGTTACTACACGTTTTTCGCAACGGTCTTGATCTTCATCTTCCATCGAGTGCCGAAAAAATAGATAGTTCTACCATACAAATTACAAGTTGAAAACAAGCTTGTTGTAAGTACCCGTTCCATCCTTGCCCCGAGGGACACGGTTTGCGACAATGGGAGGGTTTGCTGCTTCCCGCTGTCGCTAGAGGACGTGACTTCGGACACGAGACGCATTGTTCCAAACCACCACCAGCAAAGTGATCCGCCCCACAATACGCACAATTTACTCTTACTATCGACCCTCCTTGTAGCTGCTCTGCCGCTGGGCCTGATGTAGATGACGTACTTCGATCCACAAAACTACTCTCAGAAAGATGGTTCGCCGCCTCCTGATTTCCTTGCAGATGAAAATCGTTCTGAACATGTTCAACATTGTCACCCCTTCTAGTACTGCTACTACTGAATGATGTTTTTCTTGACGTTGATGCTCGATCACTACTGCGAGCAAATATAGCACCGAATCCAGGCAAGCAACTCATGTGACACGTCGAGCTTCCAGGAAGAGCCGCCTCGTTCGCGGCGCATGCGCTGCAGATAGCACCAAAGCCCCCGCGGCTAAAACTATTTTCTGGACATGCTTCACACAGAAAATGCTCATCCCCTACGGAACCACGACCAAAGCCTGGTTTACAGTATGCTCTTACGCGCAAGGATCCCAGTGAATAGCTTCTCCTTCTCTTTTTAGATTTTGTAAATGACTGCTCTTTCATCGATGCGTGCTCTACTCCCGCCTGGGCTAGATCTCTCCTTGATTCTGCCTCTAACAGAGACGCCGCACCTGAAGCGTCGCTCTCTTCCGCAAAAAATGCGTCCTCTGGCAGCATGACTTTCACATTCTGCAAGGCCGAGAGAGCAGTCGCATGAGAAACGGATGGTCTACCACCTGAAGATGCAGGGCTTCTTCTGCTTACCCGACTACTCCCTCGTATTCTTACTGCAGCTCGGCGGTCTGATCGAGCGTGACCTCCTGCGACAGCTCGAAAAGTTAACTCATGCAATATCGGATCCAGCGGCGAGGGGTCCATCTTGCTGTTTCCTTCAATGTTGTCTAGCCAGGCGAGCTCTGTACTACCAGAAGCTATAGTTCTTCTAGAGTTCGTTGAGGAAGGTGCGATGTAGGGATTTCTGGCGCTCGTCGTGCCTGACGCACTAGGGGGAGACGCTCGTCTACCTCCTAAGAGCACAACAAGCGCGTTTTCTAACGCGAGTTTTTCGTCCACTGTGAGTCCTGTTTCGCTAGAAGAAACTGCCGTGGTTAGTGGATCTTCCTCTCCACCTTGTTGATAGAGGTTTTGATCCATGGACAGCGGGACGGTCACAGTGCCGCCCTGGTGGTCGAAGCTCTGCAGCGGTGGCGGGAGTGAGAATTCCAGAATTGTCTCTGCTGGTTCCACGCAGTGCTCTATACTTGTGGCACCCTGCGCGGACTCCGTTCCTGGAGGGCAGCTCATGCAGCCATGGCTTCGCTTTCCAGCCCAATTCACGTGCGGGCTCTCATCAAGCAACTGCAGCCAGTCTTTGTTGCTCATGTAGGTGTTTGCAGGACACGCAACGCAGGCAGAGCCACTCCAGCGCTGACCAGCAGAACAGCTGGGGAAGCACGCACCCAGTGCGGCGCCCGACGAAGATGCACCACTATCCAACCGTACCATATGCTTCGGACATGCAACTGACGAGCTCTTCTTGCGCCGACGTGCAGCTAGAGCGTGCCCTTCTGCTATGGCAATCTTTCCATAAGCTAAAGCCTTACTTCCAGTTGTTTTCTCTTGATGTGCCTGTGCATCCTCACTGCGTCTCGAAGCCACCAGTGCGGCGCCTGTTGTGCCCGCTGCTGACATTACTGAACTTCCGGCGGTACTAGAGTCGCCCCCCTGTATCGCTGGCACTGTGGATGCACCAGAAGGATCTGCAGCATTTCCGTCGGAGTCGGACGGTGGAGCCGTAGTTGTAACAATTGGCTCCTCTGGTGCACGAATGCACAACATCCGCGCCTTAGCAGTTTCCAGCGACTCCTTCGGTATCTGGATCTCGAAGTTTCCGCTCGCGTCTTGCTGCAACAAAGCTGCTCCATCGCCTGCTTGTGGACCGTCGAGCAGCACTACGCCTCGTTCAAGCGATACGGTGTTGGCGATATGCCGTCTGAAGGCTTTGTTTGGCAGCAAATCGTTTATCGGCGCTGTGAATCGCATTGCACGCATTGCGCGTTCGATAGGGGACAACTTGTCTTTGTCTTTCTCGTAGACCTCCAGTGCACGCTCTGTCGGAGTCGGTGTCTTGCCTTTCAAATCATCCGTTGACTCATCATCTTCTCGAGAGCTGGATAGTTTCTCGTGATGATCAGTTTCTGCTGAATGATGTCTTTGTTTTAGACTCTTCCGAACGACTTTCGATGCTTCGGCTACCTCTTTTCGCGTCAGAGCATCTTTCTCATCCTCTTCACCTATTTGAGGCTTTATCTCATCTCCGCTATCCGAACTCGGTGGTAAGGACACATCACTAACGATGACTTCCTCGTCTGGATCCGCATGCGGTCTTTTCGCTAGTTCAGTGTTGCCTGCAGAAGTCGAGATGCTCCCGAAGGTCAAGTCTCGGATCCTCGAGAGCATATCCGCAGTTTTCCTGTAGAACGTGATCGAGTCCGATCTTTCTGGAACGTCGTTATCATCTTCGCGCACAGCGTTTTCTTGTCCAATATGCTTTTCGTCGTGCAACAGCTGGAAAGAGTCCGATGTAGTTCCCACTTCACCAGAAGATGCTGCCGACATCGAGGGACGGGGATCCTGACTTCCGTCTTGATTTACTATACGTTCGTTGTACGCTGTCGTGGCGTCTCCAAGATCCTCTCCATACAAGCCACCACGAACAGGCGATGCAAAAGTCAACGACTTTTGCATCTTTCGGAACGATGCAACACGCTGGTCTTCTGTTGCCAATGCCGCGCGCTCCTCTGCGGCTCTCTGGGCTTCCATCGCTTCTTTCTCTGTCACATCTTCACCGTACAAGGCCTTATTCCGGAACAGCAACTCCGCAGCTGCTGCGTCATTCGAACCGGTCATGCCGTAGGTGACATTTGATGGGGCTTTGACATTGTAAATGGGCATTTCGGCGTCAATTCCGAAACCAAGTCGCTTTTTGTCCGGAACCGGAAAGTTGATATCGAAACCGAATGTCCCCTTCGTCAGATCCGGCTCGAAGCCAATGCGCGGCACGACTCGTTTTTCGACTTCAAATGGTCCCAAGCTGTAGTTTCTGGCTGATATCCCCAGCGACAGCTCTACTTCCTGAACTCCGTTCCAAACAACTGCCACTTCGTTCGATTCCTCCCAGTGCACGAAAAAGCAGCCTCCTGGAGGCATCCCTTCTAAATTGCCAGTTGCAAACATGTACGGAAGCTCTCCAAACTTCGACCCGCGCGTCTGAGGTGCAGGTAAATCCGAAAATTTTTCTACACCGTAGGTCGCCAAATTTGAATCCAACTTCTGTTTGGTCAGTCTCGAAACCCACAGCGCTCCACAGAAATCGGCGTTCCCGGGGCCTGCGCAAGTCGTATTGCAAGTCTGCGCTTCTTGCATCACCTGCAGAAACGGATCTGCCACGTCAAAAATTTCCGTCCTTCGCGTCAAAAACTCAGTACCACATTGCGGAATTAGGTTCATCGCAGCAGCACGACAAGCCTCGCGAGCTGCGTCGCGCTGGCCGTCTCGCGTTGCGTAGAATTGTGCAGCTTCTGCGATCGCCTTTCCATGCACCGACACAAAACCTGCCGGGCACTGGAACCGCTCGAGTTCTTTCGGTTGCGGAGGAGGCGGTGGACAAGTGTTAGTCTCTGCGCAAGGTCTAAGCCGTTTGCACAACTCCGCAGAGTCAAATAGATCATCTTTGCAGGTCGAGCATTCCGTTTCCGGATCTAACAAGGGTGATGCAACGCACTCCAAACAGCGGCTTCGGCGGTCGTAGATTTCGCTCTCGCACACACAGGCACACTGCTCCTCAGCACTCGTCGACTCCTCATAGTTTCCGGCCTCGTCAACAGATGATGTCCACACCTCCACCGGGAATGGCGCCACAAGCTTCCCGCGACCATTGCACTCAAATGCCGCATCGCCGCATTGTTCTGCCGCCTTACGGCACTTGAGAGTTGCTGGGTCCCGCACGTATTCCGGAATTGAACAGAAACTGCATTTCGGTCCGGCGTAGCCCTCATCGCAGTCGCAAATGCAGCCCTCCCCGGACCATGTGCGCCCGGTGGCTACCCCGCGGCCTGAGCAATCCGCGTCACGAGTGCAGAGGCCGCAATGACTGTCGTCCGTGAAACCATGAACGGCAAACGGAATCTTGCCGGATTTCGCTGCATTTTCATCTTCCCATGGCGGAATCTCGTGCGGGATCACGCCTGTGGAGCTGCCTGCAGGACACTCAAGACAAAATCGCGTTCCGCCACCTGGCGAGTAGCTGTTTTCCGGACACTGCATGCAACGTGAGCCACCAAAAAACCCTTCACCTGGGGGACACTTCGCCTGACACTGCTCCACAGCAAATGTGCCCGCAGCACTCGTCGTGTTGACCGGACACGGCAAGCAGGTGGGCCGCTCGCCTCCGGGTGAGAAGAAGTTCGCGGGGCACAGATTGCAAGTGCGTGTGGTCAAGTACAAGCCGTGACCTGGCGGACAAACCGAAGGGAAGCATTCGGTGTCACCTGGCGTAGAGGTCTGCCCCTCCGGACATCGCGTACAACTCGGGTTCAAACCTCCTGTGCTCACCCAGCCTCCGGGACAAACGTAGCAGGTCCAGTCAAATCCCGAGGAGCCCCTAGCCTCCTCCGCAGCATCTAAATCCTCTGCATCCTGTTCGCGCGTCCTGTTGGTATCCACGTAAAAGCCATAACCGGGCTCGCATTCGGTCTCCACCCGATTCTTGAAAAAGCGCCCAAACGCGGCTTTGAGATCGTCGTCTCGCTTCAGCGTATACCACAAGCCTAGCGCATCAAAGCCCGGCGGCCTCGCAACTTTCGTGTCGCCACTCTCGTCCACATCCGCATCCGGGGTGCCGCCCGACGCAATGATCTCATCGTCGCTTTTGGCAACTAGCGTGATTTTCGAGTTGAAATACATTTTTGACGAATCCACAGATTCGTAGGTGCGCGCCACAGCACGATGGCTCTGCTGCAACAGAACCGCAATTGTACTACCTGCAGAAGATGACAAGGGATGGATGATGCTACCGGAATGCCCTATCTCGAGCACACTTCCGTCTCCTGTTGATGAGCGAGGAAGCTCTTCCTTGCTTTTGGTGACATACCCTGCTTTTGTCATCGTACCCGAGGCCTTGTCGCCTTTCACCCTGGCCCTTTCCACCCGTTGGCTCAAGTAATTTTCATACTCTCTCACTCTCTGCTTTTCCTTTTCCTCCTCAATCGCTTCTTCATCTTCGTCTTCTTCCTTGCGACGTAAAAAAAGACCGTCGGCGCCCACTAGCGACATGTCGGGTCCGAAGGTTGTCTCCACCCTAATCAGATACTTTCGCTCGTCCACCACCTTCTTCACTTGAGCCTCCACCCAAGTCTCCATTGCTTCAATCTTTGCCGGGTCATCCATGCCCTCCTGGTCCTTTGGGCAAACCGAGAGTAGCACCTTAGTACTAGCCGGCGCCACACACGCCGAGACGGAAGTCGCCCCGGGGCGGCCCGTTCCGCTCCCACTTGGGCACGGCCGGCAACGAAGTTCAGGTGTATACCAAGTTACTGTCGCTAGCATGCTCACAGTTGAATACGTATTCATCGGACACGGCGAGCATTTCTTATCGAGCCACCGCTCTCCGGCCTTGCACTCGGGGACACAATCTTCTATTCGAGTCGCACCTGCCACTCGCGTAGTGTAGTAAGCTGGACAAGACACGCACAAGTTCGGCACTACATTCTTAGACGACTTCGCCTCCCGCGGCTTCGAAAAACCAGGAAAGCCCCCGTAATAGCTGCCCAGGGGGCACGCTTGACATACACCGTCAATCCAGCCATGGCCCGGCAAGCATCGAGGAGCACAGAACGGGTTCTTGCTTGCTTCCGAACCGGGTATGGCGGCCGAGCCGAGTCGTGACAATACCGACGCGTCGCACGTACGCTGCTCCGTGCCTTCGGAAGATCCATATTCTGGAGCAAGCATGTTCGCGTTCAGCATGGAAAGCACAGCCACCACTGCGTCCGTTCCAGGCGGACATCGCTGACAAGGCGCATCGGGAAAGAGCGAATATTCTTTTGATGGATCGCAGCGTTGACAACGGCGTCCGATCGGATCCCAACCAAATCCCTTGGCGCAGTTCCCTTTGCATTGCGCGCCATCACTGCTGCCGCCCCCCACCGTTGTGGTGTCTGCGGGACACACCAAACAATCCACGCCAGCGGGGGAGTAGCGCCCAGCCGGACACGGTAGACACCGCACCGCGTGGCCGGGCAACGTGCCCAGCTTCGGTTGTAGAATCCGCGCTGGTGCTGATCCTGGCTCGCAACTCTTAAATGTGTCGTACATGGCCTCGATCTCTGTCCAAAATTCAACCGACTCCGCGCCAGGAACAGTTTCAGGTGCAGGCGTCGTGGTTGTCACAAGACCAGGAGGTGGCGGTGGAGGAACCTCCACCGTAAATTTGATGCTGTCCATCGTGAGCTGTGGAGCCACCAATCCTGTGATCTCCTCGAAACGTCGCAGCTCACCCGCTAAGAATTCAGCAAGTAGTTTCGCTGTCGGGACGAGGAGTCTGCCTGTTTCATCATTTTCTGCGTCACGGATCGCTTTCAGCTCGCCACTAAGCGCGGCCTCGCTTGCCGGAATATTTTGCTGTGCCTCGAACTCGTGCAATTTGCGCAAATATGCTTTGAATTGCTCGATCAGGTCCCGAGCCACCGCTTTTTCCCTGTCCTCTGCGTCCCGCAGAGCTTGCTTCGCTGCCATCTCTGCTTCCCGTCGCCGCCGCTCCGCCTCAAGGTCCGCCTCGCGTTGTCGACGCAACATGCCCATCCGCTTGAAATATCGCTCAAAATCAAGCTCCGCCCGGTCGCCAAGATTATCCGCAGTCTCGGAAAGGTCATCGGTGTCACCCTTGCTCTTCTGCTCACCCTCTTCTAAGAGTGACGTCGAAGCGCCTTTTGGTCCTGCATTCGACGCCAAAGTCTTCTTCGTCTTTGTTGACACCAGGGACGCACTTCGCGCAGCGTATGAATCACGTGCAAGGATCTTGCTCATCGCGCTGTTGGTTTGTTCCTGATTTTTCTGGTCTTTGAGCTGGCCTACATCTGCATCATGGTCATGGACAACTGCGCCGGTCTCGTCGAAGGATGGCGACATTCTTGTATGCAGCTGCTGCGCCCGCATAGAGGCATCCCGTTCCACCGTTCTTCCCGAAATCTTATGAAACTCCTCAGCAGAAAGCTGGCGCCGCTTACGAAGAAGCAGATTGGGCTCTAGAATCACATAAGGGTCCTCGACATGCTGACTTGCCTCGACAACATCGACTGTCGGCTGCGATGCAAACAACGCGGCGTCCTCAGGCCCGTAACCGGATCGAAACCAATCTTCGGTCGCTTCTTTTGTATGATATACAACAGACACGAGCGAGTGCTCACCATTAGTCTTGGCAAGCTCTCCTCCTGCCCGTCGATTGTCATTCTGCGCAATAGTATCAGCATCTTCGTCTTGCAATTGAAACGCGTTTTTGTGTGATAGCACACGCTCAACGAGTGCCCACATGCGTCGCAATAGTACCAGCTGCTCCTGTTTCTTCGCTGGCGAGGCATTGGTCACGTTGAATGCGATCGGATACACGCCCAAACTTTGCGTCACGTTGAATTTCATATGAGGCCCCGGAATGATTGTTCCGTAGTCCCAGTGCGGATGGCGCTCTGTCCTCTTGTTTGTGTCGTTTGTAGTTTTGTTCGCGGAGTCATTATGGACGGGCTTGTCCTCTAGTTGGTGAACAGGACGCAACGTCGGTCGCTTTTCGAGCGGGTCATATTCGCCCGGCGGACCCGCAGCCGTGACCCTGAAGCCTAGATTTGGCCGTATCGATCCGTCTGGGCCAGCGAATCGTATATGAAATGGCGTAATATCGACGTCGGCCTTCAGTCTCTTTTTCGTACTCGTTGCCGTCGCGTGCAAATTCGTGTCCTCGTCTATCCCGCTGCCATTGGAGGCGGTCGTTTTTAGCGTGACGTTCCGTGCACGCGCTGTCGCGTTCCTTGCGCT